AAGTTTCCAGATCCTTGTCCCCGGATCTCAGAAACTTTCAAAATAATGCGTCTTACTGTCTTACTCTCTTGTACAGACTATCATTGAGGAATCCGTTAGAGGCAAAAATCTCGGGCCCCTCGTCTGTTTTACCCCCTGCGAAAAATGTTAAGAAAATCCATACCGCGGCCGCACCAAGTCACGCGCGCGTTTTCGTGGACCTGAGCGTGTGCAATTTTTGAAATGACATACATGTGACTCAGCGGAGCCCCGTGAGTACGTCAACATCATGATAGATTGTGTCACGTGAGTCACATGAACTGACCGTAGACGTGGCAGTTGCATTCCAGAATCTGCTGAGTTGGATCATCACGCTCCACAAGATTTTGGTCGGTTGCGATCATGGTACATGTGCAGCCAGCTGGACTCTCACGGGCGTGGGTGGATAACATCTGCTCCCGAATATGTGCATTTAATGCCGGAACCGCATACGTTAGAGAGCATCATGCAAGCTCTCTTGACTTGAGGGTTCCCTGTAAGCAAACCAGCTGATGACATTTCCGGTAGCTCAACTGGCTATCAGTAGTTGGCAAACCATAAACTGCTATTCTTTATCTAATGGGCCGGCCTAGGAAGCACCCTCCTGAGCACCATACGTGCAGGTTTGAGGCACGGTAAATGTCTGTATGGACACTGCATCAAATTGTCCGCGTGCTCTGTAGTTGGTGACGATATCCGCGGTGGTTCAGGCAAAAGGGGGATTCAAGCAAAGGTTCTTTTTAGCAGAGGGAGCAGAAGAGGTCGTCGAGCAGCACAAGACTCGATGCCGCCCTCGAAGGCACTTCCTTCCACAAGGGGGCCAGACGTTGTCATGATTCCAGGAACTAGCAGGCTGGAAAAAGTTATGGCGGGGCAGCTGGGTGGTGTTGGAGTAAACGTGAGCGTGGCGCCAAGCCTGCAGGGGGCTGATGATCAGGTCAACGGGGCAGGTGTTGCTCTTTGTCACCTCTCTAGTTCCTTTCTCAAGAGGAAGTGGGATTTGGGTTTGATGTCGGCCCGGGAGGAGCTGAAAGCCTCTCAGACGGCCCTCTCGACCACGGTTGGGGAAGCAAAGAAGCTGAAAGCTGATAATGAGGCAATATCTGTAGCTGCTAAACGGTGGATGAACAAATACGTAGAGGCAGATGCAAAAAGGATTGAGACTGCGAATGAGCTGGTGAAACTGGTGGCAGAAACTGAAAAGTTGAGGGGGCAATGTGGTGAACTTGAGGCTGACTCTAAAAAAATGAAGCGGCGATTGGAGAATGCGGAGGCAAAGTATGAGCAGATGAAGGGGCAGTATGATGTTGTGTCATATGATCTCAAACAGTCGAGGATGACATATAAGGATTTGTTAGCCGAATCTGAAAAAATGAAGCTGCAGTTGGAGGGAGTCCGGGCAGACCATGAAACCTCGATGCGTGAGGGTGAAGCTCGGTTGGAAAAGACCAACGCCTGGATCGGGGCATATAATAATGCGAGGGTAGGCTCTGAAAGGTGGCAGCAACTGTATGAAGCTGAGGTGGCAACCTCAGAGAAGTTGAGACGGCAAGACGTCGTAAAGGCGATAGATCCTGACGACTTGAGGGGGCAGGTTCGATCCTTGACCACAGAGAATATCAAGCTGAGATCATGGCTTGCTCATACGCATGAGGAAAAAGAACGCTTCAGAAAGAGCGTCATCGAGTTATCCTCGCCACAGAGTTTCCCGTCGGTGGGAGAGTTTTTGAAGACGGGGGTCTTGCCGAGCGACGCACTACAGTAGGGCGATATGGGAACTCCCGAGCTACCGAATGTGGCGATGAGCGAGACGCAGCACGACGTTCGGCGCGCAGGAAAAGCAGCATGGTTGGCGTCGTACTAAGTTATGATTTGTAGATAATTGGCATTGTGACCAGTTCTGATTTGTAGGTAAAGCAAGACTGTCTAATTGTGTTCAAAAATTCTTTACTGGCAGTAGCTAAGTTAGTTTGCAGCGCAGTCACGCATAGTTTCGAGCCCTCTAGGAACAAGGCGTGTTGATTTGTTTGGTTTTGCCGTGTATGTTGCGTCGATAGGATCACGATTGTTGCAATGACATTCGAGATGCCGTGGCACTGAAGTTGCCTGCTTTCTATTGAGATTGTTCATCACTTATTTGACGCACCATCCGTACCGCATTTAATTTATATTGTGCTTGAGCTAGGACATGCATGCATCAGGATCTGTAGTCAATTTTCAATTCGGGCGTTGGTGATGATTCAGAAAGAAGGGGACGGCAATTCTCGCTTTCTGCACCTTTTGAGGTACGCCACAGACATATGGCAGCCCGCAGCAGCATTGGTTGCCTTCATCAAGAATCCAATTCGTTATGCAAAACGATGCGTCGGCGGCTCACGGGGCCTAGTCTGGGGGAGGCTTCAAAGGCTACCAAGGCTACGCTAGTCCTCTTGGGTGCGGGTCCCGGCTGTTGCCTCGAAATATCCGCATAATCAGCTTCGCGGTCGTTTCTTCGTTACTCGTGTAATGCGATCATTCGAGGCTGAAAGGAACGCTTTCGAGCGTCCACCGCTTCATTTGACACGCCCACGAGGCTCTTATGGGACTTTCAAATATATGATTGATTGATTGACCCCACGCAAGGCTGGCATGCAGACCGCGATTGACAAAGACGAATGTCTCGATTCGGGTCATGTATATATATCGCTATTGACGAGGGCAGGTTGGGGCGCAAGAAAAGCGCAGCAGCGTGATTGGGGCCTGATATGACCGTTGAACGCTGCTAGACCTGCTGAGAAACAGCACAAGAACGCCATGGCCGCATTGTCTGAAGTTGAGCAGCGGAAGCTGGCCATCGGCCTGTACGAGTGCGAGCGCTGGCATCATTCCGGGGAGGATCCAGCTCAGGGGAACGCACCAGAGCACGTCAAGGAGGCATGGAGATCACTTGAAAGGGCCAAGAAACAAGTAGACACGTCTCGCTGGCTGGTGGAAGCTTTCTCTCGTCGCCGTGCGGAGAGGTTTCTTCCGTCCGTCAAGAAGCCTCTTCCCGACGGCGACAAGCTCGATGTCCTGGGGGCTGTTTCTGGGCACCTGCGCTGTTCCCCATTGGCCCCTGCAGATGCTGCAGAAATGGTGACCTGGGAGGCGGCTCAAGAATTGGTGAAGATGAAGGAGCGCATAGATAGAGACTCATTGGAGCTCGTCGGTATCTATGAACAGATCTGGCACTTGGAGAATACGAGGAAGTTCTGGGAGCAGTGGGAGTTGGCGCAGGAAGTCTCTGCGGGGCTTGACCAGGTGGCAGCCAATGTCCAAGAGTACCGGCGAGTGCAGAACATATTCAACCAGGAACTCACGGACTGGAGAAGAGCGCACGCAAAGATGATCAGACCTTGGGACATTTTCGTAAAGCGACTTCCTGCTGCAACGCCCGGGGAATCGTTGGAGGCTCCAAGTGTCGCAGAGTACATAAAATGGTCCGTGGGAACCCGAGAGTATCGGAGCGATCCCGACAATGCTTGGGCGGTCGGGCATATTGCCTCCACCGAGGTGGCCGGAGAGGCATGGCGCTCCGCGTACGAGGACGATCCCCAGAAGATGGCGGTCTATGAAGAACGGTTGGCCCAACAAAAGTTTGCAGAGAAGCTGTGGGCGGCCACCCGTGGTGGGCGAGGAGAGTGACAGGTGAGCTTGTCTGGCATCAGTTCGTGGACTGCAATGACATCCTCACCGTTCGAGATGTTCCTCGTCGGAGTCGAAGCACCAGCTTGAAGTGAACTCTTTCTGGATGTTCTAGTCTGCCGGCGAGCGGTCGTCCTCCAGCTGCTTGCCAACAAAGACGAGGCGCTGCCGTTCGGGCGCGATCCCCTCCTTGTCCTGGATGCTCGCCTTGACGTTCTCAATGGTGTCGGACGACTCTACTTTTAGAGTGTTTGCAAAGATCTGCATCTTTTAAGTTGCTCGATTGTCTTTCGTGCCTAAGCTGGGACTGTCTTTGGGGTCACTTGCAAGCTCGACAAGCAAGCTCTGCCGAAGTCAGTGGCTGATTCCCATTGCTTCTTGCAGTTCAGCTGTTGGGCTACGTCAATACATCTCAAGCGGAGACAGCGGGTGGGCGCATGCAAGAGCCGGCGGGTGGCCCTCAAGGGTTTGACGAAGCGCACCAAAATGGCTAGGTGTTCAGCACGCACAAATCGCTTTTTTCTCCGTCACTGTTTCTGAGAACGACTATGGATGGCAAAAGTGTAATAAACGTGTACAGGCAGATTAGAAGCTTAAACTCACAATTATTTGTTGTGAAAGATCAATTCATTCTCTTTTCTATTACACTGATCCTGAACTCCACGAAAGAGACTTCGTCTGTGCCGGTATTGCTTCTGTAATCTGTTCGTGACATTGGACGCCTATTGGTTGCTGCGGCCATCGGAGACAATGTTGTGCGCCTAGCTTGTTGCTAATCAACGGTGAATGAAACATCGATACGGACTTCTACAATGTGTGTGACACGACTATCAAGAATGCGCTTTGCCCAAGTACTCAACTAGGGTTAGTCGGAAGCAGGACCCAATGTTAGTTACTAGTTCCACGCCACGGCCAGTAATAATAAATGATCCGAGTCGACGTGCTTTCGAACAGAGAAGGTGAACATTCGCCCGTTCTCAAGCTTGACCTGATAATCACCTCCAATCCTATTGCTGTCGTAGCTCATTCCTGAACGATCCACCAAAAGGCTGTAGCGTGCACTTTCTTTGTTGGCTGCCAAAATATTAAGTGCTTCCTGGAGGTCGAGACATAGGTCTGCCCTGTATATTTCTCCATTTGGGAGGTCTGCTGCATGCAACCATACTGCCGTGCAGTTCCAAGAGCGATATGACCTGCTCTGCTCATCTGTGTATCGCCATGGGAGCAGCAATGCCGGGGAGATGCTCAAAACACAGCACAATAACGGGGCTGTAGTATGCCGGATAAAGTCTGAATAGTGTGGAAGTTGTTGCCTGCCGGTATCGTCTCTCCAACGCAAAAAAACTTGTTGAGGCATTGCCTGCAGAGGATCAGCAGGAGGTTCCATGATATGATGCACTTAGATGGAAAACAAGAAAAACTCTTAAACGCAAAACATGAAGACATGCGTGAAAGGAGAACCCTAACCTAAGTGGGTTTGACGTGAGCATTACATTCAACAAAGAGGCAAGCTCAAGCTGTGAGTACGCGTCTGTGACGTAACGTTATTGTGCCGGCAAGACTGAAGTAAAAGATTAGAACTTGGCTACATTCTCATACTGGAATCCATCACATTTGTGACGAACGCGAGGCCATCAGAACAGACCCGATACCCGAGAACATCATCGTTTCTACCTACTACAACTGCAGAAACAGCAGATCTCTTATGTCGGGTGTCCATATGCTACGTCTACATGCTGTCCTGATCGTGTGATCGTCGACTCTACTCAGATCTGCGTTGTACGCGGTTATCAGTAATGGCAGAAACGTCATCATGTTCTCGAGCGTCGAGAACCATCCGATCGTGGTGAAGCGGTTGAGGAAGCCGTTCACGCTCTCGCATGCGCTCGTGTTCACATGGGTCAGCAGACCGTAGTAGTGACTGCTGTTCGTGGGGCCGCAGAGATGGTGCTCTCCCTCAGCCTTGCCATAGTGGAACTTGTCGATGACGAACCGGACGTTCGAAAAGAACGTGGGCTCCCTCCTGAAGCAGTAGTTCTGATCGGAACAGGAACAGTCGTTGATCAGCACTCGCGGTAGATCCTTCCGGTTGAAGCGGGTGTACAGCACCGTGAACGGATCCCTCGGGCTCTCTCCCCGCAGCATGATGTGGATGCCGTAGAGTACTCGATGTGGGCAGCACCACACATAGAGCCCGCGAGTGTGAGGCAGCTTGCTCGGCTTCCCAGATTCGTGCCCCGCACACCGAGCCTCGGCCGTGTTAGACTTCCCGTCCGGCTCCTCGAATTCCGTGTAAAAGGGCAGCGGCCGCTTCTTCTCCCAGAACGGGTACCAGCACAGGTCCTCCCCGTCCGAAGTGAAAGCCCCCAGCGCCGGCCCCGTTTCCCCCAGATTCTCCTTGAGCAACTCCCGCTCGGCCTCGCCCAGCAGCTCCGCAGTGTCGGAGAAACGCTCGAGCGCATCCATCGCCCTGTGCGCCGCCGCCCTTCTCTCGGGATCAGGGGGAGGTGGGTCCGGGTACGCGTCCCACTGTGGGTTCGGGTTCCACCAATGTGGTCGCGGGTCCCACCACCACGACGCGTCATGGAAAATCTTCCACGATTCTCCGGTCCACGTGCGATACGCGACGCCCCCCCTCCCATAGATGCTCGCCCTGTATAGCGCCTTCAGCACGCCCATGAAGAATGACGGCAGCCGTCCCTCGTACGAGTCGAGGAGCCGGCGCAGTATCGGGCTTTCCTCCCCCCAATCCAGCCGATCTTGCTCGGTGACCAACTCGCCGAGCAGGATCCGTCTGGCCACCCTGAGGGAGTGTTCCGTCTGCAGGATCTTGCTGTCCTCGTCGTGGCTGTTGAGATCGTACAAGATCTCCTTCCACCGCTGGGGGAACTGGCACAGGATCCCGACGTCCCCCGACGGCAAATACAGCCTGCACGTTCCCACGGTACAGCGCTCCCTCAAGGGCCTCTGCGACATTTCTGCCTCGGCCTCGATCCCCTCGACCAACCATCGCATCGCATAGTGCCCCTTCTGTGTCAGACCCGGCAGCAGCACATGGTAGTATTCGTGCGCACTCAGAGGCTCTCCTCTCCTCTCAGGATTGTTCGCTCCCTCATCGGGGTCATGCTGAGCGGACGGCCGATGTTGGCTCAAGCGCGCCAGCAGCGTCCGAAGAGGGTCCTCGGGCACCACCCGCCTCAACGTGCACAACCCGCCCTGCGAAACGCGTGAGATGCATCAGGTCTCGCATGCGAGAGCGCAGTCGCATTCGGAGTGGGCACCGTAAAGACGAGCTTTCGATCGTTCGCGACAGAACACGACAGAGCCCGAAACGACCGGGGAAAAATGCATGTGACTCACCGGGCTGACTCCCGAATAGTGCACACCCGCCGTCCGCGTCTTCTGAAAGGGCACGCCGTTCAGCTTGTCTGGGTGCGTGAAGCTAGCTCGTCTGTTCTGAGTGGTGGAAGCGATGCCCGCCTTGCGCTCGCTGCCGTCCTTGTTCGCCAACCCAAAGAGCCCGTCGCAGATCAGATACTTGGGATGAGGCCCGCAGAGGGAACAACAGCGCGGCTCCTCGTACTTCTGCTTCAGCGCAAAGTAGCCCATTGCAGCTTCTCGCAGCCTCCCCTCATCGAGCCTCTGCGATGGCCCAAACTTTGAGCTCACGCTCTTGAACACATCGCTCTGTCGGCTGAAGTTGCTACCCGCCTGCACGCGAAAGCGGGCGCTACTCAGAACAGAAGGCAGGGACCGATATGGTACTGCCATATGCCGAGATGCAGGGGTTCGACGGACTATGCTAATGAGTCAAGAGGGGCGTGGCCAGCCCTTGAGCAAGGAATTGATTAGCTCTGTGAGTACTTGTTGTGGCGTCTGAGGATAATCTTCATCGACCGCGCCCTCCCCAACGATATCCACGAGCTGTGATCTGGTGAGTGGCTGATGATTCTCATCAAAAAACACAGAGCTGCAAGCTACTCCTTAGGCACACAGGCCTCCATTAGCACCCATGACCGTTTCTATCACCCTCCAGTAGTCCTGCGGTCTAACGTGCATCGGTACTGATATATCTCGAATATGAGAAAATCGCACCACGATGCATGCCGCGGTCTTCAGGGCGTCGACAGCTGCTTACCAGATGGCCCGCCAGCAACGTCTCGCAGCACCGCTGGGTCAGGATGATGCCCCTGCTGTGGGTGTATAACTTCAGGTGCTCGCCATCGAAGTGGACCGTGTGCCTCTTCTCGCAATCGCACGTGTAGTGGTACACCTGCGTCTTGAGGGTCCACTGCGCGTCGTAGATGGTTACGCCCTTCTCCGGCGTCAGCCTCCACGTCTTGAGACAAGGGGGTGGGGCTTTCGGGCAGGGGGCTAGGAGTCTTTTTCGGGCGCCCAACTCCTTGAAGTCGGAGTATCCCATCTGGCTCAACCGCAGTGGGTTCCTCAGAGCAGTGATCATGGGGTCATGGACCTGTTCGTCCGCTCGGAGGACCCTGGGCACCGTCCGCTGCACGCCCTTGGCGAAGAGGCTGAGCACCGAAGCCGACTGCGATGGTCCGCCATCCCCGTGCTCGCACACCCCCACGCACTCCACGCACACCGGGACCGAACCCTCTTCGAACGCCTCGGCAGGCTGTTCGGCCGTGCTGAACAGGTCCACCTTCGGATGCGCGTCGAAGCCCTTGCCCCTCCTGCTGACGTAACCCCGCTCCCCTCGCTCGACGTCCGTCACCGGCGGTCGCTCCGTGCACCGTTTCACGGCCCGTTCGGCATCCTCGAGTGCCTCCTCCGACCCCTCCCTGAACTCCAGTCGATCTCGGCACTCGCAGCCCGGCCGACACTCTCGTACGCCGCCCTTGTCCTCCGCCACCGCCAACCCCCGCACGTGCCGCACGGTCTGCTCGTCGAACTCGCGCGGGGGCGCTTCACGAGGGACCGCAGAGAGCTGGGGCAACCACTCCGAGACACCCCGGACTCGCTCCGCTGCGGCTTCGGCCTCGTCTTGCGTGAGTGTCGTGGGACGTACCGGGTGGAACACCCTCGCCTCCTTGAGGGCTTCGCGCACCAGCTGGACGTGCTTGCAGTTGCGCGTGCAGCTGCTCTCCCGTTTCCCGCTGCAGAAGAACCGATCTGGACCCGTTTGGATCACGAAGTTCCTGGCGGGGCCCGTGTGGACGTTCCGTCTGATCGCAAAGACCCTCTCGAGCGGCTGAGCCCGTTCCGGCACCCGGTTCTGAGACTCCAGGGGCTGCGTGGACCGAGGGATCTCCAAGACCTCCATGTGCCTCCCCTGGCGGTTGAGCTCGTGGGGAGTCGGGAGGCGGGTGCCGACCGCCCGCGGGGAGAAGGAGACCAGGAAGAGCTTGTGGACACACACGGCCTGCGTGTCCAGTCGTCCCAGGGGACAGCTGCACGCGGGGCGCCCGTTCGGGTCCCAGTAGACCGTAGCAGGCAGGGCCTTCTTCCCGTCGGGCATTCCGATCGGCCTGAGCGTGCCGCGGCCCTTGGCGTCCCAGTTGGAGCAGTGCAGGACGACGGCCCGCCCGTCCCGGAGCCCCTCGGGCCAGACGAAAGCCGTCCCGTCCACCACGTACTGGATGAAGCGCTCGGCTTGGAGACGGGAGGGATGGTTGATGCCCTGCCGGCGCACCTGGAAAAAGAGGAGGGCGGGTCAGAACCGGACGAATGAGCTACTAGGTGAGAAAGGGGCTTGTCTCGAAGGAGCCGGCGGTCCAAGTACCCGACGATGCAAGGAGGATCAACACCAGGGATGTAAGAGTTTATGAAAAGGTAGACCTCAGAAGGCTAGGCACGACGAGACGACTTGCCATGGCACTGGTGAGTGGGGTCGGGCACTCGCGAGGGCGCACGGGAGGGAGCAGCTTCGCCTCTCGAGGCCGCTTTCCGACCGGGCCCTTGGCCGGGGGTAGCCTCCGTTTGGTGCACGCCGCGCCGGTGCTCGCCGCCCTCGACTCGGAATCCGCCTTCTTGAGCGTGCCAAGCTGCTTCACGTCCAACGCCCACAGCTGTCGCCAAGGACCCATGCCCCCATCCTGGCGGAGGACGGGGGTGTCACCCAGGCGCAGCTCGCCGCGGTTGACGACGTGAAGCTTGGCTGTGGAATGCTTCGCGACGCAGTCCCAGCACAAGATGGGTGCGAGGGCGCGGCTGGATGCGGGGCAGATCATGAAGCCGGGGTATCTGAGGCTGGCTTTCTGCACCAGGCTGAAGGTGCCCACCGGTTCCTTCATGGGCTTGCCCTTCGCGTCCAGGCACGCCTTCCCGTCTGAGTCCAGCACGGGCCTGGTGTCCTTCACCTTCCACGCGTGGGTGCAGATGGCGCACTTGCCGGTGATGTTGGCGTGCAATGCCAGCTGCGCGTCCGTCCAGAGGAGCCCCGTATGCAGAGCGTGGCCGGTGTGGTAGCCGTACGCCATGGTCGCGTCCGTTTCGATCGGCCTGCAGGCAGGGATACGGTTCCTTAAGTATGTATTCGGGGTGGTATGGCTGTCATTGCGCGCAGTCGAAACATGCATCGAGAGTGGTGAAGATAGAACAGACCAGCCAGACGACTTAGAGAAGAAGACCGAAGCTGTAGGACAAGGATGAGAGTTTACCTGTAGGCCATCTCGCTGATCGTTTTGAAGAGGTCGTCCGTGAGTAGATACAGTGGCGAAGCGGCTTTGCATCGTTTGATTCCCCCCGATGCTGCCAGCCGTTGCTGTGAGGCGTCCGCCATGTCGCGTTGGAGGCGCCGTACCTGGAACAATGTCAAATGAGGTGATCGACGGTTGAAGCGAACCCTAATTATGGGAACTCGTGGCAACCACCAGCTCATATCTGAGTGAATTCTCGAGCCCACCTTTGATTTACATGCTAGTTGCTGAGAAACCTTAAAAACAATCCGTGGCCCCATCAGTCATGAGTGCTATGCGCGGCCACCGCCGGGCTACAAATGACACGTACTCAGTCGCCGATAACCCTAATTCAGACAATTCCGTGTGATTCCGTGTCCCCATCAGCAGTTTTCAAGAATCCTAGTTCGGAAATTCGTGTCCCCATCAGCTCAAAAGTGTAGTCCGCGCCCACCATCGAGTTAAAAAAAAGTTCATGCTAGTAACCGAAAACCCTAATTCAGAGATATTCGTGTCCCCAGTAGCTTATGGAGTGTAATCCGCGCCTACCATCGGGTTGAAAGGTCTCAAGCTCGTTGCCCAAACCCTTATTCAGAGATATCGTGTCACCATCAGCTTATGGATGTTATCCGCGCCCACCATCGGGTTAAAAAGTCTCATGCCAGTTGCCGAAAACCCTAATTTAGAGATATTCGTGTCACCGTCAGCCTATGGATGTGATCCGCCTCCACCATGAGTTAAAAAAGCATCATGCTAGTTGCCGAGAACCCTAATCAAGAGAAATTTGTGTCCACCAACTTCAGAGCTCTTGGAGGTCACTGCTGAAATTCCACCGCTAGTCTGAAGACAGAGCAAGAATCTGATGCCAATGCATGAGCTTCCCACGCGTTTGAACCATGCCACCACCATTCTCAAATACAAAGCAAAACTCCGAATGCGTTCTGGTCAAAATGCCGAGCTCCCCAGTGCCTCTGAGAACCATGTCATCACCTTTTAGAGACAAAGCCGAGTTCAGAATGAGTTCTAGTCAGAATGCTGAGCTTCCCGGTGCCACTGAAGGATAATGTCACCTGTCGAGTCCAAGCTAAGTCCTGAGGACAAATGTAGAGACTCTCTGGTCAGGTGCAAGAGAGAGTCTGTAGACTGACCTGTCAAGATGATCTGCCCGCCAGCGCTCCAATGCTATGCGCCGCAACCGTCTCAAGGCTGCTGCTGCTGTTGGAGGGAAGTTGCGACAGAGAAGCTTCTGTATGATGTTGGTCTGAGAAGAATGGCGGCGCAGCGGCAGAATGCTGTACCAGAAGAGAGCTTGTATCTCGAATGATGTCCCTTCTGGGCCATGGATGCTGCCCCAGAGCTCTACAGGCCCGGCATTGCGTGCCATGACTGTGATATGCGTTTCTGAGTGTGTGGTGCAGCTTCTAGCAACCATGGAACGTGATCTTTAGCTGAGTGTTCGGTCCGTGGTGCTGCGCCCAGTTGAAGCTAGCTATCAGCTTGGTTGTGAGAGGAGACCACGTTCGTTTTAGGTTGCAGACTGGCTGGACTGAATCAGAGGTTAGAGTCGGACATTTTATTTAGAGTGCTGGTAAACTGCCCGTCCTCCATTTTCATTCGGGGGGGCACCTAGTTTTCAGGATAGGCTGGGAGGTCGTATGCTAGATAATTCCCTTTTTTCAGAGCCGTCCGATGGTGCCCCGGGCACTTTGGACCGGAAGATAGCCCTAAAAAACCAGAGCTCAACCCCCATACAGGGTTGGTGGGCGTATAATATCCACTTATATGAGATTCTGAGGGAGAAAGTCAGCTGAAGAGTGAGTTTAGAGCTCTGTTCAGCCGTGCGATGACTAAAAAAGGTTATCGTGCCGTCCGATGACGTAAAACCAATGAATACAGTGCAAAATAAGCCCTACTTACCTGTGTGATAAGCTCTGCGCATACAATTACAGTACAATCAGAATTTTGCTCGGCTATGGATGGTGTACAATCAGTACCATCGACCGGTGGGCCATGGATTGTACAATACACAATCCGGAATATGGTCATGTCCAAGCCTACTAGCTACCGTAGTAGCTACGTAGGTATAGGCAGAGGGCGCAGCCAAAAAGCTGGCGCGTGCAGCATTGTAAGCGGTAGAATCGTCCTATCCAAACTGCCCACGAGGTCAAAACGACTTGGCTAGGTCCCAGTACGTGCTCAACAAGTTTCCGCCATCGTTGGGTGTCATTTTGACCGGTCCAATACAATGCACCGGCCAAAATTTGGATGGGAAAGTCAGACATAGGGCCACTTCATCCTTGACACCGAGGGATCCACCGGGTGCGTTGATCTGAAAATGGGTGCAAATGGTTGCCAAAAGGCCATATAAGACGTCTGCAAAATTTGATAGACGCGCCCGCGATGGAGCCCATACGGTCTGCTCGCCACTGGGCGCTACATTGGTACCTGTTCTCGCTGGGCGTCTACATCCTCTGGGTATAGCCTATAGCTGTATACTACCGTCGGTGAGACGCAAATCAGCGCGGCCGCACTGCATGGTCACTTTCATTAGAGGAGCTTCATGTTTAGTGAGCCTGCAAGGGACCCCTGAGGAACCCGCTGGAGAGGCCAAAGCTATTATGAAAGGTGGAAGCTTTTATACTTGGACGTTTTAGAAGCTATGAAACTCCTGCATTATTGCATGTCACCGCCCCGCAATGCGATCGGCCGTCAGGTCGATGCCCAGCTGGCAGGACCCAAGTTGAAGCCACAGAAATCTTAAGATCTCAGCATGGCGGCGCGGGCGCAGCTGGCACTTGCTGCCATACTCCTTGCACTCGTCCTGGGGACTTGCCTCAGCCTTTTGACAGCCCCCAGCGCAATGACGAGCGGACTGAGCCATCAACCGACAGCTCCGACTCTTGCTGCCCTGGGCATCAGCTTTTCAAACAGTCAGCGCAACTCAGATAACCATGCTGATGTCACTATGGTGAGCAGCTGGTTTGCAGATGATGCTATTACGGCATGGAGGAACGGGCAGCTGTCGGTGGAGCAGCTCCACTCGGCATTGTCCCTAAGGGACTCGGTCATACCAGCTGCGTTCTCGTGCCATTGGTTGAACAGGACTATCAAAGGTCTTGACAGAAAGGAAGGGGCGCCTTGCTTTTACGTCAGATCTTCTATTCCAGTCATTGGCACGGTAGTGGTGAGGAACCCTGAAATGGTGCGGCGCTTGGTGTACAGCATAGACGTGCCGGTTCAGAGCATAGTCGTCGTTCACAACAGGATTGCTGGGGAAACGGGGGATAGAAATGCGGAAGAAGTGGCGAGTGCCCTTCGCGACCTACAAAGTACGATAGGCGAAAGGTTTCTGAAGGTCATAACCGCTGATTGCAACAGAGGGTGTGCCGGAGGCTGGAACTCTATTTTACACGCCGCTCCGAATGCCCCATGGTGGATCATCGCGAACGACGATGTGGCTTTCAAGCCAGGGGCCCTACGCGATATTCCGGACTTCATCCAAACTGAACCGCAGGCAGCTATGTTCGAACTGGCGGCCTTTCAAACTATTCTTCTAACCAGGCAAGGTGTGCAAACGGTTGGGGTCTTTGACGAGAACATATGGCCCGCCTACCACGAGGATTGTGATTATGCTCTGAGGGTCCTTTTGAGTGGGATGAAGCATATCAGGGAACGTCCTCCTACCTTCCAAGTCATTCACGGGGACCAAGAAACGGGTACGTCGTCGACCCTCACGAGCGGGGCTGATGAAAGCTACGGGACTCGAAATGAGTGTTCACACAACAACAACGCTTACTACTATTCAATGAAGTGGAATGTTTCGGGACATTGCGGAGCAGTGGAGGAAGGCATGTTCCGAACGCCTTTCAACAATCCCGCCCACACTGTGGCTAGTTGGACGTTTGACCCTCTCCTCCGCATACGATCAGAGACGTGTTGGGACCCAAATACGTCCACTGAAAATCGATTAATGGAGAAAGATTATGGTAGAAAGGCTCTTGTTGGGGATGCAGTGGCCACTGCGCACTCTTGGGAGGTGATGAGCTTCTGGCCCAAGGGCTCTACACCTGATGCAAGAACACTTGTTGTTGGCTCTAGAACTTTTTGCACATCACCGGCAGCTTAATCAGCGTTTTGTAACCCATGTGTCTTGTCCATTTCGGACAGTGCTCCTGGACTCGCCCCACATGCATGTATAAGTAACCATCACCGAGGTACCCAGCCGCGTTTATCTTCAACAATCTAGCTAATATAGAGCTATATTTAAGGGCCCGCGAGTGAATGTAATGTGCATGTGCACCGCACATGCTAGCCAAGTAGTACGTGTTACGGTCGAATGTGCACCGGATAACCACGATGACACCGACATTTGTGCACATGGGCCGTTGCGGCCGGCAGGATTGATATAGTAGCCGCTCAGTGGGTCTCCCACATGCATGCCTTATGATCGCATGGCTGATCGCAGCACAACGATGGCCATCTAGATCAGACGGTGTCAATTGAAAATGCATCCTTGCCAGCTAGCACAATGACGGGCATGAAAAATCACTGGATCCGGGTCTAACAGATTACGACTATTTGAAAATGCATTTAGATCCACCTGGAACCTGCTAGCTGGCCCGTGAACCATGGTCGTTGGACTAGCAAGACATGGACATCGCCTGTATGTAAGCCTGGAGCTAGGTTCGAATTTACAGCAACATATGAGCTCGGCCTGCACATGTTGTTTAGATGTAGCACATCATAAGTCCACTGCTTGGTGCATAAAATTCACTCTCACATGTGGCGGCCGACCTTCAGTAGTAGGAAAGACAGGGTAACATCGACGGTTGTGTTCCAAATGTGAGCTAGGGGTGTTTTGTTAGCACACGCCATGAAAAGCTTGAGATGAGCACTTTCATGTACTGCTATCGCGAAGGCCTTCTGGTGTCACCGGGCACATGGTTTGCGCAAGAAGTATTGGTTTAACTGTCTTGATTCCGGAGCTCTTTCTGTCATGTCCGATCCTATGATTGTACTGCTAAGCGAGCTAAGTGGTCAGTGAAAACTTGCAAACTAACATCGTCGGTGAAGATCACCTCCCCTTGACCAAACTGTTGGCTGTTGTGAGTAGCGCTAGGATTCAACTTTGCGAGCAGGAAACGGGCTTGACTACCACCTTGATCGCACTCGATGACTTTCGGGATTGGACACCGGTCCGCAATGAACGCCTCGGCATCTTGAACGGGAGTCTCCAACAACTTCTTGAAGTGTTCGTGCGCCGGATCGTTCTGCAGACGAGTCCAAAGCTTGCCACCATCAGAGGTCTTCTTGGACCTGACGTTGTGCTCTGAAAAGGTCGCGAAATGCACGTAGCAAGAGGCATATATCCAATCGACAGTCTGCCTACAAAGACAAGCCAAGAAGTGGCGCGCTCTCTTTGGGAGCCAGCACTAAAGGGGGCAACTAGCACGGGTCCGTCTCAACCAGCAAACCTCAAAACTCAAGACCACTTTTTGAGGTACACCGTAGCTACGAAACACCCGAACTACAGTACTACAGCTCTTTTCAAGCAACCGGCCAGTTTTCATTAGAGGGGGAAGTCTAAAAGTTAGATAACTAACTTAGTCAAGTCGGGAACCATATAGCGACAACTAAGTTCAACTAACTTTTTAAGATTCCCTGTTTATTTAAAACTGGCAGGTTGCTCGCAAAGAGCTGTAAGACGCACTTGCGCACAGAGTATTTCCGTTTTCACACTGGGCACTCGTCAAGACCTCACCGGCCCAGATCCAAAGCCTATTGTCATTCGCAACATGCTTCGACAAAGTCTGCATAATAGGAAGCAATGCTCGGAAGGAATAGTGAAGAAGAAAACGCGCAGCAAATCGACCCTCACCTGGTAACCTAGTTTCCGCCACTGCGCAATCGTGGCCCCGTAGTGCACCACCACGTTGAAGTACGAGTCGAGCAGCAGAATGCGATCGGGGCCGATGGAGGAAACGTCGAGAAGGACGGGAACCGGGGGCCCGTCGAAGGAGTAGGAGAGCAGCGTGGGCTGGATCATGATGAGGGACCCCAGCACGCCCTCGCGGTTGAGCATCAGCCGGAAGAAGGCGGTCTCGTCGGGGCTGTTGTTGAAGACCTGGAAGAGGGTTCAGGAGAGGGTTGGGAAGGCGTGCCGAGAGGGTGCAGCACTGCCGCTGCTATGTTGAAAGTGCACTAGGAAGGGAGAGTCGAAAGGAGTTCGAAAGAAGCGTTCTTGGTTTGGAAGTTGAGTAGAAGGCGGTCTCGTCGGGGCTGTTGTTGAAGACCTGAATGAAGGTTTCAAAGAAAGTTAGGCCAGAGGTGCCAAGCGAAATAAGGCGTGAGAACTTGGAGTGCCGCGGCTGTTGTAATGGGCTAGAGAGGGTAGGAGAGTCGGAGGTGTTCGCTGCTAAGATCAAAGGGTGCATTTGACCGCTGCTGTTTGAAAGTAGAGAGGGTAGTCAAGGAGGAGACTTTGCATGACAACCTACACGAAGAGCAGCGACTCCAAACATGGGAGCGTGAACGCCGCCAAGTTGGCAGCAGAGTGAGATTTGAGGCCCATTTCACCCCGAGTACCCTACTGATTCTTACCCCCGACGTTTGACATCCAAATGACCCGCATCCCCCCACATAACCCTATTGGTGTCTGACCCTACTTTGACACCCATTTCACCCACATAACCCTACTGGTTTCACCCTAACCCACCTGAAGGAACTGCGAGCGCCGCAGGTGGAACATGAACTGGGGGTAGATGGAGAAGTTGGCGGACAGCCGGAACGAGGCGGCGTCGTCCTTCTGGAACTCCCCGAACTTGGACCCCAGCCGGATGAGCATGCGGTCCAGCCACCGCAGAATGTCGAACGCGTCCTCGTGCTCCGTCTTGAACACGGCGAGCCGCGCCATCAGCACCGCAGCCGCTTCCTGGTCGAACCCGGCCGCAAGCTCCTGAAAAAATTTGAGGTGTTTTGAGTTATGAAAACCGGTTTCTTTTGGGCTCAGACTTGAGTCGGTTTGATGATTAACGTGTTCTCGTGCTCCGTTTCGAACACGGCAAGCCGCACCATCAGCACGGCGGCCGCCTCCTGGTCAAACCCGGCCGCAAGCTCCTGGAAGCAGGGTTTGACCTTTTAAGCTCTGCTAGGTTGCAATTGGGTTCGGAATTGGGTATAAACTTGTCTTTATGCTCTGTCTTGAACACGGCGAGCCGGGCCATCAGCACGGCGGCCGCCTCCTGGTCGACCGCGGCCGCAAGCTGGGGTTTCAGAGTTGGGTTATGCCGTAACTTTGCGTTCGGGTTCAGATATGAAGCAAAGATATGAGAAGAGTTCTGTTCGCAAACCGCTAGGCCAGAAGCACCAGGAGCATTGAAGTGGAGGTGGCCGCAAGCTCCGGGCTGACTGAGAAGGCTCACGATGGAACGTTGAGTCTGGAGAAGGTAAAGGTGAAACTTCAGGATAACGACACTGATCCAAATTCGAAATCAAACAAGCGAGTTGAACGCGACCCATTGCCCCTGCAAATTGTCCTGACCCTCGACCCCTCGACCCAGTTTCGTGTGGTGGTGCAATCACCAGCCCCCCTGAGAAATGCAGAAGAGAAAGGAGGAGCGAAGTTACCAGGCGCAAGAAGTCCCACTTGCGTGTTATCCTGTCCTTCGACCGGATCCGCGGGGTAGAGCCGTTGACCCCGGTTTGTATTTTTAGAATGAGGAACCCCCTTGAGGCTTCAGAAAAGGAAATGGATAAAGCTACCAAATGCCACCAACCACACCTGCGTGCTATCCTGCCCCTCGACCCAGCGCCGAACGGTCGTGCAACTAAACTTGTAGAGATACGAAAAGAAGGGAAGAAGCTAGTGGAAGTACCAAACGCAGGCGGGCTTGCGCGTTGTCCTGCCCCTCGCCCCAGCGCCGAGAGGTGGTGCCTTGAAACCCCAATACAACTTCAAATGAGAAAGAAGTGAGGTTATACATGCACCCAGTCGCATTTGCCTGTTGTTCTCGACACAGCGCCAGGCGGTAATCCCTTCGAACTCCCTTCCAAGAGGGAGGGCAAAATGGTGCATCGAATCCCCCCTGGACGTTCTCAAAAAAGACAGGAAAGAAAGTACCAAACGCAAAAGGCGCACGTGCGTGTTGTCCTGCCCCTCGACCCACCGCCGTGCGGTGGTGCATCGAAGATCCACCAGATTGTGTTCAAAAAGAAAAAGAAGGAACTACCGGATGCAGGCAGCCGCACCTGAGTGTTGTCCTGGCCCTCAACCCAGTGCCGCGTGGTGGTGCATTTAAACCCCCTTGCAATTCCAAAGAGGAAGGGGCGAAATGGTACGTCAGACCACCCCCCAACTTTTTCAGACGAGACAGGAAAGCAACTATCAAACGCAGCAAACGCACCTGCGTGTTGTCCTGCCCCTCGACCCAGCGCCGCGCGGTGGTGCACACCCTGAGGCGCCGCTGCCCGCTCGAGTGCTGGTACTGCGTGACGAACTGGAGGAAGAACACCTGGCCCTCGGGGACCGGGCTCGAGTGCTGGTTCACCACCTGGGGAGGGAGGCGGCGTCACGCTGATGTCAGCGAGCACGAGCTGACGTGAGTGGAAAGGGGCCAAAGCTTGCGAAACGGAGCTTGAAACCAGAGACTGTGGCGCTTAAAGTGAAGTCGATCACTATTGATCGCAAACGACCCGGGAACGGTAGAGTTGGACCCGTAAGGAGTGTCCTCTTGCCAAGCGATGTTGCACATAGGTAAATGGGGAATGATAGACGCGATGATCGGCCTGGTAGGTTGGGACAGGAATCAATACCGACCAGAAAGGGATTTGCTGCCATCAACGCTTGCAGAAGGGTCGTCGGTTTCCATTACGAAGGATAAAAAGCACCTTTGTGCTGCCTGAGCGATGAACCACAAATAAGCAGCTCGTCTACGGTTTTAAGTGAGAAAATTCCAAAGTCGTGCGGCCGAAATAAAAATAAAGCACAAGAGCGAGTAAGTTGTGCGGCCGCACCTCAAAGTAAACCGCGACCGCTGTCTTGGAGTTGAGCGAGCAGATCTTCCACTGGCTCGTGCCCCCAATGCCAATCTCGCCCTCGCCAACGCACGCTGATTTCTTCTTGAGGGACGATACGGGCCCGATCGCGCCGCTGATCTTCACTTCTTTGGTCGTCAAGACCTGCACGAAGGTTTGACAGACGCAATCAGCAGATGCCAGAAAGTTATAAGGACTTTTCGCCAAACACCATTGATGGAACTGGTCAGGAATTCTGCTTCGTGTGCATCCGGAAGCCGCTCTGACGCCTCCGGAGAAAGACTCCCCTCCTCGGCCGTCGCCTTTAACAACGACATTTCTCGTTGAGCAGAGAGGGTGCTCCAACCCCCTTCAAATCTAAGAGACCCCCAACGCGTTGTACGAATCTAAACAGCGGTGAGCGCAGCCCATGCGATCCGCAGCGCTTGCTGGGCTGGAATCGCTTGTCCCGGTGAGGTGACGTCGAGAACCTCCTTGTCCAATCACAACCCGCGTGCCTAACTTTCAGAGGTACATTCACATTTCATTCTTTATTTGTGCAGTTGGATCTCTCAGATCTCACCTCCATGCTGGCGTTGAAGGCCATGTTAAGGTTCCCCTGCTCGTCGCTCTGCAGCATACGCTGCAATGACTTTTTGAAGATTTCATTCGTAAATTCTTCGGCCATCACCATAAGGCCCCCCGTGCTGTCCACCGCGTTCTTCGCCTCCGCCAGCCCAACCTGAACGGGTACAACTGAACGTGCTTAAAACTTGGGTCCACTGACGCCACGTAATGAAGCCCGCGATATTTGTTTGCAGATGATAAGAGGCTGGTCGTTCGAGCAAAGTGCTCTGGATCAAGGCAGCACTTCGTAGAAGACTCGCGCGACTTACTGGAACACCTTCTATGTAAGGAAATGGTTGGAGCCTCCCTTCAGTAGACACTTCGATGACCAGCACCCGTTTCAGACAAGCATAAGGCTTCAGGGGGTTGAGGAGACTACCAGCATTTTTCTTCGAAACGGAATGCTTTGCGAATCAGATGAATGTTTCCAGCCGAGGTAAGAAAACCTCTGAAGTTAATTTATTGTGTTGGGGCGTTCCTAATCCCAAACTCTCCAAGGCTGATTCCAGAAAGAGGTCCGGATCAGTAGATCGTTCCGCCTCGACTTCGACACGCTTGAGCGTTTAGGACCTTGACTGGCAGTAGACCTTCTGGCTTTGCCCCACTATTGCAGACTTCAAGGACTCCAATAACGCGCCCTCACCTGGTCGAGCGAGCACGCAAAGATGTCCAGCACGTGCCCATTATTCACCATCCGTCCCCCGAGCCCGTTGAAATACTTGACCGCCCGCTTGTAGTACATCGTATTGTCCTTCTCGAAGTCCTGATGGCTCCGCATCGGGAAGCTCAGATCCGGGTCCACCACAATCCCTGGCCCGTTCGTGCACGGCCCCGACAGAAACAGCATGATCCGGCTCCCGACGTTCGGGACGGACTTCTCCATCAGCCCGACCGCGACCCCGAGCGCCGCGCCCGTCGACCGCAGCGGCCGGTGGTTCGGCGCCCGGCCCCAGGGGTCCGCGCGGATCTCCTCGAGCGCCGTCGTGAGGGTGTATTCACACTCGGAGATCGGGAGCAGGAAGCGGCCGACGCCGGGGGCGCCGCCGAACGGCGCGGCGGCCGCGGGCGCGCCGCGCGGGGGCTGCTGGGGCGTGGCGAGGGTGATGCCGAGCAGCTGCGCGACCTCGTCGGCGGATACCTCTTTGTCGCCGCGGAAGACGTAGGAGCGCGGGCACTCGGACTCCTTGAGCTCGTGAACCTGTAGATATTCGACCGTTGAAATGAGCGCTACGGGCTTAAAATGTGGGGCAGAAACAATGTAATAGGCTCAGAGCACGGCAGCAAGACACTGCGAACATTGCGGAAAGCGTCCTCATTGCAGGATGTGTGCGAGCAGGACTCTCAGTCTCGTCCTGAAAACAGTCCGTCACTGTGCAAGATCTGACGTTCACGTACGGAAGAGGACCGATTGATTGACGATTCTTTGCACGGTATCAAAATCAGTGGCAATCGGAAATTACGTGCTTTGCCACCGCCACTGATTGAGTCGCCATCGTTGGTGATAAGCAGAGGGTCTCTTGCAAGATACTATTCGTTTTTGCCAAGTTGAGACTTTCTTGCAAGAAAGCATTCGTTACTCCAACAAAGACTCAAGGACCGATCCCCACCTGGACCATCGTCCCAAAGGTGACGAGCCCCACAAGTGCGCTCTCCGGGAGCAGCGACAGCGCCTGCGTAAGGGCGTCCCTCACGCCCTGTAGATCCTCCTCCGGCTGACACGTGTCCACCACAAAGAGGAACGCGGGCGGGCCCGACGGCGGCGTGGCGAGGCCGTACTCTACGGTGCTGTATGTGGAATAGAGTTCTGCCGGGAGGTTCTGTTCGGAGATGCCGTGGTAGTGCTGCGGGAAGTGGTTGCGCTGGTAGCAGAAGGGGCACACCCAGATACGCGCCTGTGAAAATGAAAGTTCCTAAATTTGAGCAATTTGGACGGGGTAGAGTCTGGGGTTAAGATTACAGGGTGCTGCTAGCAAGTAGTACCCAGTTGCATGCCTACAGAAAAAGAAGTGTTGATTGTTGAATATGGCTGGTATTGTTAGCAGAGTGGTACACCCGAATACATCTTAAAATGAAAGGAAGCTTGTACCGGTTGCTTTCTTGCTGAGCTTTGTTGCACCACAGCATGGGCTTCAGACCCCTGTACCATAGCCAATTGAAAGGAAGTAGTGGTAGCCATGCCGAGGCCCATCAAAGTGCCAGCCTGTAATGTTGCAAGAAGAGGAGGCGACAGCTTTATGTAGGTACATCAATGGAGTTCCAGAGCCACGGAAACCAGCTTAGCCACATCTCTGATCCAAGCACGATCAGGTACAACAACGGTCCACCAGACTGCGTACAAGGTTTGCACCCTTTTTGACCAAGTAAAGAACTGAAGCTCTTTGAACAGTTTGAGGACCGCAGCTGAGTTCTCGCTTCACTCAGATTGGCGCGACTTTGACCAGTTTCACACTAGTGCCGATATTTGAGAAGCACAATGTAACCTGGTTCGGTTGAGACGACGGTCGCTACGAGGTACAAGCTCAGATTCACCTGGCAACATCACATATCTTATTGGGGGTGAGTCATTCTGCGGACGCACGCCCCAAGCAAGCCAAGAGTATTTCAGAGAACTTTAAAAAAGGACCATCTCAGAGGGCACCTGCTGTGGATCCAAAGACCAGTGCCTTGCGGAGTTTAGTTTAGCACCCCTGGACCGTGGGGAGTGGTTGACTTGCGTCAATCGGAAGAAGGGCAATTGATGCAATGGCAACATGAGTTTGAGAAGCCAGCTTTAATGCTGCGAGTGTTCTCAATGCAAATGAAAAACCAAAATGATACCTGGTGGGGGGAGACAATAGAACTAGACCTGAAACCCACGATCGCATGGATTGAAGGATGAGTGAATTCAGCTGTTTATTCTAGCAGGCGATCAGTTTGACCACGAAAGGGGCTGAAGGAGTTCAGAAGGGGTATACACGAACAACCTGTGTGCACGGCTGCTGGTATTGTTAAAATTGCAGATACACAAGAATGACCAGAGTTTTACAGGCCAGAGCAAATGCTCAAGTCATCCAGCTGAAATACTCATAGCACAACAGCGGGAATTCTCTGCCGCCTTGCTCTCACCCTTGGAATGTTTCCTTGACGGTCTACTCTAGGTGGTTCCCATCAAGCATTTGCATTCAAATGTGGAAGTGGACAGAATCTACATCAAGCGGATGATTGTGCTTTGTGGAGTCTTCCAACTCCAATTGGCAGACGTTGATCTAATTCTTCTCAATTCTTGAAGTGCTCTGCGGAGGAACCATCCATCATAGATCACCACACAAGGCCCCTACTAGCAAGGCCAAGGAAAACCCTGCAACATGCAAGAATAGGGGGTGTGAAACCGACCCCTCTTTTGTCTCACCTGAAAATCCACCCGACAATATGGGTTGAGCACTGCACTGCAGCCCTTGCAGGTCACGGGCTCATACGGCAGCACCGGCATACCCTCCAGCTTATGCAAGGGAGTTACAATAACGCCGAAGGGGACGACCATTCGCGTGGCCTCTATCCTTGAGGACGGCCATACGTTCCAGGAGAAACGGAGACCATCCAGGGCCTCACTCTCCTGGAAATCCATATTGCGCCCTTCAATCAGCTCCTAGGGCAGCTTCAATCTTAAAAGCCTGAGTGGTGCAGATGCCAGCGAGCTAAGCTTCAACTGCAGAGCAGAGAGCATGTGGAGGCTCTTGTGGCAGAACCTGATCAGGAAAGCTCCGCAGCTGCTGATAGAACACTGGACAGCAATTCCTCCCCTCAAGAACTGCCATCAATTGACAAGCATTCAAGGGACAACACCAATGGCAGCAGACAAGCCAGCAAGCTGAGAAAGCCCTTGCCCTCGCCCTCGCCCTCGTCCTGCAACGTGCAAAATCGGCAGCTGGTGGACCGATGGTCTTACTCTGGCATGGTGCTATGTGATCATTCTTGAAATCATTATATGACTGCATGTTAAGAGCTTGTAAGCAGAGACAATATGGTACATAGCGCGGTGGACAGCCAGGCAAAATTTATCTCCCTATACTTCAATTTCATATTGATTGGCTCACGCTTTGTATCCTGGTTTCCTTGGATACGTCAGTGTCCCCACGTTATAAGCGCTCAAAGAAGTTCGCATATACCCGGGCTGGCTGGTCCTGGGCGGCCGGTTATGATGCATGCACATTGCTGCTCTTGTCTCTCCCAGAGTCAATGACGAGTCGAGAGTTGGAGCGCAAAGGGGAGCACAGTGCTCAGATGAGTCAGAAGGACGCTCAGATCCGACTTTTGTAGGTACCGGTATAGCACTGGCAGCAGTCGACCATCTCTGGGAGAGGTGGAGAGGAGGAGAACGATGTTCAGGCGTTGTCTTTGTGGAGGTTGTTAGTGCCTTGCAAGTGGGACATCGGCGAAGGAGCAAGCGTGTGTGAGTACCCGCTTTGACAACGTCTTTGTGAAGCGTGTGCTTCAACAGTGGTTCTTGAACTTTCTCCTGTACCCGCTTTTCCGTTGACACAATCGCCTCAAAGATATGACAGTAGGTGCAGGCTGTCGCAGTTTCTTGTGTCCGCCCCCTTCTTGTTGCATATTATCATTTTCTGGTTTGATGCCGTGGTCTGTTAGATATGTGTTGCTCAAAGGAGGTCCAAGTTCAACTTGCCGCTGGTATTCCAAGCATTTCTATGTACAGGGCCAACGTGAGTGTTCCAATTTATCTACTAGAGCGCTGTGTTTTGCTGACCTTTGCAAGGTCGAAGACAGGTGTTCCACTTGAGAGGTTTCAGCTCTTGTCAACTTTTGAGCTTTTGAATGTGCTAGGCAGTGTGTTGTGGTAGCAGGTGATGGAGACAAGATCCGCAAAACTATCTGAGAATGCCCCTTTGCAAGGGCATCACATTGAATCGTATAGCATGAAGCACTGATATTGCTGGTGGTGGTTGTCGATTTATGTGCTCCTCCAAGGCAGACATGTGTGAAGTTCCGCTATCTTTCGGCAAACGCTTCCGTCTTTCTTAGCAAAAGGTTTGTCAACGACTACAAATGGCTGGTCCGGCGCAGAGGCCTTGCTTTTCTTTCTCGTGATTCCTGCATCAGAACAGACAGAGTGGAAAGCTCTGCTCAAGCAGTCTGCCATGTTCAGAGCAAAAGACCTGAACATATTGACATGTCCATAACACAGCTCGTTTTGGCACTTTACTTGTGGTCCACCTTTTCACTATCATGTAAGCATTGAAGTTGGCAGACTGCTTACCGCACCTGTAATGTACTTGGAAGTTAGACTCGAAGTCGCAGAGTCACACTCTCACCTTCTGTGTACCCTTTGCAGCCGGAAGGCATGACGATGGCTCCCATGGCGGCTCTGCTGGTCTTCGTCGTCCTGGCAGCCTCCTTCGCTCTGTCCACAGATGCTGAGAGCTGCACAAGAAGTGCCTGCCCCTTGGTTTCGAGAAGCTCTGTGGCGTCTGCGTGGTCGGCAACCCAGCTTCAGAGCAAGGGTTTGCAAGGGGTCTATGGAGAGCACGACGGTTTTGCGCCTGGTGAGAGGAGATGCATGCGCCTGGTTGGTGGGAAGATTGAGAGGTGCAGTCGGCCGGAGCCTTCGGGACGTCAGGTGCAGAGAGAGGACTCTTTGGGGGAAGGGGGCGATGATAGCCAAACTTCGGGGGGAGAAGCCTGGGGGCGAAAGAGGGGCGGAACTTGGAAGGGCAGCAGAACGGTCAGGAAAAGCGGCGGCGTCGGAAAGGAGGGGTGCATGATGCGAGCAGTGATGACCGCGGTGGGGGCGGTGATGCTCTCTCCATGGGGGGGTTCTGGCCGGCACCTACTTCTCGCCCCCCGGGTGCAGGCCGGGGCGTTTCTCTTGGCAGGGCTAACCAGCCTTCCGGCTGCTAGCGGTCTGGAGAGTGGGGACGCACTTTTGCGGAAGGAGGAACTGAAAGCTCCTAGCGTCAGTATACAGCCCCCCTTCTTAGACTGGCAGGAGGTTTACATCTGCGAGCCGGCCGCGATCTCGGTGGAGATCATCAACACCTCGGAAGACTCACCGGTCACGCTCTTCTCAGTCTCCACCGACAACCAGCAGTTCTTCCCGTCGGCCTTCCGCGAGGTTACGGTCCCCCCAGGGGCCAGTGTAAATATTTCCCTCACCTTCTTGCCAGTCAAGAGCGGCAGCGCCGAGGCGACGCTCCTGGTGCAGAGCAGCGCGGGGGGGTTCTTGATCCAGATGCACGGCTGGGGGGTCCCGTCCCACTTGCAAGCCGCCCCCGTCACCGGAAAACGTGTCCTCGTTGGCAAGAGCTTCACGCATTCCCTGGTGCTCCGCAACCCGTACGCAGAGTTGCTTCGGGTGACGGAAGTCTTCACTTCTGACGATTTCCTTCAGCTGACGCTGCCTCAAAAAGGTGGAAAAGGCGTGCAGGGGGGGACCGCGGGCCTGTGGGAGGTCCCCCCCGGTGAGGCGAAGCCGGTGATTGAGATCGAGTTCCAGTCCGCAGGGCCGGGGAAGCACTCGGGGCTGGTACACGTTGCGTACGGGATCGTAAACGGGACGATTGAAGGCACGCTCGTCATCCCGGTTGAGGTGGAAGTCGTTCACGGGGGCCTGTTCACACACGCCAGCGAGTTCGACTTTGGGACGCTCACTGTCCTGGGGGAGCGCAGGGAGCTCCCAATCGTCGTCACCAACCTCGGAGAAAAGCCGGTTGACGTGTTTGACATCTACCTCGAACCCGGAAACGACGGTGTCAGCATCTCCGGCTTTGAGTGGGAGAAGGGCGTGGTTGTTCCTCCCGGGGCGGAGCAGGTCGTCGCGCAAGTGTCCTTTTCCGGGGCGGGGGGTTCGGAGTCAGGGAGCCAGGAGCCCCCCTGGGCGTCGGGGCTTGTGGTTCTCAACTCCAATGCAAGTGTTGGCGCCGGGGCTCACATTGAGATCCCGTATTGGGCGCGCGCAATTTATGGCAGCCTAGGATATGAGCCTGTAAACACTTCGTTTCTAGTTTCCTCGGACGGGAGTGGCTCTGGTGCAGATTGGAAAGGCAAGGCCGTCGTTCAGGAGATTCAGCTCGTCAACAATTTTCCCGTGCCCGTCGCTTTCTACTCGGCGGCGATCCCCGGCGACCCCAACTTCGAGATCGTGTGGCTATCGAGCGGCCACGTGGCAGCCCCCGGCGGGCCGGGCCCCCGGGTAACGCTAACCTTCCGACCAACCCGACCGGATCTTGATTATAGCACGAGCCTGCTCGTGGCCACGAACGTAACCACTCTCCGGGTGCCTATTCGCATCCACGTGGGGAAGCTCCAGTTCTTCACGGTGCCCCGGGGCCGGCAGCTTCTCGTGGAAGTGCATGACCGGCCGGAGGAGATCTTTGTCGGGAAGAAGGTCGACTTCGGCGTCGTCCCGCCGGGAGGGATGCAGCGGCAGCTCTTCGTGGTCGTCAACCCCACCCCGGAGCCGATTCACATCGTCGCCGTCGCGCATCCCGCCCCCCTGACGCTGCTGTACGTCGCCGACCCGCAGCCTGCCGCGCTGTTTCTCACCGTCATGCCCCCCGGGCTGAAGGGGCTGGGGTACTTGTGGGACCACGGGGGTGGCCGTGACAATTTCCTCGAGCAGGCCCCTTCGCTGAGCAGCGTCCAAGACCGGCTGCTGCGCGAGCCGCTAACCCAAAACCCGTTTGCGCTGCCAAGCGGTCACCTCGTAACCGTAGGGCTGGCAATGGTTCCCCCCGCCACAGAGGGGCGCTTTGCGGACGAGATCACCTTCACGACCGGGGGCGGCGGGAAGCTGACGGTCCCCTTCGCGTACGAGGTGCTGAGCGGGGGCTTGACCATTACCGTCGAGCCGGCCGAGATCCGGGCGTTCCCCGGGAAAGTCCAAGAAGCGGTGATTATCGCGGAGAACTCGTTCGATCGCGAGCTGCTGATTTCGAGCCTGGAGTCAGAGGATGCGGGGTTCTTCTCGAGCGCATACCGGCAGTATCTGCAGGTGGGGGTGCCGACGGAAGTGGGGGTGGTCGATATCGACCTGGAGCAGGCGACGGGTACGTACCTCGCCGGAATCCGGTACAAACAGTGGCGGAACAAGGGGGGGTGCAAAGGGCACAACTGCCGGGCGGTGACGCCCGCCCAGCTGGAGGGAGAACTAGAGGAGGTGAAGATGTTTGCCGGGGTGACGACCTCGGTTTGGGGGCCGCAGGTAAGATCGCCATCGGCTCCAGTTGGCAGGGGCTTTTGGTCTTTGCTAAGAAAGACTTGAGCTGCATTATCCTGTGTGGGTTGTGGGTATCCCGTTTTATACGATTGTGCTCTGAAAAAATCAGCGGATACATGTCTGAAATCAGCAGGAGCGGCTTTGAGCTCACTGAAGTGTTATCCTGTGAGTTTTGATTTCCATGAAACCTTGTTTGGAACGGCACGCTTGCTAAACGTTTGACAAAGGCAAGCATCTACAAGGTGGACCTTACTGCTCAATCTGCTGCAGAGGTCTCCCCTTTTGGTCCTCTCAGAGTTTCTTCATCAGAACCTTCTCATGACAGAGCCAATCATGCGGTTTCGCCAACCTTCTCAGTCCGCGCCGCAGCTTTCCCCCTTGCTGTTCTGAGCGCCAAAGTTGTCTTCTTTTGCTCCGCAGGTTTCCGCCCTGCTGTCCCTGACGACCGACCTGGTCAAGGACTACCCGATCCCCATCAACGTGACGCCTATCGTCCCGAGCCTGGTCCCGGGAGAAGACGGCGACTCCGGCGCTTATAAGTCCGGGGACGTCGTATACGAGTTCACCAAGATCCAAGTCGGCACGGTCGCCTACGAGACAATTGACGTGTCGAACCCGTTCGACGAACCCCTCGAAGTGGAAATCGTTCTCGGGGTACGGGAACCCCCACCAAAAGGAAAAGGCGAAGCGGAGGAGAGCTACCTGGATGGCAAGATAACCGAGTGCGGCATGGAAGTGAAGGCGGCGGGGGGGGCGTCGTTTGCGCTGGAAGCGGACGCCGTCGTGCATGCGGTCCTGGCCCCCCGGGAAGAGAAACTCTTTGGCCCGATCGCGCTGCGCCCCACGAAGCGCGGCGTCGAGTCCCACGCGTCTTTGTTCCTGCACAACAATTTGACGCTGCTCGAGGAGATCGAGCTGATTGCGGCGGGGGGTTCGGGCGTGCTCGCGTTCGTGGACGGGGTCACCCCCCTGAAAGAGCTGCGTCTCGAGCTAAACGGTTCGTACCTCGGGTTCGAGCGGGTGCGCGACGGGCGTGGCTGGGCGCTGCCGCCAGGTGGCAAGATGACGTGGCCCGCCGTCGCGTCCCGCACCGTCAAAGCGCACAACGCAGGCGACGTGCGCCTGGAGGTGCTCTCGCTCCAAATGGGGCCCGCGTCGGGCTGCCAGGGTTCAGGGTTTAGCGTCATCCCCTGCCGGCCGTTCGTGCTGGGCCCCGGGGAGGCACGTGACGTCACGTTCTCCTACCGGCCCGACTTCAAGGCCGCTCTGCGACGCCAAGAGCTGAGGGTGACGACGTCAGCGGGTGACGTCAGCGTGGCGCTCGTCGGCCGGGTGCCGAAGCAGCTGCTGCCGCTGTGCTTGGAAGCAGTCCCCCGGTGGGCCATCCCGGCTGCGTATCTTTGGGCGGCGGGGGCCGTTTTCTGCGCCGTGACGTTTGCTTACGGCACGTTCCTCTGGCGAGACTTGTCTGCAAAGAGAGCGGACAGGTTGCGGAAGGAAAGGGTGGGGCAGTCGAGGTCTGCGATTTCAGAGAAGGCCCCCGGAGACGGAGCGACGCATCCGCAACAGAATGGATCTTTTCCGCGGAGTTCATCTGGGGGGTCCCAGGCGCCGGTTCCAAAGTCTGGGTCGAAGTCGTCGCTGGCGGAAGAAAAAGGGGGGGCCGAATCGCCCCAGTCGGGCACCCCCCCGAAGTATGAGGAGGACGGGGAGGAGGGGTGGATTGAGATTGTGCCTTCGAGGGGGCAAGACAAGCAGGGGAAGAAAGGGGGGGGCAAGGCGAAGAAGGGGGGGGAGCTGGCCAAGGGCTTCGAGGTGGTGAGAGTGATTGGAACGGATAAGGAGCAGCAGAAGGGGAAGCCGCAGGAGGAGAAAGCGGGGGCGAAGACCGCGGGCAAGGGGGACGGGAATGGAGCAAAGGCGAAGAAGGGGGCGAGGTCGCAGGTCGCACCGGAGCCGCTGCCAGAGAGTGCGCCAGTCGCATTGCAGGTCAGGGGACGATCTATGCTTTCTGCTTTGCAGCTGCGTCTCGACCATTAAAGACCGATCTGCTACAAGAGGCTGGCTTTTCGGCGAGTCTGTTTCTAGTCGCAGAAGAAACGTTTTTTTAACATGGCTCTTTTGTATTGCTGACGCACATCGTGCTCTGGTGAAGGCTGTTCATGAGAATGGTGCTGTAGTTGGAGTTAGTGAGAGGCGAAGAATGAGCTTCGCTTTTACTGTAGCAATACCAAGCTGTAATGTTTCTTTCGACCTGACCGTTCTACTCTTTTGATCTGGGACTAGGATCTGACCCTTTTAACCCCTTTCTGCCAGGTTCCGGAAGTCACCGACAGCACTCCGCCCACAGAGGCCCCCCCAGCTTCGCCGACCACCGCCGCCCCGGGCCGCAAGAAGAAGAAGAAGCAGCCCACCGAAGCGGCGAACTCCGCTCCCCCCCCCGCATCCGAGGACAAATCCTCGCCCCCCGGGACGCCGACCGCGTCAAACCCGCAGGGCAGCCCTCTGCACAAGAGCGCGGCGGGGAGTTCCTCTCGCGGGGGCCTCTCCATGTTCGCCCGCACCAGTGTTCCTGGGGGGGGAGAGAAGAGTGGGCACCTGAGGAAGGGCAGCCAGGGCAGCGAGAGCGGCGACCCCCCCCAGCCGCACTCCCCCGCCGCCGCGGCGCGGACCCGCCCGCACCGGACTGACGTCATCACGGTGGACTCGACGACCGGGGTGGTCAAGCAGTCGGTCAAGCTGCGGACGGTGAAGGACAGCAACGGAATGATGCGGCGACGGAATTCCGGGGGCGGGCATGAGCGGACGAGCAGCAACACGAGCAGCGGGCGGAGCAGCCCGGCGGGGAGTGGGAACTACGCGGGGATTCTGGACGATATGGACGTGGCGGGGAAGGGATGGTCTGGCGGGGTGAGTGCGACACGGCAGTCTCTGTTTCAAAATTCATTGATTTCCGGCTGTCACCAACTGCCAATCTGCACGATGTAGTCGTCCATCTTGTGTCCTTTGAGGGATCGCAGGGACTATTCAATGGCGACTTCGGCTCTGCGTTCTGGCTTTTCCTGGGAGCGTCATGTTGCATGATCGTCTTCGTTGCTAAAAGCCCGAACGGTTTTTACTTTTCCCAGGATCTTCGGCGGGTTTGGTGTATGTTTTGCAGAACGATTGTTATGAAACATATATACAGCGACTTACCACTTTACGGGTGCTTCGTTCTGCAGGAGTCTCCTCTGCATCCAGTCGGCGGGTCCAGCCCCCAGCACCCCGTTCCCCGCCCCGGTTTCCCGCCCGCCTCGCCCCCCTTCCACCTCCGCAAAACCCAAAGCCCTGCCACGGGCCTACCCTCAAGCGCGTCCCCCCCTCACCGCTCCCTCTACAAACTCCCCTCGTTTGTCGATATTCCCAACGATTCAGTCGTCGAACGAGGCCCCGGAGAAGTTGCTCCACAAACGGGGGCCTGGAGCCGTGCCCGCACAATGCCCCCCGAAAGGACGCGGGACCCGTTCTCCCTGGAGACGATTGGCTCGCGCAGCCTGCACCCCCCCCGCAAGGCGAGCCCGCAAGTGAACACCTACGACATCTGGGGAACGCACTTCGGGCCCATTGGCAGCCGGCCACCTGGCGCGGCAGGATTGGACGAGAGCCTCTCCCCGCGGGGGATCCCCCCGGACCAAGACGGCGACCTCTCCAGCCTCTTCGCCCAAAGCGCGTTCGGCGCAAACCCCATCCGCCCCCCCGGTTCGCAAGCCCCCGGGTCCAACCGCTCGCAAGCGTACCCCAGCCTTTCCCCAGTGAGCTCCCCCCGTTCTGTTCCGGGGGGCACGAACCCCTTCTCCTCGGCTTTCCCCGGCTTCTCCGTCTTCGCGTCCCAGGCCCCCCCTACCGCAAACGCCTCCTTCTCGGACTCGGTCTGGTCTCGCGCGCCGGCCGCGTCCGCCGCCAACGTTCCCTTCGGCGCTCTGAGCCAGGTCGCGCGCTCCCCCCCTGCCAGCACATTCCCCGACGCCCCGAGCACCATCTTCGGCCGCAGCAGCCTTGCCAACTCGACCCCCCGGGCAGCGGACCCCGCAACCCTCTTCCGCGAGTCGTCCCCGAGCTTGTACGCTAACCCACCGCTAACCCGGAACCAACATTCCCGGGACCTGAAGGAAAACCTGGAGCCTCGGGGGGGGTCGTTTGGCGGGGGTTCCGGTTACCGGGGAAGTGCGTATGGGAGCCCCCCGGAGCGCGCGTCCGCGTTTTCCGCTTATTCCAAGCCGTTTGAACCAAGTTCGGGGTCCGTCTTCGGTGCCCGGGCGTTGCCTCCGAGTTCGCTCTGGGGGCCGGACGGAATTGAGGCCCCGCTGGTGTCGCCGAGGCGGCAGGGGCTTGGCGGCGAGGCTTTCAGGAGGGCCCCGGGCAGAGAACTGGGCGCGACGTCATTGGACGCTGGCCGACCATTGCAAGAAGGTTCTGATCCACACACAGGAGCGACCGGGCATAACCACGATGGGAGGGGCCACAAGCTCGAGAAACTAGAATAAGGCCCTGCGTTTCCATTCTCTGCTCGACGACGAAGAGCAGATTCCGAAGCGCAAGCAAGAGATCAGTCAAATCTTGATCACAGCGCGGGTAGAGTGTATTTAAAAGCCTGTACTTAAAATTCGGAAGCAGTGGCCTTGAAGAAAAGTCGAGTTGCTATCTACTAGACAATTGAAAGCATTGGATTTTCTGTTGGACGCCCAGTGTAACGCAAAGAATGCATCAGCAAGTTTTAAAGCCCGTTTGCATGGCCGGGCCGTCTGCATGCAATGGGTAACATTGCTGCATTCTCTGCACTGATATTGAACATGGGCTGCCGGCGCAGCTAGCCCAATCGATTAAAGGAGATCGATCTCTGAGTCCATGCTTACAGTACGTAGGTATGATTGATGCATATTCGAATCTGACTGAGCATGGTGCTATGTACCTCATGGATACATTACAGTTACGCTGGTCGGGGTGACTTATGGTGAACTTGATCAACGGCTAAGTTAGTATGAGAGTCGACCAAAGATATATTGCGCGGACTCATGGTGCGATATACGCCCGCGCTACAGCTTTGCAGAAACCGTCGTGATCTGCACTTATACACTCGGTGAATTGCACATGTGCACCATGTTAGGGTGCGCGTCGACCGAAAAGCTGCAAAAAGCTTTCCAGATTTTCGAGCCAATCAGATGGTTCCGTATGTCCACGTGGTTCGGAAGGTACATACCAGAGCAGTAGTTCGGCCTGAAAAGTATCGTACCTCCAACATGGTGGTGCTACAAAGGCAACACTGGAGGCCAAGTAGGTTTTCGGTCGACTCGCACCCTTATGCATGCATGCAGCCCCGGGACCTCTACTGGAGGCCGAGAGTTGATCCGCTGCTGCAGCACTGCTTGCGCAGAGTCGTACTTGATCCCTGAGAAAAGAACCAGCAACGGCCCTCTCCTTCTCCAATCCATCCTTACATAGGGTAGGAGATTATCGCTCTGGGCGACCCAGCAATCCCGTAAGCGTTTGTAGCGACTCCCTCGCAGCTTGTATTGGTCTTGCAAACTCTCTCCGGACTCGCTTCACCGTTACTCAAAAATTACTCTGCACCGAGTATTCCTGAGAAGCGATCCACAGACATTTGTCTTATGAGTGACTCAGAACTCTTTAAAAGACTTTTGGAATTCTCTGATGGACCTGTGGGCTTTTTCGCGCTTTAGCGACCCTGCTTCTATCAGCATCTCTCTATCGGCCGCCTCGCTAGCCCATTATTCAACATCATCGCCGCTCGCTTCTGAATCTTCCTCCTCAGGTGCTACGGCTGCTTTCTCACTCAGCCAACATAGGGTCACCCAGACCAGATAGACTGTTCCAATCAGAAGTGCGGTGACGATGATCAAGATCGACTCCCCAAAAGCCACATTCAAGTAGACACAAAATCCTTTGGGCTCCCCAACCGGATCCTGCCATCCTGACTCCCCTGCAGGTGACCTCCCGCCGTATGGCTCCCACAATTGCGGGCAACTGGTGTCAAAGTGACCAACGTAGAAGTTAAGCACGCTGGTTTGACACAGGCGCAGAACCAGGTTTCTTCCGTCTGGCCTGGAAGCCAGGAACTGGTTCAGCCCCTGAGAGGGGTCAGGGAGAGCAACCGGGCCCACTCGAGTGTGCCAGGTGTCTCGAACCGTGCACCTTATTGCTCGGGGCGTCGCATGAGCAGCCCAAAGAGCAAAGATAGAAAAGACGGCCACGAAACACATTTTCCAAGGAGGAGAGCCATTCGCTCCGCCAACGTTTCCCGCCTTTCTCCGTCAGAATTTTGGTTTCCATTCCCCTTTTCTGCGTCTGAAATACAAGCCGTCCCTGCCTCAGCCTGCGACGAACTCGAACGTGCCGCAGGCTCCACACTGAAGCTTGTCTTCCCCGGAGAAGGAGCTTCTTCCGGCACATAGCCCACGCACCCTTGGCAGCATAACACCACGAGGAACACTACAATGAATGCCAATACGGAGCTCCAGATTGTGAGGCTGAGAAAGTCCACTAGAGCCAGCCCCTTATGGTCCCACACTGAGGCGCTCTGGTGGTGCGTGTTATAGATTCTTGGGGGGGGTGCCTCGCAGGCGTTATAACCGGGAACTTGCACCTGGTAAAAGTCGTAGCTGGGTCCCGGTGTCAGGGACGCGCACTTAATTACCTGGAGAGACAAAAACAAAGTGATGAATATGCTGGAACAACAGACGCACACCTGATCGCCTGGAGGGGCAGAAACTGAAGTTATGAGTATCCTGAAACCCACCATTGCAAAGCAATCGGAGGAATCAGCACGGACTCTTTGTGGACCAACCTGCAGTCTTTTACATGTGATCTGTGAGACACGGCTACCGATTCAAGTTACTTAAACCCTGGGGGTCGAGTAAACCTCTGAGCAGTCCCCCCATGCCAGGCTCGTGCCAAGCGCTCTTCATACTGGAGAAGCTAGCCGTTAGTCACCGCCAAAGCAGCGAGAATAGTGGTAACTCCCATTTTACCTGGGAGCCATCTCACTAAAGATGTGAGTTATCCGTGCAAACAAACAACAAATCCTAATCAACAGATCACGCGCTCCGCACTCGAGCTCAATCTAATTAACAAACCAACCCTTAGCCCGTCTCCCGGGCGTTTATTCAAAGTTGAACGGTGAAATGGGAGTTACCAGAGTGCAGCGAGAAAAGCGTCGCACTTGCTCACCTGGAGGGGTACTGCCCGGGTTTGTTCACCGAGCGCCGGGTTGGTCCAGTTGGAGGCGTGGCGAGCAGGAACGCGTTCACCAGGGACGGCTCGGGGAGAGAGAGGAAGGGCTCACTGGCGCCTTGGGCTAAAGTGGCGCAGAGGAAACATGCAGAGAGGAGCGCCATCAGCCGACGCTGCTGAGTGACTGGGGGCGCCATCTTGGGAGATGTGTGTGTGCAGCACAGCGCTTCTCTATCGGCCTCAGCTGAATCATTCAGTGAATGCGGACATATTGAAGGTGACTTTTATTGCTAGCTGGAACGTTGCGCACGCGCGGCTGCCACGGCGAGGTTTCAAGCCCGAGCAGGCAGGGCTTCAAGGGTTTAAGCTATGAGGGCGGCCGCGGCCGCCCAGCACTTTAAGATTCGAATCAATGATGATGATGACGCGGCCGTCGCGTCCGGCTGGCGGCACAGGCGGCCGCGCCAGGTAAGCGGCCGCGTCAACTTCGCGAACCGCCCCGACGATGGCCAGAAAATCCACTGTGACTTACTGTAGCATGTCTCGGCAGACTGTGATTACCCTGACAGGTTGATCATAATAGAAAGATCGTGAACAGTAAGCGAGCAATCCTCCGTGCCTACAACTTCGGCGTGAGAGCTCCTGGTACTGTGTTTCGTTGACGTCGCGCTTGTAAGGGGGGCCAGCAGCGACGCTGCGAATACAATAAGTTCATCTGCACTCGTTCAAGCACAAACCAAAGCATGCCTCGAGTGCGAAGGTGGATCCGCAATCGGTTTCGTCAATGCGTCTGCCGTAGGTCTTACGCATTCGATTAGAACGTTATCCCAAAAACAAATAGATTGTGCAGCGCTGTTGGTGTCAAAGGTTTCAAAGATTAGTCTCTCACGTCCACACCAAGCAACAGCTGGCGTCTTCATAAAGACCTGAGCCCGCGAATTGTTCTACTTGCGCTTGAAGAAGGCGTAGGGGGACCGACCGGTCTCCTGACCTCACATGGCGACCATATACTGATCACTCTGCGCTTGTGTCGCCAAGAGGCCCAGGTGGTGGTGACATTACCCGAGCTCTTATACCTGACCGGTGCTGACGTTTCGGGCCGGCCCGGTGTGACGTCCTCTTTAAGGACAAAGAGGACGTGCTCTTCCTTCGCGGCTACTTTCGAAAGGTCACCCTTTTTGCGTCTCCTCTCCCTTGCCATATCGAGAAGCCAGGCACTCTGACAAAATTCATGCCTCGCGGACTAGAGCGTTCAGCTTCAAGCGAGTTACGAGTATGGAGACACGCCCGAAGGCTCACGACGTCCATGAGAACCATGTGAAGAATTAACATCGTGGTTCAGATCGCAAATGCTTTTAGTTGAATCCTCAAAAGCAAGCATTTGACCTGACTCGCAAAGGCACAACGGCAGCTTACTTGCTTTCACAGCCTGCAGTCCTGTTTTGGACATAAGTTAACTGGAAAGAAAGACGGCACTTGTCTTACAATATCAGGGCGGTAGTGAATATGAACGGATTGATTGAGCATGTGAGCACCATATGGAAGGCAAAGGTATTTTCAGAGTTACGATACGGCGCGATTAGCATACAAAATACCCACTCTCCGAAAGCCAGATTCTTTTTAAGTGTACGTGCCGATGGCAAGATCATGAGAACGTGAAATGCACGCGAGCTCAAAGCAAATTAGTCTGCGGAAACTTGCATAGCCCATGTCATACTTTACCGTTATGTACCTTGTTGTAGCACTTTGGTGAATATGAGTCATCATGAATGCAATAGCTGCCCTTTGGTGCTCTCTAAAAGCTGTGCTTTGCAGAATTCTCTCAATTCAGAGCCCTGTCCTGTCTTATTCTGTAACGGCCGACTGTATTGTTTGCCTTTCTAACCCAGCTGACTCTGGGGCCCTTGTTCGACTGATACGTACTTAGGACTTTTGAAATTAGCTACTCAAGTAGTGTGACCTCCTCTTCCAGAACCTTCTATACGGATCTTTATGCACCGGTAGCCCGGGTTCGAGTGAGGAGCTGCCCCACCTTTGCGGGGAAAGCAAGCAGATAAAGAAAGATAACAATAGGTCCGGCACACGAGAGCTTCACATACGAACAAAAGAAACTTTCGATTTTTCTCTCTCGTTCGGAATCCATCGGCCAACGCCCAGCGTACGGATTCCCCAGTTGAGCACGGCTGGTGTTAAGCTGACCCACGTAGAAGTTGAGCGTGTCCGTTTGACACACTTTGAGAGTGAGGTTCCGCGGTCCACCGTTTGCAGTGGTCAGAAACTGGTTCAGCCCCTCAGATGGGTCGGGAAGACCGACCGGGCCATCGAGACCTCTCCAAGTCCTTGAAGTAAAGCATTTGCTTGCCCGGGGTGTGGCCAGCCCGGCCAAAACCGCTGGTATGAAGGCCACCGCGAAAGCTAGTAAGATTCTCTTCGAAAGCATTGTAGGGTTTCCTCGCTCGTCGCGTAAGGCGTCCCAGACAACTTTTTTCCAATCAGTTGCTGGATCTACTGTTTCCGAACCTATCGAAGCATTGCAAGGCGCTTCGGATGAGGATGTGCTCACAGCCTGAAGTTCCACATGCCCTTCACTTGCCTTCTTGACGTCTTGGACAAGGCGGATAATGGAGTAGGGGATACCGAACCCAAGCAGGACAAGAAACGTGATGAAAACCGTAAGACTAACAAACGCAACAAGAAATGTCGTCACTGGGTGGCCCCAGACCTTATACTCCTGGTGGTGCGTGGAAAAAACTCTAGGGGGGGGTCTCTCGCAGGCTTGGGTGGGAGGCTGAATCTGGTAAAAGTCGTAGCTAAGCCCCCCTGGCGGCGTGAGAGACGCGCATTTGATCACCTGGAGAGGCGCCGGTCCAGTCTGCCCCGGGGTTTGTTCACCGAGCACAGGGTTTGTCCAGTTGGAGGCGTTGGCAAGCAGGAACGCGTTCAGGGATGGCTCGGGGACAGCCAAGCAGCCCTCGCTGGCGCCTTGACCAAATTGGGGAGCGTAGCTGATTAGGAGAAAAAGCAGCCAGCTTAGGTACGACATGAAGGACAAAAGAGGCACCATAGCGTGCGGTAGCGCCAACGTTGGGAGTTCCTGCCTTGATTATCTTGAGGAGCCTTTTTAGGGGTATTTCTCGATCCAGTGAACAGCAAGCCCAGTGAACAGTAAGCATTTTGGGGTTACTAAAAACCCTAACCTAGAAGATCACCCGCTCCGCACCCGTACCCACCCTAACCCCCTGACTAACCCTACCCGTCTCCGTTACTGTTCACCGGCTGTTACTGTTCACTACATCGATCGGGATTTTTTAGGGGAGTTTGTCCGTACTTCCAGAGGCGGCCGTTCAGTCCAAAGCGCCCGGCTCTCGCGTGCTGAGCGGCCGCGGCCGCGCCACTGCCGGGCAGGTTCAGGGTTTGGGAAATGGTTCCCCGGACTTCGCTGCGCGCCTAACCCGCGGCCGCCGCGCCATGGCGAGGACGGCCAGTACCAAAAACGAAACAGGCCGATCTGAGAGCCCGTTCTAAACTCTCCGCAGGTGAATCACGCAAAGACAGCGCAGCCAAAACGCGCTATTCAAGTTTCTGACATCCACCTGCTTGAGGATCCGCGAAAGTAGCGAGTTTCTACTATGTATGCCGACGCAATCTTATCTTTGCGAAGCTCCGTCCCCCCGCGAATCACCGCGGGTGGAGAAATAGAAAACTTGGTGCACATTGATGATCTTCGTCCAAGTACGTTGCCTTTCACCTGATCTCGAGCAATCAAACTGTTTCGGAGAATCCGAAGCAGTAGCCCAAAACCAGTCAAACAAGCTGCTCACAATATCCTTCGACAAGTCAGAAAGAAATATCAATTTGTCTTACCGCGGAGAAGCCCAAATGCTCTCAAAAAAGAAGGCTGTCTCGGGGCCGCTTCCACCGACTTTCACTGTCGCACTTTGCTCCTTGACTTAGCAATGCTTTACGGAGAAGGTTTACGGCGCATAATTAGTACATGATGAAGGACACGGTTAAAGGCTCACGATACGCACAGAAACATTGTAGAGATCTACGCTCGTGCTTCTACTGGAACTGCTCATGGGCTGGATTAGGTTCAAGCGTTCATTCTGCAAACTCAGCACGACAGCCGACTCCTTTCGATTGAATCACAACCCATTCTTTCATTACGGTTCCTGTCTGGGCTATGAAGATGATAGTGGCATTGTTCATGGCGCCGTTGGCAGTCTCAGTAATCAAAGGACTACTCTAATTCCGTTACAACTTGTGAGACATACGTGTGAACTGAGAAGCCCAGACTTCTGAATACATGCGAGCACGCACATCACTCGCGAAATGCATTGTCCATTTATTTTACGTAACCAGGCCCGTTTCAGGCGGTGCAGATGTTCATTTTCATAGGATCTTTTACAGGAGCCCGAGTCGCATATACTTTCTGGATGAGTTGTTGCCTTCATGCGTCCTTTGCAAGACTAAATTCTGATCCTGAGAGATCATTTTAAGCTCCCGTCTCATCTCTTTATCTTTGACGAGTGGACTGCACTTTCGAACTTCTGTCTCATAACGTTGAACTAAAGCGAGACCCTTGTTGACTGATACTATCAAAGAGAACTCTTTTAAACTTGGACCTTGCTAATCAGCTGTGCGCATTCTCGGCTCCCCTTTCCAGGTCCGTCTCGGCGGAAGCACCATGAGCCCGGTTTAAAAGACTCCGGGGCTTCGCCATTTTATGATAAGAATCGAAGCTACAAATGCCAGGACAAAGGGAGTCTCATCGCGCGAGAGCGTCACGTAGTTACGAAAGGAACTTACAATATCTCCTTCCCGCTCGTACTCAATTGGCCAACGTCCACCGTACGGGTCTCCCAACTGAGCACAGCTGGTGTCAAGCTGGCCCACATAAAAGTTGAGGGTCGCCGTTTGACACGGTTTCAGACTAACGCTCTGCAGTCCAACGTTCTGTCCGACGTCCAGTCCCATGTTTGCAGATTGCAAAAACTGGTTCAGCCCCTCAGATGGGTCGGGGAGACCAACCGGGCCGTCGAGGGCAGTCCAAGTCCTTGAGGTGAAGCATTCTCTCGCAGGGCGTGTGAACCGCGCAGCCAGAATAGCGGGAACAAGCGTCGCGGCGAACCCCAGTAGGAGAATCTTCCGGAGCGGTGTAGGTTTTACATGCTCGTCGCCGCATAGATCCCTCTCCCCTCCAGTCTCCAAAGCTGATGAGTCCCCCGCTGAACAAGCACCGGCAGGCTCTTTGCTGACGGGTTGAAGCTCCACATGCCGAGCTTCGTTAACGGTGTCGTGAACCACGAAATATATGATGTATGGTATGGCCAATCCAACCACGACAAGAAACGAGCTGAACATCGTGAGACAAAAGAACGCAAGCAGGGATGTCGTCACAGGGTGGCCCCAAACCTCATACTCCTGGTGGTGCGTGGAAAACACTCTTGGGGGGGGTCTTTCGCAGGCGTAGCTGGGGGGCTGAACCTGATAAAGGTAATAGCTAAGCCCCCCCGGGGGCGTGAGAGACGCGCATTTGATCACCTGAAGAGGCGCCACTCCATTTTGCCTCGGGTTTTGTTTACCGAGCACCGGGTTTGTCCAGTTTGAGCAGTTGGCCAGCAGGAACTCGTTCACCAGGGTTGGCTCGGGGAGACACAGGAAGGGCTCGCTGGCGCCTTGAGCACCTAAGATTGTGCTGCAGGCTATGAAAACGAGCCATGTAGAGAGCTTGAGCGTCGCCATGGGGTGCTGAACGAAAGAAGCCGCCAGCTCTTTTGCTGCAAATATTCGCCTGTGCTCTGGATTGATAAATGGCGGTCCGCCGAGGCGTCACGTGGACGCGGCCGCGGCGCGCGTACCTAGGCGCGCCACGCGGCCGCGACCTGCGACCCGCGACCTGCCCGCAAGTGTGCACGCGCTTGCGGACTGCTAAGTGGACCGGCGCCAGGCACGTGACGCGGCCGGTTGCGGAGGGACGCTGTCCGTCTGGACAGAAAAACACTGGAGCGCCGCCGGATTAGGGATCCAAGCCGGAGGGTCGACCGTAATACCACGCTTGGGGAGTTCATGGGATTCGAGATTAGACTCAGCTCTCGACAAGCCCACAAACGGCTGCTGCATTGAAATTGCCTATCGCTTGGCATATCACTGAAGCATTCTACTCAAACATGAAGTGAGAAATAAGCCTGGGCTTGGCGCCGTCTGCCCAGGATCTTTGGGGGGCAGTTTAAAGTCGATTTGCTTGTATGGACGAGCATGGAGCTTTCCTTTCGCCGATCTTCCGAAGAGTCTCGTTGCCCCATCATCGGGATCCTGATTCCGGTGCTGAACAATGACTGCTAGTCGCGAAAGTCCTCCATGTTCAAATAGTCCAACGAAGTGCCACGTCATGTGCCAACATGCAATATTCATGTCCATGACTTATAATCGCGATCGGGTGATAATTGCTGCGACCTTCGAGAAAGAAGTATATATGTGTGTGTTTGAGAGTGCATTCCAAGGATCACAAGGATCCAAATGTGATCATACGCACTTATGCTTGTAAGTTTTGAGGATCGAGTTACTACCTAGTACCGTCCGCCAGATAAACACATGATTCTTCGAATCCCGATCCCCTGTTCTGACCACCTTGGACCCGCGTTACCGCGTCGTACACAATGTGGCAAGAAGATTCATTGTCGTGACCTAGCAAGATAGATGTGCCCATTTCTACTTCGAGTGAAGAGTTGAGCCCTAGACTAAACAGCTCTAAGTTTGACAAGTCCAGGCCTGCGTGTGCAGCTGCTCTATGCAGGTTTTGCGCCACTTGCCCGGCTTTCTTTGGCACTCGGTTAATATCACTCAGTTAATAAAGAGGCTCTTTAAAAACTAGCTCAAAACTACGTGTTAGCAAGGTCTATCGGGAGGTTAACAGTCAATCCGACACAAAGTCACTAGCCCACGGGCCACAGTTCTGCTATTGGCTCTCAGGCGGAAGTGGGTTCGACGCCCTTCAACGTGAGCTTCAGATAGGCGTCAGAGAAGGCCTTGAAGAACGCCTGCTTGTCGTTAGCAAACCTGCAAAATGAACACTTGGGTTACCCGTGACCTTCTTCTAAACGCGCAGCCTTTTTGCGCAAACTGAACAAAAGTGTCCATGGAAGTTTTTGGCCAGACGGAATCGACGTGCGGTACAGTGTTCCGCATGCCAACATCCGTAGATCCGCAACAGAAAAACGGGTCAGTATGGGTACATCTAAACTGCCTGCTACAGGGTATCGAGTCAGAAGATCTGCAAAAGGTGGCCGTCCGTTTACCGTCATGTGCCCCAACCGTAACTAACGAACTTCCGAGGCACAAAACCTCGAGGGACGGAACCATCCTTTTCTTTCCGCACGCTTGATCCTGGAAAGGAGTCGTTGCAGAAAAAGAAACGGTGATCTTACTTGACAACGTACGCCTTGGTCTCCGGATCGGTCACGAGCGCATTATCGCTGGGGAAGAACCCAAGCGGCTTCTCCGGATTCAACAGGAGCTGCAAGCATAAAGACAGGGCTTACCTCGGAAAGAGGAGTTAACTCGCGAGTGTTCAACTAAACTGAAGAGCCGGTTCAAAATGTCCAATTTGATTCCGAGAAATTTGTCTTGCTAAGCTTTTGGAATGCAACCTCTGAACAATGCCGAATGGCCGCTGAGAAACAGCCAATACTTTTCGCTATTACGAGCGTCGTAAAGGTAGGAGGCGAGAATGTTAAGAGCCAGCATTGCCAGCGACTCCCCTCTTGTCTCGGTGACTTAAGCCGTTACTAAACCTGACACGCTATTTTCCGTTTATGGATGTTGTAAGGGGACACTGGAAGTCTGGCGCAGAGGCAGAGTGCAGGAGCGAAGCCGTCCAAAGCTCGGAACAACTCAAGCAGACGGCAGAGACTTTCCTCAATGTGGGAGGAGAAATTAGGCGTAGGATGACGATCGTCCATGTCGGCTGACGGGGCGAGCTTTCATGTGAGTTCGCGAGACTTACAAACCGATGAGGATCAACGGGTACAGACACCAAGAAGACTTGACCGATCTTTAGACTCGCTCAGGTCAAGGCCCCTGTAAGAATTCCGGTTTTCTTCTGGTAGATAGTGGGAAGTGGGAAGCGAGAAGTGGGAAAGCCGGAAGCGGAAAGGGAAAAAGGACAGAGAAGCGGAGAGCCGAAAGCAGAACGCAAACATGGGGAGCGAGAGGCGAAAGCAGGAAGCGGGTGACAGGGAGCGGAACGCGAAGAGCGGAAAAGGACGAACGCAGCGGAAAGAGCAAAAGCAGAGGTGAAAGGGGGAGAGCGGACCGAAAAAAGCGGACAGAGATTAACGGGCAAGGCAGCAATCGGGAACAGCAGGAGAGTTACAGCAGAAAGCAGGACAGGAAAGGTGCGGTTCTCTGCATTCAGAAACTCACTTGGAAATACTTGGTGTCGAAAGTATTGGGCGAAATGATGTCGAGGGGCAGGCCGACCGGGGGGTGCGTCCTACGCAAAGCCACGGGTGTGAATTGCCTCGCAGCTAGTTGTAAGCCCAATTCTCTTGGTCTCGAGTTAAAAGCGTCGGCTTTGTCGCGTCTCCTTCTTCGGCACTTGCAACTAGACACTTCTTAGCTGTGGCGGCAGATAATCGGACACAACTATGACCGCCCTACAAGAGATTACTCAGCGGACCGATGATCAGGCACAGAACAAAATCATTTTTATCCAGGCCTGGTTCGGCATTGGTTAACCTTCTACCGCGGTTTTGACCGGTGCTCAAACAGTCGTTAACCAGATTTGGTCAAAAGCAACACCATTCTGTGACGTTCGGTGCAGAGCAGTCGTCCCTGTGTCCTCACCTTGAAATGCCGATTGTGTGCGCTCCAGAGAGCGCCACCAAGTCTTGCACCGAGTAGCCTGCAAACAGTCAGACCTTGCATGTCGACTGAGCTTGAGCAGAAAGTCCTAGCGAAGCAAGAGTTTGGAAAGACAGTGTTTTAACTGGACGACAAGGCTCACGCGGCCAGAGTCGATTGTGTTTTCGCCAGCCGGTACTGGAGCCGCTCGAGGCCCCCGAAAGAAGGAGGGAACTTGTGTAGCTATCTGTTCAACGTCTCAGCAGACAGCAGACTACGCTCTCCAAAACGTTCTCGGGCATCGAGTTACAACGTCGGGAAAAAGGGTGCGTTTCCCTTCGTTCCTCAACACAGGTTTGGGGAGAAAGGTTACGATGCAGTGGAGAGCGATGCAAGCGTTTTGATCAACAGCCCGAACTTACCGTTGTCAGCAAAGAGCTTCTTGAGGCCGTCAGCGGTCAAAGTCTCAGAGGGAAGCATGCCAGGCGGGTCGGCTACGGTGACGTCAGGGCGGCCTGAGTCGTCAGCAAAAAGCATACGTCATGTCAGTTTCTGAGCCGGCTATTTGTCTCGGTGGACTCTCGAGCCCAAATGATCAGTCGTTAGCTGACATCAGCAGCATTTAGCAGGTAGAGCGATAAGAGCCTAAAGCTCTAAAGCTGGCACTGGATGAGAAGTCTCCCGCAGAATTGCTGCCGACTCTGACAAGGTAGGATCGCACTTGACACTTCGAGCTTGCACAACATAGCGCTTGGCCCTCCCTGATTGTGCTGGTGACAAGCAAACTTCTTACACCCGCCAGCGAGCGCCCCTGTTCTAAATGCAGATTACAGTGACAAGGTTTCTGCGTTTTCTTACCAACGGGTATCTTGATGTCTGGGCCGCCAGTCACCTTCACGGAGCGGGCTCCCGCCAGAGCGACGAGGTCCGCAAACTGCGAACAAGTGAGCATCGGTCAGACGTTTAAATAATGCTCGACGACGGTTCCCCGATTTTCGTGGGCCTTCACAGTCCTGCGGAAGCGAACTGCGGGGAACAACCTAGCCGGGTGTGGCTGAAGCTTCAAGTGAGCGTTAGAAATGGTCGGGAAACGTTTTCAAGCCCTTCATTCTGGTGTCGAGCAGACGAAACGTCTGCTCGGGACGGACAGACTGCTAGACGACGAAGCAGCATCAGCTGATTCTTTGCTTCGAATGACGCTTCGATCCAGGGAAGGAATTTCGTTTTGATGACTGAGCCCCATTACGTACCCCGATCGGAACAGGCGACTGTGCATCAATCTTCTTCTTGATGCGCTTCATGAGGTTCACCCCAAACAGGAGGCCCCCGTTGGCGGACTGGCTGGTCTCAAATGCAATGGAGCCGTTGGCGCCGCCGGTTCCAAGCCGACCGTTGAAAGTTCCGCTCTGGAAAAGACATGGTTGGCTTTTAGCAAGTTCTTTCAGGTGTGATGAAACTCCTATTTCAAATAACTTAAAGCTCTTATGATGAGAACAATGGAAACCAGAGGCGGCTAGGACACAGGTTCGAAGGTGAATAACGGTCCTCCTTACAGCCTGAGCACCAAATCAAAGCTCTTAAGTATTTGAGAGGGTTATAGTACCTCGAAGTTGGACGCCAGAGTGCATTGCAAGCATAAAGAGGAAAATCTCAGGAATCCTCCCAAGCAGACAGTGACAAGCAAGAACCTTTAGCATGCATGCGTTCGCAAAGACAAGAGCTCATCCAACAGCGTTGAGTTATGTTTAAGAACTGACGACGATTGGTAAGGGGCACACCATCTTAAATTAGGTTAGCTGTTAGGAGCTAACCAAAGGTCATAACCGGATGGCATGGCCAGGCTCTCACATCGTGGAAGGCCAGCCTGAGCAGGTTGCCAGCATTCTTGAAGCTGATTGCCTGCAAGGGAGATAAGACAAGGCTCAGGGCTTTCGTTGCCCTGAGTTTCCTGGTACTCAGACTGGTTTCCGGAATAATATACCAAGTCAACTGAGTGTGGTCTGGAATGGTTCAGACAGTGCATATAGCCAGTGTTCTGAACACTTCAGCACTTAGGTGCATGGGGTCAAGAAGTACACAAACAGAGGACTTTGATTACCTCGTTTGAGGATGTCTTCAGCAGAGCAGAGGGCTTTCACGAGCACTTGTTTGTAGACAATGAAACAGTTGCTCAGAACCGGAGGGGAAGGATCTTCTGAACTTCATCCTAGAACAAATCTGGGCAGCTCAAACTTGGCTGACAAACACTTGTGGGGTTGAGAGAAGCAGCTGGAGAAAAAGCGTCTGACCTGATCCAGTTCCTTAACAGTTATGGCCAGAACCTCTGCACCATAGAACGGCACACACAGAAAGCTGGTTAAAAGTTGGTCAGCCCGTGCAGCTTTTATTAAAGCAACTTCAAGACGAGGTAACTTGACCTTGCTTGGAACAACAAGTGCAACCGACCACTCAACTGCGAGCTCTTCTAGGCACTACTCTTTCAAACTGCTCGATATCAAGGATGCTGGACGCTGGCTGAGGCCTGCCTTCAGAAGATACACAGAGATCGCCTCTACCAAACAGCAAAATTCAGAGAGAGAGCTTACCGGCAGTCTGCTTGGCATCCCCATATTTGTTGGGGTCTAAACCGGGGAGTGCTGGGGCGCTGGCGAAAGCGGGCAGGGCTCCAAACACAGGCTCCAAAACGGAAAGCCCGACTCCAGTTGCAACGGATGTGAAAAGGCTTCTCCTTGACACTCCTGTGAAGAAGTAGACTACTTTACCAATCAGGTTCCCATATTCTGACTGATACGTTGCATTAAGATCAACCTATCACAAGTTTTGACAAATGGCCAGCTGCTCTTCAAGGGAAGGTTTTGCTCCTAACCAGGACTGACCTACCAGCCCTTGACCAGCTTCATCAGGTGAAAGGGCATGTAACCGATGTCTAACAAGGCTTGGTCGACAATTGTTTTCTCCTGCTCTTACAACCCCCGTCAGTATTGCATAGAGTCGCATACCACAATTGGTGTCTAAAAGTACTTCCAAATTGACACGAGCATGCGGTTTGATGCGCAATGTATCCGATGATGGCGCATTATGTGAATCAGTCTCCTCTCTTTCCTTGTAACAAAACAGTGGAATGTTTGCTGGGCAGGATTTGTGATCCAGAGAATCCAATCATGAGACGCTCACATTTGAGCACAGGGACTATCGCTTTTGCCAAAGCCCTGCACCTTTATCTTCGCTCTGATGGCAGAACATGGTTTAAAAACAAATCACCAGCAATCCAAGTTATTGCTGGACAACTTGGACAAAGTGCTTATAAAAGTTGGATGAAGACAGAACATGTGATTCCTTTTTATGCAGGCCCCTGGCTTATCTGCTGATTCCTGAGGGATCCCCCAGCAATGCATTGTAATAGGACTGCATTAAAACCCGTCAATTTGGTGACCAGTCGCACCCTCTTTCCCAACTCTAAGAAACTGAAATCGGGCACCGGCATGTTTCGCTTGCATTCGCTACATTGAATGTTAAGTACAATTAGATGTGGCCAATCAGTTGCTGCGCTGTACAGGTACCTCTACCAGCTACTGTTGGCCCGTTTGAAAAATCAAGCAGCTTGAAAGCAATGCAAGCAGGCACATAATGTAGGGCCCAAGTGTTCCACTCAGCTCGACTCAAGATGTCACAACTGCCACAAATGAATGCTGCTTCAACCACACATATAACTCTGGGATACTGTGATCAAACTAGAAAACTGAGAAGCTTCCCTGCTTGACATACCTGTTCCATGAGCAGGGACGTCTTTTTCTGCATCAAGGCGTCGTGCATTGATCTTCATGTGCCGTCTGGCAGGCACTCTTTGGGCCGGAACCACCAGCGCAGATGCTGCCACAGGTTCACAATGGAACCTCGTTGCCGCAGATGAAAGCCTGGCTGCACCAGGTGCCGGCTGGATGAGGAATGAGCTCGACGCCATTGCTGGCTTAAGTATTCTGACGGCAGAGCAGCTCCTGTCTCTCCTGTTCCGCCTCTGAAAAATGTGCAGCGGTTGAAAGATCAGCGGCGCGAATCAGTCTCGTCTTTGTCAGTATGACAATTGCAATGCCAATTGATTATCTGCATCCACCCTCTCTAAAGATGTAAAGAGGGCTCTTTTGCACTGCCGCCATTAATAATGCCGCCTGGGAGTCAACGAGCTGCATAATGCACTGTGCACAAATACATGTTAGTACGTATACGGTATAGTCTACCGTAGTAGTGGATACCGGTAGTGTAAGCGACGCGGCGTTCGCGGCATTCCGTCATTGCGCCGCCCCACGTACGTCAGCTCGACGGAAACCCAAACCTCGCTTGTCGCGGAGCCGGCCAAGGCGGCCGCCGGCGCGCGAGGCCGCTCGCGGTGGAGCACAGAACTTGCAGCTGGGTGACACGCTTGTGTAAGTAAGCTTACACGCAGGGTTCTGAGATCCAACACTTCACAGGGCACTTGAGTGAGGCAAAGAACAAATTCTATTAAGAACACAGAAGAAGACTGCCGAGGAGGCAAGCTGCGCCAGTCTTCCTCAAATAGCAGCACAACGTCTGCAGCGCTGATTGACGTCGTCGTGCGAAGCAAGATCAAAGATGGCTGCGAGAACCGGACAATCTGCGTTCGCAGCCACGCTGTGCATGTGGATCCTTCTCCTGAGTTTTGATAAACGTGTCTGGAGCCAGCGAGGAATTCTTGTCCCTCCCCGAGCCGTCGCTAGTGACATGCACAAGGCTCTTCTGATGAGAAGCGCGCTCTGTTGCGACCACACAATTCTGGATGCTCCCCACCGTGTCTAGCCAGAACTCGTTCGTTGCCTCTCAAGGAGTCACAGGGCAGTTTCGAGAACAGATTGCCTGCAGCATGTCAAAGTAGTCCGTTTACACTTTCACAGTACGTTGTGCTTCTCGCTTTCTCGAAGGTTGTCCATATCAGTATATTTTTGAGCGTGTTGCGGCACTCTCAAATCTGCACGGGCCAGACACATACTGTGAGCATAATCACTAGACATGAGCTCATTGACCGACGTATCATCCATTTCATCATCGCCCAACGTGCAGCCTGCACGCCATTTTCCGGGAGCAAAGTGTCTTAAGCTTGCGGGGCCCACTGAGCGCATCCAAATGATTGATTGCCTTGGCTGGCACTCCGTTACTCAGGCAGCTATTCTGAGTGGTTTACGCGAGTCGCCTGAAGTCTGCAATGATCATCTCAATCAGTTGTGACCGAACCACATATGTCGAACTGAGAGCGGCCAATCGAGCAATCGAGCTCAAGAACATATCCTGGCTCATGGGCAGAATGAAGTACAATCTGCGTGCGCAATGAGAACTATCGACCGTGTCTTGTTGAGAGCAAGCGGCAGAAAATCGGCATCAGCCACTCGGCAATCTTTCCATCTTCTTCATACGTCCAATTTGGTAACTTACAAATCGCAGCTTCGCACGGGAGATAGCTTGGCCGTAGCTGTGCACACGACAGATGGCGCTGATGGGCGACATAAGAGCTATCTTCAACGCTTTGAAGACGATTTTAAGCTCGAGCATGAAGACATGAAGTCACATCCCTAATGGGAACGTGTATGTTTTCAAGCTCTCCTCTGTGGCAGCACGTTTCACAAGTACATGTGTCACATTTTGTATCGAGAACCAGTGTTTCTCCGTGGACCCCTACGACCATGGCCGGTCAAGCGAACTGTCCCCGAAGGGCAGCATCGAAAATCCAGATTAGAGCGGCATCTCCTGGAAAGTTTAGAATGAGGAAATATGTATCATGAGCATTCACCACTCCCCGTCAGTTGTTTTACCCTCTTGTCCCCATGTAGATATCGGCGTAATAGAAGGGCATTTAACCAGAACTAAGCATCCCGGAATGTCTGGAATGTTGTTTGACGGCAGTAAGGCATGCGAAAGTTCACAATACGAAAAATAATCTGAAGAGAGCATCATGTCTGACTCTCCGGGATATGCACCATCGTGAGTAGTCTCAAACGCCCCTGTTCGATCATGAATTGGTCCGTAATTCGTCGAACACGATAACGGACACACGTGCAGAACTCCAGATGTCAATAAAAATGATATCTATTTGGTTAGAACGGCTTCGCACCGAGCTGCTTTTGACCAGCGGTGGCAAAACGTGCCTAGTTGGACAACTCTACGGTTTTAAGGGAATGCCTTTTCCAGAGTCTAAACGCTTAACCGGGATCTCAGTTCCAGCTTTTAAGCTAATTACTTCTAGACTATTTTAGAAGATGATTTACTACTTGAAAGTAGTCCACTTTTATGATTGACTCGGACGGTATTTTCTTGTAAACTTTTGGCAGACTAGCTTAGTCTACACCCGATCGCCAAAGACAGGAGGTCTCGCATCATACAAAATTAGTTTATCACGGTCCCCAGGTCGAAACCTACCCTCTTTCGTTGTTCGGAAGCAGCTATATACACCCACTTACACTAACGCGTACGGGCCCTGATCTTGAATCTCATAACACCCCAAATGAAGTTCTGAACAAAGATAGCAGGCTAAGCACTGCGCTTGCCGCTGATCCACGCCGTCTAGAAAACCTTTCCCTTCTGCTTTCGTTTCTGGTTCCCTTTCTGCTTGTTTCGGCTCGGCCCTTGGTTGGTAGAGATCCGACAGCGGCCTCCCTCCTCTCCCAAGTCCGAGGACGTCACGGATGACGCCAGACGTGGCGCAAGCTTTGTCTGCCCGCGCGCAAGCTCGGCCCTTGTGGGGCGTAGCAGGTATCCGTCGAGCCATCTGACGTCACAATCGAGGTGCGCCTTATGCCTGTGATAAACAAGAGGGGGACGTGAATCAAACCAAACCGATCCCGTCAAAAGGGGAAGAATGTGGTGAAAGGTGACCCAATCAGCGCCGCCCGGTTAAGAAGCCCAAAATAGCGTGACCACTTGATTACAATCAAATACATCGTCAAGCGAGTCAGAAGCAGCGCGCCAGGAAAGATGAGCGTCGATAAAGCGAACGTACTTAAGCAGAACCGGTCCGAGCAGAAGGAATTAGGAGACCCATTTGAGTACACTTAAACCAGAGCTGAGTTGAACCGGGCAAGATCATTGCAGTAGAGATCCTGATGGCCTCAACGCTAGTCGTCGATCGGGGGACCCAACGTGCGCGCGTGATCGACTCTTCACCATCTGTCAGATCCACGGTTGAGATACAGAGTATCCTCCGTTCCAAAAAGCAGAGGTGGTCTACCTGGGGTTGAAGAAGGGGAGCAGCCGCGCCAGCTCCTCTTCAATGTCGAGCGTTTCATCCAGCTCGTCCGTTTCGTCGCTGCCCGCTTTCAAAGCGCGGATGCACGCGCGCAGCGCTTCCAGGAAGTGCTCGCTCTTGACCTGCGAATTAGGCGTGGCAGAAGGGCTTATATTCCTGGCTAGTTCCAGGAAGTACTTGCTCTTGACCATGCGTTACAAAAGGGCTCGTGTTTTCTGGCTCGCACTTGACCTGCGCAACAAGGCATTGCAAGAGGGCTGGTATTCTTTCTTTCAAGTTCTCAATAACCAAAGCCACTGCTTGTACTGGCTAATAGCCCACAAATGTTGATTCATTCGTTGTTTTCTCGTCCCCGTACGTTGACTGACGGTCTTTTCTGAGTCAATCATCGCAGTACTTTCGAGAACGTCGACTTGGACGAAGTGTCAGCTGCAGTGTATGCTGCATACCTCTCAAGGCGACTTCAAGAACTGCGGTAGAATAAGAACTTAAGGCCTATACCCTCGATTTTCTAGGAAAACGTGCCGGTGCTTCTGGGCTCGAATCTACACAAGTGGAGGGTTTGAGCACGGGCAAGTTCTCCGCTGATAGCGGGGAAAGGGAAGAAAGGAAGTAGCATAGCGAAGAGAAATCTCGATGTAGCCCACAGGGAAGCCTGCAGTCAATCGTGAAACGCAGCTCGGACTACCCATGCGAGTGACCAGTGTCCACGAGTCAGACGCAAAAACTAGTCTGGCTTGCCGTACCCTGACACGCAGCTCTCACTTGCTGAGTATTTGAATGCTTAGCAGACTTGTCATCTATCCAACCGAGTGCTCGGGATAGAATTGCAGGCCTGAGAGCGTGGAGTAACGATGGCTGGCCCGTTTACAAACCTCAGAAGGGTATCGGGAATAGGCGCGCAAACCTGCAGCGGGCACGCCTCGGCCCTGAAGCGCGCCCTGTACTCCGCTGACTTGGCGCTGGGGCAAGAGAGATGCTGGCGCGCGAAAGCCCGCCGCACCTCGTTCGCCAATCGCTTCACGGGGTCCCGGTCCTCCGCAAGGCGCGCGCGCGCGCGCATCAGCAGGAACGCCAGTCGCTCTCGCACGTGCCGGGGCAGCCGTTCGGCGAGGGTGAGGAGGGCGGCGCTCGGGGGCGCGACCGGCTGCTGTTCGGACGCCCGCGAGCGATCTGCGTCCTGTTCGGCGTCCTCATCGTCCGGCTGAGGGCACTGCGCGTCCGATTCGGTCCCGATGTCCGCTTGCACGGCCTCTTCTTCTAGGGCAGGTTGCCCGCTCTCGCTGTCCGCTCCGTTGTTCGGCCCCTGTGCTTCCGCTGATTCCGCGGACGGAACGGCTGCACCGAGGGAGTCGCCGCTTGCCCAGTCGCGTACGCAGAACTTAGGCGCCGCCGACAGCAGAGCTCCGATGCTGAACACGTTCCGCCCGTTGACTTCCGCGGAAACGATCACCCTCCGCAGCTTCGCCGCCCAGTGGAAGTCGGCCCGTTTGGCGCGCGGCAGAACCCACCTCTCGCGCTGCAGCACCGTCAGACGGCCGCCGATCGCCGCGAGCGTCCGCGCAAGCGCGGAACCCACGTCCGAAACACTTAGAAATCTCCGGTGCTCAGCAGCTTGTTGCAGTGCCGCGATAACCGGAACGGGTACACCCGGAACCGGGTTTCGGACGAGAAAGTTCATTGCATTACAAACAGGGCCGAGGAAGTGGCGGCCAGGATCGACTTGAGGGTTAGCGGCGAGGGTTAGGAGGACCACGAGCAGCCGCACTACGAGAATGGGCTCTTCTTTAACCCTATTCAAACCAGCTCTGGCTATCCACGTTTCTAAATTGTCGAGATACTGGATTACCATTTCTAGCAGCTGGCGCAATAGGCCCCTTAGCTGGTACTGCTGGTCGCTTGTACAGCCAGACTCTAGGAGCAGCGTGAAGAGGGACTCTTGAACAGGGCCCTCCATGTGGTCGAGAACCCACGTCGTTGGCAGAACCAGGTGGTTAAGCTGGCTAACCGCCGCACACGACTGGACAACCGCCCGCTCAACCAGCCGAACAAACGTGAAGGGGTTTGGATAACCTCCTTTCTGCAGCCAAACAGGACTGAACAGCTCCAGCAGCGCCTTGCCGTTGAACCACGCCCCGTTGAAGGCCGCAAATCGATCTTCTCCCGTGGCTTGGAGGTTTGGCCCGCGCTGCAAAGCCGCGGCGGCCGCGAGCTCCCACGACGCGCCGAAGCGCAGCGCCCGGGTGCGAAGGTCTTCCAGGAAACCGGGCGGCGGGATGACGTGCAGCCTTCCGCCGAACGTTCCGGCGCATCTCGCGCTCTCGAACCAGTCTGCGTCCAGGAACGGAATCAAGAGCTGGAGCTGCCCGACCGCCTCGAGGGGCAGAACGTCTCTCTCTTCGAACGCCGTTTGCGCCGCCAGCCGCGCGGGATCCCAGCTAACCTGCACCCGCTCGCGCACCAGCCCGCTCTGGCCCCCGTTGACCGGCGACCGCCCCTCGGCGACCGCTTCCGCGACTGACGTCAGCATCGCGCGCACACGCGGGTCCCCCCGCAGTGCGGCCGCCTCGAGCGCCGCCCCCGCCGACGTTATTTTCGGCAGCAGACAATCCCACAACCGTGCGGCGCACGCCCCGGCGCATTCCGCCGGAACCGATTCCGGCACGCTGTCCGCGAGCTGCCACAGCCGGCTGATGATCTGGACCCGGTCTGCGGTGAGCGCTTGCCCCGGACTCTGCTGCATCAGAACGGGCGGTGGAAGCGCGACCGGGGGAGTCAGAAGCTCAACGGAAGCCTCCAGAAGCGCCCGGTAGTTCGCCCCGGCTTTCACCACCTCCGCATAGAGAAATCTGGAGGCCTGCTTCCTGAACGTGACTGCGGTGATCTCGCCCTTGGAACCCTGGTTAGGGAGCCGGGTTATTGGAACTCCCTTGCACCAACCCGCGCCGGTGTCCTCCACCACTCGCGCCCCCGGGCTGCCCGACGGACCCACCTCAAAGAAGCGCTCTACGCCCGCGAGAACGCGCGGGTCGTCGCCCTGCGTGCGCGCGTTCAGAGCGCGCTCCAGAGCCGTCAAACACCGCGACACCAGGCCGTACCACTCCTCCCAGGCCCAAGCCGCCGACTTGACCTTCGCCAGAAACTGCTCGAACGACTCAGTTTCGAATGGTCGGTTGCGCCCCTGTTGCTCTGCGCCCCGGTCTTCTTTGTGAAATCGGTCTGCCCTCGACCAAGCCTCAGCACAGGCCTCGCTGAGAGCCTGACGCAAAAGGATTAGCGCGAGGCTCAGCTCTTCTTTCGCCATCGCTTCTATCCACAGGGCCTTAACGTCTTCTCCGTGAAGGCCTGCGAGCGCGCGCAGCGCACGGACGCCCAGCTGAAGCCTCGCCGCCCCGTCCCCGAGCTGCAAGCACAATCTTTCCACCAAATCCAGAATTTTCGCGTGGTCTTCGCGGCCACGAATTGGCCACACACCCCTCCCCTCTGACCAGAACATCTCCAGCCGCACTGCCTGAAGGCGCAGCTCCGCCGCGCGCTTCACGAGCGCGCGCGCGCTTTCCTCTACGCCGACTGGCGCGCCGGGCGACTGCTCCTTCGCGCCAACGAGCGACGCGAGCGCGCGCTCCTCTTCAGGACTGGCCATCTCGGCCGCGGCCTCGTACATGTCGGCGGCGCGCGCGCGGTCCCCCTTCTTGTCGAACAGCCGGGCGGCCGCCGCAAAGTTGCCGTCGGCTGTCTCGACCGCAATTACCTCGTCGAAGTAGTCGCGGCGCTCCAGGAATTGGCGGCGCTTCGATTGCGAAGGGAAGGCGAGGACGCACTCCAGCATCAGGGAGGTGTCTTTGCGGCGGTGGTAGTGAAGGGCGCACCTGCGGAGGAGATTCTCATTTTGTGTGTTGAACCCACTTTTAGTCTCTGCTCGTTTGTATTTCGGGATTGCAACAAAGACACGAGAGAGCAGGTCAAAAGGCGCAAAGCACTGAGGGCCTTTCACCGGGAATGAAACTTTCCCTCTATCCAGAGAAGCTAATGCAAGTTCTGCAGTACTGGAAGGATCTGGAAAAATACAACGAGTTAGTTTATATACGGCAGAAGTTGAGGGGAAAGCTCGGTCTGGAAAGCTCGATCTGGAAAGCTAGGATCTGGACGGAAGCCGGCTCATGTTATGGCTTTATGGATCATGTAAGGCACTTGCACAACAAGAAGGAAACAACGGAGACCTTTTATGGATTTCTATTCTCTATTTGCCCGGAATCGGAGGCGTGCCAATCTTATATACATGCTCGTCATTTAGCAGTTTGACTCCATCAACGCGCAGGTGCTTTTCGATTCCTTTTGAAATGGGTCACCTTTTCGTCATTCTCCCCAGTGACAGCATCTTCGCAGACAGAATTGGACGTGACCTCTTCGCGGTGCAAAACTACGAGAGGCAGCAGAAGGGGATCGGACTGCCGTCTGCCCCTCACCTGTTTAGGTAGTCAGCCTTTAGGTCCACCAACGTCTGGTCGAAGCCCCCCTCTTTCTCCCACTCTTTCAGCAGCCCAACCCCCAGCTGCAGCTGCCTCCCCTTAAGGCACGCTCTCAGCGCGAGCTCGCGCGCGCGCGCCTCCGAGTACGCTTCCGCCGCCTCTGCCCAGCTGCCCGCCATCTCGAAGCATTCCGCCGCCTTTCCCCACAGCGGGGGGGCGCATTTCTCCTTGAAAACTGCCCCCGCGTCCGCGAACCTCCGTGCCTTTCGCAGACAGTCCCCCGCGCTCTCCCCCTTGTCCAGCTCGAGGAACAGCTCAGCCGCGCGCGCGTACGAGGCTGCCGCGACGCGCGTATCCGGCGCGCGGTCGGCCGCCTGCCGCAGCCCCGCGGCGCGCGCCCACGTGGCATGGAACGCGTCGCCCGCGCGCTCGAAGCACAGGACCGCGGAGTCGTACCCGCGTTCGTTGAAGAACTGGCGGCCCCTGCGCGCCCACTCCTCGGGCGTGCTCCGGCTTTGGAACGAAGCGACCAGCTCCGGTGTGAGGGGGAGGAGTTGCACCAGAGATGAACCCCCCGTCCAGAAGTCAAGCATAGGGCGGCGCAGCTCGGGCGACTCGTCGAAGACCCACAGCCGCTGGCGCGCGCGCGTCAGGACGACGTACAGCTGTTTTAGTTCGCTGCAAAGCAGGTGATGCCGCACGGGGTCGAAAGGCGGGCAGGCGAGCTCGGGGGAAGGGAATTCGCTGTGGGCGGACGAAGGCCGCACGTTGTTGAGGTAGTTGTACACGACGCGCCATTTGACGCCGAGGGGGGAGTCCGAGAAGAAGTTATACACCAGGACGTCCTGCGAGGGAGAAACATATTCAGATTGTTGCAACGGAGATATGCTACAGGATGAAGTCCTCGGATGAAGCATGAAAGACATGAGTCGAATCCCGACCTCCTGTCGGCCTGCCAATCTCGAGGTCTGCAAATGTTTTTGGAAGAGGGCCTGAGCGGGTTATTCAAAACTAGTACAGCCCTGCAAGCTGCTAGAGTGAACGTGTAATGTACTCCTGCTCGATGCTTCAAGCGAGTGATCGAGTAAGTATCTGAGAAAAGGAATCGCAGATGTCTGACTGTAAAGTGTCCGGCACAACCGTTGGTTGAAAATTCTCAAAGAAAAGCCTATTCAACTTGGTTAAAGCAAGCTTCAACGTACTTGTTGTAAACTTGCGGCTGTTTGGAGCCATTTTTCTAGCTATCTTCCAAGCTGTCTGATGCTTTTGACGCACCCGCCTGAGCGACCGTCCGCAAGCAATGCTCGCGTAACTGGATCACAAGTTGGTCAAACAGGATTGACCCAATCTCTCAATCTTTACAAGGTTTCTCACCTGAAACTCGAGCCCCTTGCACTCGTGCACGGTAAGCACCAGCATGTCCGTGCCCACTCGGTCCACCAGCCGCCGCTTCGCGGCCGCGTCGCGCACCAGCACCACCTGTTCCGCGCCGAACTCGCACCCGCCCGTGCCCGCCTGCCAATTTCCATGCACGTGGGCAATTAGTCCCACAAAAGCGTCAAGCTGTTCAGGTGAAATTTAGGCTGAAAGACCCAGATAACCCTTTACCGACGGCATCGCACGCTGTAACCACTGACGATGTCACGTGCTGTGGGTGTCAAACAGATAGACTCGACTTTGACGGATCGGCTTCAGCCGGATCAGAAACTGTAGGGAATCGACATTCAGGACGCTGGCAAAAAGGCCTTGGAACACGAGGTGCGGTGCGCGTTACACATTTCGAATGCAATCAAGACACTTCTGGTTCGCAATAGCAAAGCCTTTATCCCAAAGGTAGCTTCAGAATCCTAAAGAAAGCGTCATCAAAGGATGATTATCCTCAGAGACTGGAAGGCACGTATAACGCCACCTAATGATGGTGCTACGAGAGCAGCTTCCACAACAGCGGTACGCGGCTTCGCAGAGGCCAGATTTTCTACTGCGTAGCTCCTCAGAAGACAGCGACCATTTGATTCATTGGAACTCACAACCAGTTTCTTGGAGAAGCCTTGGAGCAAAGCTGCCCAGCAATACAATATATGCACGCCCTGTTGGGGCGCCCCCCCAACGGGCGCCTCCTCAGGTAGCCTCACCTGGAAGGACCCCTTGCCAAAGAGCGCGGCGAGAAAGTCGACGTCCGCCCCAGTATGCAAAACCGTCGGCATCTCCCCCGCGATCAAGGAGCTTTCCGGTTGCAGCCGATCCACCATCGCCGGAAAGAAGTGCACCAGTAGCCGGATCACGGAATCCGCCACGCGAACGATCCCGCTGTGCGTCCGAAAGTTGGTCGTCAGCTGGTGGACGTCCGGTACGCCCGTTCCGCCGGATTCTGCCCGCTCTCTAACGGAACAGTCTCGCCGGAGAAACTCGCTGTAGAAGAGCCGTCGCACGTCTTCGAAGCGGAAGCCGACGCCGCGCGCGATCGTCTGCGCGGTGTCCCCCGCGAAGACGAACCCGCCTTCGATGTGCGCGCACACGAACTTGAACAGCGCGAGCTGCGCTTGCGTCAGGTCTTGCACTTCGTCCACGTACACAAACTGGTGGGTCACCAAGCGGTAACCCTCCCGGGTTAGCTCCCGGTACACGTGCCCGACCACGTCAGCGATGTCGTAATCGCGCAGCGCGCGCTTCCGCCTCTCGTACTGCTCGAAGAGTTGGTAAATTTCGGACCGCTGCTCGGGGCTGAAGGACGACGACCGGGCTTCCGAGAGCTTTAGATAGGCTTCCCGGCTCAGGCGGCCCTGGGGGAAGCGTAGAGATTCCTGGCTTCCCTTGATGGTCGAAATGATTTCGGTGTAGACCGCCGACGGGTCGAACTTCTTCCGGAGGCGCATGTCCGTGTGAGGCCAGTAGTCGGAGCCCACGAACCTAGTTAGGAACGAGAAATCGAAGCCGATTTGTTCCGGGTTAAGAATTTCAAGCGGCAGGCAATCAAATCAGAGACTTTTTGCTTGTATCTGCAACCGGAAACAAATACCGGCATTGCTCTGCAGAGGTCGTCGTATTCGACGAATTGTGGGGCACCGCAACCGAACCCGTTATCCATGGCCTACCAGTGAATCGTGAAAGTTTGGCCAGGTTGCAACGCCCTGATCACACTGATGAAAGGTCGGCTTGCAATGAGGATGAAGACCATAAGGGAGGTCTATCACAAGTGGGACTAAGGGAGTCGATTCCGCGTGCTACTTGATTACTTGGTTGGCTCACCACATTCCTATTCAGCTCTCCTGAGCTCAGACGGCAGAATGCTCTACGAAAATGCTTTGAAAGGGAAAATCATTACAATACTTTCAATGACAGTTCACGTTCGAGAACCACCACGAAGTGATGTCAGACCAGTTATGACTCAATTTAAGTAGATTCTGTCCAATCAAAAAGACAAGACGGAATCTGGCATGCAAATACGCGCAAAATAGTGAACGACACCGCGAAGAAGAATCTATATCAGGCTGTGATCCAAGAAAGGCTGCCCTTTGTTACGCAGGCCCGCGATCTCGCGCCAGATGAAAACTGAAGAAGAACCCTTGATTAGACCGAAATCTATCTTCTTGATTGGCCGTCAAGCTTCAAGCTTGAGTGCAAAATTATGCAGCTCTCAAGGTCAAGCTGGTAGACCACAATAGTCAGAAACACCATTGATGCCACGTGCACACGCTTTTGCAGACGGATTCAAACCTGTCCAACATTGAAAAGGTCTTTCTTAAAGCAGTGAATTTTCGGGGGGCAAATCTAAACCTGTTGGGGATTAGCGACTTTGATCGGGACGTCCAACAGACAAAAGAGCGTTAAAACCCCGACCTTCGTAAGCCTCAAAATTTTCCCGCACCTGTCATAGTCGACCTCCTGTCGCCACTCATCTCGAGCCTTCCGCGCGCAGCGTTTTTTCCCCGGTGCGAAGCGGACGTCAGCACCGTCGTCAGCACCGCTTTCTTCCCCGTCCCCGGGACTCAGACCGTCATCATCCGCCATGATGGACTCGTCATCGTCCGATGATTGGGCACCTGTCCATCAAACGTTTACCTCGCGTTTTTTTCGGAACACAATTAAGGTTTACCATACCACCAACGGCGTATTCATTTCACACACCCATTCTGCGCATACATCTCCCGCTTATGGAAGCACCTATGCAGACTTTAATCGTAGTAAGCAATCGCCGACAGGCTACGCACACAAACAGGTTTCGCTCCAGACATGCTTGAATAACTCAAACTTCAAGCAGGAGTCTCCCATGCCCGCCTGGTGGGGTAGCAGCCAACCAAAATATACCATCAATGTTGGAGACAGCAGAGTATCCTCTTATGTAGTAGCTCCCTCCCCTCGGATTCAAACGAAGCATACAAGCATGCCCGGTCGGAGAGGGAATTACATGCCACGCGCTAACGCTTGGATTTGCTCAATTCTTCTTTCAAGCAGCATAATGTTAACGCCAGGTCACTGAGGACGCAATGTTCCTTTACGCAACAATTTGTTACCTTCTCCGATGCGGATGGAACCGAGGGCGGCGGCTCCTGTAGGGCCTGCAGCAAAGGAAGCCGCCTGTGAGCTTGATTTATGTCTTTACTCCCCTTCAAACTGTTTCCAAACAATTGAATGGCGTTGGGCAGGATCGGGTGAGTAGTCTAAGATTGCAACAGAAATGCACGACTACTGATTCATTAGAGGATCACGCCGCCGAGCACCGTTAGTGTCAGAATCGAGGATCCGGATCTCGGCAATTGTGCTCTCACTTTCTGAGAGACTTGAAGAGGCGACTGACTCAGTGGACGGGATCATCAGATGGAACCAAGAGAATCTACTCGGTCGCGATAACATACTGGTGACGCAACACAAGCCAGCTCTTTGTGGCTCACTGACATTCGATGGAGCACAATCGTTCGCAACAAGAGTTGCACGTTCTTACTAGAGAAATTGACTAGAATCGCAGTCACTCAAGTCTCAGCCCTTGAGAATTGCTTAAACCCTCACCTTGTTTGGGGAAGAATGGCCGGGCGATGCCGCCGTCCAGCATGGTTACGAACTTGCGGAACGTGATGACTAGGGGGAACATCCCGGGCTCCAGCTGAGTCATGTCGTCCGGAATATCGCCCAGCAACCGGGCCTCCTCGGTTTCATCCAGCATGACGTCCTGAAGGCCAACCGCGGGCTGCGTGGCCTCGTTTTGGGCTGTCAGAAAGAAAAGTCAATTAGCCAAGGCAGATTCTCGTTCGCAAGTACTACGATCAAAAAGAAGGATGCGCCCCCGATTTGAGTAAGTCTATGCAATACCTGTGAAGAAGGGATTGAATCGCTGTGCATTGAATGAATATTTCAGAGCAACAGAAGGCACATTTCCCACCTGCTGGGTCGCTCCGTACCCAATGTTGCATGTCAGACTGGAAGATTCGAAGTGAAAGGGACAGCGAGAATTTGCAGAATGTGGACGGGGGCACTCAAAATCTTTCGCCATATGTGGGCCCACGTAGGCTTACTAGAAACCCCCCGTCAAGAAAACATGCACCAGAACATTTTCCCGGCCCACCACTCCGTTCCGCTGTCGCCCGTTCCGCTACTCACCCGTTCCGCTGTCCGCCGCCTCCATGCAGCGCATTGTCCTGTTGAGCGACTGGCGAATCGCCGCGCACAGCTTTGGGCTGAGCGTCACCATCAGCTGCCGCAGGCGCGGCGGATCGGCGCCGCCCTCGACGGTCGCGGCCGCGCCCGCGTCGGGCTTTGGAGGGTTTGGCACGGCGCTGGGGGCCGCGGCGAGGGCCGCCTTGAAGCGCTGCTCTTTTTGAAGGAGGCGGGTAGTGATGACTGTCGTCTTGCCAGTGCCGGAGCGCCCGAGTATGAAGACGCTTTTCGGGTACCTGGAGCCGTAAAACATAATTCCGCGAAAATGCCGTTCATGAAGTCGCCCGTCTCTCAGGCGGGTAGAAACATGTTCTGTGGAGGTTTTCTTAATCCGATTAAGCGCGAAGATATATGACCCCTGATCAGCATGGTTGCGAGCAGACTTCCAGACTATCGAGAAAGTGCCCAGATCCCTGGGTAGGAGCTGCCACCAGTATGGAAATAACGAAGACGACTTTTTAAAGAACTCGTACTCCACTCGATTTTACTGGCACTCATAAAGGGTTCTCCAAGAATTCAAGCACGGAAGAAATTTTCCGCCCAGACTTAAGTAGACACGGAGGCGGTTCTCAAGCTTGCAAGCAATCAGAAGTGCATACATGACAGCCCTGCTTGACATTGGCAATGCGCTGAGATCCGGACCGACTTGCGACAGCCCACTTCGAGCCAGAGGGGCTACAATGGTAACCAGAAGCAATCAAACTACATTCCAATTAGGTACAGTAAAAGGGCAGATAATGGTTGAGTGGGCGCTCACTGCACGATGGCCGCCTCCTGCTCGCTGACCTCGAACGGCAGCTCCAGCTCGCTGCCGTCAGCTGCCGTCATCAGCACGTGGGCTGCCCCGGGCGACATCTCGTAGAACTTGAGGAGCAGCAGGCTCTCATCCACAGCCGCTTCCTCCAGCCCCGCGGCGGCCGCTTCGCCTGCAAAGTTTCAGGATTTCAGGCTTTGGGATTAGGATTCTTTGAAAGTTGGGCTGTTGTCTGATTTGGCGTCTACTGTCTTTTCACAGCCTGTTGCTATTCTCTGCCAGGAAACGAGCAACGCGTAAGGATTGGGACGGCAGGCAAAGATTGGGACGCCACGCCCAGAGAGTTCGGGCGTCACGGGCCTTCGGACGTCGAAAGTGTGTTGTCAGCCGCAATTGACTGCTTGGAGTGACTGACTGGCTATCGAGACAGTCGTGGAGAACGCCTCTGAAACGGCTCAAATTCCAAAAGCGGGTCGGACCTTGGTTTCGGAATTTGAAAACTTCTGAACACTCCCGTCCGAATCAGAGATTCAACCGAGCCCTTGCCAGCATGGCTCTCTAATTTTGCGAGGAAAGGATTTTGCGGACGTACTTCGTACTCATGTTAGAAACTTCGACAAGCGTACCGGCAGCTCGCACACCAGATTGTTCAATAAAAATGTTTGATACCTACTTCTTATTCACTGCCATATCCTGGGAGCCATGGACAGTGGGGAAGATCCATGACTCTGAACTGCTGAACACAAACCGCCAGCGGAGTCGTTTGAAAGACAAGCGGACCACAGAACGTTCAAAACAAGATCATGGTGAATTTGAGGACAAAGAAATGATTTTCTTGACGACAGTGCGGAGGACGAATGAGATGAACGTAAAAGACGCACATCACCCCCGAAATTCTTACCAGAATGCTCGAGGGCCTCCTCCGAGACTTCGACGGCCCGGTCCTTTTTGAACCACACGAACCGGTCGTCTCTATCCCAAGTGAGCGGCAGCACGAGACCGTTCTTGTCCGGTGACCGTTTCGCCCGGCAGCGGTGCAAATAGCCGGGGGAGTAGGTTCGATAGCTGGATTCCAGGCGTCGGATGAAAGCCAGGCGCTGGCTGCTCAAGACCAGGTGCCACGCGCGAAGGACCTGGCGGTGAAAAGGAGAGGACTTTTGTGCGGATGTAAGTTTTTCTCATGAAGTCCTGATTCCCCGAGAAACGGAGCGATGCTTTTGGAAGAGATGATCGCCCTTTGAATTCAAACGGTGAGAAGCGAGAACGTGGTGTGGATAAGGAGGGTCTCATAACGGACTATGTCTAGCGGCTGACCCCTCAAGAAACCCCGCGAAAGGAAGACTCGCTAATAAGGGACAGACCATACAGATCGCCGGTTGAAGCCGGCAACAACCGGGTATTCTCTACAAGTAGACTTTCTCAATCATCGAGATAATGTTCCAGCGAAATTGAATGCAAGCATGCATCTTTGGCGTGAGTGATGATGCGTAGAAAGCACCAGCAAGAGAACATCATGCCCGGTTCATCAAGGCCCCACCGCCACAAAGATGAAAGGAAATGTCAGTGCTCTCAGTTCAAACACAAATGTGCGCTTTTGAAAAGCGGAAACTATCTGCACTGATCCGAAGTGCCCAAATGAGTGCCTTTGAGAATGTCCCCCTCCCTCAAGCAAGAGCACGCCTTTGTCTCGAAAGTTCGAAGGTCTTGGCCGGAGCTTTGAATTAAGCTGCTCTGACACCCTGATCCCAACAGCAGTTTGCGGCGACATACCTGCGTGTGGACCTGCGTGTTGGTCGCCCGGTCGACGTCCACCGTCCAGATGAGGCTGTAGTTGTACACTGGCAGCAGGTGGATCAGGTCCCGGAAGTCTTCCCCGGCGTCCGCGTCTCCGGACGCGAACTTCGGACGCTTCCCCTGCGCGAGCGACTGCAGCTGGAAGAGGACCTTGAGCCGAGCCTCGCGCGACTTGATGCCCACCAGCGCGTCGCGCAGCTCCTTGGAGAAGACTATCTGCACGCGAACGGGCAAAGATTGAACGGGTCAGTGGTGATCTGCTGACGTCACGGCAACGCGGCCGATGACGTGTGGACCAGACCACCGCGCCCGAGCGCATGTTGCAGCTTTGGGACGACGCCTATCCCAAATGCAACACTGCCAGCTAGAAGTGGCGGATGCAAAAAGCATTGCAGTGCCAAGCGTCTGCGGCTTTTCAGGATCTTTAAGGGCTTCCGTCATTCGGGTTCCAGGATTGTACACAACTTTTTGGGTCGCGTTGAAGAGAGATAACCTCAGAGAGAAGATGATATGAGCATAATAATTGGAGACAGAGATTGAAATACCAGAACTCTCCCTGCATAGAATCTCAAAGCGACCACAAGAAGTGCAGAACCTCAATCCGTGTACGCAGAAACAAAAGGGACGCCCGGTTTGGGCGACCTCACCTTCCAGGGGAGACCTTCGAACATGCTCGAGTTCGACGTCAGGATGTTGTTCCAGTCCTCGTAAGCCGCTAACCTGTTCTTAACCACCTTCTGCATCGACTTGTGCGACCCTGCTTGGATCCTAGCCCCTCGCGTAACCGCGTCCTCAACCAGGCTCTTCCAAACGGGATCGCGCGCCTGCAGAGTCTGCGCGTCCCCGACGATCCAAAGCGCAAACTTGGCGCGGGTTAGCGCCACGTTTAACCGGCGCTCATCCCCGAGAAACCCGATAACACCCGCCCGGTTAGCCCTAACTGCCGAGAAGATGATGACGTCCTTCTCCCGCCCCTGAAACCCGTCCACCGACCGGACCTCTACCGTCAAGCCGGGGCCCGACTGGCTGCCACGTGTCACCGCAGGAACGTGCCCCGCGAGCAGCTCCACCTGGCGCTTGTAGGGCGTGATGACGCCGACGTCAGCCGACACCCCGGCGGCCTCGCATGCTGACCTCAGCTTTCTGAGCAGATGTAGAACCAGGTCCGCTTCCATGCGGTTGCACTTACTCGCCCCCCCTGGGTCTTTCTCTTCCCTCCCTTCCGCCGCGTCGATGAACGCATACGGGCCCAGCAGCCTGCTGACGTAAGCTTGATTGTACCTGCCCTCCGTGACGTTGCGCCCGTCTTGAACCTGCTCCCCGTAGAAGGCCCCGAGCGGCCACCGGCTGATCTCCGGATGCATTCTGTACTGAGTGTTCAGCAGTACGCTGCGGTGCCCGTTTTCCTTCAATCGCTCGAAGAGACTCCGGTCGTATCGGTGCTCCTTCGCGAGGCGACTCGTCACAGTCGCGGGCAGCTGCAGGTGGTCGCCCACCAGCACCAGCAGCTTGAGCCCCGGCCAACCGGTGAGAATGATTGCCGTTTCCGCTTCCACCAGTTGCGCCGCCTCGTCGATAAGCGCGAGATCAAATCTGCCCGCCGATCTCATTTCGCTCCGGCCCGCACACGAGACTGTGCAAAATACGAGCGCCGCGTTTTGCAGGCAAGAGGTCTCCAGCTGGGCAGCCGACGGGCCGATGTTAATCGGCACCCGAAGCGCGCTGGGCCGCATGGAAATCCCCAAAATCCTGTCCACCGCGGCGCTGACGCGTCGCGCGTCGCTTTCCAAGCTTTCATCCTTTGGACGCGGATTCGCAGTAAAGTAGAGCTCGAGCGCCTTCGACGCTTGAGGCAGCGCGCCGACGGCATTTCTCAGGGTTTGGAGGTTTTGGAGAAGCTCGCGCGCGCTGTCGCGGAAGGACGCCAGGCCGGGGGAAGCGCTCGGGAGGTCGTTGCACAGAGGCGCTGCGTTCTCCTCCAAGTCTTGATGTACCATCTGAAAGAAGAGACGGGGTAAAACAGGTGTACACTGGCCAGAACCCGGCCAAAAGATGAGCTGCGGCATCTAAGCAGCCATTGGAACGGATCTGATGAGGGATTCGTCGTTTCCAGACGCGTTCATCTTACCCGGTGAAGACAAGAGAACACCAAAAACTGAAAGAGAAACGCCCTTACACAGCTGCGCTGAGTATTTTACCATCTGAACATCAAATGTATAGAGGGGAATCGCAATGTCGAGTTTTGCAGGTTCAAATCGAGGGCTTGCTTCAAGATTTCAAGCAGCTAGTGTCGCTCGACCGATTCAAAACGTTTCAAGTTTGCTTGTGGACAGTCCGATCGGCTCGAGAGAAGCATGAAGGCAGACTGCGATCAATCATCAGGCTGGTCCAGGTGCCCTTTTAATTCTCATCTCCTTCCACGCACTTTAAATGAATTATCATAAGACAAACGGGATCACAAGGTTTCCGGCCAGCACCTGAAGTTGTTTGATGCAAAACCCCTGGAGGCTTATTGGTTGGTCGGCCTTCCGAGCACTTTCGCCGCCTTCCGTTGCCTGCCGGTACTGCTCGTCTGCCGATCGGAGGAACTCAGTCAGAGAATGCACCCTAGCCACCCACCCAGCTACCGGAGACAGGGCCCCCGCCAATCGTTTGGCCCTTGCCGGAAGGTAAACCTCATTTAGTGGCCCGTCCGTCACGTCGAGACTGTCCTTGTTCCCGATCAGAGCGATATCCCCGGCGCCAAACCCCTTAAACCCTGTGGGCAGCGCGCGCGCTCCGTCGGCCCTCAGCTCGCGCAGCAGCCGGAGGACGACCTCCGAGACCGCCACGTTGGTGGGCGCGCTCACGAGCGCGCGCGCGCCCAGCCCTGCGAACGCGCGCAGCATGGCGACTACCGTGCTGGTCTTGCCGGTACCCGGGGGCCCTTGCACGAGATTTACCGACGCGAGTCCGGGCGCTTGCCAGGCCGAGACAACGTCCAGAACGGCGTCCCTCTGCGAGGGGTTCAACTTTGCTCCCTCGCAAAGATTGCGTAACGCGCTCTTGAGTTCGGCCAGACCTCGTTGCATCTGCCCCTCTCCGGTAGGCGACTCCGCCTTTCCAGCGCCCCGGTTTATTCCGCCTTCCGACCGCCCGGTAGTCGGCTGCTGGGCGCCCAGGACTTGTGACGTCAGCCCGAATCCGGCTCTCGGTGCAGATCCGTCCACCCCACTATGCAGCGCCCTCCAGATCCGCAAGCTGGTCGCAAGCGGCGCGAGGCACGTGGCGTGCCAGCGGCCGTCCCGGTTGGCCGGATCGCAGAGCGCCTCAGATTCCCGACTGCCGTCCGGCAGGTAGACCGTGGCTTCTTGGTAGGCGCAGTCGCCCGGGCTGTCGTCACGATCGCCGCGCAGGACGCCCAGAGTGTATAGGACGCCTGGTGATGCGGATCGATGCTTTCAGTCTAAGGAGTCTGTACGATTCGTAATTCTGGGGTAACCTGTACTTGAGGAATAAGCTGAAAAAGGGGGATGTCCCGAGCGTCGGTAAGATGTGATGTTCTTTATTGCACCTCACGAGGATGTCATTTGAAATACACAAGCAAGGCTTTGGATGAAACTCCCTCTGGATGCAGACGCTTCTGTTCTCGTGCCGCAGATGAGGTGGTCTCCCAAGAAGAGTGGTGCTCAATTCATGTTATTCTGGGCATTTTGATGAACCATCAAGCGGACGAACCTTGAAAAAGGTCAAGGATTGTCCGAAGGTCGAAGCAAAGGAAGATCTTCGGCAAAGGAAGATTCACTTCATTGTTTTTAGATTGACCTGGTCAAACTCTACGACTTACTGGGCGATTGGCCGTTTGAACGTTCCAAGTTTTCGATTCTTTGCAGCGGCTTCGATTTTTGAGCTTATGCACAGAATTCCCCTGAATAGTGTCACGAGAGCAACTGCGTAAGGAGTTTGGGGTTCCGCTCACCTTCTCTTTGCAGATCTTCCTGTCGTTCCGGCTTCAGGTTCGAAAGTAGTATCACGTCCGTGGGCTTGAACGCCTTCTCCCCCCCGGAAGTCTGTCCGACTCCCTCAAACTCGAATCTGACAGTTCTCAGCGGGGGTTGCAAAGAGCCTGGGCCGCGGCCATCGCCGACCCCCCGAAGTTGAATCCTTCGGCACACCTTTGCGTCCAGCTCAGAGAGGGCCTGCTGCAGCTGGCCACGTGTCTCCTCGATGAGGAGCCACGCGAATGCGGCAAAGTAGGCGGGCGGGGAGTCGAAAGCATTGGGGATGGTCCGAAGCTGTAAGCAAAGATAGACAGATAAACGACCGGATCAGTCAGACTCGATTCAAAGAGGACAGCAAGCCGCACGGAGGAAGCGGGTTTAATGAACCGGCGCACAGTTACGCAATCTGAGGTTGTTCGCAACCTTTTGTGCGAATGAAAAGACCCATTGTTTGCTCGGTACATTCAGGGCAGAGAATCTTGGCAGTCCCTCGTGGAAGATACGCCTTATGGCTGCGAACGTTCTTCGGAGGGAGGTTATTCTGTTATGCCCGCCGATCCCGCTAAAGATATAAATTTCTCGCAGAGGAGAACGTCGTCCTGAGAAGATCATTCGATCTGTATTGTTGTCGGAGAGAAGCGGACCCATAAGGACTTAACACGGCAAACGCATCCGCCAGCACTCTTTAATGGCGTATGCGGTTCCTGTTTTCTGTTTCTCTTTCCCTTTCACTTTCTGCACCAACTCAGAGCCACAATCTCAGCGCTTTCTCAGGGAAGTATCTGGGCACAGACCAAGTCTAAACATGCATGGCACAGGCCATGTCTCCCTCTTTCTGAGGTGCTCTCAAATCACTATAATACCAATCAGGGAACTTCCCGCGTCACTGGAAAGGATGTGACTTATGCAAAGACAAGCCACCCAAGCGCTTCGTTAATGGCAACCCCTATATATAGGCTGATCAAAACGCACACAGCATGAGATTTGAACCCTGATCTTTTTCCCGACCAACAGTACCTGGTGTTCCAGCCACTAGTCCAGCACGGACGCCCTCAAACAACTCTCGCAAAACGGATTCCTTCATGGCCAACGCTCTTATACGTCCACGGTCTCACGGAGACATGGCCTAATGAAAAGTTCAACCCACCTTATCAGCGTGCAAACTCTCATCCAGGATGTCTTCCATCGACCACTTCAGCACGTGCCCCTCCAACGGTCCATGGGGTAGCTCCACATTCCGCTTCTCTGCTGATCTCACTTCCACCGCCAACCCATCTCTATGGTCGTCCGCTTCTCGAACAGCTCCTTATGGTCATTCACGACCTGCACCGAAATTGGGCGCCCCAGCTGCTTCAAAACCCACAGCCGCCGATTGTCCAGGCTCCACCACTTGTCCTCGTGGCGCACCACTCTGATGGGGGGCAGATCGGCCACCTTCATCACCCCCCCGCGAAGGAGCTCGAGGACTTCCGTCAGTGGCTGCCCTCTGCTCGCTCTGGCAGCATTGGCATAGGAACGAGCGGCCCCCCCAACACTGCTGCTAAACCTTTCTGCAGCGTTACGTGCCTCAGCGTTACGTGCCTCTCCAACTGTAGTTCTCTCTGTATCTGACGCAACTGGTGCGCTCTGCTGCGCGAGCCTGCTGGCGGTGGCTCCCTTGCTGAATACTGGCTCGATCGAGTTCTTTGTGAAGCGGATATCAGCAGGATCTAGCACTACAGTGCCTTCAGAAACGGGCAGAGGGTGAGTCAACAGGGGTCCCATTCTGGCGGTCCAAAACCTTGCCGCAGACTTTGCGCCACAGGTATGAGCGATTGCGCGATCTCTGCCCCTGAACAAAAAGCTGACCCAGAGCGCCTGCTTACATGACTTTGCAGCTATGAGCTTGTAGCGAGATGACGACGGGCCGAATATTGCTGATGGTCCGGTATGAAAGCAGCAGAATCCTTCCTTTCTGATCCGAAAGTGATGGCAGTCAGAGCATTTCGATCAGCCCATAATTGCTTCTTTCACGGAAGTTTCGAGTCCTTTCGAGGCTACCCTTTCGTGGAGAAGGTTCGGCTTGACCTTGCGATCCAGGCGCCCGCCTGTCAACGGCAAAGCTTGGTTAGGCTCTCTAAACCGTTGATTGCAATCATGCACAAGGATCATACCTGCGAATAAGGTAGCAAGCTCCGAGAGTCGTGCTTGTGGTCCCCAACTTCAGAGCAGTCTTGAGCGCGTTCATAAACCAAACCTTTCAATTCCAGTACATTGTCAACCGAGCGTATCCAATACGCCCGAGTGTCCGCGCCGCGCAGCCGCCAATCGCGCGTGCCGCTCGCGCTCGCGGCCGGCTTAGCGGCCTGCCCACCGCAACACCAGCCCTGCGAAGAAAGCGACCCCGTAAAACCTTGAGGGTCGCACCTGCACGGCCGCAAAGCTGACGGAACTGCTCAATATGCATTTGATCACACTATTTTAATGAGATTAAACGTCAGAGAACAGCGTTACATTGACCATAGCTCCCAAGCTAGTCCTAAGGCATCATCATTATCCAAGGCAGAACTAGTAGCTGCCCGTACTGAACTCTCAGTGTTGAAGGTTGAATTCTAAGTAGTCGACGCGCCCCTCTATAGATAGCCTGGCCAATTGCTACGCTGCCTCGCACTGTTCTGAACACTTCAGGCGTTCAAAGCTTCGTTATCTAAAGCTTTCGTTTATCCCAAGGCGGTGTGGGCGCCGCCCAAGAAGTACTCTAAGGGATAGAAGGAAGTTTAGAGCAGCAACACAGAAACGAGCATATCATTTCGGCGCTTCGAAGAGACGTATATCCTTACCATGTTCGAAGCTTAGACATGTGGTCGAACAACAAGATATCTAGAGTTTACATTACCAAGGAAAATGAGCTGCTTGTCGTTTCTCAAATCTTTTAGCAGGTGCCGGCGATCCTTGTTTCAGTGAGTCGTTTGAGAGAGCCGCAGATCAATAACACTCGAAGACCCCGCAAGGACTACGTTGGCCGTCTGAAACACTGTTTTTCCTCCTAGCTAGCTAGCTACGCCTGAAGGAAAACAAGGCTTCATTGCAAGTGAACTCAAGTGCTGCTTGTTCTCTCTTCGAGCGATCGCAGTCGGTTCGAAGCGCACGGTACGGGTCCCCAGTTGCACGCAACTGCAGCTGATATCTGTTTGACCCACATATATCTCGTCATCTTCTCTTGAAGCAGCATCGGGGAAAGAGTGCCTTTGGAAGCAGGAAGTGGTTCAATCATTCGGACGGACCGGCAGGCGAGTACCCGGACGTCCCTTAGGTATTGTGCAGGTCCCTAAGACAGAGCACCTCAAGTGGTTTACTTAGAGAACGTACGGCCCCATTGGCGGCTACATGTATGATTGATGTCACACGAACAACTACACGTAGAGACTGCAGAAACTCAGCGCAACATGCACCCGACGAAAGAAGCCGTTGCCGTCAACGTAGACAGTTGAACAGCGGCAACAGTGTGGCAAACGATCACACCCGGTATCAAATTTTTTGAAATGCAAGACATGGAGATGGAAGCAGTCTTGTTGAGCGTGTCATATAAGCTCATCCAGTGTACAAGCTCTATGCTTTTTGATCTGCAAGGGCTAAGAGTTGTGCACGTCATGATAAATGCATCTGATTGCAGCCAAATGCGTATGGAGGCTGTTCCTAACTCGTGTACTATTTGCTGGTTAGCATCCAGTTTGTGTCGATACACGTCCCTTCATAAGCACTGCACATAGAAAAACATGACTCCCTAATGAAGGGGAGGGGACATTTGAGAATCAGTAACCGATCCGGAGCAGAGTAGGATGCTTGGGCTAGCCCCTAGACTCGAGTCTTGATTGCATCACCTTTTGTTCCAGCGTTTAACAAAAAGCTGAAAATAGTACGTCCATTAAAAATTGCCACGGTGCCAGTGACCCGCTTCGACGGAAGACCATAATCAGGTATAGTTCCAAGCAATGTATACACAGTATTTCAAAGACGCTGCCTCCTACGACCAAGATAGCCTGACCCACCACACGCTCGATCTTTCGGCTAGTATCTCCAGAATCTAATCTTTGTACGAGCCCATCGAACGACGAACCCGTATCCCCCCCCTCTTGAAATAAGACTGTGACTTACTGTAAGGTCAGAAACTTCTGTCTATCTACTTGCTGACATCGCCTTCGCCCTTTTCCAGGTCCTCTTCGACAAGAGGAGCTCCCTCGCCCTTAGTAAGCTGACTCTTGATGAAGCCAACCAATATCACGAGCGCAGACACTAGAAGGATAGTCGACTCCCCAATACTCAAGGCGAGGTAGAGGCAAAATGGGCTTGACGTCCACAAGTCTTGCCAAATTGGGTCACCAAAGGGGGTACGTGCTGCATACGGCTCCCCCAGTTGTTCGCAGCTGGTCTTAACTTGGCCCACATAGAAATTCAGCTTGTCTGTTTGACACAGCTTCAGACTCGTGACGTTCTTTCCAGCACTGGCACTGGCACTGGCCATGAATTGGTTCAGACCCCGGTCCGGGTTGGGCAACCCAACCGGTCCCCAAAGAGTGCGCCTATTCTCCTGGACCGAGCACCTGATTGCTCGAGGCGTCGCATATGCCGCCAACAGACTACCCAAAATGAAGGCAATGAGGATTCCCTTCCTAGCCATGGATGCATAAGAATCCTCTTCCTGTCCAGTAGCAACGTGTGGACTCTTTCCTTCCACTTCTGAGAGGCATGCCTCTGCCTCATCTAATGCATCTTGGCTGTGACTTCTTGGACTAGAGGAACTCTTCACTCCAAGCTCTACTGACTGCCTTTGTGAGTCTCTAACGTCAGATTCAGGATCAGGTCTTTCAGTGCATACAAGCAAGATGAATCCCAGCACGATGACTACAACAGAATTCCAGACGGTCAAGCTCACAAATGCACGTATGGCCGGCCACTTATTATCCCAGAGTGCCATGCTCTGGTGATGCGTGATGTAGATTCTGGGAGGGGGTGCCTCACAGATGGCATTGCTGGGGGTTTGCACCTGGTAGAAGTCATAGCGTGGACCGTTTGCCGTGAACGACTGGCACTTGATCACCTGGAGAGGTGCTTGGGTTTGTTCAACGAGCACCGGGTTTGTCCAGTTTGCGCACTGAGTCGAAAGCAGAAACTCATTGACCAGGGACGGCTCGGGGAGGGACAGGAATTTCTCACTGGCTCCATAGACAGGTGGGTTGAAACTGAGGAGGAGGAGCCACATGCACAGCGTGGCTGCTAATGCAGATTGTCCGGTTCTTGCAGCCATCTTTGAGCGTTCTTTGCACGACGTCAACCGGCGCCCCCCCGGCGCCAGAGTTGTGCACGATATTCTGAGGAAGACCCGGCGCTTCTCCGGCGCCTCTTGCCTCCTCGGCGGTCTTGTCTACCCACATTCAACCTCAGCTCTAAGCTTTGTTCTTCCTTGAACCCGGAGGACAGCAAAACAGCCTCTGTGACAGTGTTGACTCATCAGCGTGTTCAGTTACCTGCTAGACTGAGCTACTGTACTGCGTCGCGCGCCGCGCGCCGGCGGCGGCCTTGGCCGGCTGTGCGGCAAGCGAGGGTTTGGGGTTTCCGAGCCACTGCCATGACCGTTCCTCGCGGCCGCCGAAACGGCCGATACGGAAAGGCTCGGAAAACTCGCTTTCCAGCATTGCTGTTGGCATGGCCGCATAGGCGGCAATTCAATTTGCAGCATCGTCGCTTGTGCAGGAAGAAAGTATCGTCTTTAAGTGCTGCTTTTTAGAAGGGTTTGAAACGCAGCGGTAGAGAGAGCAAGGGACTCCAAGCGGCAGGATGTCGCTTTCCTCGCTCAGAGTCCTCGACAAGGATGTAACAAGTGAGCACCTCTTTCCCGCTTTGCTGACTCTTTTTTGGAATCCTTTGTGCCTTCTGTAGGCATAGCAGAATGAAACATTTTCAATTGCGCGATTGACTCTAGTATTCTACTGGTCACTTAAATAAGTAATGCTTCTCGCTTGAGGAGATACTTGCTGCATTTCTTGCAAACATGTTGTAGTGTGTTGCCATTCTCCCCGTGTGCTCGTCTCCAAGGCTTTTACGCAACCTGGTACATGATATCAACAATCCAGTCCGCGTCCGCTTCTTGTAGTAGGGCCTCCTTCTTATGAAGCCAGTTGCAGAACTCTTTTCACCCATCTTCCCTAACCCTGCACATGGCAAAGACTTGATGTAACAACCTCACTTTGACCTTGGATAATCCCTCCTTTATATCCCCCACACTTCTCTCCATTCCCTTCCCACAACTCTCCAGAGAAGCACACTCAATCTACCTACGTTCTTAAATTTATCCTTTCCCCCCTGCATTTTCTTTGCAAATGCCCCTGGGGTCCAGCCTGTGAAGCTTATCACACTTCCCCTCCCGCACTTACTTTGCAGATGCTCCCGGCAGAGACTCAGCTTTCAGGCCTAATGTCAAGGCCCGGGTGCGGAGGGGCCAGACCGGCACGCCTGCCCCAGAAGCGGTCCCTGCGCCGCAGGCGCCCCCATTGGAGACAACGGCCAGGCCTGAGCCCCTTGATGCAGCGCAGCGACCCGCTCCCCCTTCGGGCCCCTTGTCGGGCCCTGCTAGAAGTGCGAGACTGGTAAGCACACAAGGACAAGATGAGGGCGGTAGACGCAAATGAAGTGTTGCCCTGCTTGGTTATTGATGGCAAATGCAAGTCAATATCAATCTCCTCGAAATAAAAAGGTCTAATAGAAGCATTGCCCTGCTTGGTGACTGATGGCAGCCTGCAAGCCAACGCATCACTGTTCTGAAATAAAAGCGAAGGTTGAATCGTAGATACACAAAAGTTGGGCTCGCGTGAATATTGTCAATGTCGAAAGATTGACGGATACATCAACAGTGTCGAAAGAGCACAGTCCAAGACCTGCACTTGATCAGCGAACTGAAGAAGAGAAGAATCTGGGTGAAGAGGAGCAATGCTAGCTTTTTGCTTGCTTTTTGAGAATCGGTACATTTCAAAGACCCAGGTGTATGGGGCTGCCAGCACCACCCTATCTTTTCTTCTTATTTCCATGTCCAACCACTTGTTTGTATCTTTGTGCAGCCTCCGATTGTTGAGGCGGAGAGGCCTCGGGGGCGTGAGCCTGCTGCTGCTCCCCTGGGCGCCCTTGCCCCCCCGGCAGATCCCATTGCTCCTGCGACACTCCCCCAAGCGGCTGCACCCCCAGCTGCCGATGGCCCCACCCAGAGTGCCGGAGCAAAGAGGAGGATCCCCCACTCTACGACTGGGGGCCGGCGAAGGACTGGTAAGACAGTGTTTGTGGGGCAAAATCTTCAGAGTCTTAAAGTTCTAGATATACATTGTGTATGCAGGGCGAAATTTCTCAGGATTCAAGCACTCCAAGAGGCTTGGTAGAGAGTTGATCTTTCAAGAGTTAACCTTTCAACAAATGCCAAGTAGCCAATTCGTGTAACAAGGTGGTTGCCTGGTAAGCCACTGGCAGACACCTCCACAGAACGATGAAGTAGGAGGCTGTGTCCCACTTCGCTTAACATCTTGAGAATCCGGTTTGGCACTCTGCTGTATGTCAGTTCCCGTATCCGCACACAATGAGACCCTGGCAAAAAGGGTTGGGTGGCTCGAGCTGGTCCAGGTTTGGTGTCTACATATTGTTGATGCAGCTTGCAATCCTTTCGCTGAGATCAGGCCTCTCAGAATCGGAATGTCACACGGTCAAAAGATGATTGTGAGAAGGTTCTTAGTGAAAACAAGCGCTTTTTCCACGACTGTCCTTGATGGAAACGCACCCGGGGATTGAATGCCAGCCTCCTACCACATTTGTAGGCGGTCTGGGATATTGCAGATTGTCCCCATCTGCAGCACCTCTTCCTTTCTTGCGCAGCCTTCCGTGGCGGGCCCGAGGTAGACGAGCACTTCCTGGCAACGGGGGAGGTCAACACTGCCGGGATGACCCTTAAGGACATCCTCCGGATGGCAGACGCAAAGGAAAAGGAGGCAAGTCTCGGCTTGAGACCGCACATCTCATGTGCCATCTTTCAATCCTGGCAAAGCTTCAGGGTCCGTCTGAGTGCTCCGCTGGTGAAGCCTTTGGCTTCGCTTTGTCTGCTCGCACCTGGCTCCTCACAAGAGTGGCTCTCCTCGGGACTCCAGTTTTCTGCATCACGCTATTGGTCTACAAATCTTGCCTTGCACCTATAATTGACGATTCTAGCACACACAAATCAGCTGAGCCGTTTAGCGGTTGCAGAAGCACGAGATTTTGCAATCCCTTGACCAGAAGCCCTATTTAGTTGACAACGAGATTGGGTCCATCTGCTATCGGGTAGACCCTTCTATACCAATCATATCCTCAGTCTTTATCCTCCTCTGCTCGTCCCCTACAGAGAAACGTTGACGATGTACGGCGGCCCCCCCGGGATGAAGAGGCTGAGGAGCGGCAGGCACGGGAGCGCTCTCCTGACGAGTGAGCACCCTCCGATCTAGTTCGTGTCGCTGGAAGTTGGTCCCGACAGTCGCCAGCGGCAGTTTGCAGAAGCTTACTTGAGGTTGCCCTACAGCGCTCTGCGTGCGAGTGTCGCCGGCCGTGCGACCTACAAAATCCTGGTTAGAGGGTTTCTAATCCCTTATGTCCGCCGCTCATATCATATGCCTCTTTTTCCCTGGCCGAACGTCCGTACCCCCCAGAACCGCGTCCCCTTACCCCCGTGAATCATATTACCGCCGTCCATCGACTGTCCAAGTCAACGTTTAAAGTGATGTCCGAAACTTTTCAATCCGTGCCGCACGTGCGCGCACCAGTCCCCAACATTTTACCCCTCTACCATCGCAACTCGTCTCACTGACTCGTCCAACCGAGTCTGCTTACGGAACGAACGTTTGAAGTCACATTTAAGGTTGTATTTCCCAGGCCGGACGTTCGCGCGCTGGCTCCCGAAAATCTCATGCCCTTCTCTCGTTACCAACCTCACCGAACCGTCCGACAGTACGTTTGAACGAAACGTCCGAACCGATGTCCGATCGTTTACCTTCTCAGGCCGGACGTACGCGCACTGGCCCCTTGGAATCGAGGTAGAGGGCCAGACCGTGCTCAACCCTCAGAGCCCGACAGCGTCCGCACTTGCGTCCAAGCCAGTCGTCCTAAACGTCCTCATGTTCGAACGAAGTGCTGAACTGACTCCTCCACCTCTGTCCTCCAGACCGGACATCCACGCGCTGGCCCCATAGATCCGCGTAGTCAACGGCCCGATCGTGGTATACTAGCAGAGCCTGACGGCGTCCGCGCAGGCGTAAAGCTTGTCTCCTTAATTGCTCGCATGTCCGAACGAAATGTCCGAACTGACCCCTTGACCTTCTGTGCCCGACCGGACGGCCGCGCACTGGCCCCCCAGAGTCGGGTAGTGGACGGCCAGATCGTGGTAGAACCCGGAAGCGTCCGCACAGGCGTCCAATCCCGTTGTCATAATTGTCCGCATGTCCGAACGGAATGTCCGAACTGACCCCTCAACCTTCTGTGCTCCAGGCCGGACGTCCTTTCGCTGTCCTCCCACATCTTCATCCCCTTTCATCGCTATGTATCTCATCGCCGTTCTACTCGATGGTTGAAGAAACGTCCTAATCAACGTCCGCACGTGTTCGTTCTCAGGCCGGACGTCCGCGCGCTTGCCCCCCAAATCCGAGTGGTTGACGGTCAGATTGTGGTCGACCAGCAGAGTCTGACAGCGTCCGCACAGGCGTCCAACCCGGTCGTGTCGCACAGCTACCGGCGCGTCGAGGAGAGCGGGTCGCGGCTCAACTCGAACACGTACTCGAACCGGAAGCCCACCAAGCGGTGGACGGACGCAGATACGGTCGTGTTTTATAAGGTGAGGGAAGTGTGATGTAAGAGTATGGGAGAGATGTGGGTTTGAAAGGTGGTAAGAAGAGGAGTTGAAGACTCGCAATAATGAGAGCGGGGCAGCGGGTTCTGGACGGTCGAGGGGTCCGGGGCCGACCGAGTACTGACAAGTGAAGCCATGCGAATCTAGTGGATCGACGCTCCCCCGAGCTTGCATGACTTCCGGGCCGTATTGCGGACGTAAGGGATGCATCCCGGCGTCGCTTTTGCGCTTCTACCACCCCACGCCGCCTCAAAGGTCCCACCGCAAGCGGCGAGAAACATTTCAGGAGTTTAGAATTGGGGGGTGTTCATTAGGCCCAGAGGGATGTCATTATAACGTGCACTTTTTCCCCCGCAGGCGCTGCGGCAGTTCGGCACGGACTTCACGACGATCCAGAAGCTGTTCCCGAGCCGCAGCCGGCACCAGATCAAGAACAAGTACCTCAACGAGGACCGCCACCACCCCAAGGCCATCGAGGCGGCGCTCAACCATAAGAGCAAAGGTGGGCCCGCCACAGATTGCGATTGCTAGTGTACCGGATTCAGGTCCTGATTGTGAAATACAATGTAGTCGAACTACAGGAGCAAAGGTCGGCCATGCGCACATCGCAAACGCTCGTATGTGGGGATGAGGTCCTGTTTCCTAGGCGTCGAGAAGTCGACCCGGCACCGTTGTAATAGTACCTGTGAAAACCGCACCGTTAGGAGCGATTCTTTGATGGAACATTGAGAGCACGGGCGACGAGTTGAAGTGAGGAAGAACAGTGTTCCTGAAAATTCAAAGAGCCTCGCATTTCCTCGGCCACTCCAATTAAGGTGCGTCGCCGTAATCAGCATCTTGTACAAGGCTTCGAAGCAACGACCTCTGGACGGCTGCCAAGACAACCAGCCTTTGATGTGATTGACGACTTCGTTTCTCAGCAACTGACTTCACCTCGTTTCCTCCTCCAGATAGCAGCCATTACGAGGAGATGATCGCCCAGCTGCAAACGGCGGCCAACGCAGAAGCCGAAGAGAATCTGGAGAATGGAGCGCAACCAGACGGTGCGCAGAACCGGGGGGCGAGCGGGTCTACCGGGACGGCGCAGACGACCGCTTCAGTGGCTGCAAATGCGTCCCAGGCAGCGGCCTCGGGTGTGGATGACGTGGCCGGAACATCAGGGCGGGATGATGACGTGGGAGAGCTGGATCACGTGGGCTTTCCGGCGGCGTTGGTGGTTCCGTCCGGTGGCTCCCAGCAGGGCGCGAGTCAGCAGAGCACGGCGCCCACAGCGGGCGGTTTGTCGCAAGAGTCGCAGGCCCGGGCCACTGGAGTGGAAGGGCCGGTCCGGGAAGCCGAAGCATCGGGTCCGCTCAACTACTTGCAGAGGTCGATGCAGCGGAGGCTCGAACGAGGCTACCGAGACTCAGCGTTATAATATTTCGGTTGGAAAGCTTTGCACAACTTTACGTAGCTTCAAAAAATAGTAGATGGTGTGCAGTACGCATACTTTAGAGTGCGACAAGCTATCTTTCTTACAATGAAAGCGTCAGAAGAAAGTCAGTGTTCTCTAAGCGGCCTGTAGGCGGTTTGTTTAGATGCATCCATTGCCCGAGGCCCATCTGCAATACAACTGCACCCATCCAGTGCATTATTGTGAATAATAATACATTGCTTAACTAGTGGCAACTTCAGCTGGAGCGTGATCTGAGTTTGTTTCTGCATGGTGCATATTATACTGAGTGCACCATGGTACACCCGCACATGGTACATAATGCGATGCCTGTGTCGAGCTACGGGGCCGCGTGAATTTGACACGCGCTGTAGACGCATTGAATGATGGCATGGCTCCGAATATCTTCGCGTCGTGTATAGGGTCACATGTGGTTACTTAGGTATCCGCGCCTCGAGTTCATATGCTCTGCAAACTCATAACCGAATTCAGGAGTCGATCTCCTGCGGCGCGCGATTTATTGCGCGTCAAATTATTAACTGGCGAATCTTGCAACTTGGAACAAGAGTTCGAGTCTGTACCATCCATCATCCATACGTTCGTTATAATATGACGGACGTAGCGTACCCTCGTGATGCTAACGATCTAGATACCTAAGCTAGCTTCAGATAATGGTAGAAAAGATCAGCAGATTGAGTCTTGCATGGATTCGTCTGTTTCGAGTTTGAATCTCTGGGGCCGGCCACTTGCCATGTTGCACAGACATGGCCGTAAGGAGTAAGCAGTCTTCTTTTGAGGAACTAAGCTTATGAAAAACCAGCACGGCCATCTAGCTACCGCAATGGGTGCGACTTCCATATGGTGCCCGGACATTTGTCTACGCTGATTTGAGCTAGTGACTCATCTAGACGGTTGCGCAACTGTCTAGCTTACTAGCTCTCAGTAGCTATGGCTCTAGGCTATGACAAACTCTTGCAGTGACCATGTTTTAGGGCCTTACAGTTTTACACAGTGCGTGCTCGGGTTTGCGTTTGGAAGAAGGACCGTGTGCCTTGTTCCAAAGCAGCTTTGACGTTTCTGTCTACAAGCGGTCCTCTCCTAACCGTATCTACAGCTAGCAGCGCACCTTATGGCAGTGATGTCTAGACTAATGGACGAACTTCATTGACTGAAAGCAGCGCTTAGGGCTCGACCGAGCTTATCCGCTTCATGGACTTTCCGGCGCTTGTCTTAGGGTCCGCTACCAGCTCCAACACGTCCAGGCCTGCGACGCACTTCTTGAGGTACTTGGGGTACCTGCGGATCGGACCAGTAACGATTTTGTCAGTGTTGCACAGGCGGGTCCAGCTCAGAGTGGTAACTTTGTTGAATGGATCGCAGCCAGCTGATAAAAGTTCCCGCCCATTTGATCTGTCAGGCGTCCTGCTCCACTTACTGTGTCTCCACTTGCGGACTACAGCTACCTTCTTCGAGCTCCCACTTTCGACAAGGAAAATATCCGCCCTTCTGCCGGGTGTATGCTCTAGAGAATAGTTCACATGCCTCGTAACCAGGCTGTCACGAAGCGAGAAGAAAGTGCAAGAGGAATTCGCCAGCCCGACTAAGACCAGACGTCCTCTTACAGTAGCATTGAACCAATTCTCAACAAGCGCACACTCTGACAGGTGGCCCCTTTTACAACGCTTGCAGCGGTTCTACCTCGACAGCTGGCAAGCGTACTCACACAGCTGGCAATCGCACTCTAACAGCTCGTTTATGCCGCGCACTGACAGCTGGCAGATCGCACTTTCACAACTGGCAACTTGCTTCGTGGCTAGTAAGCGGCCCCTCTTAAAGAGGCGTACTTCAACAGCCGCATTCAACCCTCTCTCTGGTCCATTGGCTCGCGCACGAAGCCCGTTCAACTACTGGGGAGCTTTCAGTGTGAACAGAAGTCCCTTCTCACAGGACCCCTCAGCAAAATCCGCACGTATCCTGGTTACAGAGAAGCCGGACAGCTGGCACTCACCAGAAGTGGTCAAGGATGAATCTGATGGGCGCCGGCATAGAAGCCCGGAACTCCTTTTCCACGTAGTCCTTGCCCGCCCACTTGTACATGGAATGCACGATCCAGGGGGCCATCTTGGCGTTCCCGCTCAGGCCTCCAGCCTTGATGATTTTGTCGATGATCTGCAGGACGGGTTCGGGTTCGATTCTAGAAGAGAGATGTCAAAGGGGAAGAGCGGAACGGGGTTCAAAGACTGTCAAAGCTTCCTGTGACGAGTGGTTTGGGTTTGAGCTGAGCTGGATTGTTGCTGAGCTGGTCTGCTCGACTGCTGCAAGTCAGAAGCCCTTGCAAGGCCAGAGAGAATCTGGCAGCATACATGAACGTGTTTTGCGCAATATTCTTGTTCTTTACGATCTGAAGTCGTTGACAGCTGTCAAACAAGGAAGCAAGGTTGCTGGGACAAGACTATGGGACAGCTGCACAGAGACACTTGTAGACTTCCTCTACGCCTAACAAACAACTTTGAAAAGTAGTAGCGATGATCACCAAGAATCCAGTCTGCTTACCTGCTGGTGCTCCTCCTTTGTAAACTTCTCCCGAATCACTGGCGTGAAAAACCGCTCCTCCTCCTCGAGATGCTCCCTCAGCTCCGCCGCCATGTGGGCGACCTTCTGCCTCAGCTCCTCTGCCAAATTTCGCCGCTCTGCCATCGATGGAGGGGATCCCCCCTTGGTGAGCGGCTGGAAGCGCAGCTCCATTCCCTTGATGTCATCCAGCATGTGAATAAGCCCCTCATGGTCGGCGGACATGCGCTCGGGGATGACGTCACAGCGGGCTTTGATCAAGGGGAAGAAGATGGTTTCCTCCACGTCGTGGTGGTGGTGTACCTGCGGGTTAGCAGAACCGGGTTAGGACGAAGCGAGAATGAGGGGGGTAGCAAGTGGTTATGTCAAGGTTAAAGCGGCTGATTGCAAGCCTGGTCTCTCAGTCCCATGACCTGCTGAACTAGGAAACAAGCTAACGTCTCAAAATAGTGTGAGCCCATTGGTCTGTGAGTCGACTGCCTGGCGGTTTCGGAGTTTCAGAGACAAGGCTTGTTGGAACCAGAGTCTGCGGCTTGAAGGGTGAGGGCTCAGACGATATATGAGCAAACATAGGAGCATCCTGGGCACACCATGTGCCTCAGCAGCCTAACGCACCAAACATAGACTGTTGTGCGGATGCTTTCACAAAGTCGGGAACACAGCAAGGGATGCGGGGACACTCAGTCCTCAGGGCTCAGCAAAACATTTGCTGGGCTGCTCTCATGGAGCTGCACCAGCCCATCTGCTCAGCGCTGCTTCAACACTCTGGCTGAGAGCAGTTGTTTGTTTGATTCCAGCTGTCGCTTTTCCAGACCACAGTGAGCATCAAATTGTTCAGATGTCATTGGAGCGGGGCCTCACGTTGGGGTAGAACCACCGGTTGTACCACTTGAAGAACGCCGCGACCTTCCAGGGCTGCGTTCCGTCAAAGAAGGGCGCCTGCAGCAGGCGCTCCATGCGCGCCAGGTCATCGCGGATGGGCTCGTGGGGGGTCTGCAGGCAAATAATTGCGTGAAATGTTTTCAGATTGCCGTCCCAAGAATCTTGTTTGCTCAAGCTCAGTAAGAAAGGTGACTCAAACCTCCTCATGGGGAGCCACCGTAATCTTCAGCAATGCTGCTCAAAAGCAAGTCAGACATGGTCAAGCTCGATAGAAACCTAAGAAACTAGGGGACGTTCATAGATAGGCCCCATGCAAAGGTCCCAGCAACGTGCCCGGAACCAGGTCAAAGATACTCAATTATTGTCAAGCCCTTGCACAGTCAGAGCCTCTCTTGTTTCCACAATGTCCTGCTCATTGTCTGCCATTGACCATATCAGCCTTGGAAAGGACCCCAGGAGGTTGTCCCCATAGTAGCAGCTCACAACTTCCGCCCCTTCACGCTACTCCGAGGTGTGCAAGACTCTTCTAGTAGTAGCACCATTTCAAACAAGGCTGCCAATTCACCAAATGGATGTGGGCAACTCACCAACATCGACGTGTCAGACCAATGGTTGACAACTGGTATCACCGTAGAGGTGGGGCCGACGAATGCCGGCACATGCTTTGGTGGAGCCATTCGCTGACGTCAAGAATAGGGATTGGCTGCCTGACACGGCTCTCGATTGTGCTGGTCTAAGAGTCTGCTTCACAGGGGATCTTGCCTTGACGTTGGCGCAGGGCAAATGGGGCGGTCGAGTTTGTGGCTGCAGAGTTCCGGCAGCTTGTAAGACTTGTTTCATGCGCAAGTGAAAGCAAGAAAGCAAACAAGGCAATTTTGTACGAATGGCGAGAAGCTGTGCTTGAGATGGGACTGTGAAGAGGACGCTTTATTTGCTGCTTCTGAGCAGCAGTTTCTGCAAACCTGTCGTCCTCGACCTACGGTAGCAGTGAGCACCATTCGACGACCATGTTGACATCACCCGCAATTCACGGGGGTGCGCCCACCACTTGATGATTGCATTGCATTTACTCGAAGTGCTTGAAGTGTGACAATAATATAACCGGGGAGTAGTTCGATATCTAAGCCAATGCCCGGTTGAAATATAGGTAGTCGTCGCCGTCGACGGTCTGCCCAGATCTTTGCATCAAACTTCTTCAGACGAAAGACTCAGCCGGTGGATAGCTCCGACCCCGAATGGGAAGCCCCGGGCCGAAAAGTCGCGTGACCTCTGCTGAGGGATCATCATAGGTCATAAATGTGGTCAATCACCGTTACCGCCCCTGCACTGATGCCAGGCGCTTCAATTGTCGTCTCGATTACGACCTACACCTCAAAGCTCCAGAGCTGCTCTTGCTTTAGGTACTATAGGCCTACCTATCGAAGATGTAATTGCACAAAGCAAGCATATTTTACCAGGGAAATGGCCGCGGGAGCCGTCCAGGCGAGGAAAGTCCCCCTGGGGCAGGGCGGCCGCACTCAAATTTCTGATCACACTCAAACCTCCGATCTGTGGCCCAAACTGGGCAACACGGAAGGACAGTTTGACGACGCTCCCGAAGACGATGTGGCGCCGATGTCAACGGCGTCGAGAGAGCTGTACAGTGCGGAATTGAATTTGGAGGGGGAGGAGGGCAACGTTGGAAAGAAGCAAGAGGAGGTAGAACTAGACGAGGAAGAAGAGGAGGAGGACGAGGATGAAGAGGAAGAGGAGGTGCTGGAAGCCCTGGATTGGGTGGACCTTAGAGAAGGTAAGAGGAGCCGGTGTGATGGTAATGGTAGAGAAAGGTGGTATGGTAAATGCTGATTAGGAGCTGGGTTTGAAGCAATTTTCTATTGAAAAAGTGGTGAATATGGTCTTTGAAAGGATGAAGATGTGACATCATGGGGCCAACCAATCAGTATGACCAGACGGAAAGAGTGGTGCAAAGCATGAGTCGCTGGGCAACAGGGGAACAAGCCGCCTATGACTTTATTAGGGGCTGGTTGTAAGAATAGCGTCGATGGCGGTCGTTGAAAATTTACTCTTTCCAGCAAGTTAGGGTTAGGGTTAGTGCATTTTTGAGGGTGGCCGTATGATCAGCGGTTGAACGTCAGATACGCTCTATACGATTGGCATTCTTATGTTGCTTGATTTGTGGTTTCGGCATTGCCTATTTGTTTTTTGTCGCCATACCACTCACACGTGTGCTGTCTTCTTGGCAGATTTGGAAAGTAGGCCCCTTCACCATCTCATATAGCAGCTCCTTTCTTCCCTCTTCAAAGTTGATACGACGTTCATGCATTAGCACCAAAACTTCAGTTTTTCTCCTGCAAGTGGTGTAAAGCAAAAAATCCTAGCCAATCCTGTTTTTCATGTCCACAATTCTATCCGCAGTTTCAAGTCGTGAGCTTCTTTTTGTCAGTTCTCATGAGGATAGACTGGATTGATCTTTGGACCCGCTGAAACAAGCTTGAATTCTGCGCTGCAGATCTTGAGTCCCGTGGGAGCGCTCACGGACTTGGCAGCTTCTCTGGGGTGCACAGGCGGCCAAACGCATTCGGGGGGGTCCACAACACTGGCAATCGTACCCCCTCAGATGGAACCGGTAGCTTGCAGCCCCGGGGGGTGCGGCAGCAGCACAAGTTCATCGGAAGGATCAATCCAGGACAGCTGGTGGGTTTTTATTATTTGGTTATAATACGAGTTGTGCAGTTTGACTTTGTGAGAAGCTGAGGTAGCTAGCAAGCCCAACAGGTCCAAGGTACAGCTGTGTCAAACTATGAAGTGCCCAATGCTGAGGCGAGTCGTTGAGATGCGTCAGCCGCCATAACATAACGTGGGCTGCTCGCATGGGGGCCGCTGATTTTTTGCTGCTTGAACGTCATGGGACAGGCGGCAGCTTACTGATGGTTTGTCAGACTGCAGCTTACCTACTTCAGAGCATTAAGAAAGTGGTTTTGATGAATGGTCCTATGTTTTGATCTAGAAGAAGGATGGTGCGATTGCAGTTGATGATATCGACGGTCTGACTCTGGACAGAAGTTGCCGATGTCTCACTCAACGAACGCTTGGATTCTGGACCCTTGAAGTCTCTGCTTCTGGAACCACAGGACATGGATGTCGCACCTTCTATGTCCAACTCGGTGGCCACCTCGATCAAGGAGAACGCGCGCAAGGAGGCGGCCGGGCGCATCCGGTCAACAGAGAAAGCTGACAGGGCGACTGTCGAGCAGGTGGGCGGACTTTTCCATTCACTGCTCTCCTTCTTAAGCGCTGGAATCATCTGCAGCTATTTGGAACAGAGCTCTTGGGCACATCTAAGACTGATTGGATTGACAGACGTTTCGGTTTTGCTGCTCTTAATGTGAAGAGTCGGACCGATTGCAAACGTCAAACACGGAGCCTTTGTGCACAGTTTGGTTGGCGATTTCCAAGAAACTTCACCCCCGTATTGGTTTGTCGTTCTCCTGGCAGGCGCTCGACCCCCGCACCCGGATGGTCCTTTTTAAGATGCTCAACCGGGGTGTGTTTCAAGAGATCAACGGCTGCATCTCCACTGGAAAAGAGGTGAGGAAAGGGACTAGGGTACAGTTTACTATGGAACTCGCTACAGCATGAGATTTTGCAGCAAAGTTGCACATGGACTCCTTTCTTCTATGCTCTTTCGAGACACTGAAAAGGAAAAGCTTCGGTGCAAGAGTGAGAAATAAAGACGTTCGCCTCAACAACAGAAACCGTTGTGAGGTCAATCACATGGTTGCTGGACCGCGTTTTATGTCGAATAGTAATATTGCTGGCCAGGCTTTGCTGATCTCCTTTCTGTCCTCGTCTTTGAAGCCTTGGTTTGTGCGATACATTCAATTGGAGGCAGGCCTGAGCCGTGGATGCTTCTTGACTTGCCGGGGTTCAGGCAACATTTGAAGCTGCCATCCCGGCATTTTGAGAGCGACGTCTCTTCCCCTCTTCTGAGGCTCTTCGCCTCCTTCTCGTTCAGCTATTGGTGACTGAAAGGGGCGCCCTCGTTGTGAGGTGCGAACGACGGAGATCTTTGAGCGGCACAGGTGTCCTACGTCGCTGATTTGTGCCTTACGCTCTGCAGGCGAATGTGTACCATGCAGCGACAGAGAGCGGGAGCGAGATCGCGATCAAGGTCTACAAGACGTCCATCCTCGTCTTCAAGTAAGCGCGCCGCCATCCTCAAAAGAGCTTTTCTTGTTCGGACGTTGCGTGCCTTTTTTAAAGGGCCTTGACAAATGCCGTACTCTTTACTAGAGTGCTTGACCGCGAGGAGTCGAAATTCGCTTCTCGAGTCTTCGCCGTGACTTTGTTCTTCCTGGTCACAATTCTCAAATAGTGACTGTGACTGGCAGTTCTTCACAACTGAGCTGTTGACGCCATGACCAACGGTTTTGTTTCCAGCAGAACCTTCAGCGGTGGGCACAATTGTCAGGTCACTGGTGAGCCGATGAAGTAGCAATCTCTATCTCTTTTTGAAACGGTACTCCGAGATCAGGCGATCGGTTTGTCTTACTACATTGGCGGTGTTTATTTTGCAGGGACCGAGACCGGTATGTGCAGGGTGATTTTCGGTTCCGTCACGGCTATAGCAAGAGCAACCCGCGCAAGATGGTCAAGACCTGGGCCGAGAAGGAGATGCGAAACCTCATGAGGTGAGCAGCCGTCCCTCTGACTGTCTGTAGAGCTGCTGCGTTCGGCTTTGTGGGATACAACAGTCTTCGAGTCGACTGATTAGCACACGTCTCTTCATTGTCCAGCGTCGGAGCACAACTCTTTCGCTGATGCCTTTGCACCGCACCATGAGCTCTTGGGATCGCGGTCCGTATTCAGTGGAGCTGGATGAGGCTCCAATGGTTCCAAACGCGTCCCCGCAGACCTCATTCTCTACGGGGAGTCGCTGGTATGCAAGCACCCCAGTTTTCACCAAGTCTACGGGAGCATTTCTGTGGCGTTCTATCCCAAGTGGCATTTTGATTGCTTTTCTAAAGGTTACAGTAGTGACATACGTGTTTTACTGACATAGTGTCTGCTGTACTCCCCCCAGATTGAACAGCGCGGGCATTCGCTGCCCTCAGCCGCTCCTGCTGCGGCTCCACGTCTTAGTGATGACGTTCATTGGAACCAACAGCTGGGCCGCGCCGCGCCTCAAAGATGCGGCGCTCTCCGCCGAGAAGCTGGGGGCGCTCTATGTCGAGGTACGTACCTTCCGGGCTGGAGTGAAACGGTGACATCATGTTCTTAGGTAGCGAGGCTTGTAATGCTTGACGAAAGGGAGGGTCAGAATCCTGACATGGTCAGTGTTCAACAAGGAGATGCTGGGTGGTTGAAGAACCTTGCAAAGCGTTTCCATTTTCCAGCTCCGTGAACCGGATACAAACGTCACGCATTATAGTGCTCAAGGATAATTGAGATGCTCTTCGACACGGTCCACTAGAAGCTGACGCAATCGCAAGAAGAATAGGAAAGAGCGAGATGACAAGAAAGTGCGCTGCTGCTGACAATCTTCTTGACAACCGTTTCGTTCAGGCTACGTAGCTTCATCTTTCTGAAACGGGCAGTTTCGCTTCATAAAGGCGCGTTTGAGAACTTTCGCCTCTGCTTTTTTTCGCTAAGCGGCAGCCCCTCTTCGTTCACCGCGGTGCGCTTCAGAGTTTCCTTTTCACTCGTCTGTTCCACAATTGGTCGCCGGTCTGTCCGCCTGATTTTGATTGATTCCACCCTCTCTGTGGCCTCGTTTTCTTTTCCGGCCACGCGCTCTCCCCTTCAATGTTATGGATCACTGGCTTTTCCGTCTGGTTTTGTTTGAGTCGCTCCCCCGCTATTTCGTCTCCCAACACCCAGCATTTTTGCGTTGTCTCCGCAGTGCCTGCTCGCGATGCGCACCATGTACACCAAGTGTCACCTGGTACACGGCGACCTGAGCGAGTACAACATCCTGTACTTCGAGGTACGCATTCACACCGGGCGGAGGGGTCTGCCTGCGCCGCATGATGACGCAGTCTTGCAGTGCATGATGACGCAATGACGGCCGATTTTTCTTTGTCCAAACAGTGCTTAAGAATCCGCTTTCTGGTGTGACTCAGGCGTGGATGTAAGTCTGTGCCAGCCTGCTAGGCGGAGATGTAAACAGGCGCTAGAGATAGGAAGACGGGGTGTGAACAGGCGCTCGTCTGTCTTCGCAGGGCCACTTGTACATCATCGACGTGTCGCAGTCGGTGGACCTGGACCACCCCCGCGCGCTCGACTTCTTGCGGGAGGATTGCCTGCACGTCACGGTGAGTTGCGCGGCAGTTTCTTTTTCGACACTTAAAGAGCGACCTGCTTCGACATCGTCACGCTAGACTGCTTGGGATATTTGGATCTGTCGAAGGTTGTCCTTGATTTCAAGGAAGCTCTGAATCCTATAGTTGTCAAATCAGGGATTGTTTGCGCTAGGAATATAGTGGGTATGTTACCAGCGGAGAGCTGTTGAGTGGTTACGGTGCGGAGCAGGTGCTGTTGAGGATTCGGGTCATAGTTGTCGGTTAAGGAGCTTCCTACCGTAAAGCCTTGTTGTCCTCAATCCGGATTTATCTGGTCCGCATCATACAAACCTTTCCGCAACTCTGAGAACAACTGACCTTTCCTCTAAGGAATGAGGCCTTCCGCAGCTGAGTCGCCTCCCGCTGTGCCCCTCGCTATGGGCTCTTCCTCGGACATTCTGTCGTGACGTCAGCGAGCGGCCGCGTCTTTTAATACCCTTTCCGGGGCTTGCAGGACTTTTTCCGGCGGAGCGGGGTTGCCACGATGAGCGTGCGCGAGCTCTTTGACTTCGTGACAGACCCGACATTGCAGGACGACAAAGTCGATGACTATCTGGATGCGGTGAGTTTTGCAGCCAAATATGTTTGCAGCTGTAGGGCTGCAAAGGCCTGAAGTGCTGTGTGCTTTTATTGGGGTGACGGGCGTTGAATTGTTGTGGTTTTTGATTTTGGCTTTGAGGGTGTCAGATGTGGTATTATTCTTCGAGTACTGCGCCTCCATGGTTTCACCGGTGGTGAAGAACCCGTACTATCTCCATTTTTGGAAAGCCCTGCCACAGTCTTTCAAGAGGCCACTCTGCGGTGTATTAGGTGCAAAAGGCTTGGGTAAAGCGAGCCGGCCTTGGTTATTACGAGCTTCGCGTTGTTCTCTTCGGCAGAGTCATCGTAGCCTCGTTCTCACAATGTTGGTGCTAATTGCTTGCTTCTAACGGTTGAATGATCAATGTGCTGACAGATGCAAGAGCGGATCAAGAACCGGCCGGCGGATCAGACCGGGGAGGAGCAGGTAGCGGAAGCAGTCTTTGTCCAGGTAAGACATCTGCAAGCGGCTTGGCGTTCCCTCTGCTCTAAATCTTTGATTCTGGTTGCATCGCCTCCGGAATAACAGTACGTCACAGATTGCGGCTATCTGGCAGAGCCCAAAGGAAGACTTTTCTGTTCTGGTTGATTCCCTATTCTTTGTACACGTGAGCATCTGTCCATCGTCACCAGGGTTTGCGGGTTGCGAGTTTGCAGCGAGTGACTAGGTGTCTTGTCAGCGGATTGCGTTAGCAGGCTCGTCTCTGTGTCTGACGTGCCCTTTTCCCCCCCAAGTTTTGCACCCCCTCGCAGCACGATACAGTCCGGCGACAATCGGTTTATCATGTTTGTCCCCCGTGATTGGTGCGGCTTGGGTCATATTCTACCTTTTCTGGCGTTTGTGGGCGAATCGCCGAAAACGGTGCTGCAACGAACTTGAGTTTTACCACCACCTTTTTAAGGAATCGCAACCGTTGTTGCCGACTGCCATATCCCTGCCACGACCATTGCAGTCGACGAGTTTGCGTCTCTTTGAGCTGACCGCCCCGGTCGGCTTCTTCGCTGCAGTCCTTCATCCCAAAAAGGTTGGACGAGGTCGCCAACTTTGAGCGGGACGCGGACCGAATAACGTCGGGAAAAGACACCGAGGGCATCTACTATCAGAACATTACCGGTATGAAGGATGACTTGTCGGGGGTACGGGAAACGCCCACATTGCTGACGAGCAAAGCGAGAGGGACAGAAGAAACGGCAGCCATACGGGATGGCAGCGGCCGGCAATCTGAGGCGGCAGCCGCTGCTGAGAGTAGAAGCGGAAATTCAGAGGGGGGAGAATCGGATAGGATGGACAAGGGGGGGGAGGAAAGGCACAGTGAGCAGGGGGGGGAGAGTGACTCGGATACGAGTGGAAGCAGTGAGTCGGAAAGTGACGGGGAGGGGAGCGACGGGTTAGAAAAGGAGGGGAAAGATAGGGACGCCGAAAGGGCGGCGCGGAAAGAGCATAAGCGGAAAGTGAAGGAGGAGAAGCGGGAGCAGCGGAAGGTAAAGGTGCCGAAGGCGCTCAAAAAGAAGAAGATGAAAAAGGCCAAGGAGAAGGGCAGGACCAAGAAGTAGCTTCAATTGCTGTCTCGCATGTCTTGAAGAAACGTTAGGCTTGGAAAGTGGTCGCGAAATTTATCAAGTGCGCCCGCACATCTTCGTGCTGAAGATCCCCTCAGTGCCCTCGTGTTTCAGTCGCATGCCAGCTGGCTGTTCACGTGTCCATCTCATAAGACGAAAACGTCAAATTACGAACATGGGCTTAGCTAGGGTCATGGCCCGTGTGAAATGTACGGGCCGCGACCGCGCATGCATCGAGCCAAGGAGTTCGACTGCTTGCACTCGTCGAGAATCACTCACTGGCGGAAGCGCACAGATCAGCGACCCCAAATCACTTCAAATCGTTCAAACATAAGGGGCCCGGTCGATTCAAAGAGCCTGTTGAGTGAGCGTTCTATAGTAGACGTGCAATAAGGGCAATGCCTGATACATACAGATTTTGAAGCATGTGTACGGCGTGTGCGTAATCATGAATTGAAGAATCCGCTCCTGTGGCTGGCCTCATTCGAGGCATGGACTGCATATTTCAGCAGGCATGCAGCATGGCTGTTCCCTTTTAAGTGCAATGATACTTCTGAAATTCCCATATATCTCTGCATACGTACAGCGGCCGTACAGGCACAAAAGTGAACCGACTTTAAGGTCTTAACTGCCTTGACAATGCACGCGTATATATGCACGCAACTTTGAGCTACCTGAATTTTGTGCAGCATACGTGGTCTAGAAACGGTCGACAGCTTCGACAAAGCAAGCTGAACGTGGCGGCTGGGGCAGGCGCGAGCGGCCGCTCCCTGCATATATGATGTACTAGAGCGATCGCAAATCCTGTATGAGATGCGTTCAGCTTCGACGGTTGTGCGTGCAATCTGTTAGTACATGGTAAATACGAAGGGGACATGGTCTTCGTTCGAAGGAGATTGCCGATGAAAATCAAGAGCTGGCCCGAACTGCGTCACCAGAGGCAATCGGTAGCACAATTTGATGGCGGGAATGGCAAAGTCGAGGACAGAGCCAAGGTTAGACGAGCGCTGTAAAATGGATGTTGCAAGGCTACTCGAGATCAGGAGTTGACCGTTCCATTGCGCCTCTCCATACCCCAGTCTTCCGGCCGGCTTATCCTTGACGGCCCCCGACTATCTCTGGTATCTACTCACTACTTTGACAACCAGCCAACTCGAGTAAAAACGTTTGCTTTCTCCACCCTTCCTCGACAGTCTGAATTTACTTTCTCACAATTTCTCTCCAAAAGTACTGGACGCTGCTCCGGAGCTCTTACCAAAATCAGACCTCAATGTCATCTCGACGCCCTTCGAACGAGCAAACCCATCGAGCCTCCGTCTACGAAAACCGAGTCCTGGATATCTTCCCAAGCGCCTACATCCCGCTCGCGACAAGTAACCTAACACCTTCGGAGCCTCTTTCATCCGCAAAAACGAAAGTCTAGATTGCTGCCGCGGCCTTGGGAGCAGGGGCCGGGGTATACGCCTTGATCGCCTTTCCCAGCAGATACTCCAGCTGCCTCTTGAGAGCTTTGCTGGGCAGCCCCAAAAACTTGGGCTCGAGCGCGGCCGCGTATTTGCCCACCGCCGATAGCGTATCCTCCAGCACCCACACGATCGGCTGGTCGTACCCGTCGCCCACGAAGAGCGCCGTCTTCGCGGCGAGTTCCGCCGACACGTCCTTCTGCGCGCGCACGATCGCCTTCAAGTTGCCCTCGATCTCCGCTTGCTCTTCGTCGGTGAGGGGGTTCAGGCGGGGGGTGGGAATCGGCTCCAGGTCGATCGTGCCCACGTTATACTTCTCGTGGACGTCCGCGAGAAGGCCGAACACGAGCGGCGCCTTCTCGGCGACGTTGGACTCGTCGATGGTTTTGAGGAAGTCGGCCGCGGCGGAGGTGGCGGTAACGATCGCCTGGGAGTCGGCCTTGAGCGTTTCGGCGAGGTCGGCCGCGTTGACGGCGGAGACCGCCAGGAGCGTCGCCAGGTAGAGGAACGAGGTCAATTTGGGAGCCATTGTGGCTGCAGAAAGGTGGGAAATTGTCGGAACTTGGAGTGAGATGTGAATGGATGATCATTCATTCTTTTTGATTCGTTTGGTTCTGATTCTGTTTGAATCTATCTGATTCGTTCATTCTGTTCATTCGGCGACTGACTGGTAGAGATTGGGGGCTGCAAGGAAGAAGGCAAAAAGTCGGAGCAAAGGCGAGAGACGTCACGACTCTATTTATTTGTTAAGTTACAATCAAGTACAGCCCTTCGCAAACAAATGCTCGAGAGCGCACCGGTAAATCCGATGAAGAAGCAAGAAGAAGATGGTTTGAGCGCCAAAGCTCGTGATTGGAGGGTGTTTGTCACCATGGGATTGGGCTCCACTTTTACAACGAAAACCTATGTTTTTGGCAATGTGACGCCCCAGCTCGCTTGCTAAAAGTGTCCTTCAATCCCTCCTGGTGGCCGCAATATGTTTCACTGCAGCAAGCTAGGTGGTTGCGTGCACCGCATCAAAACGCGTTTTGCATTCAGTCTGCTTTGACACGACTTCAGGTTGTAAGATACGGATTGAAGAATGGCATCTGCTCTTTCCTCACAAAAGCTGTTGATATGGAGCCAGAATTGAGGATGTCCGTCCTTCCACAAGCTGTTGACACGACGTAGTAGTGAGCATGTGAAAAGAACTTGAAGACTGGAGTGCTTGTTAATAAATCGCTCTTGTGTTTGCCTGGCAACACCCTTGCTTGGGAAATGTAGGTCTGATGGACCACCACGCTAAGTATCGTTCTAAAAATCCGAGCACAAATACCCTATTATCAAAAATCACAGAAATGCAGTGACAATGACATATCATCAAAGTTCATTCATTGCTCACAATCCACTATCAATGATAGAGTTCACCTGATTCAAATCTGCTTCAAACCTTTGAACTTTCCTTCTCAGCTTTCATCAGGAAACAAATGGCATTCGATACAAGAATATTCAAAGTACGGGCTTTTCTCTTGAAGGAAAGTGGACAGCTTTTCCAGGCCAAACCCTGCAGCAAAAGGTTGCATTCTGTTGCTATGACGGAGATTGCAAGCTTAGACCTTTATCTGTTACGGATGGTAGTGCTGAATGACAGGCTTAGAGTTGCTGTGATTTACCAGACTCAATTCTAGTTCCCTTAACTTCTTGAAGATCAAGGTTAGTCTGATTCAAATTTAAGCACACACGTCGTTTCAACTCTTTGAAGGCAGGAATCCGTGGAGAGAGCAACTTAGATGCATTCCCAATGAAGAGCCTCCAAAACCCAATGATAAACAAACCTAATGATAAACAATGATCTTGGCAACAATTACGTCTTTGATTGTGTGTCCATTTGTGGGCATTGTTTACAACTCTGATGGTGTCCAGGTTCGAGAGAGAAGCAATCTGATCAGAGGCTGCATTATATGTTCATAGTGTCGAGGAGATCGCACTGATGTACTAGGTTCCTGATGACACCATTGAATCAAAAGCATGTCACAACAAGCTGACCCTGTTCACAACATTAGCGTTGCTGAACATGACACATAAGTACACAGAAGAGAAGGACAGGAGAGACAGGAAGCAGGATAGAAGAAGCCAGAGATCTGCAGACAACGAAGAAACATGGAAAAAAAGAAACGTGCATGCAGAATTGGCGGATGGAAGGAAGTTCTCACTCTCTACTCTTGGAGCAAGTCGCAGCCTCTGCAAGCGAATGCTCACACTTACGCCTCCGCTCGGCTCTTCACGTTGCCGCTGGTTCAGCTCTCGACGTCTCTTGCGCAACTGGGTCCTCGCAAAGGCTTGAAGAATGTTTCTGTTGAGAGAAGCAACGAAGGACTTTCAAGCTACAAGCCCCTGATAAGAGAGTGCACTTTTGTGGGTCTGTAGGTTCTAGACTGGAGATTCCCTTGTTGCGCCCTTCGGAGTCTACTAGGTAGGTACTTACAGAGGTGCAGTTGGACGGCCGGAAATCAGACTGGGCATCAAGACGCTGAAGCCTGAAGATAAGGTAGGGAGTCCTACTGCCGGTAGGTACAATTCATAGGGTGCCAAAGTGCACTGGAATTGACGTGTCAGGTACCTGCATGCCTAATTACGGTATCTAGTACCTATCTACCGTATCTGTGGCCGACTCTGGAGTACCAAGTACCTACCTGCATACCTACCTAGATCCTGTGGACCTGTGGACTCCAAGTTGAGGCTTGAATTTTGAAGTACCGGTACTAGTAAAATCCAGAATTGGGTACCAGACCTTGCAGCTAGAAGGAAACGGTCGTGTTTTAGTGGCCGCGAAAGTCGATACCAGTACGCTAGCCCGCTGCAGTAGGCTGGCAGCTCAGGATGGACTCAGTAGGTAACGGCAACCGGGCGGTCCTGCCGTCCTAGGCGGCGACCGGTTTGTACTTCCGAGATCGAACGATCCCGCATGTCGTCAAAATAATCATTATCCCGATCGTTTCGGATACCGAATTCCGGAATCCGGCGGCAAGATCCGGCCTGGCGCCGGATGTCCGCTCTCCGCAGGACTTTTCACGTCCGCGGCCGCGGCCCGCAGCTATATTAGACGCGTCTTCGCGGGCGGCCGCGTCGAAATCCTGGCAGAAGCGTTCCGCTTCCGGTGAGTACTCTTCCGCGACGAGCTTAACTAATCGATCATCGACGGAAGGCACCCCAAGAACTTCAGAACTTTGTGCTGTCCCATGCTCTCCCCTGTCCTCTTTCTCTGGACAGCCTGCAGCCATGGTGCTCAAGTGAGTGACGGGCGCGCCCTTGTTTTGTTAGCATACCGTGGGGCTTTGCTGGGTGCTGAATGCCTGTGGTTTCGGGAGTTTGTCTGCGAAACAACGTTTGATTCCGGAAACATGTGCGGCAGCGCCTTACAAGTTGGTTGTGTTGCAGGACGGAGGTCTGCCGCTTCAGCGGTGCGAAGATCTACCCGGGCAGGGGGATTCGGTTCATCCGGTCCGATTCCCAGGTGAGCAGCTGCAAACGACCAGGGGTCAGAGCGCTAATTGGGTTTGACCGAGAGGGCTGGACTCTGGTAACAGTTGCGGTGTGCATAGTTGCTGAGATGATTGGTTGGAAGGGACGGATAGGGGGCTTGGAGAACAGGGGAGGTAGCAGCGAGAAGACGGGCCGAGGGGCATGTTTACGCACACGAGTTGCATTGCGATCCTACTCTTTGGGACACACTCAAGGCTGTTGCGGCAAGTCCGCATGCTTAAGAAGGGCCCTCCTTCTCCGCTGGTCTTGCCCAATCAGTTACACAGGGGCTAGAATCCGTGCTTGCCACGGTAATGGTAATCAGCAGCAGTTGTTGAAAAGTTCCGCTCTGCGCTACCAATCAGGGATCCAAGCGAAACCTTAATGGTTACCGCTCAAGCATAGGTCGTAGTTGGCCACATGTCTTATGGGCCTGCTAGCAACTGACGTCAAGTCAGCTACCGAGCAAAGATGAAGAAATACAAAAATCTGAGCTCAGAGAACCCCCGCAGTCTGGTTTACAGTGCACCTACCCCTCTACAGCGTCGCTTCATTAGGGCGTTTGTGAGAGCAGTGGCACCAAGTTATGAGGGATTGACATAAGCCGGTTAATTTCTAGGTTTTTCTGGAAGTCTATGGGAGCAGAGGACGGGGCCGGGCAAAGGGTGAAGAGCACGGCAGACAAGTCTGTTGAGAAAGGGGGTGATGGCTCAGTGTAGTGGAAGAAGCTCTGCCTGGAATAATGAAACACGAGCAGAAGCACGCATCAACTTGGCAGAAGTGCAGAAGGGCAGGGCCAGCTACACGCCAGCGTTCACAGTCAGAGAATGCACCAAAACACAATTCCCAATCCGAGCGAGCTTGTGCCCCAGCGTGGACTGCAATCAGAGGCCCTTATGCGGGCGGTTGGACTTACGTGGATTGTCTTGGGAATGTAACAGCCTGTTCCGTGCACCCTTGCAGGTCTTTCTGTTCAGGGACTCCAAGTGCAAGAGGCTGTTTCACAACCGCTTGAAGCCCTCCAAGCTGTACTGGACGGCCCTCTACAGGAAGCAGCACAAGAAGGTGCGTCGCAGCAGACTTTTGACGAATAGTTGCTTCTTCGGTCCTTTCTGGGTCTGCTTCTTTTCAAGTTCGGGGGCGGATACATTTTATCTACACTGATTGCTATTCAATGTCATCGCGCTAGGCAGCAGGTGCCCAATTTTCTGTAACCAAGACCCCTAGAGACAGAAATCATGACACTTCTGCGCTGGTGCACATGCTGGCTTGGCAAGTCTGCAGTCAGGATGAGTGCGGCACCATGCTTGGCAACAAGCTGTGCGTCCTGGTCTGACACGCATTAGGCGTCATCCCAACAGAGAATGGGAGTGGTTTGGAGGAATCACGTGACTAGGATTAACGTGCCAACTTTCTCTGGGGATTGACCCCTGCTTTGCCCCTTTGTCTTCCAGGATATTCATGACCAGGCCCAGCGTAAGAAGAAGCGCTCCAACGCCAAGCCCTTCAGCAGGTCCATCGTCGGAGCCTCCCTTGAGGTGATCCAGAAGAGGCGGGCGGAGAAGCCCGAGACTCGCGCTGCAAACAGAGATACCGCTCTCCGGTGAGTATTGCTCTTTTGCTGGCTGGATGTGCTGGCCAGTTTTGCCCGACTGGTCAAACTTTGCATTTGTGTTGGCTGGTCTTAAAAGGGTGATTGCATGCTTTACATGGGTAATGTCTAGCAACGCAGCTCATGTAGCACTGGGCAGATGATTTCTGAACAGGATATGCGGCATGCCGGGTCGCTTGACATTGTGCGCTGCATATTCTGTCGCGATGACCCTTACGCTTGTCAATCTGTTGGCTGACTAAGTGAACAGGGGCTGCAATATGCTGGAACACAGTGTCCTTGACGGTCACATTGATTGTATCATACTATCTAAACTCGGCTGAATCATGGCCCTTCAGTCATTGCGGTCCCGGGACTCACTCTGTGATCCTCATGCGTCTCTTACCTGGTTTCGGCTTTACTGAGACCTATGAGTGCGTTTTTTGTTGGGGGGGCAACGTTCACGAGCAACTTTGTATCAGGATCAGTATCAGAAAGTGGAAGAGTCATGTAAGGTTATGTTTGTTTCGTGTTTCCGTCCATGATACAGACTCGTCAGTATCTGAGCTCTTTGTATGCATGCAGGGAGATCAAGGAGCGCATCAAGAAGCAGAAGGACGAGAAGAAGGCCAAGAAGGTGGAGGTTCAGAAGTCGCAACAAAAGGGGGCCACGAAGGCACCCAAGGCAGCGGGCGGCAAGGGACCCAAGCTTGGCGGAGGGGGTGGCAAGAGATAAGCACCGGAAATATGGAAACCAAGTAAATGGCCTTGGCGGATCCGGGCGAACACTTCGTAGGTCTGTGGAGTGGCTCTTTTGGTTGCCACTTCCTAAGACCCATCCCCACACTGTGAAAGCTTGCGGTGCTTTGTCCACACATGTCTGCAGGACTCAGTTGGAGGTTGCGTTGCATCATGTGATATGCCATCGGAGTTGCAAAATGCATGTGGGGATCTGGTCATGACAATGCTGTCCAAGTATCAGCTTAAGTCCAATGTTGAATGGCAATGAACACGATGTATTTGTATCAATGCGGGTTTGTGACGTAGCAGGCCTTGAAACTACACTTGATTTCAATCTGCAATTGGCGGCAGGCGCAAGCAGACAAGTTGCGATCAGTAGACTGCTGTCAGAAAGCTTGTTACATGAGCGCAGTGTGCTTTTGCAAGCTGGTGATTGCGGGGAAAGTTGAGTCTCACAACATGCCTTCAAGTAAGCAATGTTTTGAATGGTACCAGGCAGGATTGGTGGGACATTTGTTGTGCGGATGGATTTGGGAGATTGAACGAGGAAAGCATGCGAGACTTCCGCAAGCTTCGCGATAATAGGTGCATTCATTCTTATGAGAATTTAATCGAACGCCAAATCGCAGAGGCCATGTGGAAACCATTCCTTCCTTATGAGCGCGGTCAGAGCTGATAGCTCTGTAGTACGCGCGGCAGCCGCTTTTCAGAGTTTGCCTCCCCACATTCAATGTGTCTGAAGAAACAACATACCGCACAAGCACATTGGCCAACCCTCAGGAATTCAGCGCTAGGCGTGCAATAACAATATAAAAATACTGTAGCATATATTAATCATAAAAGAACAAGCGTTGGCCAAGCCAACTCAAAGATAACATACCTAGGTAACCTAGGATTATTGATAATTCGTGCCGTACCAGGATGGTGCCTGCATGATGTTCTCTTTTAAACGCCTAGCTTCGGTACGTCAGATGAGGCCGTCCATTGCGTGTGAAACAAGATCGGACGGACACAACCGCGCGAAACACCCAGGCGAATGACGGTGAATCGTCAATCTGACGGTCCAAAACAGGGCGCGCCAAAACCCTATGAAACTTGAAAAGGTACATCAACCTCAGCTGCTCTGTTCAATAGAGATCGGACCGGGAAGAAAGAAGCTTTTCAGGCGCGCTCAAGAGTTTCTGCTTGCAAGCAGCAAGAGTCTACTACTACCTCGGCTAGAGTTCCCATAACGATATCTGCTCCCTGTGAACGTTCGTCCCTGTGCAAAAGGCTTTTCAAGAGTCGCATGATTAGGAGCAAAGGCACTGCTTGTTAGCAAGCGGCACACAATGCACAGCGTTCAAAGGTTATTGTCTCAACAATCTAAAACTGACGCTGTTCGCATCATCCGATTTTGATATCAATGGCGTCAAGCTTACAAAAGGAGAACATACCTCCCCCCGGGCGCCCCAGAAGTGCATCTCACAGACCAGGAGCCAGAAAATCTACAGACCAAAGGACAACTGTGACAATGCAAGGCTTGAGAGTGAGGGGCGATGCAGATGGGGCTGCCCAGCCAAGTCCATCGAGTAGCCTAGGCACAGGATCCAGGGTGTTGCAGGAAAGCGATGAGACACTTGAGGCTGCTGAAGTTAGAGTTGCTCAGGATGATGCACACTCAGGGGCGGGGCTGGCCCCATCTAGAAAAAGTAATCCACCATCTCAAGACGGAGTACCGGTTCTCCAGAGCAGGAGTGTGGAAAGGCAGGCGAGGGAGGAGCTGGCTCCGGAGCTGCTGAACCAGATGCTTGCCAACTGTCTGAAGCTCGCTTCTGAGAACGTAAGGAACTGCAAAATGAAGTCTCCTGTTTGATAAATGCTGCCTCCACCGCGTACAGCAATCGAGTTGGATGGTCCGAACAAGTAGTCATTATGCGTGTGACGTACTTGATGGATTTACCTGATGCATGTCTCTTTCGCTTTGCATGGTGACGAAATGAAGGTAAAAGTGCAGAGCATCATTTGCATTAGGGTTCCATCTATAGGTTGTGCTGGCCTCCTGAATGTAGCCCACTTACAGAGCTGTGTGGCCTAGACTGGGTCCTTTTTGGAATCTCTCCAAAGACTTGTAACCTGGGTCTGTTGCAGAAAATCACGCAAAAGAACACCTGGGAGCTGAAGCTCATTGACCATGCAAGCGACCTCGTCCTGGCCGACCATGACGATGGGAGTCAGACAAACTTTCAGAAGGTAATACGGAATCCCCTCCGGCTGTAACTTGCAGCTGAGTTTCATGACAAAGTCTGATGCTTGCACTGCTTTGGTATCTTCTGAGCGTGCTGCCCTGGTAAAGACAAAGAATGAGGGCTTACACAGAAGCTGGACCTCCCTTGTCACAACTCCAATGCAGAGAGCGGCAAGTATATTCGCCATCTGTGGAATTTGATGCGGAACTTTCACTGAAAAGACTGTGGGAACTCCTGTAGGCGAGCTGCGTCCTGGAAACCGGTATGAAAATTTATGCCACGCGAGTTGATGCGACACACTCTGAAACGTACAAAGTCCTGGGAGGGCTCAATAGGACCACTGCAGAGCAAGCAGACACAGGTAAGTGCTGTAGGTAAAACCCCATGCCAAAGCTGAAAATTGAGTGTGATCTGACAAGAATCACCGATCTTCGCTAGTGTGGTGAGGCGCTGTCCGCTGTTTTTCACCTGAAACGCCTTCCTTTGTTGACTAATTTTTTTTACGAGCAGTCACTGGTTGGCTTTATAAGAGACAAATGTGTTTTGAGCATGTTCTTCTTTGTCTGGTACATTACAAAAAATAAGTTTTGATTGTTTCGAATTGGGGAAATAAAAGCAGCTTCCCATAGTCTCTGCTGATTAAACTGAACAAGACAATGCAGATGCCGAGGGGGGAGATGCGGATGGAGGGGAGGATGAGGAGAGGCAGGGAGAGGCAAGGAAAGAAAGGAAGGTAAGATTTGGAGCAGCCCCTACTACTTGGAACACCCCTTTAAGGTTGGCGATGACAATCTAGGGGGGGCGGTTAAGCGGGGTTTTGAAGCTTTGCTGGCAATCTCTTCGTGTACACCGTCAATTCACACAGGAAGCCTGCTTTTGATAACAGCTATGAGCTTTGACCAGATGTTAGAGGGACGTGTTTTCTGGGGCATTTGCCATTTGCCGGCCAGCCATCTGTCTAAGAAACTTAACAAGCCCTCACTTCTCTTTGAAAGGTTGTCTTGTCTGCTTGCATCATGCAGGGCCATTCAGCGACACTTGAGCCGACACTGGAGGCGCTTAACCTCAAAAAGTTTGACAGTGAGTTCCAGAGACACTCAAGCAGAGCCTAGCTTAGGCGTTTTGCAAGTCAACTGCATTCCTTTTCTCGTCCAATCGATCGTCCCTGCAGCTACTCAGATAGCAGCGTCGTGCTTACCAGGTTGAGTCACATTCTTACTAGGGGAAGCTATCCTTGTTTGTCCTTAGCAATGTTCGATCTAAGTTCAGTCCGCTGTATTTTGAAGATCGATCGGGACTGCTTCCTTTTCCTGATGTTCAGCTTTTTGACCGCAGCGGCCTTCGCGGTCGACCCCCTGTTCCACCAGACCTCCGCCCAATTCGACGAGGGGGGTGCCAAGGGCCTCCTCCTAAACAACCTCTCCGTTTTCCGCGGTTGCGAGATTGTCTTCGATTCAGGGGACATCCCCGATCGGGGTAGCGCCAAACCCGGCCCTAACCCCGGGTCAGATAAGTGGGCCAATCTGACCTTCCTCCAGGATAGGATCCAAGCCATGTGCCGGGGGGTGCAAAGAGCCCTGCACATCTCCCCCACGCTGCAAGAGATTGTCAAGCTGCTAAACGACCCGTACCGGGCGGCCGCCGAGGCCAAAACCGCTGACGAGTCCTCTGTGGGGGGTCCGAGCGGAGAGGCATTTTCAACCCCTGGAAAAGGAGAGGCGGCGCAGCCGCCCCTGGATTTCGGCTGGGGGGGTGGGGCCGACTTTGCTGCCAATATGGACGATGACTTTGGGTCTATGGGGGGGGGGACGATTGGGGGGGTCCTGATGACGATGATGAGGGGCAGGTGGAGCAGGGGAGGGAGGGGGGGGATTACGAACCGGGGGTCAGTTTTGCTAGTGACGTGGAGGAGGATGTCGTGCGGTGGCTGGAAGGTGGGGCGGAAGGGAGGGGTAAATCATGGGCGGGAGCGGACCACTGGCGAGCCAGGGGCAGGCCGAAAGGTGAGGGGAAACAGTGCGCAGGTAGTACCTGCGTTTTCAGTAAACTGGACTGCAATGTCGATGTGCAGGTGTCAGTCGCGACTGGCCTGAAAGCCTCTGCACGACGGATGAAGTGAGCATCTTTAACTGCTTCAGTCGATCTTGAAAGCGCCACCTATCTCAGACGAGTGGTTGATGGCCTGTTTGTGGAATAAGTTTCCAATCACTGACGCTCTGCTTTGCTTCTACTTGGATGCCCACCTTGCAGGTGATCTCCCCCTTGCTTATCTTTAATACAAGGGCCCAAGACACACAGATCGTCCTGCTTTTACCTCGTCCTTCCGAAAGCTCTCGTCAACCTTTCTTTGTCTCTCTTCTTCCTGGGACCGCTCATGAGGCCCCACAGGGATGGGCCACATAAGATGGATCTCAACACCACACTGAATCTGCGCCCAATCGTCTCGTCCCGCAGATGCAGACACTCGGACTAGCGCAACTTTACGTAGTCGTGCTGCCCTCACCAAACCTTTCCCTCGCAAAGGGCTCTGAATGACGTTTCAACCGACTCTTCTCCCGCAGACACAGAAGACCATGGTGCCGCCGACGCCCCCCCAAAGCCGAAACGCCCGCGCAACGCGCCGTTCCTGCTCGACTTCGAGAACCTGCCGGACCTCTCGGACCCGCAGTACGCGCCCGCGGACGACGAGCGCGAGATCTGCCTGGCGCCGTCCGCGCTCACGACCGACGCCAAAACGCTCCTCCCCGAGGACCTGCACTACCAGCCCATGTGGCTGGCGCGCCTCTTTCTGCGGCCCAACGTTGTGGTGAGGAGCAACAATCTCGGGTCCTAAGTCACAGTCGTTCGCGTTCATTTTTGGACGTGCTCTTTCTCCTTTCCAGCGTCCTCCGGCTTCGATTTTGCTCTGGGTTTTGGCGTCGCTTCTCCGCGATGTTCTTGATGTGCTCTGCTTCGTTGGTTGTAGCCTTGTAGCTCATATCTGGAGTAACGCCCGCACCACTTTTCTGTTCTCTTCTTAGCCGTTCGGTGAAAATTCTGGTGTGTCTTTTTGGATCTTTTCAGCGATTCCCCGTGCTATCGTCATCGTGAGCTGCAGCACTCCCTTCGTCGTTCGCCGTTTGTAAGGTTGCTTCTCCTGCGGCATTCCCGGCGTGCTTTTGTTTCCTCTTCCATAACCGGGCGGCTCACTTTGATCATGAGGGATCTGGTGGCTTAATATCTTGGTGAGCGACAGCAACTCCTTGCCTGCCAAAGCTTCCCTTGCTCGGGCTTGGGACATGATGCTTTCGTTATGATCAATCCTGCGTTGACTCCAATCTGCTTGACACTGCTGATGACGTCTCGTTTTGTTCGTGCAGTGTATACCCCGGAAAGTCCGAGTACCTGCCGGTAAGGCCACTCCTGCCCTCTTGAAAGACCGTCGTATGGGCTCTGGTCCATCAGGTTATGCGGAACGTCGAGCGGCTGACCGCGGATCAAAGCTGTCTAGAGATTCGCAGAGCGGCTTTGTGGATAGTGACGCCCTGTTTTCATTCGCAGTCTAACCACAGAACAGCGCACTGGAGTCCGCCTTCTTCTTCCGTCTTCCACAAGCATCTCTAAGACATCTCGGTATGGAGTGCCGATTTGATTGCGACCAGCACAGCAACTTTCGTGACGAATCCAGAATCCCAACAGCGACGTCGTGGAGGGAATCCCGGGAACGGACGTCTTCCCTGCCAGTGTTCACTAACATTGGCACCTAGGGGACGGGTAGGGTTGGTTCAGTAGTTAGGATAGGGTGGGGTGCGGGGCGCGTTTTGAGGTTGGGTTTTCTAGTTCGTGTGCCCTCTTTGTGCACACTCTGTTTAGTAAATACTTCCGTTACCATTACGTGCAGGGACACGTGGAGGCTCCGAGGCCGGCCCTGCGTTTGCCACGCAGATGGACTTTGGGGACGCAGGCGACTTTTGGGGCGACGACGACGACGATAATGGGGCGGGTGGGTCGCCATTCGTGGGCGGCGCAGACTGGAACGCGCCGGACGGTCCGGAAGACGAAGCGGACGGCCTAGTGGAGCAGCCGCGGCAAGTGGAGAAAGTGGACGTCAACTATGCGAGGTGAGACTGTGCTTCGATGAAAGCTTCGTCAGAGCTTGCCTAGGTGACTTGCCCGGAGGAACGGTTTGGGCTCGGGACAATCGTCCTTCAATTGTGGAACATGTACTGCTTGATGCACAGTGACGGAATCCCTAGACCTTGTGATGTCGACCTTGTTGAATGGAAACGAGCAAGAAGCGCCTTCAGCTTTTGAGATCGTATGACAACGTCTTCGATGAACAGGCTGGCACTTCGACGGAGCTCAGAGAGACACGAAATTTTTGTACGCTTCGACCACGTTCAGGACCTGACAGGCCTCCGTTTCGTTGTTGCAGGACGTCCAAACAGGTCGATGTCAAGATCCTGAAAGAGACGCTCTGGACCGGCCTGCAGTGCGCGCCGGGGCAGGAGGAAGAGGTGAGCGCTCAAAGGGAGCTTCTTCCAGCAGAATGGAATCCAAGAGACTGAGTAACCTTGGGACCGGGAGGTGGAGCTGTTGAAATCGACGACGTGGCGAGGCTCAGTACGAAACTCTTGGTTACGGCGTGACATGACCACAGGCTTGTCGACTCTTAGATATCAAACCTCGCCATGTCCTCTTTCGAAAGTGTCTCCGTTTTCCGTGCTAAGATTGTCCAATCTTTTCGGCTCCGCTCTTTCAATCTTCAAGGCGCCGGATTTTGCGGTCGGCAATGAAGACTCCTTCAGTTGGACCCTTAGTTTCCCAACTCCTTGATTCCAAGCTGGCCACCTCCTGCATTTATCTACTTGTCTGCTTGTACGAACCTGATGTTCCGCGAACCGTAACGAGACTTTTGCGATATGGAATCTCTGCCAGAAAACGCGTCCAAGCAAGCTTGCTTCCATCCAAGTCACACTGTTCCCGCACTTTGTACGCGGAGTTGTTCAGGTCGTTCTCAGCCCCCCCTTACTAACTGACCCATCTACGTTACCCGGTCCCCGCTGCTCAAACCCTCTTCTCTTCTCCGTCGCAGGACGCCTCCGAGGGCAGCCGCAAGGACGGGGTCTCGTTCCGCGGCCTGCTGGAGCACATTCCGGCGGACTGCGCCGCAGCGGAGCTGCCCGACATCTCGGTGCACCTGTGCTTCATCTGCGTGCTCCACCTGGCGAACGAGCACGGCCTCGCCATAGCTGGAACGGAAACCATGGACGAACTCGTCATAGACAAAGTCCCCTTCGCTTAGCAGGCCGGTCAGGGAAAGGTCCCAGCTTGACAAAATCCATGTCGCCCAGGCAGGGCGATATGGGATGACTGTACTTCGATCCTTGCATTTTGTTTGGGGGTGTTCCTGAGGGCGAGCTTGCGACAGCTGTTTTCCTTGTTGCTAGGTCGGCGTTGTGGGGGGAAGGGACCATCGGACACGTGCCTCTGCTGGAGACAGTGGATCTTCAAAAACCCTCGCTTGAGGATTGTTCTGAGAACAACAAGAGGTGTTCGCTTTCGAACAGCTCCCTATGCGTAGCATAGGCGCGTGTCTGCGGATAAAACGTTCTTATCACATCGCTTAGGCAGTGTCACTCCGGACCTTTGCAGTGTGTTGACAGATCGTAGCCTACCGTGATCAATGATGCACTTACTGCCCTATTTGCTTGAGAATATTAAAGGCGGAGACGGTGCCGACTTACCTTGCGGCCCTTCAGATACTGATGTACTATTTTGACTGTTGGCTCTAAAAAAGGTCCGGTATGAACGGCGTTGCTTACTTTGTCGCCCTATTAATGAGTTCTTGACTGATGTGTACCTCGGCTTCGTTGCACCTGCTTGATGATGAGAAGCGGCAACGAACTGGCTCCTTTTCATCTACAGTGCGCCGTTGGAACATGTCGAAGGACCAATAAAGCCACCGTGAACAATATCCTTGATGCATGCAATCGAGGCCGTGAGAAGCGTATGATCCATGGCATTCCAGCGTTTGAAAGCGTTAAGCTGTCAGATGGCATTAACATGATGCATCTGGCTGCACGTACGGGGGCCGAAATCATCAGTGCCATTCGTTTGCAAATGGCAATGCGCGGCGTGGCGGCCATGGTGAAACTTTTGCGCGTCCGGGCGAACGAGACTGCAACTTGACTATTTGCTAATGTACATGATGATCATGTAGAAAACCATGTACGATGCAGCTAAGATTCGGAGAATTACTTTGAACGTCCTGCCATCACGTACGCGTGCGCGCGGTGTAGCATGCATCCTCATGCAGTTAAAACTATACGTACGTGTACTTGCAGTACAGGGATACGACGACTGAAATGCTCAAAGTCCTTGATGAGACTCCGATGAAGTCTTTCCTCATGACGACTCAAAGTTCAGACGTACGTAGCGCAGGTCCTTAAAACCATTCGATATAAGCAAAGTGTGCCATAGTAGCTTGATTTAGTGCACCCCCAGGAGTCGATCTGACTGCCGGATATCATTCTTTGGTCAGAGCGTCTCGGAAAACTCCTTCCCGGCTCTGATGGACATTGCCGCCTCCTTATGCCATTCCATTCGGTCAACAGATTCGGATCTAATTTAGGTCTACGGCCCACCACCTATGCTCGTGCTAACGACTCCTGGCGGCACAGACCCGCCGGTGCCTGTCGGACCCGTTCCCATTCCTGCACCACCGCTGCTCGAACCGGCAGCGAATGATTGCCTATTGCAGACCCCGCCTGTCAAGAAGGCCACAGGATGTCATTGTTTACGACAGTTCTTCTTTGCTCCTGGTGTCTTATCCGATCCACAAGATCGTCATATGGTGCGACTACATACTCACGGAATCAAACTGTTCGGGTTTGACTTGCCATGATAGTCTCTTTGGTACAGTTTATTCATAGTAAGGAACGAAGGACGGACAGCACAGGTGTGACGCAAGTGAGGACTTTGATAGTCAGCAGACACTCGAGCTCAAAAGTGGGCGTCGACACGTCGACTTTTTTGGAAAAAACCCCTTCTATCGAGTAGGCTCCCTCGTCGTACCAGAATGTGACCAGAGCATAGCTGCACCTTTGATCAGACGGCTTCTTTGCGGCTTTCAATCAGGCCGACTGACCCCTTGCCCTTCTTATCAGTCCGACACGAGCTTTCCGCAAATTACACAGGTCATGGCAAACAACCAACTTTTGACGCGCAGCTGCATTGAGAAGCATCCCTTCAATCAACGCACCTCTTCAGAAGGACTCACTTCAAAAGCTGAGCGATCAGATCTAGGTTTAGATTCCGGTGAACGCCCACAAAGCGTCAGCACTTCGTCAAGAATAGATGCACCCCTTCACTAGAAGGACTCACTTTAAAAGCTGAGCGATCAGATCCAGGTTTCGAATCCGGTGATTGCCCACAACCGTCAGCACTTCGCCAAGAAGGTAGAGGGAACGAGACGACGGCAAGATGTTCACGCATTCGCTGACGTCACAGACTCGAAAAGGAGCGCACCTTGGGGGAGAGCCGCGACCGGGATACTCGTCACCTGGCCCCCGTCTCTGATGCAGGTCCACCCCCCCGTGGCGTTACTGGTGCAGAGCAGACCCCCCGGCCCGGTGAAAGACAGCTGCCCGGGTGGGCCTGTACCGACCACTGTTGTGGTGGTTCCGCCGGGCGTGAGGGTGGTCGGGGAACAGATACCTGGGGAATTAGACTGTCTGGTTTGGAGTTGGGTTGTGTGAAAAGGCGAAGGAATAAGCACCGGATCTTCTATGGAGTGACGGGGATTCGTGGCGGACTGAGAAAAAGTGGACGAAATTGTCATGGGAGCGCGAAACTGAAAGGTTAGACGAGTTTCTACCCACATGAATCGTCCTGACGGATGAACAAAGATCGGGTGGGGAGGTAGGCTGGCACGCTCATTCGAAGTCGGGGCTCCCTGTGAGCAGGTCAGAATGGTCCGCAATGGGAGCAGCGTGGGCTTTCCTTATGGGTGTCCAGACGCGGGGATCAATCTTCGCTCCTGCTGTGCGCACGTAGTAAGGCAATCAAATGAAATCGAGATCGAACAGAAGCCGACCGGTTCACAGCATAGATTGGAAGAATGGAAGCCCTTTGAGAAGCGGCCGCTGACTCGATTGGGGGTGATGAGACGCCATTCAGTCGCACCCTTCTGTGGGGGCAAGGGTTTTAAAGTGTTCACGTGGGGAGCCTACAGACGCGTCATTGATTTGCGCCCTCATCACGTATTTTTAAGCGGTAAAATCTGGATTAGAAGGCTGATGATTGCTAAGACTCCCCAACCGTTCAACGCTGAACAATCTAATTAATGACATACTAGCGTGCTTCGAACGGTCTTCAAAAGCTTTGCGGTAAAGCAGGGACACGGTGGACTGCCACGGACTGGAATGCTGGACCCGTTCAATGGCAGGGATCACGCGGCAGCCAAACGGCCTTGAGAATATAACACAACGGAGGAGCACCAAGCTGGTCGGATGGATGTCAACGGAAAGTCGCACGCGAAGTTTGATCTCATCGATGTTTCAACACAAATAAGAGTGAAGGCAATCCTTATGTACCGTAAGGAGGGCGACAAGACTCTGAGAGGGCTGATTTTGACAGTTCCCAGGGGACGGGATAAGAAAGACGGACACTTTCACGGCCTTTGGTGTTCTGGACCGTGATACATCCAACCCGAAATGGGATTCATTCGGGCTTCTTGACGCTCACCCGGTCGGTCTCGAGCGGTGAGGCACGTGCTGTGCGGCGACATTCGTCACACCGAAGACCCCTCATCCCTAAACAACGACCAGAATCTGAACACTCTGTTAAAATCAAATCCGCTTTTGATGCCCACCTAGCGGGAGCGAAGCTACCGGTACTGTCATCACCGGGCTGCCGCCCTGCGTGCACGTCCAGACTCCGGCCGGGGCGGTCGTGGCACAGGACAGGCCGTCCGGTGTCGTGAACGACAGCTGAGTGAAGCCGTTCACGGTGGATGACGTCACGGTGACGCCGCCCGCGGACGAGGCGACGCTGCTGCTGCTGCTGCTTACGCGGCTGTGCAGGGTTTGCGACGAGCCGAAGGCCGCGGCCGCGCCGCGCACCTGCATGGGATGCATTTCAGAATGATTCAAAATTTTGGTAAGTATCAAGGCTCTTGCTTGCGACGAATTGCAACCAGGAAGTAGCGGTCGAAGGTTTTTCCCTACCTACAAGAAGGGGCTCAAGGCTTCCTGGCTTTGAGGTGCGTCAAGGTTTCCTTCGACACTGTTGATCTCTTTGGATGCGTGTTTCGTCATTGCGATCTTCAGATCAGAGCTCCAGACTAGAACAATTTGCCCGACACTCAAGAACAGAGGAGATGAAGCGGAATGGAAAAGAGGATATGTTTGCAGCCCTCGTGCAGCAGAGTCCTGGGTAAAGGAATTTTAAAAGAAGCTCTCAAGAACGTATCAAAGTTGAACCACATTCGGTTCCCTATCTCCACGTTGAGGTACTGCAAGAAGGATGAATCAGACGTTGCAGCCACTGTCGCTTCTAAGAGAACGGTGGATTAGCTTCCATATCTTTGAAAAAAATTTCGGTGGATCTGTTTGTTTCGAAGGCTGGGGAGATGTTGCATTCAAAGCTACCTGAAGCAGATTCCAACATGCTGCGAGAGTGACAGTTCGCAGCCTTCATTCTTCAGAGCAGGTATTCGCAGCCTTTCTGGCAAATTCTGTTCTCCACCTCAAGAGCCTTATATTGCTCGAAACGGGCAGGCTTCATTATCCAGAAGCCATAGCATCTTTGTTTCTTGTGCATTGTCATCAGATAGCAGGGTCTGCTGAAAGAAACAGTCTTGCAACAGCAACTCTCGTGGTGCACCGCTTTGACGGTCACCTTCGAGGAGTCAACGGAAGACTTCTCGAGAGAAACAAAATTCGGAGTCCCCGAAGCTGCAGCCTCACTGGACAAAACAGTGGAGCTTGTTACCTGCAAGTGGATGGTCGTCACTGTCATGAGCACAAACGCCAGCCCAGCGAGCGGCTTGAACGCCATCATCGTCGCACCGAGCCTGGTCAGGTCCTGAAATTGGACAGCTTTTTCTGCTTAAGTCACAATCCACTCCGTCCTAAGCGTTTGCTCTAGCACCGAGCTTCGTTGCAGATTGCAGACTTCATCTACTCAAGCAAAGGAGCTCCAAAGGAGTCAACTTTTCTGTTCTTTCTTTCAAACGCTTCTTCCTGCATCGAAACAAGGCCTCCTACTAAGTCTTACGGCTTCTGGAGCACCCGTGTCGCATGGGCGCCATGCGTTGGGGTTGTCGATGGAACGAGCGGTCCTGCCAAGTCAAACCTGCGCAGTGGGCCACTGAAGCGGCTTCTGCTGTGAATGCTGAAGACCGCAGTCGAAGAGCGGGCTAATCTACTGTATTTTCCGTCATGCAGCCCTCATGCAGCGTCCGTCGATTAAGAGTTTCCTTCACTGCTCCGGCGCGGCTGTAGATAGAATGGACTTAGCGTTGACCCAAGTTGACCATTGACATGCAGACCCTTATTGAACGCGAAATCGAGGTGGAACAGACTCTCCACCTCTCGATGCCGCATCTCTCGTTTGATTCTGTGGTTATCCACTTCCTGTTTACTGTAAGAAGAGGAGGAAGTCGACCTACGGGTTCGATGCATGCAAGTTCGATCAGTGAGGTTTCTAGGCAAAACTCAGTGTGTGGTCAGCATGGCGCTGCATGGACCCCGCAACTTCAAGTTCGGAAATGCCGATGGAAAGCTCGCCAACATGCAGTGGCGTGCATACTCCGGGAACGTAGAGACATAGACCAGGGCCCAATTCGTAAGGCCCACACCTTGTCCATACATGATTCTATATTGTCTTCGCCTTGTGCTGCGGTCCACTCTGCAGGCGGCATGATTGACCATGCATCATTCAGTAGATTCAAATGTTAAAAAACACTTAAATGCATCCACCAGCTCAAAGCCGGCCCGGGGTTTGAAGCTCTTTGTTTTACAGACCATTCAGAGGTTTATCCCGAAGACTCCATACGTAACCCTGATGTCTGCATGATCGAGTCCGTGTATGTGGGCTCATTGAGTGAGCTATAGCCATATGCAGCCGCAACCACACACACGTTGAGTTGACCACGGCAGAATGCAATCATTCATTCATTGACGCACTTCAGAGCCACCCGACCTCGTATGAATCTAGATCTGGCCCATCTGCCAAACCTCAGTCTATCTTCGTACATAGAACTTTGTCAAGGAAATTACTATTGCAGCTTGCGCCTAATGATCCATGTCTTGTGCACCCTAGACCCTTCAAATATAATGGCCAAAACATGTACTTTTCATGGTTACATACTGAGTCCTATGCCTGCTTCCCTCATTGAGTCCTATCGTCCAATCTAATCCTAGACTTACTACTTGACAACCGTGACCATCATGGCTGTATTTCACGATTATCAAACCGTTCGAATCACTTTCTTGTACAACCTGCAGGTTTCTGGGGTAATCTCGTTTCTGGACTCGCTGCAACTAAAACGGTCACTATGTAGCGCAGTCTGTGTTATGTTTCCTGCTTCGACCGTACCACAGCTTTGGAAAGGAAGGCGTTTCAAGGTCTTCTTCGTATAGACATTATCTAAACAAATCTGGGCTGTTGGGTTACAGAATCCAATGATTGCGATTCAGAAACTCGAGCTCAGCCCCCTAACATGCTCACGAGCGCAATGATTTCGAAGGAGAACGACCTATGACGAGTAGATGTAACAGTTGCCACTTCATGCTCCCATTCACGAAAAGAGTCTGCTCTAGATGAACGAAAGAGCCATGTAGTTGCCCACTTTACGCGTTGCTGCAAAGGCTGCTAGAGTCCTAGGTCGGCCATATGTACAGAAGATCTCGAACAGTTGGTCTTGCACCTTCACTGCAAAGATATAGCAAATCAGATGAAGCTGCATGGCGGATGTACTGGTACAATAGACGACGCCACTCTTTGCGGATTCTGAGAAAAGACACATGACATCGAATTCTTTCAAATCCGAACCCGAGAAGGACAGATAAGGACAGACTCCTGCAAGCGACCATGGTATACTCAATTGCTATGGCGAAATTGCAATACCTGACAAACTTGTTGAAGGGCAAATGCACACTTTTAATGGCAGGTAATGGCGAGAAAGCTCTCAGCCATGCTCACCTTATCAGGCTCACTTTCCGGGAACTTTCTTCGGCTTAACGGTCTTGCAAACGATCTTGTGTGTTGGCCAATGCTTCTTCTGGCAGTCCTCGCAGCAAAAGAGGCTCTTACGTAAGCGGTAATCTAAGCAACAAAGCACTGTTCCACAATCACATCTTGATATGACATGTTGACAGTGTTGCGCATCGTACTTCACCTCCAAGCTTTTGATACGGGTTGCCGAAGGACTCCTCCAAATGATCATTTGCAGCAATGACCACGATATGGTGCGTTGGCCCCGCCTTTGATATTGACTCACCTGCAGTAAGCAGCTTGCAGACACTTGCTACATCTCCGCAACTTCTTTTCACTCGTTTCCGTTGCGGAGCACCCCCCCAATGAACACTTTCTAGCAGGCGCGCGAAAGTGCTCCACATTGACGCCAGCCTCTTTAAAGCAATCTGCCTGCGCACCAGTGTCTCCCTTTTTGGGGAGCGTGTATATGCCGTGGTTCACACCCAACTTTGGCATGCCCCTCAACTGTCCTATTCTTCGTGATCCACTGCCTTGAAGAAGGGCAGCACAGGCCTCTCTCTTGGTGTCGTCCGCCTCAATCGTTTTAGCTAGCGAGTCTGCCAGCTAGCGAGTCTGCCGCAGCGGCAAGGTACGTATCCGGTACAGACGAAGTAATCAAGATGGCGTCCTCAAGCACCTTGGGGGTAGCCGCTAATTTCAATCTCAACTCTCCATTCTGCTTCCCAAGGGAGGCTAGAACATGGCAGCTTGTGAGAAGGTAATCCGGCTTGGTAGACTCATGCAGCACCAACGCTGCGAAGGGGATCACGCAGGCTAGCTCCCCTACATCACATCTAAGAGCGGTGGTGCTTCCACTGCCCAAGCAGTTCTTGAGCAGGATCAAAATGGACCGAACGTCCTTCTCCGTGTCGGTCTCCCTCAGAAGTTTCATCTCCCAAAGCTTCATCATACGCGGAATCACTTTCCCCCCTGCCACAATCTGGTCCCTAATATCGGCAGTGCCCAGAGCATCAAAAGATGTCAAGCAGGTTAGCGCTTTGCAGGCTGCCATTTGCACCTCCAAAAACTTCTTCGCTCTCTTCTCGCTAGTCTTTGAGAAGGCCTTCTCCTCCAGAACCTTCACCACATCCGGGAACTGCCGCAAGACAGCCTTCACCGTCCTTGGATCCCTCGCCGTGTAGACCAAGATGCCCACAAGCCAGTAGAAGTCACTGAAGACAGGCAGCGTGGTTCTGAACAGCTCTGGCTCCTGCAGGTTGCGAAGCTTGTCCCGTACTGCCACAAGGAGCCCCCTTTCTAGACAGTACAGACTCATGTTGACCAGGCCTGGTGTCTTCAGCGTTCGCAGGGCGACGTCCTGGGCACCTACATAATCGAAGAGGGCCATCATGCTGACCTTTGGGTCAGGAGATGCAACGTTGGTGCAGATTCTGTCAAGATGTGCTCTGTCTTTGGCATTGTCCAGGTCCATTCGCACGGCCCCCATCATGGCCTCCATTCTGCCCCAAGTCACTGGCTGGAATTAAAATCAAGAAGACATGCGCGGTTGCTTCTCATCAGACCGCAACAACTTGGACTGAGGCCGTGAGGCTGAGGGACTTGCCAAGCGTCGCCATTAGTCCCTCTCCCCCCCCTCTCCCCATAGAACTTTCTCTGTGTCTGAAATGCGGGCAGCAAACGGGCTTACAAAATCCCTTCGTGATTGTTCCTGTGCAGTACCAGTAGGTGTTCAAAATATTCTCAATACTTGTTTTATATATTACCTATTTGCTGTCATCATCTGTCGTTGTATCATCGTACAGCTCCAATGTCCGCCGGTTGCAACTCATGCCCCGGGTCTTAGAATTCACGAATCATCGGCCTATTAAGCCTTCACCGGTGATATCAGCCGATCATACGTATAAGTAAGCGGTTCTGTAGATAAGAGCTGTAGAATACGATACCGGTACTCAGAAAAAACTTCGGTGAATGCCCATTTTCACGGTGCCATGCAGCAGTTTCACTTCTGTTGAAAAGTCGAGTCTTGACTCCAGAGAGACTTCCGGCCTCGAGAACTGGGAAGAAGGGCGGCTGTCTGGCAGTGGTGGCACCACCATTGGCATAGGGCCCGGGGGCAGGGAGGTTTATTGACACTCTTCCACTCGTGTGCAGTCTCTTGCATCCAACCTCTTCATACTGCCCACTTTCTGCATGTTGCAGCAGCAATGACGTCGTCAAGCGGAGGAGCGAGCGCGGACCCGAAGACGGCCCCCTTCCCTGTCGAAGATATTGTGCAGCACCCGCTCCCGGGCTACATAGCACCTGTCTCCGTGTCTTTCAGTCCAGACGACAAGCTCATCTCCTTTCTCTACAGCCCCACCGGCACGCTTAGCCGGAAACTGTTTGCTTATGACCCTCAAACCCGGCAACAGAAGGTGCTTGTTTCGCCACCAGGGACGGGGGTTGACGAGGGGAATATATCGACGGAAGAGAAGCTAAGAAGAGAACGGTTGCGCGAGCGGGGTTTGGGTATTACACGGTATGAATGGGCGAAGGGCGGGGCGGTGCCAAGAATACTGGTGCCCTTGCCTGGGGGGGTGAGTGGTGGAGGTCAAAGGTTTATCATCTGAGACTGTCCTGTTTTCAAAGTGGGGTTTGTTAGATTCGGTTTTGCTGCAAAAACGGAGGATTCATCGCCTTTGCTTGTCTTGGTAGGCGTGTCTTTTTTTTTGCCATCTTTGAATATTGCATAAGCAAACGATGTTGTACCTGATGATAGAAGGGGTGGTGAAAGGCTCTGCTTGCTTAAGGACCTTAACTTGGAAGGTTGTCCGCAATGAGTATAGGGTTACTCGGGTTTTGTTGAACATCCGACTTCAGAAATTGCACCTTGATGTTCTTCACTTTAAAGCAGGGGCCACCTTTGCACAGCATTTTGTAGCGAAGCGATCGTCTTTGTTTCTGTGTGGTTGTCCTAGCCATCGTAGAGGAGGGTCATGGTTTACCCAGGATTCATAATTGTAACATTTGATAGACATGTGCCAGCTCACTCAGGACTTTTGGTAGACTTCTTTGTTCAGAATGTCTCTGCAAAAGGCTCTAGGTGCAACAAGTTCTCGGTTCAGCATATTTTGCTCTAATTGCACCAATGGAAAAGAAGGCAATGATGCACAGATCTTTATGTTGGCAGTTTCTACTTTTGTACTTCGACGTTGGTCAAATCAAGCCAGTCCAAAAGCTTCTTCACCCTGTCGAAATTTTTGACACTTTCAGGTCGCAAACTTTTTGACTTGACCAACTGGGCCACGGTATGAAGTGGCTTCGTTTGCCTTTGTTTTGGGGAGGAAAGGTCGAGATGATTAGGTGTTACGTCTCAGGTCTACGTCCAAGACGGTCCTGGGGCGGAGCCTCGATTACGGGTCCCCAGCGCACCAGGGGCTCCCATTCTGGACCCCCAGCTGTCGCCGGACGGCACCATGTTGGCGTACGTACAGTCCGACGAGCTCTTTGTGACGCCGGCCACGTCGGGGGAGGCACAGCAGCTGACGTTCGGAGCCGGGGGGCAAGGAAAGGTGAGCTCTTGATTGGTCGACTGTCTTTTGAGGTTTGTCAGAGTGACCAGGTCAGCAAATCCAGCTTCTGAAAAGTATTTCTTTGATGATGGTGGAGCTTGTAGTGGTGTGCCCAAATGATCGTAGAAAAGACGCTGACCAGTAAAGCATACTTATGTGATGGATTAATGTGACGTCAGTAATAGCGGAAAAACGGTCTTCGATGAGCTCTTAGCCATGTTTTGGGGCTTCAAGTGCGTTGGCAGGGTTAGCAATTCAAGCGGGGACCAGTGGACTTGCTTGACCTCCGTACTTATGTCTTATCTGTAGACCATCTCAAATCCTGTATGCGTAAGAGGGCATGAAGTTTAATGAAGGACAGCTTCTTTTCATGCCTGGGTTTTCTCTGTCGCCTATAACCTAAGAGGATATCGTTCAGATAAGATGCCCGGGAAAGACCGTGACGCACTTTGTCGTGCTGCGTCCTTGGTATGGGGGAATCGTTTTGACAAAGACATGCAAAGCAATAAGCGTCAAAGCCCCAGACGCTGTTGTAGTAGAGTTTAGCACCTAGGAGGAGGGTAGCGTCAAGAGACTTGGCTCAATATGCTCGTGTGATCGCAATCCAAGTAAATCTGGTTCGCCGCATTGCTGGGAGCAAGTCAGCGCGTCCTAGCAGAGTGCAGCACTCAGGGGAAGGTGAGTCTTGTCAAAGACCCCCCTGGATTTCGCTCTTGTGACTGCATTCCAAGCACTCGGAACAGCTGATCCGACTCCTCTTCGTGTCTTCTCCAGACGCACGGTCTAGCAGAGTACATCGCTCAAGAGGAGATGGAGCGCCGTACGGGCTTCTGGTGGTCGCCTGACAGCAGCATGATTGCTTTTACCGAGGTCGACTCTTCGGACGTGCCCGAATTCCGAATCATGCACCAGGGGAAGGCTGCGGTTGGGCCGGAGGCGGAGGAAAACCACGCATACCCGTTTGCTGGTGAGTAGGGCTTGAATTTAATGGCTTTTTTAAAGCTACGAGTCTCGATAAAGAATATACGTTAAAGATTTCACTTCCAAAGTATTTGACATACCGGCACCCCTTTTTGATCAGACGGCGTTGACATGCTAGCTTCAACGCAGTAGTCAGTTGCAAGAGACGCAGAAGTACCAGCCTATTTTTGATTTGACAATGAGCTTGCGGTGGTAGTGATGTCGAGAACACCGGTCAGCAGTGGAGTTGTTTCCTGGTTCATATCCCAGGCTGGTTGAGATTCAATAGCCCTTTTCGCTTCTCAGTGGACCATTCGCTTGGTGATACCGACGGTCAGTCTGTTTTCCCTCACGTTTGTGCCTTCGTGACGATGCTCCATACGTATTAACATACCGGCACGCCTTTCCCTCACCCTGCCATTGCGGCGCAGGGCACAACAACGTGCGCGTGCGGCTGGGGGTGATCCCCGCGGCAGGGGGTGACGTCACCTGGATGGACTTGCACTGTGGGCAGGGGGGCCCGAAGCACGCGGACGAGGAGTACTTCGGACGGTGTACGTGGCTGCCGGACAAGAGCCTGGCGGTGCAGGTCGAGAACCGGCGGCAGACCAAGCTGCAACTGCTCAAGTTTGATCCAGCCACCGGTGAGGAGGACTCGTTTCTTTGGATAGAGCAGTTGTGGGCGCCAGCCCAAGGTGCGAATGCAAGGGCAGGATTCCAGCTTAGAAAGGAGCATTAACCCCACTCAGGGCATCCGATGGGGCAACTTTGAAAGGGGAACTTTTGTGCTTCATTTTGCGGCTCCTCCTTGCTGACGTCAGGAGCTGCCTGTCCGCAGAAGGTCGCGGTCTCGTTAAGGGGGTCCGTCTTTTCTAGAGACGGTTGGACACCCCCTGTTGAGGACTGTACTCCACCGGTTTGCGGTACTGTCTACTTGACAGTGGTTCTGGTCTCTCGGCTTGTTTTGTTTCCTGTCGCATCCACTTCGCTCGTCTAAAACGAGGACACAAACATTGGGCGTAAAGCGCCAATGCATGCACCCCAGCTCCGTGTTTCATTCCCCATCCCTCTACCCCCAGGCAAACAGGAGCTGCTGCTGACGGAAGAGAACGGCACGTGGATCAACCTGAACGACTGCTTCACCACCCTGCACAAGGGCGCCGGCCAGCTGCGGGGGGGCTTCCTCTGGGCCAGCGAGCGAACCGGCTTCCGCCACCTGTACCTATACGACGCGAAAGGCGGGCTCATTTCGCAACTTACCGGGGGGGACTGGCTCGTCGAAGCGGTGGCCGGGGTAGACGAAACCAAGGGCCTGGTTTACTTCACCGGGACCCTCGACTCCCCCCTCGAAACGCATCTGTACGTGGTGAAGCTCGGCGCCGACTCCGCCCCCGGGGGATCCCCCCGGGCGCCCCGGCGGCTCACGCAGGGGCGGGGCCGGCACGCCGTCGTCCTAGACCACCAGTTGCAGCGCTTCGTCGACTTGCACGATTCGCTCGAGACGCCCCCCCGAGTGGCGCTGTGTTCCCTGCAAGACGGCCGGTTGATACAGCCCATATTCGAGCAGCCGGAACCGATCGAGCGCGTGCGGAAACTGAACCTGATCCCCCCGGAGATTGTGCAAATCCCGGGGGCCGACGGGACGCCGCTCTATGGCGCGGTCTACCGCCCGGATCCCCGGTTGCACGGCCCGCCCCCTTACCGGACGGTCGCGAGCGTGTACGGGGGCCCGCACGTCCAGATTGTGAGCGACAGCTGGATGACGACCGTCGACATGCGCGCGCAGTACCTGCGGAGCCGGGGGATCCTGGTTTGGAAGGTAAGAGATTGTAACGAATGTTGTGGGATTTCTGGGGAGTTGCTTGAATTTCTTTGAGGGTTCCAGTTGTGGCAGAGGAGACCTCAAGAGCGCCGAGATAATCAACGTGAGCTTTGGCAAAACATGGGGCTTCCAACGAAAATCCAATTTTCGTCAGTACTTCTGTTGGGAAGGAGGGGACATCAGATCTAACGCTACGGAAACCAAGGTTCCGAGAACAGAGAGTGGCTGGGCGTGCTTCAGGAACGGGTCTCGAAAACTTGTATAAGATCAGGGCCCACTTCTTATGCAGATGCGAAAGATGGGGAGAGGCCTGGGAGTTGCGCAATTGACTAGCTCTCCTGGTGCCCCTCGTCTGTCTGTTCTTGCTTGAGCGTGACCCTGACTCTTTCGAAAGTCGATTCGAGCGCTGTTTTACTACGGTCCTGGACGTTACCTAAGTGTGAACCGGGCCGCATGTTTATTCAAAGCCATTATTCAGCGATCAATATCGACCTTTTTCGCAGTTGGACAACCGGGGTAGTTCTCGGCGGGGCCTCGCCTTCGAGGGCGCGATCAAGCACCGGATGGGGTCCATCGACGTAGACGACCAGGTGGCGGGCGTTCATTGGCTCGTCTCGCAAGGCCTGGCCGACTCAGAACGGGTCGGCATTTACGGGTGGAGTTACGGGGGGTACATGGCGGCGATGTCGCTCGCAAAGCACCCCGAGGTGTTCAAAGCGGCGGTGGCCGGTGCGCCGGTCACCGCTTGGGACGGGTACGATACGCATTACACGGAACGGTATATGGGCCATCCGTCCGAATATAAGGACGCGTACGAAGCGAGCTCGGTGATGAGCCACGTCGAATCGATGAGGGGGAGGTTGATGCTCGTGCATGGCATGATAGATGAGAACGTGCACTTCCGGCATACGGCGCGCTTGATCAACGCGCTGAACGCCGCCGCGAAAGACTACGAGCTGCTCGTGTTCCCGGACGAGCGACACATGCCTCGGGGGCTTAAGGATAGGATACACATGGAAGAGAGGATATTTAACTTCCTGCAACGAAACCTGTAAACAGTAGACACGCAACGCCAATAAGGATGGTCACACGCTCAGAGCTAGAGGGCCCTCTAGTCAGGCGGCTAGGCTTGGCACTCAGTTACCATCTGAAACAGAGTCGTCAGCTGGGATTACAATACCCATCATTGTATTCTGCTGCTTATCCCTTTTGTAGAGCCTTTTGGGGCCGACTGCATGCGCAGCGGTTGCAGGCACATTCGAACTCTATATGACGTCTAATCTGTTCGAAGTGTGCAAGGATGGACTTCGTGTAAGTCTTGGCACTAGAGCCGCCAAATGCATTTGTCATGATTGGACGGTGGTACAAAAAGGTTTCTGAAAAACTTATGCTCTGGGCGGCCGCCGACATATGCAGCATACTGAAACGCTATCATGGATCGAATTTGGCCAATCATTAGCAACTGCATGTGGGCGCATGCTTTTGCGGCCGACATTACCGGCGACTAGATCATGACCCGGCGCTGTGGTTATTTGTTATGTGGCACATGCATGCCAAATTTGTAGAGAGCTTAAGTAAAGAGCTGCCGTTGTACGCTGACGCAAGGCCGCGGCTGCATATGGGCCACTAGCTTAGCTTGAGTAGTGAAGTACTTTCGTTTGTTTCCCCCATGTAAGTAAGGAGCGTAGACACAAAGACGAGACACTGGTTTGGCCGTTGATCTACTAATTGCCCGATAGCTCAACGTGGCGATCAGGGCTTTAATATACACCGTAAGTTATACCGTCTACGGGTCCAGCTTGAAAAGTGTAGCTATGCATGCAATCCATGCTTACATGAAGCCTGAGTGATGGTCACGTACGTATTGTACGCGTGTAATCACGCTTGGACCGCGCCAGATCGAAAAGCCTGGCATGACCTCCCACGCGATTCAGGAGCGGCTGACTCTGCGCGGGCCCTCAGAGCAGCCACGGTTTGAGCTGGAAGAACTAATGGTCACTAAATTAATCCGTTTAGTAGTACCGTTTGTCCAATCAAAGAACGACGCTTCTATTTCTCACTCATCAGGCTCATCTTTACGAATATCGGTAATGTACAGGTAGGCAATGCAAGTTGGCTTTTGCACTGGATATCTGACGGCTCTCGTCTGAGCTACGCACTGCCATTGGACTGGGAACCAAGACAGGCTGTTGAATGCAGAGTTGAAAACCGAGTTAGAACATCTGGAACATGGGCTATAGGTGGAAAACGAACAATTCCAACCGTGGGTACCGTAATTATGTCCAAATCGACCGTACAATAATTTGCTAACATTGGGCACACTGAGGCAGGGTTTCAAAATGTCCAATTGCATGAATGCAATCCACCTAATTTGACCACATTGACGCTGCGTGACTAGCGGTACTTGACGCCGCGCTGTGGCATGCCAGCCGTTCAGCCGGAGTCCGACGCCGAGTATTAAAATCATGACATTGCGCGCGCACCCACAAATCGACGGCGCAGGGCTTCTAAAACGTCCTTCAGATCCGTCGGATCACTGACAACCAGTACGCTAGCCTCGCCGGCGGCTTGCATGGCCCGGTTGAATAGGTACCAGCCCGATCCGACTCCAGTACTTGGCATAAGGCCAAGCTTGAAGAAATTTATTCGTGGGGCCGGTCTGCAGACATACGGTAATTGTAACAGGTTCGGATGCTCAAGTCGACTTGCCGATTCTTGTACTGGTGTACTAGTGAAAAGGACGTGTGTACACTTGTGCCTGCCGTTTTCGGTACTAGGTAGTAAAGCCTGTCACATTCTGAGACTGACTTTTGCACTGGCTTGATTGTCGCTTGACTGTATGCCTGATCAAATGACTTGCTCAGTGCTTGTCGGCCCGGCGCCTTCAGCAGATTCTTTCTTGGATCATTCTTGCGTTGACTGCCTCGACTCCGGAGTGGAGTTAGTTTGGTTGGGCTGAGACAAGTCGGAAGCAAAGAGGCAGCAATCTGGGCTTGACCTTGGCTGCCTCTTGGTTGGTCCGCTCGTCTCAAGCTGTATAGCAATGCAATTTGGAAGTTTATGGAGTGAAACAGGCGCTCGTCTTGATCAACAATACTAAAGCCGTAATGCTTCAGAGAAGTCGAAAGGTGGGCCTACTGGGCAGGACCAAAGGGGGCTAGGTTCACCAGCGGTAGCATTCAGTATTGTTGCAGGTGACGTGAGAAAGTGCCGGCATTCGTCAGCATTGTGCATGCACAGAACTGAGACGCTTAGTCTAGTACCAGAGGCTCGATACGTCTTTGGCAGCCTTCTCAAAAGTTGAAGAAAGTCGCCAGCATTTTGCGGTAAAAGACTGGGATTCCCCGGAGTCTACCAGAGGGCCAATTATACGTCTCCGGTAACGTTCTCCTGAGGCTGTTGCTCTCGACAAAACATTTCGGGGCCGTTGAAAAAAGGGCACCAAGAAAATGTTGGACATCAGTGGGGAGCCCCGGCTAGGGGTGACCCGCAAGACCCAGGAATGGAACGCGATGCTGATCCGCCCCGAGATTGGGAAGGTAAGGACGTTTCGCCAAGGTCCTTGCTGTGCGTTCTTTGCCAATGCAACATGCATTGACATGTCTTACTTTGGCCGCTGAGAGGCACTATTACCGGCCAGCAGAGTAGTCATAGCATAGAACCACAACAGGTTTTCGGTTCTTCAATAGTACTCCAAGTCAGACGAGCGATGCTTGCGAGGAGGTTTGCAGAACTTCAGTCCTAGCCAAGCTGAGGACGGAGGGGCTTCCAATTCGTCCGCTGCGCTTGATAAGATGTTCTTTGCTGCGGGCACCTATGGAACTGGGGTGTTGGCTGTTTCTTAAGTTTGTAGGCTGTCAGACTAGCCGAAAACGTCATTTTTATGAAATATAAGAAGGGGTCGTTGGCAGCGACAAACTTGATTGCTCCTCAAAAATATTACCAACTTTTTAGCCAGGAGTGTTTCAGGGGGCAAGCGGGTACAAAAAATTCCCCTTACACTCTTCTGGGCTCCACCATAGCTGACTTAGGAAAGAAGATTCCGTGCTGCCAAAGGCAAATACTCGCCGTTTTTGTGGGAGCTCGAGATGGCCTGTCACAGCTTTCAGAAGAGCCCTCTTGACATCGAACCGCTGTATCAAGAGAGCGGAATGTCTATGCCCGTTGATACAGTAATTGCTTTCGAAAAGCTTCTCCACAGAATCTTTTTGTTCTTAGCCTCGAGCTACGGTTGCTTGCTTGAACGCCACAACATCTGGGGCTTTGTTTGAGCCACCGCCAGCCCACAAAATGGGCATAAATGGGCGCTTTTGGACTACAATGATTCTGGGAGAAATTTGAAGCGCCGAGCAGCCAGTGTCCTACTTGGTTCCGGAGGTGGAGGAGAACTTTAAAATCATGAGACAGTTGGCTGCGATGCACATCAGACGCTCTGGAACGAACCCGCTGCGATTATCATGATTGGTTGATAACAAGCACCTGTTGGTCAAGAAATATGGCAACTCTGCAACCAGTGGAATGAGAAGGAATACAACGCAACGCCACGTGTCGACTGTTTACAGGTTCGGAAGCCTACTCGGAAGCTGCCCGGGCAGGAGCACGCGTACGGGATCAACATGGTACAAGACCCGGAGAACGCAAAAGAAGGTTCGTGTGTGTACTTACACAACCTATGCTGCAACTGAACCTTCCTGGATTGGAGGAACCCGTTACTCAAATTGCGAACGAGTATTTTTGAAACAGATAAAGACGAATTTTCAGCTCGTTTCAAGGCGGCGCTTTGGGTGAAACCTAGAGACACGACGCGAATCTGAACGAAATATCCAGATTTGAGAGAGAAACAGGAAAGTACAAGCGCCCTGCTCCTGTCAAGAATCAACTTCGCGTTCATATCAATATGAACCCGTTTTCGAGTAAAGTGGCGCAGTCTTTTGTACTTCGACAAAGGAAAAGCTGGTGTTTCCTGCATCACGCATAAGCCCACTTCAGTCGCAAGATGCGGCTGCGCGTCAGCTCCTCAGACATGCCGTCATATTCCCAGCACCTTCTCGTTAAGCACGACCCAATATCAGGCATCGCCCCTTTTATGATAAGCCGTCCCAACAAAGAACACGGAAAACTGAGTGAGTTCAAGCCATAAGCTGAAGGCAACGAGAACAGGACATATCAAAACGACCGCTTCTAGTCTGCACGGAAGCTTGTATCTAGGTATGCTGATTACCAGCCCACAAGGTAGTATTACTTGTCTGCGTCCCTGATCATGTTGATGGCGCTTTCTCGGGCGTCTCATCGAGCATCTTGGTGTCCGTGCAGTCACGATGGTTTGGAAGGAGCACGAGCCCAATCCTGACAACAAGCCGGGCCCCGATTTCATGGCCATGAACCTGGCATCTATCAAGAGGTGAGTCATTGAAGTCAAGAATCGCTATCGGCAACGGTTTTCGTCAGGGTTCTCGGAGCCTGATTGTCTTTGAGCGAAGCAGGGAATCCCAGCTCTCCCTTTTTGATTTCATCCAGAAGGATAGGTTGTAGTGTTCTGGGGAGAAACTAGTCGGACCGCTGCAAAAATAACACATCAGTGACTCTGAACTCCATGTACTGACTCTGAAGTCCACATGATATGAAAACAAACTGTCCCAGATAGCTGCGAGAGTCGGGACTGATGAAGTGCTTACCGTAAGCCGAACCCGCTCCATCCTTCGAGTAGACGGCGTAATGAGCTCTTTGTTTTTATTTCAATCCTCCAAACGCACCGTACCGACTAGAATCTCCAGAGAGACAATTTCTACCTCATGAAGGCACCTTTCTCTTTATTCGGGGTACGAAGTGAGTAGCAAATGCTACGTTATCCGAGTCACTCTTGAACGAAGTGCCTACTGCCCCGCTACAGTGAGTGCACGACGGCGTCGGAGACCCGGATTTTCCGCGAGACGCACGACATCCGGATAAAGCAGGGCAGCCCCACAAAGGTAGGCTCCACCTTGCAGATTCAAGCGTTCGATAGGGAATGAACAGCTTCAATCGATTTTAGTTCGGTGGTAATATGCAGCTCTCAAGGTGGAGCTTGAGCACTGCTCTAACTCTCAGAGTATATTCGGACAAGAGGTCTGGACGGGCTCTTCTTGAGTGACAGGTTGGGGTCGGTTGGACCCACGTACACGGCTTTGAGTCTACCCGCAACCACTTCAGAGAGCACTTTAACCAATGAGGACATCTTTGGTCCCACAATCGAGAACGCTGGTAAAGTGGATCTGCCAGATGCGCCGTCAACATATCAAGAGCAGCCTCAATGGATCGAGGAAAAGAAGTCGATTCCAAACAGAAGAGAGCGGGATAAACGATTTTAAGCCTAAACGTGTACTTATTTGTCCGCAGACGCGCCGCGAGCCCCTCATCCCGTCCGACTACAATCCGGAGCACGTGTACGGACGCAGCACGCTCGTGCGGACGTACGCAGAGAAGCAGTGGCTTTCTTGGTGAGCCGCCAGGTTTTTGTGCTCAGACGGCTTATGCATCATAAAAACGTAAAGTATCTTCAAATATTTCAATCCTACTGAGTAATTTTGCCGGGAAATTGTTTAAATGCCCTCAAGGTTTGAAAGCTCTGGAAAAAATGTGCTTGTCGGACCGTGCTTGTCGGAGCCCCTGAAAATGCTTACGTGCTTCTTTGGAGGGGTCAGTCTCCCACAGAAACAATTCGATACGAGTGGAGGACCGCATATGAGAAGCCAGTTCTGTGGGCGACCGCAAGTTCAAGCAGCTTCACCCTGTAATGTCGCCCCTTACCCAATTGCTTGAATTGAACTGCAATCGAACATTCCGGTTCACCGGAGCACCGAGCAAAGAAGTCACAATCTTCCTGGCAGCTTTTGACGGGCGCTGAAGCGCAGCTTCCTTTTCAGCTTTTTGAGTTATGCCGCAGCTCATTCCCGCTGTCCACTCTCTACTCTTCTCCATTGACTTTTGGCTTCGACGTTGAAGCTTTCGACTTGGGAATTGTTGCTCGCGATCCCTTTGATACCTTGAATGCATCATCACGACCCACAGCCCAGTTTTGAAGTTTGTTTTTCTCACTCTCATCCAGTGACACGCCGATCAAGAAGCTGATCCAGAACGACTACGGCGACGAGTGGATTCGCATGAACGAGGCGCGCCAGGAGGAGCTCAACCGACAGCACGAAAAAGTGCCGCCCAAAACCACCAGGGCCGCGCTGGTGAGGCCCCGCTCTAGTTTCCATTTGATGGTCTCAGGGGCTTAAGCTCTTGTGTTTTATGATTTGCATCTTTCGTCAAGCTCTCTTGTTGCGGGTTCCGGGGGTGCTCGGAAAGTTTGAGAACTTGTTGAGTTTCGACCTAGGGTCCGCCGGAGGATTTACGAAATTCATCTGGAACCTGAAGTGCCTCATGCCAACCGCATCTCGGTTCCACATCTTGCCCTGAAAGTTCTAGTCCATGGCCGAGTTTTGATGCGCTTTGCCCGGCTCTTCCAAGGGCCACGCGAGCAATCCTATATTCCGGTTCCAATCTGATTCCGCCCACCTTTATACTGCTGCAGGGCCACGCGAGCAAGGCAAAGCTGGTAGCGGAACAGCAGCAGCCGAAGGAGCGGTTCGTGCTGAGCAAGTTCAAGAACGTGCCCACCAAGATCGACAACAAGCAGACGCTGCCGCTGCAGCGAGATTGACACGTGGCGCACATTGAGCGCCTCCAAAAGGGGCCCAGATAGTAGGTTGAGGGGCGGCTGACAACTTGGCAGCGTGGTAACATGAGGGTAGTGCTTTCTATGCACAGCAATCGTTTGTCATGTTGAGCTAGTGACATGATCAGGAATAAAGACAGCTCTCACTGTCTTAAGTGGAGGAGCTCTGTACATATAATACCTAGTATTGGTTTCCGGTGGAAATGATAGAGGTAGGCCAGCTAGAGGTCGCCCCGGCGTCGCTGGACAAAGTCCGACGACTTTGGATTGCCCCTGTGGGCCCATTAAAGTATGCAGATGCAACATTGCAGCCAGAGCCCAATCGATCTAGCTGGGATTTAAAGACAGCAGGCAGTTGCTGTCTAGCTAGCCTAAGATTGCAGTGCTATGTGCATTTTAGCTGACGCGTATCGATCTCCTCACATGCACCGACACTAAGTCACACGGTCATCTGTGCCAAGCCTGATGCTTTCTTTGGAATGTGCAAGTGCTCACATCAATCTAGCCATGCCGCCATGCAGGCACGCCAAACGTATTGACACAAATAGGAAGCCATGCGAATGCGCCCGACATGCATACGCTTCAATGAGCGGATCTTGCAAAAGGAGGAAGCTCTCCGCAACATGCATTCCGTGACCACAGCCCTCTCCTAATCCCAAGACCACGCTTTCCAGGGCTCAGATTCACGGTAAAGAGGGCCACTCAATCATTTACAGGGTCTAAATTCAAGAAATGGTCGCTATGACCAAAAAACGTCTAATTTGCAGCCGGAAAGTTTTCCAAACACATACTGCAAGTGCCCCAAAACCCTTTCCCCCCTCACCCCGTATTCTAATCTTTACCTACCCGTTAGTGGTCTACGTTTGGCAGGTTGTCTACCATGGTTACTGCTCCTACGACTTTGACTAAATTCTGATCGTTCCTACAGCACCGATATTACACTGTACTGCTTGCCAAAGAACCAAAGCTCGCTACGACAACGGGTGTAGAAACGTGCGCTACGCATGCAGGTGTCAATCTACGTAAACCCAACTAAGCGGTCAGAGAGTCGTTCGAATCAGTGAGAACCCGAGCTTCGTCTCCGTTCTGGCAACTGCGAGGGATCCATGTGCCCCAGAGCGTCCATAAAGTCCTTCACAACGTCCTTGCCCTTCATGAAGTTGATCCACCGAAGCCGCTCATTCTGCAGAAACAAAGAGCACGTCAGCCTTTTAAAAATTGTCGTCTGTGCCGCCAACTGAATACGTCCCTTTCTCAAACAATAAAGCAATGACAATACTTTCCTGGGTTGTCCGACCAGATGAAGGCAGAACTCTCGACATTTGCCAATCATCTAATTGCTAAACGCTGACTCCGAACGGATGTATCATGCAGCCTTCCCTACTGCACAAAAAGCGTCGCCTTCGAATGAGATTGACCTGAGAGTCTGCCTTAATCCTCAATAACAGACCTGCTTCGAAGAAAACAAGAAAACGTACTCCGCTTCTACAAACTCCACAGCCACACAAATCATATGACAACAAGCTTCACCGCAGCACCAAAAACCAAGTTCATCTTTGCACCAAGCAAACAAACTCGTTTGAATTCTGCAGCTCTATTGCATCAGCCGGAGGTGCAGTTGGCATCGGACCTGTATAGTCCCTGGCTTACTCAAGTTGCTTTACACCTTCCTCTCTTTTCCCTGTACGTTGTTCTTCTCGCTCAGAATCCCTCCGTAGATCCAGGGTTTCTCAACAATCCAAAAATCTCCCTCTGGAAAACTCGTCCACAGGGGTGCACAACCAACGTGTCCAAAGGGCGACCGCCCCCCTCACCTGCAGTGCCGTGTGATCGCTCGCCTGGCTGATCGGCAGGTGCAGCGCGGGCGCCTCGAGCGCCTTCTCCAAAAACGGCACCACCGGCATCGTCCCCCCCTCGCGCACGTACATCGGGCGCACGCCCCACTGCCGCCCGATTGCCTGCTCCGCCGTGCGGTAAAACACGTTGGTCGGGTCTGCGAGCCACCAGTCGCCCACGTGCTGGACCTTGACCTCCAGGCGGTTGCCCCGGGCGCGCAGCTTGGCGAACTCGTGCGCGGCGTGCGCTCGGATCTTCTCGATCAGGCGCTCGGGGTCCTGGTTGGGCACGTGGCGGATGCAGATCTGCGGGAGGGAGAGAAAGAGTGAGAATTTGGCGGAGCCGAGAAAGCTGGTTAGAGAACGCTGAGACTATGTCTGACTCAGAAGTTCTCGGCCGGACAGGTGGCGAATCAAAACCCGGAACTGGCGGTCTTCAAGGACTTCTGTACAACTTTCAAAGCGGTTCAGCAAGCATTCAGGAGGTAAAGGAAGACACGGGTCAAGAGGAATATCAGAAGAGAACATGATAACAGGATGGTCGTCATCCTTTGCCCTATGATCAGCGAGACAAGAGATTTGCCCCGATTTTGCCTAGTTTAAGCAGATAAGAAACACACGCTCCTTCAGCATGAAGGCTTGCTGCTCCTTACCCTGGCACTGCAGCCCTTAGGTATTGTGGACCAGCCCACCGCCCCCGACTCAACGCCCAGAATGCTCAGAGACGGGTTCCGCCACCGGTTCATGAGCACCTCCCGCGAAGTGGAGCCCGTCAGATCCTTCAACCCGCTCGCAGCCTGCGCACACGTCGTCAAACGTCAGTCACTTCTGTTGAGCACTCCTCAACTCTGCACGTAACAGTAAGGACAGTGATGCCGTACAACGAGGAGCTTTCAATGACAGCAAGTTCGCTTCCTTCAAACCGTAGCTTCTTGGAACAGAAAAAAGTGGCAACCTGACGAGATCACTCTGCGCTTGTTCCCCGTGTCGAACGGAGAATGCACACGCCCAGGAATGAGAGAAATTCCATACTAACACAGAGTACGAACTTTGATGAAGACAGGAAGCCAATACTTCCAAAGCTCCCCAATGCAGCTCGTGCTCGGCCTTTTCCCCGTCTGATTTTTTAAGTATGTCTTCTTCTCGAAACACTTTCCGAAATCTTTGTTCCCTTTTACGTTTCCTTTCGCAACAGGCTCCCCACCTTGTACTCAGAGAGCTTGAACGTCAGCCCCTCATACAGCGCCTCCTCCTCACGGTCCAGCGGCTTGACGTCATCGTAGAACCCGGGCACCAGGATCATGTTGTTCGAGTCCACCAGGTTAGACAGAACCGCAACCAGGTTATTCATGGGTTCCGTAAACGAGCCCCCGTCCGAGCCCGAGTGCAGGTTCTTTTCGGGGCCGGTGACTTCGAGCACGAGGCAGATGAGGCCGCGCATGCCGTAGGTTAGGCAGGGGTGGTTGTCGCTGCAAGGGGGGGGTAAGGGGTGTATTAGCACATCGAGGCCGTGCTTAGACTAAGCGACCCTGAGGGAATGTTTTGGCAATCGGCTTTCGCTGAGAGGTGAGAACCATTTTCGACGTTTCAGTTCGTCAGAACGAAAGTGTGGGCTAGGCAAAAGTACCGGTTGCTGCAAGTCAACGACTAAGTCAGCGGTCCGACGTCCCTGTTGTTGAGAAGCTGTCCGATGGGCTACTTCGACAGAGCTGCACTGTTCCAGTAGTCAGGACAGTCCACAGACAAATTCTTTCGCACAAACCGCCAGTGGCTAGGTCTTGAAGCTAAGCGAATTTCGTCAGTCAACGCCAGACAACCGAGTCACGAGTCTTGCCAGTTTGTTGTATGTAGTAACATTCGCCACAAACAGTAACCTCTCCGAGCAGAAAGAGGCATTTCATCTAAGAGAGCGATACGCAACTAAGATCGTTGTATGAGCAACACTGACGAGCAAGAAAAGCTGCTGAAAATAAGTTTACCTTAGCCATGCGGTGTTAGAGGTTAGGATGAGCTGCGTGCCTTCAAACCACTCTAGGTTCGACTGGACAGCTTCCCGGAAACCCTGCAGAACAGCCCCATACAATGCGTAAATTGGGAAAGTCTTCAAAAAGCAACGTTCTGTAGTATCTTCGAATAGAAAGACCCTATGATATCCTTCCTTCAGTACGCTCCAGATCAATGCCGATCCTTGCCACCACACGTACAAACCATGACGCATGACGGCTTATCGGACTCCATGTCTTAAAAGCTCTTTGAACCAAGCCCGACGACTTCAGGATAATCATTTTTCCCAGCTCAAAAGCTGCTTCATTCCCTTATCCTCGCGCCTGAATGTAAGATCGCAAGCTCCGCACAATCCACCCTGATTTTGATGGCTTCGACGAGACCGCGAAAAGCCGCCAGAACAGCGGTCACACGCAGCACGTAAGACCCCAGGAGCCCCCGCTCCACGCACGCACCTGGCAGCCGTTCTCGTTCATGCCATCAAACACAAAGATGACGTTGACTTTGAGGTCGCCCTTGGAGGCCAGTTCTCGGACAGCGGACAACGTGGCGATGATTGGGCCCTTGCAATCGGATACGCCGCGCCCATACAAGAACCCGTCGATCGCGGCCAACTCCCACGGGTCTGTGGTCCACCCGTCCTCGGGCGCCGCGTTGACGTCGTAGTGGCCGCTGATGGTCACCGTCACCGCATTAGGATCCTGCGAGAGTTCACAAACGACGGAACATTTGAACGTGCAAAGCTCATGGTCAGAGATATGACCCAAATGTTGTACACTTGACAGCTACAGCTATAAAAATTAGAATTGCATTTAGTTGTAGTGGCCGCTGACGGTCACCATCACGGCATCAGGATCCTGGAAAAGCAAACATTGACAGATTTCCGATCAAGGACCTGTCTGGCGTCGAGGTTTGGTAAAGAACGATGCGGGAAATCAAAGCGAGGCTATAAATGCGCGGCACAATCTGGTTTCGAAGCCCGGAGGTTACGTCACGTTATGGTGACCGTTATTATGGTCACTGCCGAGCTTTTGGAATGGGGCCAAATTCACAATTTAAGCGAAGTTCTGCACTGCGAGGCGATAAATGTGTCAGAGCTTTTTGATTTGCAACAAACGGTTGCTTTTCAACGGAAGGGGGGCGCACCGCGCGTCCCCAAGCGCACTCTCAACTCACGGCAGTCCACAATCTCCAAAATCTCCAAGACTGGTTGCACGCAACTAAACCCGAACCTTCCAATCATATCTTCAAAACCCACCTGTATAAGCCGGCCCATAACCACCGGGTTAGTGTTTTCCTGCCCCACCACCAGCTTCACCTCCGCTCCGATTGTCTCCAGAAGGCCCTTCAAAAAGTTGGCGCCTTTCCACGCCTGGTCCTGACCCGCACGGCTGCGGTCCACGCTGACCGTCCGGATCGAAACGAACGTCCGGAGCAGCTCCTCCATCTCGGACTGCTGCTTGCGGCTCTCCTCGCGGGGGAAGGTCTGCATCAGCAGAGGGGCGGATTAGAGGATTAAAGACGTAGTGACAATCAGTCGAAGTTGGGTGCCGCTTCCAACATCTTCCGCCGGTTTGATTGCTGGACGGAATGTCCAGGCGGTGTCAGGTCCTGAGCAGACTCTCCAAGACAACTCGTTCCAACAAGAAACTCAACAACCAAGAAGAGCTTACCAACGACGCCTGTCCTCATCAGAACTTATTGGGCACCCCACAGAAGCAATCAGATACCAGATTTAGTTGCTCGCTCTCGTCTCAATGATGGCGATTCTTCTCGCGGCGGTAAAAGGTTCCCACCTTTTTGCGCGTCTGCGGCGAGAGCGCCCCCTTGCCGACGGGCGTGTCCGCGGTGTCCACTTCCCAAAAGCGGACGAGGCCGTCGGACGAGCCGGTGAGGACGCCGTCGTGCGTGCAGGCGACCGAGAGGAAGATCGCGTCCTGGTTCAGGAAGATGCGCAGGCACTCATACGTCTCGAGGCTCCACATCCTGCGCGTGAGGACGAGAAGAGGTGTCAACGAGTCCCTTTGAAAATCAGCAAGCTAAGGTGTAATCGCAAGTGTAGGTAGATGAAAGAAGCCTGACATGATGAAAGATTTGCAGACAGCTCTATGCCTCCCTACATTCTCAAGGCTGATTGAAGAGAGCGGCCAAAAGGTAAATTCGCACTTGAGGTGCGGCGAGTGGGATTCGGAAGAAGGTGAGTGTGAAGACGAAAATGGCATCTTCTGTTAATTAAAATGCGCGACCTTTGTATCCGAGGTCCTTAATCCTGTGCAGGAGCGTTGCAGGAGTGAGAGTGCACAATCGCACTGTTTCTCTTGGCAGAAACGCACCATAATCCTGCAAAGGTGCACCTTACCTGACGGTGTGATCGGACGACGCGCTGTAAAACTCCTCCCGGTAACCGATTGCCAGCCCTAAAACGTCGTCCGTATGTCCAGTAATTGTCGTAATGGGGCACTTGGTAGACATGTCCCAAACCCGGATCGTGTTATCTCTTGACCCGCTCAGCAGCCGCCACTCGAGCTTCGACGCGTCATCGCATGAGACGCGGTCTTGTCGGTCCGGGCTGTCCCTCACGGCCGCGAGCGCCATGACGCCGCCCTTGTGCCCGTGCAGCGTCGTCTCGCAGTTGCCTGATTCTAGGCACCAGACCTGCAGAGATGACGGTAACGGTCAGGAGGAGATAAAAATGTCACAGTATCTGACGTTCAGTTAAAAAAGCGAGGATTTAGGCAAAAATTGCTTGACAACGACATCGACATTCCCCGTGGTCTGGGTTTCCACGGAAACTCCTTGTTCGGGAATCACATCGGGGGCTGTTCGTCTACTTCCACGTTTTTAGCAGTGCCTTTCCACCGCTTGCAAGAGCCCCCAACTGATCTGCGGGCAGAGACCCTCATCGTAGAGTTGAGAGAGCTTGCAAAACCCTGCCAAAAAGTTCTTCCGACTTCAATCTTGACTACAAGAATCGTCTCTTCTTTCATGTGGATTACTTCATCTAGAAATCTCTGGCCGTATTTCGTCGACGAGGAAAAACAACGTGGTGCCAGTGGGTTAGAGTGCGCAACCCCTTCACCCACCTTGACAAGCCCATCCCCTGCGCCGCTGCACAGGAACGGGTCGCACATGGTCAACGCGTACACGCGGCTGCAGTGGCCCCCCCTCTCCGTATCGGTCAGCACCAGCGTCGGCTCCGTCGCTTTACTGGCTGCCGGCACGCCCCAGTACGCCGATCCCGCGGGAGAGCCAAGCATGCTCGCGGTGGATTGCTGCGTTTCCAGCTCCCCCCCGTGGGCCTCGTCTTTCAACAAGCTAGAATGAAGACCGCCCCCAGCTTCAGGGAGGGTTCGTTTCCGGGGGATGGAAATGGGGACCGAAGATGAGAGGGGCTGCGTCGAATCGACCCTCGTCAGAGTGGGGGGGTGCAGGGGGGGGTGCCGTACATGGGGGGTGGGGATGCCGGGCAACGCGACTTCGGGGGGGACCATCGCCGGGAACGCGTGCCCCCCGGGGGGCACGTTCGGGTGCGCGCTTGACCCCCCGTTGTTTGCCATCTCCGCGTCCCAGACTACAGAGCAGTACATCCCGTCCGACGCGGCGCCGTCGCCATCGACGCTGCTCGCGCGGCTCAGGGGGTCCTCCGGGTCGCTCGAGTACCCGTTCCCCTCGATGTGCAGCCTCCCGGGCTCCTTCGACCGCCCGTTCCCGGCCCGGAAGTGCCCGTTCCCGAGCGCCGGGAGCGTCGGGCTGCTCGACGACTTCTGGAGCAGCGTCTCCCGGCCCCCCGCGGCGAGGACCGCCGCGCAGGTCCCGTTCGACATGCGACTGCAGCGGATGATGCTCGTGCCGGCCGGGCCCGCGACCGCGCGCCCCTGCGCGAGCGCGAGCGCGAAGACGTCCCCGTCCGAGTGGCGCAGCGTGCTGATGAGCTGGTACGAGTGCAGGTCCCAGCACTTGACGACGCGCGTGGAGCTGCTGTAGAGGCGGCCGTTGTGCGTGGAGATTGCGAAGATGGTCTGCGAGTGGCCCGCCAGCGTCTTGATGTGGTTGAAGTTGCGCAGGTCGTACAGCTTAATAAGGCCGTCCTGGCCGCCTGGCAAGGACGGGGCTCGGGCGTCAGCGATGCTCGAAGCTCCAGATTATGAGGTCTTTACTTGCTTCTCGCAAACATGCTGCCTCAAGTCAGTCGTCTGAGTCGGTCATTGGATCTAGGAGATTCAAGGGCAAACCGCTCGACTCTTTTTCTCAGCTGCATGCCCAAGGACTGGAGCATCTCACATGCTTCCTATGAACCATAGCTGATGGCATGCACAACAGCAATGTTGTCTTCAGTCCTTCCAAACCAAGCCGATTTGTCCAAACACAATGCAAAGCTCCCTCCTCTTCGTGCAGGACAAAAATTCGAAGGAAGTTGTGCAACATGATCGCAGATAGTGCTCCTTTACCTGTGAAGATGCGATCCCCGTCGATGGCAATCGCCATGACCGCCTTGCTGTGCGCTGCCAAGCTGTGGCGGGGCTGCACGCTGACGGGGATCTCGGCTGGCAAGAGGGGCTCAGGTGCTACTTCTCTCCTAAAGCGGGGGTTGTACAAGTGCTGCTGAGGGGCGGGGGTGGGGGCCAGTGCCTTAAAGCAGCGGCTAATGTCTTTAGCGATGGGGGCGGGGGGGTTGATGGGGCACAGGAGAACGTCGACAAACGCGCTCTTGAAGCGCGTCAGGACGACCATGTTGTTTCGGGGAACCTGCAGAAAGGAGACGAGATCAGGCATTGAAAGTCTGTCTGAGACACAGACGAAGTTTCCGGGGCAGCCTTCAAGCACTGCCGTGGCTGACGACCGGTGGCTGACATGATGAATTTTAACTCGTTTGCAAACAAAGCCATCAGCAATGACGAAGCAACTTGCAATTGCGAAGTTTCCAAAACGACAAATCTGCCGTTAGCTCATGGTGCCGCTCAGGCGAACACCTGACCTCAAACGCTCTAACATAGCCAGACAAGGAGCACAGGCCTGGTTGACTTCAGCAACCATACCACCTGCCCGAGCTCGACGATAGGAATATGAAAATGACTCCCATTGCCAAGATCTGAACCTGCCTTGGCTATCAGCCCTTTGGTTGATCTGCCAGGGTGTTGTCTGTTCGATTCATTCCCATCCTCCAAGGAAATCGGGAACTGAGATTAGCAACAAACCAGTATTCTTCTTTCTTGGATTCTGCAAGGCCCCCAGACGTAGTTGCACTGCGCTTACCTGGATCCAATCCGAGTTCTCCTCCGTCAGCGGTTCCGACGCCACAATCCCCAGCAGGCCCCTCCGATCGCTGTGCTTCACAAAGTACTGATTACTGTTTGAGTCAGCCCCCACCCACTGGCTCCCCGAGGCGTAATACAAAGAGGCGGGAGCCTCAGACTCGAGGTTTGTATACCGAGATGCAACCACAGTTTTCCCGTCTGAGACCACGAAATTGAGCAGGTTGAGCTCATCCCCGTGGCCTTCTTCCCGCCCAATGCGAATGATGGTGTTGATCGTGCTCTCCATGAGGGCCACGAGCTCCTCCGGCCGCTTCTCCGCCATGAGGTCGTCGATCTGGGCAACACAATAGCCATCGTTTTGGAGGTGACCATATTTCTCATTGAGAGAAGCGGAACGACAAGTAACTTTTGGAAGGGCATAGAGAAAGCAACAGCTTATATACGCATAGGCTGTGGACCTTTGTACAAGTTCAGGATTTGGCGGACGCCAGGCTATGTGATTGTCGTGCCGCCAAGTCTCATATTCAGTGCAGGACTTGGTGGTGATGTCTGAGGCCAGTCTACTCACTCTCTTCTGAGTATGGCACTTCTATCAGCGAATAGCCTTCAGGAGAATGAGGTCCCCCTTATGCAGTAGCGATTGGAATTCTTTCTTGCGTAGGTCTTCCTCTTGAAGGTGTCGACCAAAGGGTGTCAACCAACGCATGAAGCAATAGACTGGTGCAAGGTGAAGAGATGGTAACTCATTCTTCATCTTCAGGCTCCAAAAACAAGAAGGCCATAAAAGTGATCCCAGCAAGCAAACCCCGCGGCCCTACTATCCAACGCATCCTCTGCCCAGGAAATGAGAACCTTTTAAGAAGCAGAACTAAGAGCAGCCTGCTTGGCAAGACTGCAGGACACCTACCTGGTTGAGGAAGAGTGCAAAGGAGACGGCGGAATCAGACTCAAAGCTGGGGCACTGCTGATAGATGTCATCGCGCAGAGTGTTGAGGAGGGCCCTCCGCACCAGGTGGAAAGCGCCAATCCCACCATTGTGCATCCACAGGTACCGCCCGCACACGAATGGCTGCAAGCAGTCACATATGCTGGAGTTCTAACCAGCTGCTGGAGTTCTGACCAGACACAGCTCTTATCTCTGTCTTGCAATTGAACTCACCAGCTCGCACAAGTCAGTATCTGCTCAGCATTTTGATAGGACCAACATCTTGAGCTGCTCGCTTATCACATCGTGCTTAGAAGATGCGTGCACTCAAGCAATGGCCGAGCCAGCACATGCTGCTGCGCTCTGCTCCTTTGCGGCAATCTATATGTGTTTCATCATGACCTTGCAAGATGACTGCTGACTTCTCACCTGGCAATTGGAGTCACTGACAGGGATGCCAGGATACGCTGCCCTCACGTGTGCGAAAATAAGAGGCGACACTACTTTTGAGGCCAGCCTTTCCAGGTTCCTATTGTTCCAAGCAGGCTGGGTGCTCGAGAAGACGCACGGGGTGGGGTCATCCATCCCAGCCGTTTCTGAAGAGTACCAGCCAATTCCAAATCCATCACCTGGAGTTAGAGGTGCAAAATGTTTAGATAGAACGTGAATAGGCTTGCAGCCGCTATTTGATCGATTACTTTGGTGTAAAGAAGGGTAGCTCGCACATAAAGTAGTCAAATCAAGACGACAGCGCAAGAATAAAAGAATGACCTATTTCAAAAGAAAGCGGTAACTTGGTCTTCCAAGCGCTAGACCACTTGAGCACAAAGCAAGATATTGCGGCAAAAGAATCAGCGAAAGATAGAAACTCCCTTGCCCAGCTGTACGGGAAGACAACTTTTTAGCTGCCAACCAGAGAGCACAGCCGCTGCAGCCGCGTACAAGCGGGTTTGTGTGAAAGGAGGGAGGCACAAAGACAAACCCACCGTTTAGGTAACCGTGTCCAGTCAACCGCTCCTTTGCATCATACGACTGCCGCGTCAGAGACCTTGAGGGCTTGGTTACCAAATCTGCTATCTTCTGATCTGTCCCCAGATAGACCATCAAACGGCACATGGTTGCTGCTTTGCCCCTGGGCCCACTGAGCTCGACCCACCAATGGATGCTGTTGCCTGATCCACCTCCTCACTTCTGCCCCAATACACACGATATCTCGTCAAGCTTTAGTTTTCTTGTCCAGAGCTCTGTCCCTGGGGCTCACACCCAGGACATCTAATGGTGTGATTGTGCAATAGAAACCCTCAGCAGGTTTGAGTGCCACGCGTGCTTTATTTGGAAGAGATCACGCCAACGAAGGCGAAAGATCTTCGGGCAAAATCACTATGTCATCCACGGATCTGGCGAATTGCACTAGCCTACTGTCCAAGGTGCATCATGCGACTTTCTAGAAACCAAAAAATGGTCAATGCTCTCTTGTTCGCATCCAGATCCATCAATGCTCAGCTCTTTTCAAGACAGCAAGAGATTGAGAAAAGAGTCCTGAAGGGGCCGCCATCACCATGATTCAACCTTCAATGGATTGTATCAGAACTGAGCGGTCTAAAACCAGGGAGGATGGACCAGTAACCAGGTAGCCAGGGCCCAGACTACCTACCTAGCTCAGACTCAAATATGAACTTGTGAAGTTGAAGTCAGAGCAGCCATTTGCAGCTGCTATCTCAGCCTATACAGCTGGCTACGTTCAGCCGGCGGAGTACGGTAGTAAGTACGGTACGGTACCGCACATCATGGACTTGGACGACCGTGCGGCGTGATCTGCCCTGCGCCCGGGCGTTGTGTCCGCCGCAGGGCGCCGTGTAGTGACCGGTCATAGGTAGGTTCAATAAAATGGCCTTGCTTCCAGTGACGTCGGTCGGTGGCCGGCCTTGTCAGACCCGAAGGCTGACTTGCAGCTACCGGTAGGGGCCATTTTCTGGCCCCTACCGTTTGTTAAAGTTTGACCGCCAGCGGGTGACGGGGCTACGCCCGGGCACCGCGGTCGCTACCGTTACCTAGAACTGGCTCGTCTGAGCATTCACTGTACCTGGTACCAGGTACCGGGTACCGTGACTGTGTCCCGGCACAGAATAACGGCCGCGGCTATACGACCAGTTCTCAGCCTCCCACTTTTCGGCCACGTCACCATCGCGCGCAGGGGAGTTCCCGGTCCATGTTCTAGCATGGCCATATGTGGCAGTGCTTATGTATACATCGCCATTCTAGTTCCAGCTTCCTTCACAACATGGGCCAGCGCTGTCAACGTGTAGAGTCAATTAGAGCTGCGTCCTCGCGAGAATGCGAGCTTTGCCGCTTTAGGTTCGGGCTACGGTATGTCGCCAACAGTTTAGACCTTTGAGGTACTGAGGAGTTTCAGCACCCTTCAATCGTTGTATCAATTGTTGACCATCATCTGTTGGGATGGCCAAACCCGGCACGGCCAGCTCAGACGAGCGGGGCATGACCAAGAAGCAGCTGAAGCGGCTCGAAAGAAAGCGGAAAAAGTCTCTGGCAGAGGCGGGCCTTCTGCCAGGATCTTTCTCTGGCAATCTTGCTGCAGCATTGGACACCAAGGATGCATATGACGGGGATCATGTTGATGACGAGGACCGTGGTGTCAATGCTGGAGAAGAACGAGCCAAGCCTGCGGATCTTGACGCCGGAGAAGTGGCGCCTGGTGGTGGTATAAGCAGTGAGGAAGACGTGGATAAGGCGTCCGCAAGTTTCGATATAAGGAACTCGCTGGTGGGAAAGGTGGCGGAGGCCCTGTTGGCGAAGCAGTTGGAGGAGGAGAGGGCGGCTTTGCCTGCCAGTAAGAGGACCAGGCTTGGAAGCAAGGCTTTTGTGGAGGTGGTGCCCAGTGTGGGTGAGTCAGGAAATGTTAAGAAGGAGAAGAACAAGGAAGGGAAAGCGGGGAAGAAAGGAAAGAAAGAGAAGAAGGAGAAGAAGAAAGAGAAGAAGCGGAAGAAGAAGGAACGAGGAAGTCAGGAAGCGCCAGCCAATGCAGACTTGGACCACGCTGAGGTGCCGGAGTCAGCCACGAGGAAACGTCAGCGGGGGGTGGAAGCATCACAGCAGAAATTCAAGACTCCTGTTGACAATGCAGAGGGTCGGCAGACGCGGGCATCAAAGAAGCGGAAGGGCGAAGAGAAGGAAGAGAAGCAGAAGACAAAGCTGCCGAAGAAAGAGCAACCATCCCCCTGGCCTGATATCAAGTATGAGGCGTCGAGCGCGCGAGCGGTGCTTCGGCAGGGGCAAAGTGTGATGATTGATGGAGCGGCAAACGTTACTCTGATCGCAGGGGGGGCGTCTGTGATGGGGTACCGATTGAGAAGAGAAGAGGAGGTGCTAGTGACGTCGTGCGGGCAATTGGCACCGGTTTCGATCATCGTCCATAACGGCGCAAGGGGGAGGAACGATCTTGGAGTAAAGGAACATGAGAACCGTGGTCTGACAGGGGGGGAAGATGGGGAGACGAGCAGGGGAGAGGAAGCGGTGATGATGTTCAGCTCCTGCTGGTTGAGAACGAGCGAAGGGGCGGGCAGCTCAGGGGGGCGAAGGACGTTCAGACTGGTGAGCTAAGCTGTACTTCAAAAGAAAACATAAAAACTATATTCAAAGGTCAAACGCAGTACTCAAAATCTACCGAATAAATGTAATATCAGGCAGCATACACAAGAACTTTGAGGAGGACAAGCATCCGAATCTGAGGTCAATGCAAGCAAGTCAGTGTGGAGCAATTACTGCTCCAAGACTAGATCTAAATCGAAGTAAGATTTGATCCGTTTGTGTCTAGATGTGTGTGTTGAACAGAGACTCAGGAGTTGGCTCGCGAGTAGATCGGTCATTTGCCTCCCTTTCTTTCCGCCTCTTTGATAGTGTACAACAGCAAGCCCCGTTTGTAGCCAAACAAGCTGCTGAGAAGGGGGTTCTTTGCACGATGGAAAAGTCTCATGCACCAATTTGCGATGCGTCTTCGCTTTCTGGCCCCATCATTTTCCATGAAGTCTGGAACAGTACCCCGAGTCTACTGCTTTTTTCCCCCTCTGATTTTTCTTGACAAGTCTTGCATTCTGCAGGAGCCAAAGGCGCCAGGTGCCTCTCGGTCATTTCCGCAAGCACCCGTATCCGAATCCAGAAACAAAGGGAACGAGATCCAGCTTCAGCCGACCATCATCCCCCTCGCTTGGAAAACAGTGACTGACTCCGTTCTGAACGGAGCCAGCACAGCAACTAGAGCGGCAACAGATATTGCAGCAAAAGACCGATCAGACGGTTTGGGGGGCACAGGGCTGAGTGCATCGGACGGGGCAGCGGAAGCGGGAGTGAGCGGGAGGCCCCCAATTGTGGTGATCTGTGGAGGAAAGAACGTCGGCAAGTCGACGTACGGGCGGTACCTGGTCAACCGCCTCCTTGACCGGTGCGTGTGATGTTCTGTTTATCGATTTTCCGTGTGCCTCTACAATGAATCTCCCGCAGTCCTGTATGCTCGTTCTTACTCCTTTACACATCTGAAGGAAGCCAACGTCCGTGGTTCCAGGCTGTCCAGGGAGTGGACCAAGTTTTCCTATCCCTTCCAAATACGATTATCACCGGTTTGAAGTGTGGAAAACTGTCAAACGTTCTGACAAATGGGAGCCGCAACCTTTCTCGCCCCAGGCTTTCTTAATGTATGTGAGCCTATGCTTTCGTAGGAATAACGTCAGGTAGCATAACGCTAAGTAACACAGGGTCATGGACCGTGGAGCGGGTGGGGTTAAGAAGGAAATTCAGGGCGGTTAGGGAGCGGAGCACATCAATTTGTCGTTTGTCCTACCCACGGGGACTGTAGCTATCCTACCTAGGAGGTGTGCTACCTAAAGTAAAGGTTATGAATGTCAAAACGTGGCAGTCTACGACCTGAATTAGATTTATCTCCGATCTAGTCATTGTCAATTCAGTGACCAGTAAGCTTTTCGGACCCTTACCAGAAACTCTGCGTTCGCACCCGCACCCGCACCCACCTCAACGCCCTAACTAACCCCATCCGTCCCTATGGATGTTCACTAGATTGATCGGAGTCGAAATCTCTGGATTGTGAACGTAGGTCGATTGCTCCTTGCAGGTACTCAGCAGTGTCCTACTTGGAGACTGACGTCGGCCAGCCAGAGTTCACCGCCCCGGGCCTCCTCTCCCTGCACCTGCTGACGTCACCCGTCTTCGGACCGCCCAGCACCCATATGCGAGACCCCAAAACGTTAGTGGCTTTCAACTGTGTGCCTGCTCGGACACTCCGTTGACCTGCAAAGTCAGGCGATTGCAGCCAATTTCTTTGCCTGGCGATGGATTGTGTATCCTCGAGTCTGACGTGCTCTGGAAATTGTAGCCGCTCCTGAGAGCAGCTGATTTTGTTGGCTTCAAGAATCGTGACTCGTTTGCCCAATGTTTCAAGGGTGCCAGTTCCTGATAGCGAATGCCGCTCGGGACGCCGTCAATAATCTCATCTCGACCGCACCTTACCGAGACGCTACTGGGTGGTATTTTCGCCGCAAAACTCCGCGCTTTCCAACATTCAGATGTAGCGTACTTGACATAAAAGTCGCCGACCACGGTCGGGTCCCTTCACTGGCCAGATTTGTCCATAGTTGGTTCCGCTGGTCAGATGCCTTCAGGAGTTCGGCGTCTATTGAACTTGCTTGAGTCCCTGGCGACCCATCACTGGTCCAAGTACATGCAATACGCTCTTGGCCCGTTGAACTCAGTTGTGCACAATCGTCTCCTTCCTGATCCAAGTGATCATTTGGACCCCTCTCTTTGGTTCAAACGATATAGCATTTTCTCGAAACGAACTTGAGGCGGGTCCTTGTAGCAGCCTCTCGGCCTGGACACAACTGTAGGACGCATTTCAGCCCCCCCTCCGTTTCCATTTACTTTTCGTTGACGCGCCGAAGCCGTACCTCCGTCGAGCAGGTCTTTCTTTTATGGCGACGTCTCTGCCAAAACCGACCCGGAGCTGTACCTGCGGTGCGTGGTGGCGCTGTACGACGAGTTCCGGCGGAACCACTACGACGGGGCGGCCGAGGGGAAGCAGGTAAGGCGGACAGGATGGGTTCCATTTGGACGCTAGGTCTTGTTCCCTTGTAGGATTTGTAGAAAGGACCTGTGTCGAAAACGAACATCTAACCCTTGAATAACGTGCACGGCTGCTTTAGGATCAACCAGATCAGTCCGTTAGCAATAAGTGAGCTCAAAGGCAGACGTCATCTTTCGTTAACCCCGCAGCTTCCGCTGGTGGTTAACACGCACGGCTGGGTTAAGGGCCTGGGCCTGGACGTTCTGATCGACATCCTGCGCTACACCGTCCCGACCCACGTGGTCGACGTGCAGTCCGCCAAGGCCAACAAGAACCTGCCACCTGGCAACTTCTGGGAGACTACAATAGAGCCCCTCTCGCGCGTGCATTACATCCCGACCGCTGTTCCCGACCAAGTGGATGCCAGGTACGCCAACAGGTTGGAATGGCTTTCCCCCTTGGCTGCGAGCCCAGTTTTTGCGCGTTCAATTTACCTCGCAGGACAATAAGCCTTTGTTTTGTGACATGTTCTCGTTGGGCGCCACGTGTTCGGCCGAGTTCGCGCCACGTGCAACGAACAATTTCTCGCGTCCTAGGCCATAGCTTGATGAGAGCGGAAAGTCTGCCACACCTACTCTGGAGACAAACGCCCATTAGACTGCTTAAACAAAGGCTGCGACAGAATCGGTGGAGTGTCCCGGTACGACAAGCAGTGTCCGCGTGTCTCTATCTGTTCATCAGAGGAAGGGCCGTTACGATGAAAGCTGACTGAGCGCGCTTTGATCAGCGCCACTCATACGAAGGATTCTGTGCCCTGAGCCTCAACCGCCGAGCCCCTTTCTTCGATTGCATTCGTTTCTGTTTTCGCATCCAACCTTCCTGGGTTCCTGAGTGTACTTGACTTGCCACTCCAGAAGGGTTATTCAAGAAAGCACTCCCGAAAACTCGATTTACAGTCTCGCCCCGCAAGCTCGGCGGTAATGCAGCATTCGTTCAAAAGGTTGCGTTGTGTGATCTGTATCTCCATGGCGACCAGATAGCCTGTATGTCACTTCTGTGAGTCGCTAAACACGGTGCTATGCAATCGAATTCTTGGCAACACGAGGGCAGAATATGCTGCGAAGGGGCCGCTACGGAACCACGTGCCCGGTTAACACCCTTCGAACCCCGCCCGTGCAGCACCCCCTTCGCGCACAAGTTCGCCCCTGAGGAGCGCGCTCTCCGCCTGCTCGCGCACTTCCAAACGGCGACCGCATCTGGCGCGCCCCCCGGCCTCGCCTTCAACGAGAACGACGCCTACTCCGCGCTCGCCACGTGTCTCGTCCACCACCGTCCGTTCCAGGTCCGGCTGGACGCCGTCCAAATCTACCACCTGCACGGGTACGTTCCGCCGGAAGAGGCCCTGTGGGCGCTCAACGGGGCTGTCGTGGGGCTAGCGAAAGCGGGCGCGGAGCCCGAAACGGGGCCCATGCCGCGGTGCCTTGGAATTGGTGAGGCTGCCAGTGTCGCTGTATTTTCCTTTTCATTTGTGATCAGGCCAGTGTCGAGTAGCGCTCCTCGATTTGCTCCAGCTTTTCCTGCTTTTAGTGATTTGGTGCAGTGATGGCTTGTGGTAAAATCTGCTCGTAGACATCGCTCGACACCAGGACGGCATCGGTATCGAAGTCTGGTTGACTGCAAAGGCGGAGCGGACACGTCGACAGCCTCATCATTGGCGTTCCGTCCTACAGGGCTGGTCCGCGGAATCGACCCCGCCCGGGGCGTCCTCTTCCTGGTCACGTCCCTGCCGCTCGCGGAGCTGCAGGGTGTGAATACGCTCATCCAGGGAAAAGTTGATTTGCCTCTCCAGCTTCTAAGCGCGCCTCCTTTTGTGTCCCCTTACCTGGCGTTTAATTCGATCGCGGCGGAGGGCACCGGCTCGGCCATGGTGAAGAGCCGGAACAATATCATTCGGAAGGTCGGGGATTAGGCCTTCGTAGTCGTCTCGTTGGAGTCAGGTTGGTTGGTTGCTCGCTTGAATCTTCATTCAAGTTATGATAAACCGTGGCGTGCTCGTATAAGCAGGCCTACAAGCCCTTCTGAGCAGCCCTTTAGCACACGTCAGGATGACTGGTTGCTCCGATTGAACATGGTGTATACTTTTACGAGCACTGAGCAGCACATGGCCATGGTTTGGACAAAAATGAATGTACGTACGGGCAAATTCGATTCGATTGACGTGCTTAGGGCAGTGCGGCCGGGATAATCCAGTGTAAGCCCGCTTCTATAAGCTCCCAATTCTATATGGCAATGTGCACGCCGAGTTCCATCATGTCTGATGGCGGACTCACATGTGCGCCAGCGGCTGTACATGTTTGCATGGATTAATCGCATGCAATTGCGTTGCAGGACAGCGTTGCACCTTGTGCAGTCGGACCGCAGGTCTCGAACATGTGCAATTGCAGGCTCGAATTTCGGATATCTGCGTTAGATGACTGTCTACATACAGGCGCCGCTGCGGCCATCATGCATGCAAGGACGTCGAACTGCATCATAAATAAACTCATGGTCCTGATATTCTGCCACATAATATCGCGCAATGTTGCCAACTAGACTCACTGATGCCAGGCCGTCCGCCCACATCTGCTTACACATCTCTGCTAGACAGAAGCGCCCGCCCCATTAGAAAGGCAGCCATGCCTGCTCTATGCACATCATTGTCGGCATCTCTTCATTCACCATGCACGGCCCGGCAAGTTGGAACAAGTTGTTCCAAAGACACAAAACTTCCCTAAACAGACACTGTCTAGACTGCTTCCATAATCAGCAGGCTCATAGCAGAACGGCCGTTCAGCCTTGCCTTGTCAGCACGCTCGCAGCAGATCAGCCACTCTCAACCTCCCGTTATTCAAAGCAAGCAATTCTTGAAAGTCGCAGTCAGAGAGGTAATGTTCTGGTTGACCCGGGGCCTGACTGCGATCGGCTCCTGATCGGGATGTCCCGTAGCTCCCGCCGCATGCAGAGCCACTCTCCTAAGACCGACATGACGACCACCGACAGACCCGACACAATCCACCACGCAAAACTGGCGGGGACACCCGCGTAAGCGATGCACAAGAGAAGGTGAACCAAAAAGAGAGTGGCGCTGAAGTCGAGGCACTTCTTGGCGCGCTCCACAAGGAAGAGCAAGAACCCGGCCCTGCAGAGTCATGGAGTGGGAGATGTTATGAGCGTTGGTCGGAAGGGTGCTGGAAGTGCAATCTACAACTGTGCTTGGCCGTCTCAGGGACTTCTGCTGAGTCTGCAATAGTGTTCCTGTTTCTGTTCCTGTTCAGACTGCAGTGAGCATGCTTATATCCCGCCAGAAAGGCTATGCGAAATTGCGATGCTGGACACCAGCTACAAGACACACAGCATGGCATGCAATCAAAACGCTGACACGCAACAGCAGAGAGCCATCAGCACGGGGTTAGTAAACAAAAACTGCTAGTGTGGGATTCACAACATCCCGTACATTGCAATTGAAGTCTACCGTCACGGAGGACACTGCTTAGTTTGCAAGGAACACTTTGCAGATGAGTCATGGATATGCGCAGCTGCAGGAGAGCTTTCAACCACCGTCCACACTATGGCCCGGAACACAGATAGAGACTCACCCAACAAATGCGTTGCAGAGAAACGCGAGCATCGTGAGCCACCCCTTGACAGTGCGCACAGTCATGTAGCGCCAGTCGAAGAAGTGGTGCAGGCTGAACGCCAGCTCGTGGGAGCCAACAAACACCCACAGTAGGCCCCCCAGGCTCAGGTAGAACAGGCACTGGAGCACCAGAATCTGCGCCAGGATCAGCCAGGGATCCCAGACCATCGCCCCGTAGAACATGGCGTTGAACCGCTTGGTGATCACGCCCTTGAGGCTCTCCCCGACACCCACCGCCCAGCCTCCCGGCCTTGCGGGCCTCTTCCAGGCCCTGTTTTCGGCCGCCAGCGGGCCTCCCGCGTGGGAGCCAAGGGGAGGGGGGGAGTCCACCCTGCTGGAGGCTTTTGAAAGAACTAGAATGGGGACGGAGCGCGAGCGGACGCTGGGCGTGTCCTCAGCGGCAGCCACGGTTTCTGGAGGAGGAGCTAATGCAGCCAGTGCCAGGGTTTATCAACTTACAAGGCGGCAGCATTTGCGAGAATCAAGTGTTTTGATGCGTAATGCATGCCAGAGGGGCGCCCGAGTATGGGGTCCCTCTAGAGTCTGCTGAGTTTGCAGATTGCTAGAGTGCGGAGCTGAATGTACTTGCAGATGAAGTTCTGACTACCAGACCGACTGTAGGATGTTGGAAATGTCAGACGAATCTCCCTAATTGGTCTCCTCGAAAGGAGCTGCAAGGGCCCGTTCAAAACATTGCTCAGCAATCTGGTCCAAAGGGTTGTTAATACATGTGCCTGGCTGATGTCGAGCTCCACAAGCAGTGCTTTGATATACAGGGTAGTGGCCAAAACAAAATGGGAAAGAGATGCCCCGTTGCTCAGGACTCCAGATAAGCTGACAGGATAATTTGCTAGTCTGCGCTCCCAGGAATTGCTGGACTTTGATCAGAATGAAGTTAGACCACGAAACGTTCTTAAAGCACCCGATGGGGACTGTTGCAGGATCCCTCCCTCTTGACTAGATCCGTCGCGCTCGCTCAACACAGCTGTCAGCAAGCTTCATCTACAGACTGCTGTTTCTCCTCAGATTCCCAGAATTGTTTCAACTGTTGAACACGAGCACGAGCGCGCTCATTTGTTCCGTCACGTCCCTTCGCATGGGCCTCCGCTTCTCCTCTTCTGCTCAGACTGCTGGCCCGTTTCGATCAGAGCTCAATTGCAACGTCTAGATTTGGAGAATTTAGTTCTCGACTCTGCTCGGTGTTCCGCCATCGATATACTGGTCGCTCAGTATTGCCAACAAGCTGGTTGGTAAACTGCCTCGGGAACTCTGGAGTGAACTTCTCATCAGGTAATTACATACCCCTGGGCTTTTGCACCGGGTTGCATGAGAGCAAGTTAGATTCGACATCGAGGCCGACGGATAAGTTACATTTATTATGATATGTAAATGACGCTGGTGGCATTGCAAACGACTGGACGCATGACTGGCGTTGGTAGCATTGTGGCATTGCAAGCACCTGAGGAGGTCCCAGCTTTGAACTTCTTCTCTGCTAGAAGACGCCATTGGATCCTCCTTGCCTTGAAAGCTGCAAAGGAACTCTGCGTGAGGCAGTTTCTATGGCCTCGAGCCTGGGACTCGTTGCCCGCGCTCCGTCCGCCGGCGCCTTCATTGCGCATACACCACAGAAGGAAGCAAGCTTTCCCAGAGCAGATCTTGCGCCTCTAGCCTTTTCACACCAAAGATCTGGAACCACCACCTCCCCATCAGAGAGTTGCGTCCGTCCAGTTGGAGGGAGTAGATTGGGTTCAGCGTTTCTTGGAGATTTGCAACAATTGCAGGAAAGACCGCAGCCTCTAGTGAGAGCAATGGCAAGCGGGGCTGCTGCAGCTGCTCCGGCAATGGCCAGTCTCGGTGCGTGCTTAAGAAGCTCTAGCTTTCATTGTTTGCTTTTCGCGGCAGCACTGACCATTACCCAATGCTGTAAAGCTAGATTGTGCTCCCGCTTTCAAGACTAGAAGACAACAGTCTATAATGATAGAGTTGCATTGTGTCTTGGAGAAGTGACAATGCCAAACGCTATTCAGAAGGAGAATGTCAAGTGACGACGCCAATGATGTGCCGCAAGTCCTGGACTGCCATTTCTGAAGAGGCGCATTAAAGCAACAGCTTGGAAGGGACGACTCTGCTTCATTGCAACTTCACATTCTGTGTGCCCCTGATTCTACTCGCAGTTTCTTCCAGTATTTCCACTGAACCTCTGAACCTCCTGGAAACTTTTATGTTGAAACACCAGGGCCAATCTGGGGTCTCCGAGTCATACGCATCTTGAAGTCAGCAGGTAAAGAACTTTCTGCTTGCACAAGCTCCTGATACTGTGTCATTGCTCAGGCGATCAAAAGCAAGCTCTCCTCACGGTCTCTGACAAGACGGGCCTGATTGACCTAGCGAAGGGCCTCATCGAACTGGGGTGAGTTCCCTTCCTCCAATCTTCCTTGTAGTTAGCCCCTTCTTTGTACAAGGACGTTCATATGCAGTACACCCTGTTTCTTCAGGGAGCCCCTCGGTCTCTGGCAAAACTTTTGCGGCATGCGGAAACTATTCCTACTGTTGCCTGTGTTCTGGGGTCTGATGGAAGAGCGAATGTTCTGCCAATGTATTTCCCTCTTTGCGTCTACGTTTTACCAATGTATTTCCCTCTTTGCGTCTACGTTTTACCGCGTGCATTGTAAGTTGTTTGGCTGTTCCTTGTGTTCCAGGTATGCACTGGTGTCAACAGGCGGCACAGCGGCAGCCATTGAGAAGGCTGGCGTCCCTGTGAAGAAAGTCGAGGAAGTGACGTCGTTCCCAGAGATGGTGTGCTTCAAACCCCGGATTTCTCTGTTTGTCTCCTATTGACGAAACTTATCTTTGGGACCCGGAACTGATGCAATAGCCTACTTTTGGCCGAAGTCAAGTATTGGTCAGTATTTGTGGGAAACTGCTGAAGTGGGCGCAGCTATCCGGTCGAAGCTGACAAAAATGAACTCCCTTGCCGCGCCAGAGCATGAGCCGCTGGAAGATGGGGGGACTTCTCCTTTAACACCACTTAAGGCACTGGCCTTTCGAAAGGCCTTTCTACAAATCATGCGCGAACTAGGGAGCGGTGATTTGATGTCAAGCCTGGAATTGGACTTAGCAAGCGAGTAGTTTGAGAAGGCCCATTCGGCAGCAGTCCTCGCGCTGGTGAGAGTACCGGAATACATCAGAACAATTCATTGTGTTTTGGCAGCTGGACGGGCGTGTCAAAACGCTCCATCCTGCGGTGCACGGTGGAATCCTGGCCCGGCGAGACGTACCAGGCCATGTGGAGGCCCTGGAGAAGCACAAGATCGGTGAGCCGCCTTTCTGCTCTGGTGTATGTTGTCAGCTTTCACATCTGAGTCTCTTGTGCTGTTGCCTGACAGTGAGTGGGCGACTCGACTTGCATCCAACGTATTCCACACAGGGTAAGATTGTTGACGTCTTGTTCAATCCTCTTGAATCCCGGCTGAAGGCTGGGCGCCGCATTCGATACGGGAATTCAGACACCATCGAACGGGATTGGCGCGCTATGGTGAAGGTTTGCCGTTTTTGTATCGGATTGCACAGCAAGTCGAAGGCAAAGCGAGAAAGGCGTACGCTTCTTCAGTTGATCAATATGGGTGTTGTCGAACATTCAACGAGACAGAGTAGAGGCTTGCTGAAGACGTTGTTGAGGAGCACTGCCGAACACTGGGCTTATGGTCAAATTTTTCACAACTGGTCCCAAACAACGTTCGAAGATATTGTCGGCGGACTTGCCATCTCTTATCTCCCAATGACGTTGTTCCCACCTTTCGCATCAGGCACCATCGACATCGTCGTCTGCAACCTGTACCCCTTCTACCAGACGGTGATGGCGCCCGGCGGGACCTCCTTCGAGAACGGGGTGGAGAACATCGACATCGGCGGTCCCGCTATGATCCGGGCAGCCGCCAAGGTGGGACTGCGACTCGTGCTCTATTTCTTTGCTTCCGGTACTATTTTATCTGGATTGTGGGGATCTCTCTGCTGCTTCTTTTCTCAGAGGATGAGAGTTGATATCCATGGCAGTAGAGTTCCGTGTCAGCTGTTCGACTCTATCCGGCAACTGGAGCTATCTGCGGCCCCGAATGTCGTTGGATCTTCAACTACCTGAAACACGGTTCTGAAACCCAAAACCAGAAACACGGCGACGTGTTTGTGGTGGTCGAGCCGTCCGACTACCCTACTTCGCTGGAGGTTCCCAAAAAGGGGTCCAAAAGCTGCTTAAGCTTCACCTCATGAAAGCAAGTTTCTGAAAATCAAAAAGCCTACGTCACTACAGAACCACGGTGACGTATTTGTGGTGGTCGAGCCGTCTGACTACTCGAGTCTACTGGGCGCACCGAAGAAGGGGTTCCAAAAGCTCTTACCGCTAAAGCCCACGAAAAGAGAATTCAAACCCCAAAGCTTACGTCATTCCAGAACCATGGTGACGTGTTCGTGGTGGTCGAGCCGTCTGACTACTCGACTCTACTGGGCGCGCCGACGAACGGGTTCCAAAGCTCTTACAGCTAAAGCTCACGGAAAGAGAATACAAACCCCAAAGCTTACGTCCTTCCAGAACCATGGTGACGTGTTCGTGGTGGTCGAGCCGCCCGACTACTCGACTCTGCTGGACGTGCTGAAGAAGGGGGCCGGCGGAGACGAGGAGCTGGCGTTCAAGAAGAAGCTGGCCTGGAAGGCGTACCAGCACACCTCTAGTTACGACTCCGCCGTCGCAGAGTGGCTCTGGAAGAACGTCGGAGGTGAGCGCCTCAGTCGCGCCAGAGGTTCATGGGTTCCACCGTTTACCTGGCCCTGCGTTGCTGCAATATAGTTGGGCATGCGGACACAGTTTGCTGCGTTCAAGCCAGCGTGTTAGTGTTCAGCTTGGGCACGTTCAAGCGGATGTGCGTACTAAGTAAACGATCTCTTTTCAGGGAAGCATTACTTAGAGACGGGTGCAGGATTCGATAGCCATTAGCGTTCATGCGAGCGGCCGATCTGTCTGCCTGAAGAGCTTTGCGACGCGACGTGTCTTATTGTCTTTTGCTAAAGACCAACATTAAGCATGAGTGCAGATCAAAGGGGAAATGGGAAATGGATTCCGTCGGCGCGTCTTCCGGTGAACCGACAAGCATCACCCATGACTCGTCGCAGACAACAGCTCATAGTATTCCTGGAAAGTACGGCAAGATTGCGAGGTCTTATGTTCCAAGAATAATTCACTATCGCGCTTTCTTCAACGACAGGATTACGAGCCCGCCTCTTATCTCTAATCAGCTTCTTACTTCCAAATCCTCAACTTTTCACTGCTGCGCTCCACGGCACGACAAGGCGACACGTAGGCCTGGTTCAGGCCTAAATACACACAATCAATAGGTGACAATTTTCGGCACATAATGCCGAAATTCTTTTTCACACACTACGATTGCCCTTGACAGGTTCCGAGCCCGCCCCCAGCCTGACCGTCCCCCTCACTCTGGCCTCGTCCCTGCGATACGGAGAGAATCCCCACCAGAGCGCCGCCTTCTACACTGACCGGTCGCTGCAGGAGCACGGGGCGGGGGGGATCGCGACCGCTGTACAACATCACGGCAAGGTGAGGACCGTATCTAAAGTTTCTGTTGCCTCTTCCAGTCGGTTGGGCGTCAGTACTTGTCTCCGTGAGTTGTTAAGGAGAGCCCGTCGTTAACTCTTTCGGGCTTTTTTGATGTTAGTCGTAGAGAAACAGCGTCTTTGAGCACGTCGAGAAGGTGTTCCCCGTGGCTATCAAGCAGTCCCGCTCTCTCGTCCATTGTGATTGCGAACAGCGCTTTGTAAGCAACAAGCACAGCAGAATGGATACAAAGCGAGTATTCACGGTTGTAGAGTAAGACAATTGAGGCGAGATGCTCCAAGAAGGGCAAATCATTTTCTTAAAAAGAAGGCGTCGTTAATCTCGGTCCGCAACCCCCCCGGCCCCATATTTTCTCGCCAACATTCCTCTTGTATCTCTGGAAAAGAAACGCTCATACCATCGTTGCGGCTTCCCCTTCGGTGCAAAACTCCCCGTATATGCTGTTGCCTTATATGCTTTCCGTCCCACTACTTCCAACAGGGGGTGTCGTACAAGAAATACCTGGACCCTCTGCCGATTTTCCCTAGTGCAAACACCACCGTACACTTTCTCATTGTTCTAGAGGAGACGTCGTAAAAGCACTTGGAAGATTGCGGGTCTCCTCACTGCAAAACTCAGTGTACAGTTTTTCCCCATCCTCTAACAGGAGATGTCGTACAACAACTATTTGGACGCGGACGCCGCCTGGAACTGCGTGAACGAGTTCCCGGACCCTACCGCCGTGGTGGTAAAGCACACCAACCCGTGCGGCGTCGCTTCCAGCAAGGACGACCTGCTAGAAGCGTACCGGCTGGCGGTGCGCGCGGACCCCGTCAGCGCATTCGGCGGGATTGTTGCGTTTAACGTACCAGTGGACGAGGTGAGGACCTTGGTCTAGGCTTTGGGCTCCAATAACCCTTGAGTGGGTACGCCTTGCTTCAAGTACTTTCTTCGCTGCATTCCTCTTTTCGAAGCTGTGACGTTCTTGGAAAAAGGCGAATGGACACGAATGGACAGAAGCCAGGCATCAATGCTGCTATGTATCAGTGTCATCAAGGCCAAAATCTGACAATGGATGTCTCGTTTGCCTGCTCTGAGATGTTGCTATCTGCCCTGAATGAAACTTTAGGCTCGAATCGACTTCGCGCTTCTGGTCAGAGTACCTTCTCGAATCACCGAAAGTTTGCCTACATACGAAGGATAGTAGCAAAGGAACCAGAGAGCATACTTCACTTTTCACCTGCGCACCCCCAGACCCTTGCCCGGGAGATCCGCGAGTTCCGCAGCCCGACCGACGGCGAGACGCGCATGTTCTACGAGATCGTGGTCGCGCCCGAGTACACGGAGGCAGGCCTCGCCACGCTCAAGGGCAAGTCCAAAACGCTGCGGATACTGGAGGCCAAGGCGCGGGCCAAGGGGAAACAGGGCCTCCGGCAAGTCGGGGGGGGCTGGCTGCTGCAGGACGCGGACGACAAGACGCCCGAGGACATCGAGTTCAAGGTGCGGACGTCCGGAGCCTCAGCCTATTTTCTTGGCTGTGCATTCCTGTTGGCTTCTAAGAAATGTCGTTTGGGGGATGTAGGGACCGGCTTGAAGGGGCGGACGTTCTAAGAGTTGGCCAGACCTAGCCGTCCGCGGTTTTGTTGACACCCGCGGCTGTCCTTCCGGACGTCGAGGTGTCTCTTTAAGATCCCGGTGCTTCTCACGTAATTTTCCAGAAAACGTCCCTCGTTAGAGACGACCGGAGGCCGTTGTTTGGGTGATGACTAGCCGCATGTTTTTTTCTTGGGAGCCTACGTGTCGCTACACTGGGGCTCGGACTGTTCCTACGTACCCTTTGTAATTTTGGAGGTTGTCGCGCTGTCGCCCCGGGCCCGCTGCTTGCTTTTTGTTGCACATTTCTTGCACGTTATGGTGGTGGTCGCGGTCCCGATAGAATCCTGTTCGCTTCTCGTAAGAAAAGCTCTCTGACGAATCGCGCCTACACCGACTACAGCGGAAGACGGCGGAATGTGTGACCCCACCTTTTCTGAGATATGAAACCCTGAAATCCTTTCAATCTCTTATCCAAACCCCCGGGGCTTGACAAAACCTCGGAACTGACGCCGCGCCCCCCGTCCAGGTGGTGTCACAACGGCAGCCCACGAAGCAGGAGTTGGCTGACGTCAAGTTTGCGTGGCGGGTGTGCAAGCACGTCAAAAGTAATGCTATCACGGTAGCCAAGGTGAGAGGCTGCCAGGCGCTGCCACGTGTCATTGCTTTTTGGCTCCAATGGCTCGAGCACATCTCTCTTTTATAGTTCTGCCGTTAGACGTTTTTTCCTTCCGATAAACTCAAGACGTCCCTACGTCAAGAAGGCTGGTACGGCGACCTTGTGGCGGGTAGTTTTGCTGTGAGGTCGCCAGTTTCCTACTACAGTGCACGCTTACGTGCACAGCATTGCTAACCTGCTGAAAAGCTGCCGTCGAATGATGGAAAAGCTGATTTCTCTATTGCAAGCCACATGGGCTGCTTCATCTGAATCGCTCACGTTGTGCCTCCAGGGGAACCGGCTACTCGGAATGGGTAGCGGCCAACCAAACCGGGTGAAGAGTCTACAAATCGCGGTTGAGAAGGCGGGCGACGAGGTCCAAGGCAGCGCTCTCGCCAGTGACGCATTCTTCCCTTTTGGTGAGCTGGACGGCCTTACTTTCTGGGGTTTTTCTTTAGAAAAATATTGTCTGCCGGGATGCTTTTGGAGTCGGTGGGATCGTCACGTTTCTTGGGATGGACATTTTGGCCGCTCGTTAGATTTAGTGAGTGTTAGAGGGTCTCAATATATGACTGGCCCGGAAAGTGGTGGGCGCAGACATCATGGTTCGTTGCTGACGTTGTTAAAACCTGAAACCCTGAGCCTTTGGTGAAAAATGAGGCTGACGGACCCTGTTTCACCGTTTCACGAGCTCCACGCAGAGCTGTCTTGAATCATCACCTCACCCCGTTTGGAAGGGCCTCTTGCCTTCGACAGTACCCCAGTGTTAAGCTTTGTTGTAGAGCTGCAGTTCCCATCTATTTTGCCCTTTGTAAACAGTCTGTTACACAAGATCGACGCGTTGAGCACGGATTTAACGCTGAGCACGACTACCTTCCCCCTTCGTTGCAGCTTGGGGCGACGCGGTTGAGGACGCGTGCAAAGCTGGCGTGGCGATCATCGCCCAGCCTGGTGGCAGCCTCCGGGATCAGGACGCCATCGACTGTTGCAACAAGTATAACGTCGCTCTAGTTATGACAGGTGTTCGCCACTTCCGGCACTAGAAGCACCGCATGACTGCACGCTCGTGATCCTTCTGATATTTCGTCAAAGAAGAGACATTCCTTTTGTGCGTGCTTGGGCTCGGGCCATGGCAATTGAACCAGCCATGAGTCAAGGTAGAACCATGGCCATGAGCAAGCTAGATCCTGAGTCATAAGCTGATTGTATGATTGTTGCACGTGAGACTCAGAATGTGCTGCAATCCTGCATGGCTGGCCGTGCACCCGCTGCCTGTTAACACAGTCAACGGTCAACTGTGCGCGTGCTTCAGCATGCGAATCCCGACACAGTGCAACGGTTGCGTACAATCAATCAACTGCACGCCCGGCCCTATCTCATCCGACCCCTTCAATCTCATACATTGCATAGTTTTCTATGTACTCACCTCGACGCTGACAGTGTGCCAGGGTGTATCAGGCATTGGAACCCCCTCGATCTAGTACGTGACATTGCAATCATAACGAGCATCTGGTATACTTCGATATCAACGCATCGAGATTTGCGGCGGCCGAAATCGCGATGCTATCAACATGATGTGTGCCCATTTAGCAAAGTTCATATGCACTCTGGCAACAGCGGCAGATCGGTCCTTATTTGTTGTGCCTTTCCGAGTTTTGTCATGGTATGACGGTCCGGCCGGTTTAGGTTGATCACCGACCAAAATTGCATTTACCTCCCTCCAGATCAGGAACCAGTCGATTTTTACAAGCCGCCAGCAACCCCCTACATATTCCCGTTCACGGCATATCAGACTCCCACTCAGGTACCAGGCTCCTATGGAAGCTTGCAGTTGTTTCCCGTATCGGCCAGTTTCCCGATAAAGGTAGCATCTCATATCCCGCGGGTCTGTGAATATTCTCAACTAGCTCATGCTGCTACTACTCCTCAATGTACAGCATTTTCCTATTGACAATTAGCCCTACACTATGCCCACAAAAGTGTGCAGGCCACATGGCATTGCGTTTCGCCGAAGGCAAGCGACATGGATTTGCTTCTGCATGGGTGTATGAAGGACGGGCGAAGCCGTTCCGTATGACGGGCAGCCCTTGCTGGACTTAGTCGGCCGCGCTTCTTTTCCTTCTTTTGATTGGGAGGCCTTCTACCGGCTGCGGCAAAGGGAAGTACGACGTGGCTTCGGCTGGGTTTACCAGTGTCCACCTGTTGGAAAACCGGACGAGGGGTCAGAATAGCTCGCACTGGGAGTTCCGTTCTTCGCAAGGAGCGGAACGCTCAAACTCAGGAGCATGGACCGGCCCCAAAACAGGCTAGTGACAGCAGAATGCTACCGCGGACTCCAAAGTGCGGATCAGCAAACCTGACGAAGTCTAGCAGCTTGGAAAGATGGAAGACAGAATTGGAAGAGTGAGAAGAACTGGCTGTTCGCACGACAGCTGGGGGACTCCGGCCGGTCACGTCGGGTCATAGTAGACTGACACTTGGGACGGCCTCGACTCACGCAAGGGCCGGTGTCCGAGTACCGTAATTACGCGACAATCGGAAGCGAGCAGGCAACAACCAGTTTCAGCGTAATTCTGTAACCAGACGGTACCCAACCTCGTGACACGCCAGCCCAAACCCCATTCTGTTGAATGGATTACAGGGATGGTCTGAGATGCCTCTCTTTGGATTGATGAACCGTGTCTCCAAATGCTGAGAAAAGCAGAAAACGAGGGGACGACTCACTCCCAGTCGTTCACAAAGTGGTACAGAAAGACGGCCATCTCCATGCGCGCCAGGGCGCTACCCGGGCACTGCCGCTCGCCTGGGGGAAAACGAAGATATGAGTTAATACAGGTACAGGAAGGCTCAGCAGGCGGAGCGCAGACGTCTGACATGGCTGGGGGACATTTCGAGATTATGTTCCTACCGTCGATCTTTCGATGTCGAAAGATGGGCTTTGCAGATTCGTCGTCTATGAAATATCTTATGACCTGTTTGGCGCAAACCCCTTTGCGGAATTCTGTTCTGAATTCTTTGGGCTGCCCATGGCTAGAGTGTGCAGACTGGAGTTATCATTCAATGATCGAACAAGCTGCGACAGGGTTTTGACGATCGTGAACTTCCGCGATCCGCCTGTCAAGGGTTGTTTCCGGGGCATTGGGCAACCGCCCGGGGAAGGACAAAAAGCTTCGGGGTTAAATGGACCAACGTGGGGTAAGAGAAGAGAATGAAAACGCAGGAGGAACGAGGGAAAAGAGGCCCAGAGTGTGGCTGAGGAAGATAGCCTCTCGGGAATTGAGAAGCCAAACGGTAAAGCTGGAACAAAGTGTCACAAGTGCTCGCTATCAAACGTGACAGGTCTTCTTCTTGGTGGCTCTTCCCGCGCCTCTTTCGCTGCTCTGCTTCGGAAGTTGTTTATGGCTTTGTTTACTCATGTTGTGGAATGGATCAATCAACGATATCATGGTAGCATCGTGCGAGACTCCTCGCGCGACTTGGATAAGAGAGCGCAAGCTGATCTCAACGCGATTCTAAGTGCAGTTCCACTTCAGTGCTCACGAGGCGAAGACAAACACGAAGGTAGTGGGCTACTCACCGGAGCCAAAGGGGAGGAAGGTGTATGGCGCCGGCTTCTCCTGCAAAAGCCAAAAAGATGTCCTAATCAGACTACATTCTAGGGACGTAACCAGGCTGTAATTCAATTTCAGGCCAGCTCAAGCGTGCTTTCCTGCCCGACACTCCTCCCGAAAGTTTACGGCCAGTAAAAAGCACTTGCGCTCTGGTTCAGACCCGCCTTGCTCTTTGAAAAGGGCTTATCACCGGGGCGGACGTCAACGACAACACCACTCACTGTTTAGCAGGTAATTTGCGCTCGGGACACAAACCCGAGACACGTGTCGTTCGGCAACACAAGAGCAGAGAGACCTGCCGAGCAGTCGCTCTGAGACGTCATTCAGATGCATGCAAACACGCCCTTTTCAATGCCTCTAGAAACGATTACTGACAGCCGGTATAAAAACCAAGGAATTTTTCACTCACATCGAACCTCTCCGGCTTGAACGCCTTTGGTTCCGGGAAGAGGGCCTCGCTGCGCATGATGGACCGGTAGTTCAGCGTGACGTTGTGCCCGGCGGGGATGACGTACCCGTCGATGCTGACGTCACGGGTGGCCACCTTGAAGTTGTTTGCGACCACTGGGCGCACGCGCAGGCCCTCGCTGATGACCTGGGAATCAGGAGAAGCGTCTCGTGGCTTCAGAAGATACCGGTTTGATCTTAGAGGATCCGAGGCGCGTCCTTCAGAAGCGACGTTTGCAATACGCTGTTCAAGTTTCAAAACTTGGTTGAGAATGTGGTTTTTTCGGCAGTGGACTTAGCGGAACGAGTAGAATAGGCCGCTGCTAAAAAGATAGGCACGAAGGCGCCGCTACATAAAACGCGTGATCTTAGATCTTTATACAGAAAGTGCTTGTTCCTAAGCCTTGACCAGACGCAACCAGGCAAATAGCTTTGGGCGCTCTGAGACTCGTCAAACGACTTCGTCATAGATGAACTGAGTAGTCCATGCTCTGCAGTCCATTCTGCTCACAGTCTTCTTCGCGTTTCATCTCCACGCTACGCCAATACCGAACAGAGCAAAAACACACGACTCACTTTCTCTGTGTAGCTCATCTTGCGCACGTCTTCCCACGTCAGCGGCTCGCCGGCTTCCTTACGGCTCCTGACGTCAGCATGTTCCTCCTGTGGTCGACGACAGCGTTTACAGCCTTCAATTATCAGTGACGCTCTCTTTGAGACAAAATTCATAAGAAGCTTTGTCGTGTGGACTCATTTGTCGGTCACAAAATTTCATGTGCCAACAACGACGACAACAAGAACAGATAACCCATTTCAACATATTCCTCTAGACGCTGATGTCGATGCCGTCGTCTACCCGTTTAGTCCCGTGTCTTGCTCGCGCACTGAGCGACTGGTTTGCTCCGCTAGTGATTGTTGAGGAAGAATGACGAGCAAAGGAGAGACAAAGCCTTCGCTTGAAAGTCATCCATGCGGACAGAGTTCGTCATTGTAAATCTGAACCAAGGCCATGGCCCCAACAGAGTCCAACAGAAAGCGGTTTCCTCACTCGAAGCTTTTGTACCACCGCCGGGTCGTCGCTTAGGTACCGGATGATGGACGCCAGGGCGCTCGCACTCGTGTCGTGGCCTGCGAACAAATAACCACAAGCTTTGATGTTGATGAGCACCTAATAGTACTAACGGAAGAGCAGTTTCCTGGTTAACCCCAAGCACAAAATGACTCGCTCAGCACCTAAACCACCCTAACCCATACTTACCCACCCGACAAGTTTCTCAATGAAGTCCGTATTACTTTTACGAAACGACGCGATAAGCGTGCGCAAAAGAAGTACGTCAGCGGCGACAAAGCCGTGGTTTGAGCCAGTGGAAAAATCAGCTAGGCCCAACGATCAGAAGTTACAGACCGATAGCTGCTAACGCTTGGCGGTAACAGCACAATTTCCAAATCAGGAATGGGGGTGTTGCTCCCCGCAATCGCGTTGTTAGCGAAGCCAGCAATCCGTTTTGAAAGCGTCCCTTAAACCATTTCAGGCCTTGAACGAGACAGCTCCAAGAGATTTGAGTCTCCGCATAAGCGGCATCGGAAGGTAGGAGAGACAATTCCAAGCGGTGCAACGAAAAAATATGGAGCTTACGTGGAGCTCACTTGGTTGACCTGATGCGTTGCGAAGGACTATTCACATGTTTAACGGCTGGACTCCTGATCACAGATTCAAATCAATCGTCTGATCCAAATACAGGTCAGGGTCGTACTAGTGAGCACTATATCCAAGCTCCTCACCAGCAAAGAGCAAGGCGAGCAAGTTGTCTTGTAGGTCTTCGTCGCTCAGCTGCGCCCCCTGCGCGTCCTTCTCGGTCATCAGGCGCGTCAGGATGTCGTTCGGCACAGGGGCGCCGCTGGCGAGAGCAGATCGCCGCTCCTTCAGTATGCCAGCCGTCTCCTCAAGGATGGCATCCCGGGCCTAGCAGGAGATCAGAATCGTCTTGACTTACAGGAATATCAAGAATCAGGTATAAACAGGTGAACAGCTTGGGTGGCATCTCAGAACATTGCGAACGCGCATGCAACAGTGGCTTGGATCTGAATGACAAACGTGCTCTTCTCTGTGATCGGAATGTGCATCGAAAGCGGCAGTTTGTGCAAAGTGATTGAAGCTCAATTATACTGCTAAGAAACGGGGCAACTTGATTTGCATGGGAGAAAGCCCTCTCAAGAAGTACGTGCTTCGTTAATGTATTGCAGCTCAGCACACTTTCTGGACTATTCTGTTTGCAAGTCAGCAGGTCTCCATGCTCCAGCATAACACAGTTCCTTGAGCTCAGAACTTACATCCATGGATGCTGCGAAGCCGGTGAAGGGTATCCTGACAGCGAACAGGGAGAACAGCCCGACCAGCCACTTGTTGAAGAAGCCAGACAGCCTGTCTGCCTGGGGCCCAGGCTTGGCGCCAAAGATGAGCTCCGAGATGATGCTGAAAGTCAGCTGCAGCGAGCGGAAAAGGGAGTTGTAAGCTGCATCGTCAAGTTCGCCATGTAAATTGCCGCTGATTGAGCACTAAGCATTCGCTCACACCTGCTTCTTGCAGCTGCTGACTGTATCCATGTTCAAATGCTGCTCTGAACAGGGCTACATTGCTTCTGTATATTCAATATATTCAATGTCTCTTTCTTCAGCACTGATAGAATGAAAGATTGCAGACGCTCTGCACGCAGACAACAATCAGTTTCCTTCTAAGGAATGCAGCAGCTTTGCCTATACGAGCAGTTCATGAGCAGCTTTTTTTGTGCTCGAATATGCCTACCTTTCTAAGTTCCTGATAGGCCGCCACGGTGGTACCACTCTCCCATGTCCCCAATTGCGCCAGGACCCTTTCTTCTATCACAGGGACATATCTTTTGAGGTTGTCCAGGCTGAGAGGCCCAGTGACTAGGCTGCGCAAGTTCTTGTGCCGCGCCCCTTGCGTCGTAGTCACGGATCTCTCACCCAGGAGCATCCTGGTGGACTTGGGCCACTCCGTCTTGAACAACTTTTCTGCAACAAAGAGAACAGAAGATTCATGCTGAGTTGCAATATGAGACTCCAGGGAAATTAAAAGCAGTCGCAATATTCACAATGATTGCACAAATTATAGACCTTCAGTTTTCAGCTTTACTGAAGGGAATGCAAAACGGATCCCATTGGTTGGCATGCCTTTCTTTCTGACCTGGCAAGTTCGTCGTAAATAGTGGATTGGAGCAAAAATCACAAGGCATTTCGAAAAGGACAATCACTCACACAAAACATAGCAATCAGTGCCATCGTCTGTGCAGGTTTAGCCAGGTTTGTGCACAGTCATACAAGTGATCAGATTGTCGATGTGCAGAATCACATGATGGAGTGCAGAAGCTAGTCTAGCATCTCACCATCCGTCAGAAGGAGCTCCGCCAACTCTGGAGCAGTGACCATGACCATGTTGTTCCCCAAAAGATTTGTCAGAAACGTCCTTCCATACTTGGCCTGCCTCTCCCTGACAAACGAGTCTGGATCCTCCGTGTTCTGGCTCTTTAGGTAGTCTAAAGTTTCACCAAGAACGGGCAGGCCAAGGTTCCCAGGGGGCAGCCTAGGCGATCCATTCGGACTGCCTGATTGCTTCATCCCCTCCATTCCCTCTGTCAGCTGATCCGTTGATTTGACTGCCCTTGTGCTGCAAGCCCTGTGTTGCCGCAGCAGCTTGCTTGGAAGCCTCCTTTCCTGATTGCTAAAAGAAGAAAGATCTCTGACATCCGGCATTGTCCTGCTCGCGCATGCTAGCCCTTGGGGAGAGATGTTGCTCGCCATCATGGAAAACCTGCCAATTGCTGAATGCTGATGTAGGTAGGTCGGGATGCTCCCTTGCTGCTGACGCGGGGCCAATGCTTGATGACACCCAACGCTGCACTGCCTCACTTCCTGCAATTTCACTGCAGCTGTACTTTTGGCCGCAGACGTCTTGCCTGAGATTGAGCCGCTGCAAGCTGGCTGAACATAGAGACGCGATGAGCACGCAGCTGAAACGTCTGCCATTTTGTAAGCAGGGGTGACTTCCTTGATCTATGGACAGATGGAGGTGGAAATGCCAATCTGAAAGTTGCCGCTCGTTTGCTCAGGTTCTGGACACTTGGATTGTGAGATGGGTAACAGTATCACTCCCAACAGCTTGACTGGGGCAGCCCATACAAAGCTGAGGTGAGCGCCGTTTGCCAGTGCTGGAGTCGCTGCCGATCCAGAAGATCTGCCCAGTAGGAAGAGGAGCTCCTCCACAGCTCTCCATCGGCTTCCAAAAGCTCTCAAACGCAGTACTTAGCGCTATGAGTACTAAGTTTACCTAGCTTAGGAAACGGCTCTTCATTGTTCAACATCAAAAGCGTGCGACTTTATGAGCAAACGCTCGACTCTCCAAGAATTACCTACCTGTTCCAAACTAGGTAAAACCTGTAAGGTGCATGATGCACGATGCAAGCTCGCTGCTCTATGCAATGATGCATGATGCACGCCAGCTAGTCCTAGCCTAGGGGCCTAGGGCCTTCAAAGTTCCAAGTGCGGCCGGCCAGGGGCCAGGATCATACATCGTCATTGTACTGCTGAATCCGAATGCGCATTTTGCGCCAGGGAAATTGGAAGGCGCACTGTGATTGGTTGAGCTGACCGGTCCTACGTCTGCAAGAAAGCCACCGTGGCAGGGTCCCATGCTGTCGTGCAGCCACGTACTAGTCAACCGAGTCTGACGTCAGTGCATGCGCACGTTGCAATTTGCAATCTGCATATCGCCAATATGATTGCGCGAGTCACCCCGCAGCCTGAGCTGGCCCGCACGCCGCTGCGGATATTAGGGGCCAATACGGTAGACACCTTTCGACATCAATCATTTCAACGTTTGCTAGTGTCTATATTCAACAGCACAAGAAGGTCGTGAGTCGTAAGTTTAATGTAAGCATCATAACATTCTAAGCACTCCGGCACGGTGTCCTGCACAAATGTCTATGCTCACAATTGAGGAACGTTGCGATGCTCTGGCCGAAACAACAGAGCAACCATGAGAGTCACTGTTTTCGTTCTAGGGTGGCACTGTCTCCATTGTACGTACCGTAGTTACATCAAAAGTATTTCTAAAATCGATGAACTATCCTCCTTGAGATCACATTCGAACTTAGCTGTCTCAAGACAATCTCCAATACGGCATGTATGTAGGCGCGCATTGCAATCCTAGAAAGACGGCCGCGCGGGGCAGGCTGTTGCCAGCGGTCAACTTTACATCCCACCAACATGCTTTTGCATCTAGGAAGACACGGTCTCGATTCTCGAATGTTCTATCCGAAGCGCAAACTTTTGCCATGTCGGGCTCTAATCCAAGAGTTGCTCGATGTAAACTTGGACCTGCAGTGCGCCTTTCTTGACCGACTTGATGGGAGTTATTACCGGACCCTCTTGTAGGTCCGTATTGTCAGCAGACACCCATGTTACTTCGCGGCTCCCATTGGCAGCAGGCGGTTGATTGGTGTGGGCCACAATTTCCCAAGAAAGGTCTGTCACGGAAAGTGAGACAGGATTGATGTACCCGTTGAAAGTCGCAAAAGCCACTCTGCCAAGCAATTTCCGCTGGTCGGTCGAACTTCGCGCTACACCCGGGCAAATCCCAACCCGATTGGCACATCGTGGAAGGATATTGCTGGTGCTGTCCACAGCGGCACGCGATTGTAGCTGAAGCAATGGACAAGAAACACTCCATGTAGTGCATCCTGACAGCGTGGAGTAAATTTGCCTTTGACCATCGCCCAAAGGACTGTCACCTCAGGGCGCCCGAGAATGCGAGGTGCAGATAGCCTTTCATTTAAGGTACGAGAGCATGTCAGAGCATTCAGCACTCCAGCACAGTCTTCTTTTTCGAAGGCCAGAGTATCCCAGGATCCCTGTAATACTGAGGCAGCACATTCGTTCAAAACTTCATTTTCCATTTTCTATGCTAAGCTCCGCCCCGGCCACCCCTCATGAGTCCAGGTGTCGATCAAAGGTTTCAGGAACTTATGCGCAGCAAGCCGACACAGAACACTTGCATCATCTCATACTCATACCTTTGGGCAGTTCTTCCGGCGGAGGCTCGAGCACTGAGAGTTTCATAAGCACCGCCCGAAGCGCCTCTTCGATCTCCGCAATCGGAGCAGAACCTGGGGCGTGTGGCGCTAGCGGCCCCACTTGGATGACGAACTTCTCAACAGCCTTGCCGGACCCATCACGGAGGACGACCACAACTCTCTGGACAGCCCCCTGCAGCAGGAAAAAGGGTCATGTGTGAGTTCGATACCACAAAGAAAGCGGAAATTCTCAACGAAGGAAAAAGTTTGAAAGCATTGTCACCTTCTGACGATCTATGAGATCTGCCCGAAGGCGCTTATTCAGCCAGATGACGGGTCGTTTGGGGCAGCACTTGAGAGGCAGAACGACTGCGATGATTGTAGCTGAAGCAGAAAGTCAATGTACTCTTCTACCAGGTCTGAGACGAAGGACGACCACAGTTTCCGCGAGGGCGGCCGGTAGCCTTGTCATGAAGAGTGCGTTCAAAGTTCAGTGTCGTAAGCACCTGGCCTATCTTGAGACAGGCTTTGGAGTGATATGATAGCGCACCAACGGTGATCAGTGACTATTATCATAAGGAAAATACTGCACGATACCGACGCAGCTTGAACAACGTTAAGATGAAGGCATCATCATCACATAGTGGCGGAAGAAAGGCAAAGAGTATTACATAGACAGCGACTCAGGCTTCAATCATCACTGCCGCGATGAAAACTGCACCTGCATCAGCCACTCGTGAAGGCTCTGCACAGCACTGTGAATGTACTCCTGGAGCTCTGGGTGGCGGGCCCACTGCACCGGCACACTGGCATACCGCCTCCGCTCAAAGACCTCTGTCAAATATCAGGAAGAAACGGAGATTAAAGGTCAGAATAGAGGGCGGCCAGCTGGTAAGGAAGGCAACATTGGATACAAACAGCTCAGCAATGCAGCTAGGAACCAGGGGCGCGCGATAACTAGGGTGCAGGAAAGGCTCGACATGAGAAGGCTTACTGCTGAGCACAGAATCATGTGCAGCAACTTGAGAGAAGCGGCTTGTGAACAACGAAACTAAGGGATGTGGGCAAGTCCTTTAGCCGCATCCGCTGTGTCTCAAGCATCTATGGCCTCAACTGTGTTGCCTAAACACCATCGCTTACCTGGAGGGTAGACATTGCGAACATGGAGAATGAGGTGGATTGCTACCTCAAGAAACTCACACACAATGTCCGTCAGCTCTGCACACAACAAGCAGCTCAATCAAGTTCAAAGCAGCCTCACGAACCATCTCTGGATACAAACTTGCCGAAGATAGATGAAGCAAGCAGAAGATGGTTTGCATTTCACTTCCAGAAAGCAGTATACGCAAGTATCTGTCAGACTGACAGAATCTGGGCGACAAGCCGTGCAATCCTTTGAATTGGCAGGGCCCTTTGCTGCTAGATGAGCTTGGAGTTCAATATGCATTTGGTGCCTTACCTTTTGTTTCCGCTTTCATGGCATAACGATCACTCGATCCTTGGTACAGCTGCATCGAGCTTTTGTCACCCTGGGATCATCTTCAATGCATGAGGCAGCTTCAAGCTGAGGGTCAGGGAGAATGCTGCGACCCTCCAGCAATGCGCTGCACCCATGCTGCGATCGCCCCTTCGAGTCGACCTGACGTAGGACTACACCGTCACGGTACACCATGGCTGCGCGAGAAAGTTTTGCCCTATTTTCATTAGGTGCTGGCTAAAACCGGCAGGTTTAAACTGCCGGTTGTTGGTTTCGAAGCTCGAATTTCCCCCGTAGACACGTAGACCGGCAGGTCCCGGCTGACCGACGGCACAGCTGAGAAAAAACTTTGTTCTGAGCAGCACGCTGCACGCAGCCCTGCAAAGCTGCAACTCAGATTGTGACTTGAGGATGGAGAGAGTAAGGGAGGAAGAAGGCGCTGAAAGTCCGCTCGCACATGCAACTCTCTGAACAATAAATGGCAGGCGCTGTGCTGTGTTCTCTTCCGCCAACCGCAGCACTTTGCCTCAGGCATGGTGTTCTGAAGCCCTCAGCAAAGGGAAGAAAGGCTGCCTTGCAGCCAAAGATTGAGCCTACGCCCCATCATCTTCCACTCTCAAACTCATTTGGGAACCAGAATTGTGGTGTTCGTGCTGGCCCAGTCCGTTTGCAAAGCACCAGAACTGCTCATCGTCATGGCAAACTGCCGCAAAGCAATTGCCTTAGCAAACCCCACGAGTTGGCTAGTGAAACGGGTGTTCGTCTGCCTCAGAGTAACATCCCTCTCAAGAGACGGCAGGTAGTCACATGTGGAGCAGCAGGAAAGCCAGATGCCAGTAGTAACCTGGCCCGCAACTTGGAGCTGGAACCGAGCACGAGAGGTCCCAGGAATCAGGCTGGCAACCAGTTCAACGGCATCTTCCTGCTACTGATTCTCAACATCGGCATCTATGTTGCTGATCATCTCTTGCACGTGAGTTGCCACACTGGAGTGGTGCACGTTCTCTGTCCTGAGCTGAACCTTAGAATCGACGTTGGTTCACCCAATCATGCAGCTTCTCACTTACATGCCTGCTCAAGCATTGAGGCAAGGATCCCAGACAGAGCAGTCAGTACATGCATCCTGTCACAAAACTTTCAAGGATGGGAATGGCAATCATCAGGAAGGAAGTGTCTGTAGCAAGGATTGCTGCAGAGTTACAGTCTTATGTATCTGGATGCCTACTGCCTAAGTTCCTCAAGCTACCCGCCTTTCATGCGTCTTTCTGTTGTCTGCAGCTGCCTGTGATGCGCAGCCTGTACCTGAATCATGTCCGGCCACAGTGGTGGCAGTTTGTCACGTCCACCTTCTGCCACTTCAACTGGTAGGTCCACGACTTGATTGTAGATCCTCTGAAACTGAAGTATTTCTATTCAGAAACATGCCATCTATCCTTGGAGTTTATGGACCATCTTAATCATCATTATGGTTTATAGAACTGGCCCTCCTTAAGGCTTTGACATCTGAGTAAGGCCTGTTGACATCTTGGGACTGATTCGAAGGAGTCTCCTTCTCCAATGTTAGTTTCAGGCCTGCAGCCGCATCCCACCTAGAGAAAGCAGCCTATTACTGGCTTGATTTTATTGAGTATGCACACTTTTGTTTCCTGCCAGGAATCACCTGTCGAGCAACCTCTTCTTCTTGTACATATTCGGCAAGCTCGTGGAGGAAGAGGAAGGCAGCATCGGTGTCTGGGCATCGTACCTGGTCACTGGCATCGGAGCGAACGTCGTCTCGTACCTGCTACTTCCGCACTCCAGCGGGGGCGCGGCAGTTGCGTCGTGCGGGGCCTCGGGGGCTGTCTTTGGTCTCTTTGCCATCAGTGTCCTTGTCAAGGTGGGGCATACCTCTTCATGGCGAGATTGCGTTCTTGCCTGCTTCTCAAAAAGTGAGGGCCAAATGGTTCTGTCAAAAAGTCTTAAAAGATGACAGAGACAAACGGGCCTCGTTTCTGATGAGAGTATTCTGGTCGAGACTTGTGCGACTCCATCAGGAGACGTCCTGTCTCAGCACAAAGGACCGCTTGGTTCGTCAACCAGACGCGCGTTCGCGGTCGAAGCTTTGTTACTCAGCACGATCACCTCCTGCCTCTGTCGTATCCCTGTCATGGATTGATCTTCGAGTTATAAAGTTGAGACTTGCCGGGCAAAATGCTGACAAAGATCCTGCTCCTCATTTTCCAGCTAAGCTGGAACTGGCGAAAGATACTCGAGGTGCTCATCTTGGGACAGTTCGTGGTTGAAAAGGTGAGCCACCAGCTCGCTAGTCTTCAAACGGTCTGTTGGTGAAACGTCGTTCGAAAATACCCCGGTAAGGCCCCCGCAGCTCCCTTTAAAGCACCTTTGGAGAAGGAGTCCACGAGCAAGTCTCGTTGACAATAAGAGATTGTCAGAAGGATCTTGTCAAACCTTTTTGGCGGACCGACAGTGGTGTAGAGGCCAGATTGGACGCTGTGGGAGCGTTCACCGTTTTGCTCCAACTTTTGGTTGCGTGTCGACGCGATCAGGGGCCACCGTTGAAGATGCAGATTCTGCTTATCTGACGAAATGTGTCGACGGATTGGATCCTCAATCAGGTCTCTAAGTTTTTGTAAGCACGAGGTCTGTCAAATGTTTGTATGGTTTCGCGAACAGAAGATGCAACTTGTAGGCAAGGTGCGATAGCAATGACGTTATCCATGGTCCTTTGAGAGCGAGGTCTAAAGCTATTCTTCCTGGAAATGACACGGGTAAAGCTTGTATACACTGAACCAATTGCCGTGCTCTTCCTCAGGTCATTGCTGAAGCTGCAATGTCGGCTCGCGGCACAAAGGGCCTGCTGTCGGGAGGCATCAACCACGTTGCACACCTAGCAGGGGCGCTGGTAGGCGTTGCGCTTATCTACCTGATCACCAGGTTGCCAGAAGCCGTCTCTAAAGTTACTGACAAGGACCTCCTCGAATAAGGCGACTTCAGCCTGTGTGCGTCGTTGCAGTCAATTCTGATAGATAGATCTGGTTCTAGGCTTAGGCCTCCAGATTGTAGGTAGTCGGCATACGATTCCGATTTCCACATGTATAGTCGCTGGCGATTCACATGGGGAGCAGCGTGAGGCACTGAGACACATGGCAGCTCCAGATGCATACATTAAGCTGGCGGCGTTTAAGATGGTATATCGTCGGCACGGCCATGCACATTGCCGGCGGCCTATGTACATCATTGTTCACGCATGTCCTTCACGTACTTCTTTTGCACAGCCATCAAAGTGAACGTACATTAGTATGTAATGCACATACAGCACGCTAGCCTGGCTGTGGACAGTCTATTTAATTTGAATGATGCAGTGGATCGCGATACATCCTGCCGTGCCGGGGTCCAGCACTATAGTCTGTATGGGCGTGCATTCCATATCTGCAGCTTATAGGGATTTCATGCATTAGTACATGATGAACATCAGTGGTGGGTTGGCATGTGACTGCAGCAATGCAATCTACACTGGTCGACGGTGGACGCCTGAAGTTTGAGTAATTTTTTTGACTTTGCGCATACGTACTATAGCATAAATAGGATCAATCGTCAAAGACTGCCGTGACCCACATCAATAACGATTGCACAGTCTTTCGACCGTTGGTCAGAATCAATTTGCAACGGGCGTTGAAAGTGATTGAAAGGTGTGGACGCTTACACTGCAGACGACTGCTGACACGCAATTACGGAGTAGGATAGTAATGAGGCTAATTGCAGGTCATGCAAGCAGAGAATGGTGACCATATTACACAAGCCGTACACGAAAGCTGTTCCAGCAAGTGCTGGCCATGCTTGGCAGATCAGACCCAGGAAGCAGGATTGGCGCAGCAGCAGAGCGATGACTGGCGATCCGTACTAAAGCGCAGGGCAGTAAAGAGCACATTACTGTTAAGAGTTACCACTATTAACCTGGATTGCCATCACTCAGTTGTTCTTGTAACGGCTTTGAAAGCAACGTGCTCATTCACGTGTTGGGCCCATTAAACTCTGGACAAGGTAAGCGTGTTCTCTGAATGGTCCTTGCAATGAGGAGGTTCCTACACATGCTAAACTTAAGTGGCCCCGCAGAAGAGGGGGTGTACAAGTCATCATACTTAGCTCTTGCTTTTAGCTGATTCCGTTCCAGAACCATTCAAGTGTGGCAAGTTAGAGGAGCTAGTGCTTGTCCTCAAAGCTTATGCTCTTTTTGTCGCTGCGGAACAAGACGCTCGACAACATACCCTCCGACCAATAGACACATCGTCACCCATGGCAGAACCGCCACAGCCCCCCCCCCCTGCCAGGACGCCCCATGCGGCCACGCCAAGACACTCCCCAACGGCTGCACGGTGGCCAAAGGCAAGCTCACCACCGCTGTTTTCTTATACAGCTGATATGCAACCCCCCGAAACGCGAGCCGGCCCATGGAAACCGCCGTCCTCCATGTGAGCCTTCGGGAAGGTTCTCCTCCCTGCCGCTGCTGCAGCTCTGCCAGGGCCTTTTCTTTGGCGGCCACCTCACGCAAGAGCTTTGCGCTTTTGGCGAATGTTGCCGGAGTGTTCAGCTGGTCGGCGCGCTTTCGTAGCTGGTGAATGCTGCGGCGGAGCTCTGCCTCTTCGCCGCTGGAGGGAGAGCCCTGGCAGCGCCTGGTGAAGAGAGCGGCAGAGAGTTCCACGGCGCAGGCGGCCAGAAAGAGCCACAGGGGCAGGAGGGAAGAGGGCGGGCCGTTTTCGTCCATCTCCTCCAATTGAATTTCAACTATCTCTAGGCTCTAGGTGTGCCCCTCAGCTGCCGCTGAAGCCAAGTCCAAGCTGTACAGCCTCATGAACAGCTGGGGCCCAAACGAATTGAATTCGAATGGATATAAGAGCAAAAAATGGTGCATAAGCGACCGTGAGGGCGAACGCGTCGCGGAAACCGCTACTCAGGCGTCAGGCAACTGGCGTTTTTTTTACCGCACTGTCCGACAGAATATGTACCGGTTTCCAGATAACCTATGCCGTTTCCTTCCCATAGACAGTCCAATCGGCATATGTTCTCGGAGATAGACTCAAGTCTCACAATCTTCGCCATGGCCCATTTCCGGAGGCTTGTCCTCCCAGACATTGCTCAGGGCGGCAACCCCGATCTCCTGACGGCTTTTAGTAGACCGTATCAGCATGGAGGAGCCAAAAAAGGAGGAGCCTGCCTCTCCTTGTGCCCGGCCTGCGGAGCCGGGTAATACGGTGCAGAAGATACGGAAGCATATTGACGAGTTCCGGAAGGCGTCCCCAGATGAGCACAAGCAATGATTTAAAAACACGCTAAGCAAGGTGGGTTGTGGGTTCTGGATTGTGTTGGTGGTACTAAGTCTTTCTATCTATTCTTTGGATGGGGAAAATTTCAACAGGACTCGAACGAAGAGAAGTCATTGATGTGATAGCAGAGCATACCCTTGACTGCCATCATTGCTACGTTGTGCTTTCGACTAAACACAAGCTACTGTTAGTATCCTAACGCTGGGCTTTTCTACATGCCAATTGAGTTGCTGGTGAAACTCGCATGGATCAAATCAGAAAGTGATGCGCGCGTTGATCTCAACCATGAGGGATTTGTGGAGTGAGGACCAACTGAGCTTTTCTTTCTGGTTTGTAGCAGTCATCAGCTATCCTACGCGATAAAGGTGATGAATTTGTGTAGAACTTGGGCAGCGTGCGCTCTCTGCCAGCTGTGCACCATAATTGTTGCGACGGTCTTGTCAAATCCTTTTCTTTCACAAATCAGATTATTAGTCATTGTCAAACACCTCCCTTTCCGCTACGCTCACTAAGTCTTGAGCGAGTACTTTTGAACACATCTTTCTGAGTTCCGGAAAAGTGAGTCCTGAGCTCTGAACGAGACTTCAATTGCAGATGTTTGGGTTCCGGAGAAAACCCGCAAAGCCGCCAGACACGTCACCAGATGCAGCGGGGAGCTTGAGCCCCCAGCCCGTGGAAAGCGTTCTGCGGCTGAGGGTTGAGTACTATGGAGATCCGGACCAAAAGGTGAATTGACTGCCGCCTTCTCAAGTGTGCACCTCTGGCTGTGGGACTGGCAGTATCAGAGTCTGTTTGAATTGCCTGAATCAATTCGTTGTACCATGTGTGTTCATACTATTCATCCTAGTATCTGAAAATCGTAAATATCAAGGCCCCTTAGGTCATGTGAAGTACATGAGAAGTGAAGTACTGGATTGAGGGGTAGATCTGACAGCTCACCGTTTACCAATCAAATGGCGTACTGCACTGCTACTGGAGAAGTCTTCCAACATCCAGCGGTATGTTGCCTTGGATCAATGAGTGCCCATAGATACGCTAGATCACATGAAAGACGTTCATCACAAGTTGAGTCTCTCCGTGCTGCAACAATTCTGACTCGTTTATTGCCCCACCTCGAAGCTTCCTTCTACGTTGCAGTTTGTTTAGCACTTCGAGCGGAGTCTCAATCGTGCGCACGCCAACAAAGCATTATGAAGGCTATGGCTCAAACTCCAAGCCTGAGCAGCCTAAGCTGGAAGTAGCTTTGGATCTGAGCGTGTGCAAGGGCAGGCCGGCCCGCCACCATTGATCCACCATCGGCTTTGTACATAAAGAGGCAAATTAGATTGATATTCCAAACACCCTTTCAAGTTATGTTATTTTACAATCGCTTTGCAAAGCCGATTGTGACAAGGATGATAAGTCATTGGTGACGGTTGTAAATGACAAGAAAGGCACCAAAGTGGGCACCAGAGCTTCATTGCATGGAGGTTTGGCTGATAAGGTACTCATCGTCAACTGGCTTCAAGCATCGATCAATGGAACGCGTTGAGTATCTAAAATGAGAGGCGCAAGCGAGAATGATCGTCGTTGAGCCTGCATGACTGCGTCATCTGATATTGTTCAATTGGAATCAATGCTTGGTGCACCGGCCCTCCATGATGTGTGGGCTGTGTATCATGCAACCAGGCCGTTCCTTAAACCAACATGGCACCGTCGTATGAGCTTAGGCATATAGTTATGTCGCGGGCAAACAATGTGGAAAAGAAGTCCGACTAGACAGTGCACACATGAGCCTCAGGCTGCAGTACATATGATAGCCAGCTAATGGATCTTCAAACGACGCTTCAAGCCTGCTGGCAAATATAAAGCAGTACACATGCATGTACTATAGGTGCATGTCTGTTTAACAAAGAGCGAGTCCATGCAGAATACCCACCAGACCTCCGACGCGATCAGAGGCATGTCGCCCCATGATGATCCGTCTCGAATCATTGTATGTAGAGAGTTAGAGCGACAAGCGAATCTTCAATATACAAACAAATTAGTGCTATACTTATCTAGAAAAGTGCATGCAATATAATTGTGTTCGTCAATTTGGCCGGTGTGGTTGGTGCTCATCATCATGTACCGTACCCGTTATATACCGCACGTATGGCTGCAAACGATCTTCACCGTATGCCTGCCTGCTGATGTGCGCGCGCTGAAGTGCACTTTGTATACGTTGCGTCTGTGAGTAGAGTCTGATTCTCGCGCACGCCATCTCAAATATAAGAGTGCCGTCGCGAAATCTAAGATTTTCGCAGACTGGGCTACCGCTGCCGCTCCACTAGTGAGGAAATTGAGACCTGGAAAGGGTCTGCAGTGCGATCACCCGCGCCAGATTCCCTGAGGCTCACTCGTCTTCTTCGTCCAGCTCTTTAAAGATCTTCTCGTCGGCGCAGTCCTCCTGCTCGCTGTCCGAGAGAACTACTTTCTTCCTGCGTTTCTGGGGCCTTCCATTCCCGCTTTCTGTCGCACGGGCTGGCAACCGCAACGACGTCGACTTTCTCTCAGGGCTTCTATCGCTCCTTGCGTCCTGCGAAACCGCCTGCTTCACTTCTGCTGCTTCCGACGGCCCTTCTTCCTCCTTCACCGCGAGATCGCTCTCGTCGACCTGATGACGCACGAATGAGGTATGTCCGGCTTCGATGGCTGCCCTCAGAGGTGCGTCGGTGACGTCAGAGGAGGCGTCTTGCCAGCTGCCGTTTTCGCCGGAGGAAGAGCTCTCGACGAGGTCTCGGGTGTCGCATGCTGTATCCTGTACCGAGGAGGCAAAGCTTTACTGAATGCGCTGATTCGTCCGAGCCAGGTTGCTGCATGTTCCTTCGCTCAATGTGCCTGCTTCAAACTTTCGGACTACAAATTAAAGGGGAGTTGTACTCCAAATGTGCTGGAATGTAAGCATGGAAGGGGGCTTCGCAGAACCAGGGGCACCCACTTGCAGTAAGTGATACATGTATCGGAAGCGCGTGCTAGACGATAAACTTTCCAAACTCACCGTCCGCAGCGTGAAGAGCTCTTTCAGCTCCTCCTTGCTGAAGTGGCGCTGGTTGTTGCTGCTCTTCTTCATCCCCTGGCCACCAGTGACCTCGGCCGCAACCTCGTCCTTGGCAATCTGGCGCTGGTAGATCTTCTCCTCGATGGTGCCCCGGGACAGCAGGCGGTAGATCACCACCGGCTTCGCCTGGCCGTCGCGCCAGATGCGCGCCATTGCCTGCAAGGGTGCCACTTTTCCATCTGACTTTGTTCCAAATCCTAATCCTACCAAATAGATCGTGTTTTGGAGGCAATCTGATTAATGAGGACGATCAATGAGAAGCTACAGCGGGTCTTATCTCTGCCTCATGTTTAAGTCCATGCAAACACAGGCTGAATCTCTTGGAAGTGTTCTCGAGGGCCGTACAGAGGGCCGAGCTACCACTTTGCACCATCACCACTGCACGGAGGACAAGCCCTGCAAACGTTTCCTGTCAAAACGCGCGTGCCTCATGCGAGTCTGAGGCGAAACTCTTCTGCAAGTAAGAACGAGATCAGAACGCAACGGTAGAACAAAGGAATCATGCCAGCTTCCTGACCTGCTTGTCGTTGGCCGGGTTCCAGTCCGAGTCGAACAGGACCAGTCGGTGCGCTCCAATGAGGTTCAGCCCGCACCCGCCAGCTTTCTTGGACAGCAGGAAGATGGTCTCGTTGCAGTGCCCCGCGTTGAACCGGTTGACCATGCCCTGGCGGTCCGCAACGGCAGTCGCGCCGTCGAGGCGGAGACAGTCCCACGAGCGCCGGGTGCACTCGTCCTGAAGGAGCCGGAACGTGAGATTTGTTCTCGAGACATTCTTCCGATTGATGAAAAGGAGCTTTCTGCAGGTGCAAAATGACTAGCATTCATCCATACATCTACCATGCACCTTTGGCGGAAGTAGCACAGAGCGAATCTGCTTACGAGAAAGAAAGCTGATTGCTCGGTCTGAAAGACCAGCCGCGCACATTCCAGAGGCGCAGAAGCCCCGGGCAAAGTGTGGAATCACATTTTCAGAGGAAGTTAAATGGGGCTGTCTGATGTACATGAGCAGCGTTCCGATCGATCTATGCCACCAGGGCTGATGAGGACCGAATTGTGTCCCGACTCTCCGTTTCAAACTCAGTTGTGGGCCTTTCATCAGCTTCAAGGAGAGAAAGAGAAAGTTTACCTGGATCACGTCCAGCGTTGCCGTCCACTCTGAGACGACGACCACCTTGTCCTTGTCTCCGCTCAGCGCGTTGTGGTCCGCGACTGCTTGCAGGATGGCCATGAGCGCCGCGAACTTGCCGGACAGCTCGGAGCTGGCCGCCGCGTCACAGGGCCTGCTAGTGGAAAGGCATGCTGAATGGGAAAAGATACGTAGAACAGCATCCCGGAAGACGACTTGTCAGAGCGGAAGTCGTTACATGTAGCATCTCGAATTTACTGCACAAGAAAGGTGGCTTTGCAGATCAAACGCTCAACTCCGACGCGTGTGTTGGATGCTCACTTGATTCCTCTAAAGTGCTGTCAGTCGTTGTACGACAACCTTTCTTTCGATATCTGTTTCATCAAGAACTGTTCTTTTTTCCCTGTTTGCTGTTCGGTCTGAAGCGTCTGACCGGCAAATCCTCAAACAACTAACCAGGTTTGACGCATCCGACAAACGAGATCTTACTGCATTCTGAGCCTCGGAGTGCTGCGAGATCAAGCTTGCCGATGATGACTTCAAGCGCTCACCTTTCATTCAGAAGTGTGATTGCTTCAGGCGGAACGCTGGCGTTCATGGGGCCGTCCATCTTGGCCATTTCCTGGTCTTCGATGCTGCCACGTGTCCGCTCTGGGTGGAGCAGGTGCGGGTGGTTGCAGAGTTTTCTTAGGAGGCCGATGGTGGCGAGCACCGAGTGAGCAGTCGTCGCGGTTCCGGCCATGAGCAAAGACGAGACGACCTGCGGAACGGAACGGGAAGATGCGAACGGAACAAGCGATGCGCGAGGAAGCAAAGCAAGGCGGTTTCGGAGAAAGCTGAGTGCTACTTTAGACAGATTCTTCTCAAGATTTAGCACACTGGTATTGATGAAACAAATCTCGAAAAATGTTGGAGAAGCACGGGTTGCCAACAATGTCATTACCTTTCTCAAAACGTTCTGGCATGTGTTCATACCTTTGATTGGAGAAGGGTCTGGTATAGCTCAAGCTGAAGGGGCTGCAAGTTGCAGAAAACGACGTACCTGGGCAAGAGAAGGAAAATCAAACGGCGGTTGTCCCTTTTGAGAAGAGAGACCACGTAAGGGAAGCGCTGCATGCGACGAGGGGACTAATTTCCTTCTTGGTACCGATACATTCTCCCAGGCCAAATATGCATAACAAACCTTGACAGCGCATCGACGGCTTCTGATATTGCAGTACCGCCGAGACACAGGAAGGAAACCACCGTTCAGCTTACATTACGAGTCTTGACTCTGGTCAAAGGGAACACAGGTAGACTTACTCCGTTCGTGGAGGCAGGTACTTCGCGTTGACTTCCGAGGTCCTCCGCAGCACGAAGAGCTGCGTGCGCTTCTGCAGCTCAGCGGAGCGCTCCTCTCCGAGAAGCTTCTCATCGTCCCTGAAGGCATGAACCTCTCTTGTCGCTTGTGCGTATGAGTAGTTCCAAAAAAAGGCAAAGTGAAGCCAGGTGTTCCGAGATTGCTAGCAAGCCCTTAAAGTCTCAAGGTGGTCTTGATCGTACTTGTATCCAGGATGACTTCAGTGAAGGAGGCAGCGTATCTCGTGCATTGCTTGATCAAGCAGCGTCATTTACTGACTTACGTCGCCGTCCTGTCTCTGCTTCTTTCGATAGGGTCGGCGTAGAGGCGCTTGAAGGTAGGCAAAGTGCCTAGCAGCTCAGGAGCAATGAACGATATCTGCATAGGGATTGGAGTACATCAAGAAACTGGCCGTGCGGCAGAAATCACCAAAAGCCATGCAGAATAAATGAATCCGCTTATCGAGCCGCCTGCGCATGCATAATTGTGTTTTGCCGATTCGATGTTCAGTACGGCAAAGAAAAGGCAGGAAAAGAAGCCGAGAGAAGATAGAGTAACATCTGAAGGCAGGTCTTCCTCACCATGGCAAAGAACTCGCTCAGGTTGTTCTGCAATGGGGTTCCACTCTGCGAGATACGAAAACCCATCGATCAGGCCAGGCGATGGACAGAGATTGTTCTCAAAGGGTCAAGGACATGCTGTTTTCTCAAAGACCAACAGCTCGGTAAGAATAAGTAAAAGCTTTCTTACCAGCAACACTCGCCGCGGGCACTTCAGTGACTGCAGGGCCTCAATTGTCTTGTTGCCAGCGCTGCAGAAAATAGCGCATCTGGTCGGAAACAGATGCGGTTTCAGAGAAGCTATGCCAAATGCACCCCGATATAGTCAATCGGTATCAGGTTGACGTTAGATACACAGTCAAGGTTCCCCGCTGCAGTCACATCTCTTCGCGTCCAACTGCATTAACTTACCTGTTCTTTAGCCGATGAGCCTCATCGCAGATCTGCACAACCACCGCGAAGTACAACTCAGAAGGCAAGTCGGCCGCCGCTCAAAGAGCACAGTTACGCCTTAAAGCGTGCAACCATCATTAGGCAGAAAAAGCTGTTTCATGGCCACTTTCAGGTTGATTACGACTTAGACGAAGAAGCATTGCGACAGCGTGAAGTGCCCGGGGCTGTGTTTGTGGATTTTACGTGTGCAAAATCTGGTAGGCAAGGACAAGGGCCTCACCAGGAGCTCACACTTTGCCTCCGCAATCTTCGCTGAGTACTTCCGAGCTAGCTCGTAGGATGTGATTAGGAGAGGCCAAACGTTGCCGTTGGTGAAGTCATCGAACTTCGACTTCGCCTGCACCGAAAAATCTCATGTAGAAGCTGGAGTCATGTAAAGAATCTGCATCTTGCATTCAAGGAGGTAACCGACAGAACGACCGTTCATTAGCGATTATGCAGCACTGAGTTGGTCGAGCTCCGAGAATGTGAGCAATCAGCGGTCATCGACTTGCTCACGTCCGCTGCTGCAGTTCCCGCATGGATTGCCAGCGCTCTCAGACGCTCCAGTCCGAGCCACTTCTTCACCTGCGCCGGATCGGAGATGCCTTAAAGCAGAAGGAGAATTTTTGTGCGAAGCTGAGGAGCAGATGGACGAAGCCTATGACCGTGATAAAGTGCTGCGAATGTCACGACCCACGACAGACATGTCTCTTGATCAATGCCAAGTGTGCAGGACGTATCCTTGGAGTGATCGCCGGGCGGGCCAAAGTCAGGCTGACGGGAACAGTTCGAGCTCGCCGAAGGTCTCACCTCGCTCGCCCAGTTTTCAACCAAGGATGACGGGCACACCTGCATCAATAACAGGGTTGGTTAGTGCGACAGCGGAATAGAATTTTGGTTTCAATCGACTCATCTGCCAAGGATGAAAGACGTTGAAAGTAGGAGAGAATTGTGTAGGTATAGCAAGCCTTCTGATTCGTGTTTCTTACCACTATTGCGCGTCGAATCGCTGGCTTTCCCAGGGGTCCCTGCAAAGGAGTAGAGAACCGGCTTGCTAGTAAAGAAATGGAGGGAATGCGGCCCATAAGCGGTCCGGATTCACTTTATGAGGACTGTTTTATCTCTTCCAGCTTACAGGTTAAACAAGAAAGGCGTCTGAAAGCATTTCCATATTCACGTCGGCATTTTGAGAGAGTGTGTCGTACACATGAAAACCATATCTCCGAATCAGTAGGCTCGAGTTATTCACCTGTTTCAGCAGGGTCCAGATCAACGTCAAAGTCTGCAACGTTTTCCCCAGGCCCATCTGCCGGCCCAGAAAGGCTGTTAAGCAGGGAATAGCTCCTCAAAGAGGAAAAATCGTTTATTGGTGAGCGAAGACCTCAAAGTGCAAGAGATCACTTCCACTCATTGCTCGAGAAGGATATGTCAGCAGCTCGTTGTGAAACTCCTGTGTGATCCTCGTTGTCAGGCTGCAGGCTCGCTTTCAGATCATGGATGCTTTCTCTACAAAACCTTGCCCGGCTGGCTCGGCAAACATTGAGAAGGAGTCTCAAAAGGTGACGCAGAAGGGGGCGCAATTGGACAGAGATTGTTGCAACAGCCTTGCTTGTTTCGTAGCCGCTTGGACTTACCTCATCCGCTGCAAAGAGAATGAGAAAAGATTTCTTGGCATCGTTTCGGATTGATATACGAATGGCAAGGGAGTTGAGCTTCACAGCTGCCTTAGATGAGACGGATTTGACCAATAGAAAGGACTGCCGTCGTATCGATGCTGCCCTCATGTTCAGATGAAGGATCCGCACAGAACGGAAATGCGATGTAGCGCCAAGAGCTGCCAAGAAAGAACTTCGCAAAGCGCAGGTCACGTACCAAGCAAGCATCCTGACGATGTTGCAGTCTGAAGTCCCATGACGCACCTGCAAAGCAGGGTAACTCTGGCCAATGTGGAACTTCGACCTTAAAAGGGTGCTGCTATTGGCTTTGCTTGCTTGAGCTTATAGCAGCATCCTTCTTTGATTCGACCATTCCCCATAAATTTTGTCCTGTAATCATCAGATGCATTCTTACTATCTTACAGAAACTGAATAGAAGACTTCGTGCAGTATCCGAAGTCAGGTCACCACGGTGGAAAGTTCGAGGCAGTAACCTTTACCTGTACATAAAGCGCACCCCCTCCTTCTGATGTGGCCGTAGTTTGCTCGCCAAGAACTGCAGATGGTTCCAAAGACGTTGGTTTTAATCCAAGTCTTAAGGAAGCGTTTAAGATCCAATCGCTTTAAGGCAGGTGATGCAAGCAGTCCGTAAATCCTGGATTTTTCGATGCGTTGCTAGAAGCCTCGCGCAAGTCTTACCGGATCAACCACAATGGTACAGGTTCTGCCTCCAGATTCGTGCTTGTCGAGCACTGTAGAAGCCTGCATCGCAAAATCCTCTGATTGTCATTTGAGATCAGACCTGAGTCTTCATTGCTGCGAACTTCTTCAACAAGAGAAAGCGGCATGGGAGGAGGGCTGATCCTGCGCTGGAAATGTAGCAGGATCTTTCAGGAGATCTCGAAAACGTCCTTCGAAAAGTCCTGTGGATTTTACCGCTTACCTCATCAAGGGTGTAGCGACAAACTGCGATTTGTGCTTGACTGCACAGTCAGGAGACGAAATCTGTTAAAGCTGTGAAACATACCAGATGTTTTAAGAGGAAACGTTCTCTGAAGTGCTCTAAAACTGCGGAGTACGAGAAAGCAGGAGTCATGGGGCCTCTTCTTTTTCAGACCATGCTGTGCAATGGTCTAAAGTTGAAGGGCTTGTTCAGCGACTTGCAGATCCCTGGATGCGGCACATTTTGTTTCCTTATAAGGAGAATATAGATGCACACATATGGAACATGGCTTCTGCTCATTCGCGCTTCAACTCAATTGGATATTACCTCGACTTTTGGGCATCAGTCTTCCAATGGAGCCCCTTTTTGAAGGGCTTTGCAGGCTTCGGGACGAAGTTTGGCCCCTCGTTGTCTTTCACTTCACTTGCACTGGATCCGGAAACTCCTATGAAGCAACTGCCATCCAAGTATGAAGAAGCTGGCAGTCGTCCAAAGATTTCAAGCTCCCATGACCCAATCTGCAAAAGAAAGTCCAGAGTATCTTGCTTCTCAACAAAGGCAGCTGATAATCTGGAGACTATTGACGTCGACGCATGAACACGAGGTGACTCAGGAAAGCAGTATATTTCTGGACTGCATTGTAGAGAAAGGGTTGCGAATCCCCTTTCAGAGCAAGATAAAAGTCTGCAGGTGAGCTGATGCTCAGCGCTGACCTCCAACGTTGCCCCCTCAGGCATGTCAGTGCAAGCTTTTGCTGTTGTCCTTCCCACGACCTTGCCTGCAAATGGACACAGCAATTGACACGGGCTTACTTGAATTCCAAGCTTATTCACTGACCGTTAAAAGGAGGGAGAGTTTTCCCATAGTGCAACCACCATCAAGGAGCATTTTCATAATTTGCGAGGATCAGCCACAGCCCCAGTCGAAGTGAGACGTTCAATCAAGCTGTAGATCATGACCTTTTCTGTATGAAGTGAGAGTGCTCTGAGCCCTACCATCGTGGCCGTACAGGCAGCATTTAGTATCTAGGACTTGGAGTACACCATCCTGCAGTGACGGTTTCTTTTTCTTTGACGATCTGGCAGAGTAAAGGCAGGTATAATAGCTTGCTCTTGTGGCACCACTTTCTTCTTTCCGGGCTGCTGTGGGTTTGGAGCCCAAGCTGGCTCCATCCTTTTTATTCTCCTTCCCTAAGGCTGGTTGCTGAACCTTAGCAGGAGCTTTGAAGGGCTTTGATTTGGAGCCAGTAGTGGTGCTCGTGTTTTGATGAGCTCCTGCAATTGCATCACTAGAGGTATTCTGATGTGGACGTAGTGCTGTAGGACGTGCAGAGGTTGCACATTGATTCATGGGCGCCTGCTCATCATTTTGCTGCTGATCTGAAGCTGCCAAGCCTAATCCTTTCCCTGCTGCTGCCTTCTTGCTTGGGTCGCTTCTCTGAAAGGGGCTGCAAAACTTAGCTTTCAGAACCTGCTTGGGATGCTTGCTACTCCCATCCATTTCTCAGGTTGAGGAATTAGGGCCTCAGAGAAAGCCTAGCGCTAGTTCATCCTTCTAGGATCTGCGCCGCTAGTATTGACGCCAATGACATTGGCAGTCTGGACATTGCGACAAGTCCAGGCTACCTCTCAGAGAAGCAAACAATTCTCGAAAGTCTCCTCTCAGCCTCCTGTTCTCAGATGTTGCATTGCGTGGCCCCCAGCACTGCAGCGCTGCATGGAAGGCACCCAGGTGGTGGTTCCTCTGTCAATCAGAGTTCCTGCCTAGCCGAGTCTAGCCTCTATGTACACATTGCACTGGCGCCTGCCTGCATGAGCTTTGCCTCTTTACCTGAGGCTTTGGCCAACAATATTGCAATGCCAATGGTGACTTTCATTCATCTCCTCAAGGCTCAAGACGGTCACACTCATCAGATGCAGCTGGCGATCCAGTCGCACCGGAATTGAATTTGAAATTAAATTTAAAGTCGCTCACGGGAGTTCGTCGCGTCAAATCCTGCAGGGTTTGCGACTCGGCCTCCTGGTAACGTCAACCGGGTCAGCATCCACTCGGGAAGCTGCCGGTTGGGTACCTTACGTCTCGCTCAGTTGGTCCGATCGGCCCGGGTGGGTCTCTAAATCCCCGGGCTAGCTCGGGCAGTTGCCCCTTGCGGCCGCGCAAGCGGCCAAACTTGCTCGCGCACGGCCATGCGCAGGAAGGAGACTCAGACATGCAGCTATACCTTTTCAGCTGGAGGATTCCACATGACCGTTCTGACTTCTGAGTCTCAGTCTGAGCAACACAAGCGTTCTTAATTTCACGGAGGCATTGTGAGGTGGAAGCCAGTGATCACCATTGCGGACAAACTGCTGCCGGTGAATGCAACGACAGGAAAGGGAGAAGGGTGGCATTGAAAAATGGCAAATGCGCTGAAATTGGGGCTGAAGTCTTCAGTCTTTGAACTGTGTGCTTGCAAGGCTTCCAATGCCCAAGGATACACCAATGCAGTGGTGGTAAGTCTTCTCTGTTATGCTCACTCGTCGCCACAGCATTTGATTTTGTGTTGCTTCTGGTTGATGGTGGTGGTGCTGACTGTCTCTTAAAAAGATAACATTATCTGTCATACTTGTGAGGGAGCTGCATTCGGGGGAATCTTGTGGTTGTCCTTGCGAAGGGTGGTATTTAGCCATGCCCTAATTCTCTGTAGTGCTTAGCGATATCAAGAACTTGCTGTTGGTGACAAGAAGTCAGCAATGCACAAGGAAGATAGAAAGTTCTGTTTCCCACAATCTGTTTCTGGAAATTCAGGTGGCTTGCAAGTCCCAATGAGCATGGCAACTTTCTCCATTCTTCGTGTCAGAATTGCCATATATCTGAAAGGGAATTGGGAGAATGAGCGCACCTTGTGACACTACACTGACCATTTTGGGATATGCTGACTGCGACAATTGATTGGTGTGCGCCTGGGATGTGGCGCAATGTTCTCATTTTCTAATACCGCTGCGTATTCCTCCAGGACAGACTCTCAACAAACCACACTCAAAACAAGACCTTTCTGATAGACATTTCAAACTTCAATACATCGACAGTTGCTCCCATTAGAATCCGGGCTTTGGATATCCTAGCCTCTAAAGACTCAGCTCGCCTTCATTATCCTGAATATTCAAGCTCCATGCAGGTTGCTCCCAGATTGTCAGCAAAGGGATGGTCAAAGAAGGAATTGGCAGCATGGACTCGCGTGCAAGTCACTGGGTCAATGGAAGTCCACAGGTCAGTGCATGTCAGCTTGTTGTCGGGGCGCGTCATTGGTGCACAGTGATGACTCCTCAGCGGAGGCTAATGTAAGCATCGCAACAAATAACCTGAGCGGGCAGATCGCTTGTCAGATGTTAGTGCCCCTATGACTGTTCCTTGTGAAATTTATGCAGGCGCATGGGTCTGATTGGACTTGACCTATAACCCCACAAACTGAGGGTGAAGAAATACATGTTTTCAGCATATATACTTGAGGACCTCTGTCAAATTACTGCACAAAGTTTTCTTGTACTATCTCCAGAAACAAAAGTTCTACAGTAACTCTGTTCCCACCTTGCAGGCATGTGACGAAGCACCAACACTTTTCAGAACCGTTAAAAGGGAAGCGGAGAGCAGCTGTCATGAGAGCAGCTTCTGTGGAAGCCGAGGCGGGGCCGCAAGTTGTTGTGACGCGAGAGCAAGGCAAGAACGGAAAGCTTGTCAAAGCCCTGGTGAGGATAGTAGTTGCTGAACTCTACTCGTCTCTTGATGTCAATCCGTGTAGGTGTGTTGAGAAAAAAATGCCTTCCTCTGTACACATTTGCCCAGAATGAAGAAATCATGTAAATACCCACATCATTACCCAGGTGATCACACGAGTTGGCAAAGAAGAATGTCCACAGTTATACCCAGGGTCGGTTACAAAGGATGTACCATCCAGGCTGGAACTCTTAATGTGCAGGAGAAGCAGCTAATCTACGTGTTTCCGATTGGATCCAGTCTCTTCCTTGTTTACGCAGATGGTTCACCTGTGGCAGTCCGTTTTGCAAGGTCGCATGTTCATGCACCATCGAAGGCCAAGCTCGTTGTGGCCTCTCCCGAATCCCTAGCATGACCTCTGAACATTCAGTGTCGACTTGAGACGGTTCTGGAGCATCTCCAATCGATTTAAACTGACTGTATTATCCTTCGATTGCCAGGCGGCACATGGCATCAAGTGCTTAGAGCTACCATTGATCGAACATCGAGAAGGCCCTGACGTTCATCGCCTGCCCCAGGTGTTGAAAGGTCTGTAAGACTACCTTGTCTGATGCAGCTTTTTGAAGCAAGAAGCTCTGATTGTCCTTTCAAATCGTCTTGATAAAACAGAGAAGCTCTTAAAGCCTCGTATCTGGCCTGTTAGGTGAGATCACTTCGCTTGTGCGCAGCGGTTCAAGTCAATGACTTGTCTCAGCTGTTTCTCGTCGTACTCGCAGAGGAAACTTGGGATTGGATCATAATCACGTCCCCGGAAGCTGCCACCGTCTTCTTGGAGGGATGGAGGTGAGAAAAGACTTTCAGGCCGCTCCGAGATATGACCAGCATTTACATGTTTTTCGAGCGAACAAACACATATTTGGACGTTTCTGAACGACATAAGGCAACGACTTTTCGGCAGATCAAACGCAAAACCAGACTCGCACTGATGACTCAATAGGGTGGAATGATTTGCTACTTCTTCAAATCTACTCTGTGACATAAGTGCATGAGTCAGCGTTCCTTGCCAAGTAATCTGGAGCCCGTCTTTCGGAGCAGGGCCTATCAGCTCGAAGCAGGGACTTCGTATTCTGCTATCTTAATTTTACCTGCATCCCTCGACATTCGTTTGCAGCCTCTCTTGTCGCTCACTCTATTCAAGTTCAGTGCTGTCTTTCTACTGCAGGGCTGCGGGGCGACCAAAGGTCCGCCTGTCGGTTGTCGGAGCAGGCACTGGGACGGTCCTCGAGGAAGCGCCGGAAGCGGACGATTTGCGGCCCGAGTTTACGCCGTCAAAAGGTAAGAAGTGCAGGCGCTGAAGAAGCGGGGGTCCACTTGTGTCGCTTTGACAGTTAGTATGAGCTTCGACAGTTTCGTGCAAGAGTAGAAGACTAAGGTTGGCATGAAGAGTATGGGTTTAGCTGACGGCCTATCACAGAATCAGAGCGTTGATTGCTTTTGAAGGTGAAGGAAACGTTCAAGATCCAGCGCCTTCTTGAGCTGCGCACGTTGTCTTTCTGTGCCCCGGCAGCCTTTCCGTAAAGCTCCACTTTGCAACAACCGCAACCGCAACGCAACCGCACCGCCAACGAGGAGACTGTCGACTAATCTCTCTTCCTTTTGGTAGTTGCTGTAAATTCGGTAGAGTAGGTACGGCTTTTACCAATAGTTGTGCTTTAAAAATGTCAAGACGAGGCGCTAACTGGCAATCCACGGCTTTTAAGGATGACTTCGAGCCTACCAGAAAAGCCTTCCTCGGAGCCATGGTTATCGATTGACCATCTCGGGTGCGCTTGTGTGCAGCAACGGCCAAGGTGTTGGCGGTTGAGATCCCCGAGCCACAACCCGGAAGTAGAGTGCTCTATCCAGCCTCAGTCAAGGCCGGCAGCGACCTACGTAAGTTTTCCAACTCGCGCAATTGCCTGGACGCATCAGTCCGATCTTGTGGATTTGTAAAGCTTTGTCTTGAGTGTCGCTGCTTCCTCTTGGTGTACTAAGGTCTGAGAAAGCTCTTTTGGGCTGGGAGACCATGGACTGTGAAGCTTTTTCACAGACCATGTAAGACGCTGATAAAAAGACGATGTACCGAGGCTCTCTTGAAGGCTTTTCTTTCTCCTGAGTAGCTTTGGACGAATCTGGACCCTCAGCCCGCAAGTCGTCGTCTCAAAAAAGTGCATTTTGACCCCTGGTTTCATTGGCCTCCGCAGAAGAAGGGCTTGAAGCACGAGGCTTTAAAGTCACGCGCCTAAACACCTATTCTACGGTGAGGCCTACAAATCCGACTTTCTGAGGGAGACGATACAAAAGAAAGCGCTGGCTCAATATTACTTTGGTCTGCTGGGGGAAGCCCTTCGCGGATAGCTCGACATTTGGGGCAGCCGCGCTTCTTTTCCGCTGTTTGACGGAATGGACGGTCCACCTTTGCTTGATTTACCGCTCAATGAGCCATTCGGATGTCTGCTTTCCTGCGACGAGCTCTATGGCGCGGCTGCCCACCTTTCACATAACCACTCGTGCCGTCTGGCTGCTCGGAAGATCTTCTAGAGAAGTTGCCTGGGAAGCATCAGTGAGGGAATTCAGCGACTTCCCCTCAGCGGACGTAAGCGTCGGTGGCATCCAAGCACATCAATCATCCGACCGATGCCTTGTTGCTTGTTCCTTGCGCAGGAAACTGTTCGGACAGTTGACCCGAATGCACTGGCAGCTGCTGCAGACGCCCCGGTCGCCACCTTTGCCTCTCCGACTGCCGTCAAGTAAGGTCTCAATCCAATCTTGCCGCTCGAGTCTGAGCTCAATTGCTTTTGGTAGACATCGTCAGCCGCTCTCTCTCGATGACGAATTACCCGATCTTCAATTCTGGTTTTGGCCCTTGCATCATCGGTGTTAAGATGCCGTCGAATAGATCGAAGGGGTCCTCGGTTATATGTAGCTCGGGTGCTGCTGCTGACGTCCACAATTACTTTGCAAATGCTGGTGGACACTTCCAGAGCATTCCATGATGTCAGAGAGCAGAGTCGCAGTGTAACGCCTGGTTCAGAAGCACCACACGAAGTTGATTATTGCTCATTTCCAGGTCGAGCTGGTAAACTTCTTGTTGCTTTTGCGCCAGTGGTATCTGAAGCTTGAGATATTACTGCATTTTATTCCTCGCTCAGCGACTCCCAGATGACAGACACCACCGCACGTCTCCTGACAGTTAACGTTTCTCAAAGCTTGCTCCCGTTCCGGGCCTGGCGGCTCCTTAACTCCGCAATGTCTCCTTTGCAGAGCGTGGGTGGAACGTGTTTGTCAGGGGGACGTCAAGCGATGGAGCGGTGCGGCCGCGTGCATCGGAAACACGTCCGCAGTGGCAGCACGGAATGCGGGCCTGGACAAGATATACTTCCCGGACAGTCCAGGCATTGAGGGGTTAGTCGAAAGCTCCTTTCCTTACATGTTGCTGGCTTTCGATCTTGGACGTACTGCGCCTTGATGCTTCGTTCGGTGGCATCTCTCAACCTCAGCACCTTTTGTCCGATAGATTTCTGGAGCTCTTAGGAGAGAGAGCACGGCTATGCTGGGTACCAGAAGCAACAGTGTTTGCAAGGGCTGAATGGAAGTCATCCGGATCTATGTTAAGGTCTGGTAGAGGCAAAGCGACCCCAATGAACCGTCTCTGATTAGCGGAAGTTGGACAGTGAGTTGCCACCCAGTCCCTGCAAGAAGCTCCACCTAGATCTCAGGACGCTCTGTAATAGTTACCGTATCCGGCGAACTCTTACCAGAATGATAGAGGCCGTAAACTGGTCGGTCTGCTTGGTCAAAGCTCTTGATCCACAATAAGTCGGGGAGATCGAATCGGTCTTCCGCTCGGTCAAGAAAGGACGTCTGATCCCAAAGTTACAAAAGTCTATCTCATCCTTTTGAATACGAAAGAAGATTCTTCTTTGTGTGCAGGTGGGTCAGGAGCGTGCGTGAGGCGTTGTCGGCTGTTGAAACGTAGGGCCTTGTATTTCATCGTGCATACATTTTCTGAGCGCGACAGGCTTGCCTTCGTGCACGTTGTGTACCGCAAGACACTGCAATCGTGTAATAGTAACTAAAGCCAATTTTGATAAAGTATAACCCTTTTAAAGGCCTTACTAGAGGCAGTAGAATCTTCTCGTCAGGATTCCATCACCTGAGTTGCTTCTAGAGACACGATGGAACGCGTCACTCCATGATGCTATGATATATAAAGGTGATGAGAATCCTTTGGTCCTCATTCTTCAGCTAGCAGTTGTCTGCCCTCATCATCTGAAAAAGCCTTCATCGCAGAATAGAAGTGTCTTCGTAGCTGCAAGGGTGTCACATGATCAATCTTCAATGCTCGTACTTCAGTGCTTCAAGCCCTTAAATATAGGTTTGACACTTCGACAGACGCCGTGCTGGTTAATCGTTCTTCCCGGGCATCATATGTACGAAGTATCCATCAGTTAATGAAGTGCTTACCCTATACTGTCTACTGAGCACAATCCATACATCATGCATAAATAGCGGGCAGCCGCGGCGCCGCGCCTGCGGTGGGAAGACAACTCTGTGTCTCCAACTTGATGGATTGTCCATGCCAGACAAAGCACCGACTTACCCTACATAAAGATCATACAATGGAGAGCAATTGAGAGCATGCTTGCTTGAAGATGTTGTCAATCATCAGAGCTAGGTGCCGTAGCCCAAGTCCTTCGTATCATCATTTGCATTGACATCATGGAGTGCGACCGCAATGCGCATGGCCATTGGCATATGATTGAAGTACCGTAGCTGGGCAACTCAACTGATTATCGCAGTCTCGGACCTCGCCTCCAATCAAATTCATCTGCATATAATCCCGTGGACCATGTGGTTATCAAGCCAGCCAATAGCGTGCCGCCTTCGCACGACTTTCCTTCAAATTTCGCGGGAGCCACTTTGAAAATTTCACAAGCATAGCACTGCTACTAGGACTAGTACGGTACAGGTATTAACCTAGGTAAGCAGAATGGGAACGGGCTTAGGTTATTACATTTATTTTGATCAGTGTACCTATTACCATGAAGCTGGCGCAGGCCTGGTGTCCTGCTACGTGTGGCCTATGAGTCATGATTGCGCACGACGGATTCAGCTTCATGAAACCGGCATTTGATTGGTGGTAGCTAAACGAGTGTCTATCAGAAGCTAGAGTGCTGATGCAAGAGGCCGCAAATGCACATTGCTGCAGTTTAGCGTGCGCTGCAGGTCGGTTTTGACAAGAGCGAGTCATATGATGGTAAGTTGCTTCTTCTCTGGCTGCCACATTATAGTTGAAGACGCGACTGCAGCACGAATTAGTTTCTGTTAGCGACATTGCTTTCTTCGTATGGGGCAGTAATGTGATGTGCTTAACTGGGGATCATGGGTGGTTGTTGCCGGCCCTGCATTTAGCATCTTGCAATGCACTGCCATCAGCAAAGTGACGGGACTATCCGACAGGCGGTTTTACCTGTGTTTTATAGATCTCATTTCTCGTTCTGTTGCACACAATGGAGCTTGGAAGGCTGTCTTAACAATGATGCCGGCGAGCAATTTGTTCATTCTGCCACAACCCTCTCAGAGTCATGTGTCGGTCACAAAGATGACTTGCAGGATTTGGTGGCTGACTTCCATCACTTAGCTCATTGCTGCTGTCCTAAGCAGGCCACTTTTCGTGGAAACTTTCGATAGAAGTACACTTGCTTCAATGTGACAAGTTCACATAATGCTGAGAGGCCTTTCCAAGGGCCAGAGAATCTATGTGCTTGAATCCTCTTTGAATGTTTCGTGGACGGTGACTGCTCACTGATCATAACCTGCTAACTACGTTTTTGCCTGGACCTCCTGAGTCGAGCCATCTTGCTCATGCTGTGAGACATGGTCTCATGCTGGTGCTGGTCATATCTCCTTAACGACTCGACCGTCATTCTTTCCTCTTTGCAGGCCAGAGATGCCGCTGCTGCCGCATTGCTGCTTCAGCAGGGCAGTCAGTTCCAGGCAGCGCAGGAGTTTGCTTGGCTCGTTCGCTTTCTTTGCCCCTCTGGCAAGCGCATGACCAGGCAGCAGGAACAGGAGCTGTTACTGAGGCCCAGCAAAGAGTTCAAAAAGGTGCGCCGTTCTTCTTCTTCTGCCGCTGTTTTGGTGTCCAACAACATGATTACGATATTGAAACTTTCGTTCCTTCAGCAATGTAAAACATGCTAGCTTGACACTTGGTATAAAAACGATTCGGAACCTGGTGGAGGGAACTTCTCGTGCAGTCTCTGGCCCTCAATCAGCTCTTGGCTTTCCTTGAGGCCACGTCACCAATCTGGCGAGGAGTCGTCCTCAACATAAAGTAGACCCAGTGGCACTGTGAAGTGCTGCCTTTTAGGAGGATGCAAAAGGGGGTGGGAGTATCCAGCCTAGTAGAATACTTTTGCTATTGAAAGGAGACTGAGCAGGCCTCTGAGTCACGCTGCGGCGTTGGGTGGCGCCAGTCAAGCATTCTGCACAATCTCAAGCAGAAGCTGCGCTACGTTGCCCTCATCATATCCAGTTCACATTTACAAGTTGGAACTTGAACAGCAAACGCTGGCTCACCTGATGATGATCGTTGCTTGGACCGCGCAGATGTCTCTGGTTTTTGTTGAAGATGGTCTTGTAGAGCAAATAATGAAGTCACGACGGCTGCCTTATACTCCTGAATACCAGGGTTGCCACTCACGGTGTCTCGAACAGATTGTTGCCCGGCAAATAATCGTTTCTTTTTCCTTGCCAGCTGCGGAAGCTGACCGGAAGCACACCCGTATTGGAGGGCCTTCTACACACTCTCAATTACGAGAGCGATGCTGCATACCTCCTCTTGGACTGCATACCCTTCCTGACGAGCGCCCCTGGCTTTGTAAAACAGGTGAAGCCTCCCTCTTCAACTCTACCCTCTATTCTCCATAATCAGAAGCTGCTTTATAAATTGTGCAAGGATTGAGACCTTGAGGTCTGGAGGCGTGCCAGTCTCTGCTCCCGTCTCGGTGACTTGCCTTCAACATGATGGCGGCTCTCTGATTTATGGCGGGCTGAACGGAGCTTGGCGTAAATGCACAACAGGACCTTGAAGAAACATGCCGGAGAGACGCCACCGCATACAAGTCTCGGCGCTCTCGTATGTCCTCAAAGGCTGTCCGTTCTGACGAGAAGGGAATCACATTCCAAAAATGCAAAAACCTCTGGCGATTGGTTGGGAGATTGTAAAACATGCTCCAGGAAACCTGCACGCAGCTCTTAACTTCGGGCGTACTCGTCAGAGTCACTGAGGCTTCAATCGCGAGTTGCTCTAGATGCACGCGATTGAACGGCTGACTGCTCTGCCAGAGGTAGTCGTCTGAATTCGGGCGTGAAAGTGACAGGGCACTCGGGCCCTTCAGACCGGCTTGAGATCTATTCTGCTTCAAATGCTTCTTAGCGCTCATCGCCTGCTGTTTAAGGGTTGGTTTTGAGGAGGCAAAAGTAGCACTCGCACCACCTACTTACCTTACCAGAGCTGAGAGGAAAACGAGGACGCTGAGTCGGTCTGCTTTCTTGCCCGCGTTTCGGGAACTCATATACACGACTAAGCTTTCTTACTACTCCTCGAGAAGGGCACTTCAGCGCTTTTACGAAACACTTGCGCTCTCAGAAGGTCAGAGGCAAAAGGTAGCACTCGCACCACCTACTTACCCTACCAGAGCTGAGAAGAGACCGAGGACGCTGAGTCGGTCTGCTTTTCTTGCCCGCGTTTCGGGAACTCATATACACGACTAAGCTTTCTTACTACTCCTCGAGAAGGGCACTTCAGCGCTTTCCACAACATGTGCGCTTCCTAGAAGGTCCCTCACCACTCGTTCTAGCAGTGGTTACGCACTATCCTAGAAGGACGCATACTCATTCTCAATTTATTTTTCCCGCAGATCGGCAGCTGCGGCTTGGCCGACGCCCTCCTCAACTGCAGCCGTTGGCTCTTTCCCCTCGTCTCTTCCCTCCATCCAACCAACCCACAACGAGCCCCTCCGCTCACTCCTTCCGACCTAAACCTCCTAGAGGCCGCGCACGCAATCCCCGGAATCATCACAGCCATCCTGGACCTCAGCGAAGAGTTCTACGCGCGCGCGCTGGAGGTGCGGCTCGTCTCGGCGATCATGGCCTTCTTTCCGTGGGGCGTTCCGCCGAGGGGCAGGCACAACGCGGAACGGAACACGTGGGGCGTGCGCACCGCGTTCCTGGTGGCGGAGGCGTTCAAGGCGTTCATCGACGATGCCGAGAAGGTGGCCCGCCTCCTGGGGTGCCACGTGGAGCTCACGGAGTGGCTGGTGCGTTTCGTCGACTTTCTGACCAAGTCCGCCGAGGCGCTCGTGCCGCGGGTGAAGTACGAGGAGCAACATCTGGAAATCCAAGACTCCGCGAAAGCCGTCATGGGAATGTTCAACTGCGCGAACGGGCACGCGCTTCTTGACCCCCCGAAGCTCCAGGAACTAGAGCGGGCGCTCGAGGCGCTCCTGCCGCACCTCGAGAAAGGCGCGCGGTTCCACGTGGACCTGTTTCTGACCAACGTGCACGGCCTGCGGCGAGTCGGACTCCCCGTAGAAACAATCACCAATGGAGCCGAGATCACCGACTTGACCCACGAGCTTCAATCTCTGGCGGTCCGCGCTTCGAAAGACCGGCGCGCAACCGACGCCCGACTCGATAACTTTTTCAGAAATTACAGGCTCCTGTCAGTAGCCTCTTCCCGGGACCTGGTTTCCCCGGAGCTGCTGAAAGTTCTCACGGCGGGTTTCGTAGACAAAGTCAAGGCCCCGGGCCGACTTTCCGAGGACTCGAAAGGCGTCCTCTCGGCGCTCAAAAACGCGCTGCGAGTCGCCCAAGGCGGGGGGATCGACCCCGAAGTGTTCGATGACGTGGCGCTCCCCTTGCTGCGACACGTGGAGCCCGCTCTTGACAAGCTCACCGGCATCGCGTTTCAGTCCCTTCTGGCGGGGCTGATAGAGTGCTACAAAGGGGGCAGCCCGCGGACGAGGCCCGCAAGAGTCTGGTCGCCGCTCCTGATGTCCATCATCGAATTGGACATCGACCAGGTTTCGATGCTCACGGCGTGGCACTTTCTCGCCGTCCTAGTTGGCGCCCGGACTTCGACGCCGCGCTGCTGAAATCGATCGCGGAGGACGGCGGCCCGAACGAGGCGCCGGTGCCGAGCCCGCGGCCGCTCGCGCACGCTGACGAGCGGCGCGCGCTCGCGAATGAGATCGCGGCGAAGCAGCGCGGCCGCCTTTTCGCGCCGGCCTGGGTACTGGTTAGGCACCGTGTGGACTTCGGCGTTTCGGACGAGGACCGCTCCGAAGACGTCGCGGCCGTTCTGCTCTGGTGCTGCGCTGATTCCGGCCTCGTGGAGCGGAAGCTGCTCCCCAAGATCGGGCTCCTCGTCCGTATCCTCGCGCTTGCATACGCACGGCTGGCCGAGATCTGCGGACGGGGCGCCACGTCCGAAGCCGCCCGGCGCCCCTGGCCGGACAAGTGCCGGACGCTCGCGGCGCTGCTGCGGATAGCGTTTGAGTCGACGGCCGGCAAACCCGCCGCGAGAAAGGCGCTAGTGGAAGAAATTTCGATCAACGGTGGGGTGAATTTATGTCGGGCGGTAACTAGGGGCGGGCGGCAGCCCGGGGACTTGAACCGGGAGTGGGCGGAGGCGGGCGATCTGCTGTGGGTGCCCGGGTTCCGAGCGCTGTGCGCGGAGCTGTGGGAGACGATCGCGGCGCGATTTGGGTTGAAAGCGTGCAGTAAACCGGTGAGCCACTGGCCTTGATGCCATTACGACAATTCTTTCCTCTTCTTTTACAATTTTTCTGCACAGAATTACATATGTTAGAGCGTCAAATCTCTCAGATTGACACAAAAGATGACATGACTCTGCTTCCTGGTTAGAGCGCCAGATTCCCTGCTAAACAGCACTGAGGCCGTTCACTTTTTTTCCGTTGTGCCTGTGCTAGAGCTCTGGTCGAACCTTGAAAAGCACAGACCATTGTGTGCTGTCTCGTTGGGGAAGTGCTTCAGAGCAGAGTGCCTTGAAAAGCTTCCATCGCTTTTCGACCGTCCCAACGAAGCTGCTCTTGGATGCCCCTACCAACCTTCTTACCTTTCGTTAATAGGTTTTTCATTGCGCTTGTACCATCGCTGCATCCATTTCCCATCCTGCTTTCAGATATGTTTTGCATTCTTTTGGGGGCCATCGCTCCTTGGGGGTCTCGAACTTTTCGCTGGGGCCTTTCCCCGTCTCCGAGCCTCATGACGATCGAGTCTGGCCCTCGAAAACTACCTGAAAGAAAGAAGCTCGGGCCCTCGGAACACAGGGACAACATGTTGTTTTCAACAGCGTGTTCAATACGTCCGCGAAAGAGAACACTGTATCGTCGACTTCCTTAAAGCTCGCGCCTAACGCATCGCAGACAAATGTTGACTCTACATTCAACGGGCTGGAAAAGAATTCGGCTCTTTTGACGTTCGCCGTGAAGTCTGCAAAGGTTTCGGTCTGAGTCCTTGGAGCTCTGTCCAGGTGTGCCGTCTCCTGGTCCCCTTCAGCTGCCCTGGTTGGGCGACACCTCCTACAAGAGTCTACGTCTGGAAATTACAGATTCTGTCAATGATCCAGTGTGCACCCTCAACGTCTGGGCTGACCTGTGCAGACCTGCTCGCGCGACCTGTACGAGACGAAGAAGAAGGAGTTCCACAAGTGCAGTGTCTGTGCGCAAGTCCAGTACTGCGGCAAAGAATGTCAGGTACGCTGGACTAAAACTTTTGCGGGGAACTTTCCTTATCTGCGAAGCTCGATAGGAAACATATGCCCTGGAAACATGACTCCCGGCCGTCATGTCGGTATGGCGCCAGTTGGGACGGCGGCATTTCAGACTGACCAGCACTCTGCTTTGCAGCGCTAAGCATGAATAAAGGTGGAATGGTTCTGAACTTGGGCAATTGAAATGTAGGCCCCTCATTGCAGACTCGTGGGTCAGCAAGGGTTGGGCTGGCCGGCGTGATTAGATTTTGCCACTGCCGCTTCAGCGTGTGCTTGGCGTGTGAAAGATTGCCAATCAGAAGCCAGAGCTTTGCACAGCGGTGCAGAACGATCTGCCGTTGGCATGAAAAGGTTTCTTGTTGTTGCTTGCAGAAAGACCACTGGAAGGAGAGACATAAAAGGGACTGCCGGTCGACAACGGACGCTTCTGGGCGGCAACGTACGTAGGTTTGTCCTGGTTTGTGTCCTGGCGCCAGAGCCTAAAACACAGCATTGAGATTATGACAGATGACAGGTGTTGCTGGTTAAGAATATTGTACAGCAGCGCAGACGAGCTAATTATGTCAAAGACGCGCGGCTACTGTCGTACGGTACTTTCAACGGTTCTGCGGCTAACGCCATGAGTTATGGTTATGGCGACATCCGACTCGCACGCGCTGAGCAGTAGGGAGTAGCCGACATTAATCACTTGTGGCAGTTGGAAGATTTCCGATCCTGCTCATTGTGGACAGAGACGTTTAGAATTCTAAGCTGAAGTCTCAGAATTCAATATAGTCTTTGATCGTGCATGCAAACGCTGACCCAATTGACTGATGCGGCATTTGGAAAAACTTCCTTTATGTAAGTAGGTTGCGGTGCAAACATCCCGCCACTTATTAAGCGACGAGATGTGATAGCCGGCTGACTTACGTTCTTGAGGCCATATTTAAGAGCCATCTTGCACTGGAACATGGACCGCCCGGCATGCTGAAGCAATAGTCCATGCAGACTCGGTCGAATCCAACCAACAAAATATTGTGTTCATGCATTGTGATGGTTTTGTAGGCCCAGCTGCATAAACCCGCGGCTTGTACGCACGACGGTTGCAGGCGCGGCTGCTCGCATGCCATGTCGATCATGCGCCAAGATAGAACTAAACAAATTTTAGCTAAGCATCTGCTGGTCATACATAGAGAGCTCGCCAAAACGCGCGCCATGTGTATGCACAGGTTGAACTGAACACGTACATGGCTTTCATGAAGCACGCCCTGGGACTAAGTTGACGCGGTCCGCTCTGCGCTGCAACCGAATGCACGGGCAAAATTCAAAATGATCGCTCCGAAAGAGGGAACCTGCTCTTTGCTCTCAAACCCGGCGACGAGCGCCTGCATGCTAACTATAGGCCGCCTAGAGTACCAGTGCTTTTCACTTACCTACTACACATAAGGCACCTTGTCCAACGTGGTCAGTAAGGCCGCCGGCTGGCAATCCGCACGATCATGCATGCAGGTCATGAACGTTGCTCGAGCTTCTGCCCTGCGTACCAAGCGGTACCCTATATTCGATTCTGGCCAGGATGTTCAAGTGGTGCATGAGGTGAAGTTTCGTATCCGGGCCGTCACATACTTGCAGCCAGATACAAAATTTATATACCGTACTACTTGAAAGGGTGGTGGCTAACTTCTCCAAAACATGTTCGTCTGCTTAGGCAGACAAGCCCTGCGTAGTGCACATAATGCTTATATTCATATCCATTGTGCAGGCATGGGTGCGCGTGGATTGCAATTGAATCCACATTGGCGACTTTCACAACAGTTGGACTGCAAGAGGAACGGCCAAGTACTTTACAACATACACAGCATGGCCCTCCCCGAATGGCCGTCTGCCTCCTTTAGTACGCCTACGTTACGACACACCTTTCACGGTCATGTGCCTGCTAGACGATGCCCGCGACAACATCCCCGCCTTTGCCGCCGCTTGCGGGGCAAGCTTGGCTCTAAATTGCTTTTCGAGGTGCTGGTATTCAGCTTCTTGTTTTTGGGCCGCCGTCGGGCCTTTGTCCGCACCAGGCGGCTCCGCCGGAGCCGTCGAGGCGCTCTCCTTCTCCTGTGGGCACGACGCACACCAACTTTCGCATCGCGGCAAATCGTTGAGAATGTCCTTTTGACTGGGGAGATAACCCGGGCTTTCAGAACAAGTCGCAACGGACAGCCGAAGGAAGAAACTTCGCACCACGTTCAGTGAAAGTCATACTCTTCGTCCCCCGCGAGCGGCCCGCCACGGAAGTTGCAAGCCGCTTTATTGGATTCAGAAGGATACGTAAAGTGCAGAACATAGCCCTCGAGACCACTCCCGCAGGTCCGGAGTTGTCACGAAGAAGACAAATCGACGTTGATTCCAATCAAGTCCTCAACCAACCGTTGCTATCGCGAGTACATTCCTTGCAAGCAAGTGGTAAGTCGAACGTTCTTTGCTGCATCGCACCCCCTCAGCGGTTGAGCAAGGGGCGAGCTCACCTTGAGTTCCGCCGCCTCGATCAGCGCCTGCCGCTGCTTCACCTCCGCCGTCCGATCCTTCTCCCGCTTCGAGATGTACTCCACGCATGCGTTTTCCCGGTCCAGGAAGTTTCTCATGCTTTGCTTCTGCATCATGGAAACGGAATGGTTCGCACGACGTCCAGATAAAGGTGGATACTGGCTAAAACAGCTCGTGTCTAGTTCCCCACCGTGGCTGCTTCGTCGAGAAACGGCGAGGGTCCCCTCAGTACGTCTTACGTCGATGGCCACATACATGGCGGACAACCAGCCACCTTTATTCCCCGACTGTCTCTATTCTGCAACGTTCGTGGGTCAAATCGAGGGCCGATTGAAGATTAGGTTCAACCCTAAAGGAGCGAACAAAAGCATGATGCGGAACAAGCAGCGTGGAACAAAACCACCCGAATCATCCGCAGAGTCGTTCCAAACCAAGAACCATGTCTGATGAATGACCGTGGTAAAGCATACGAAGAATGTGTTCATGAACATCAGAGTGTCATGAAAATCACGGAATCAGTGCGAGAAACGAGTACACCGCAAAAGGTTCAAGAGGATCCACTCGCCTTCTTGTGCAGCGGCCGCCGCAGGAACGTCCGCACTGGTCGCGTGTGCAAAAAGCTCAAAAACCAGGAAGCTTCCTTGAAACGAGTTCAAGGGCCAGAGAATTCGACGTTTAGAAAGAAAGAGAAACACAGAGACACTCGCCTCCTTATGCAGCGGCCGGCGCAGGCTGCGCGGGATCTCCACAATTTTCGCGTATGCAAAACGCTCCAGAAAACCAAGAGGCTTCCCTGAAACACTGTTTATAATCAGCTGTTTTTGCCCTGAGACGCTGCTTAAAGTCAAAGTATTGGGAAGCCTGCGTGAGATGAAGAGATGCAAAGCGACTCGCCTCCTTATGCAGCGGCCGGCGCAGGCTGCGCGGGATCTCCACAATGTTCGCGTATGCAAAATGCTCCAGAAAACCAAGAGGCTTCCCTGAAACACTGCTTATAATCAGCTGTTTTGCCCGGAAACACTGCTTAAAGTCAAAGTATTGGGAAGTCTGCGTGAGATGAAGAGATACGGAGCCACTCGCCTCCTTATGCAGCGGCCGGCGCAGGCTGCGCAGAATGTCCAAATTGCAAAACATCGAAGAAATAAAGACTTTCTAGAAATTCTTCTTAAAACACCGAGGTCTGATCCCTGTAAAGTCTAGAGCCGCTTGCCTCCTTGTGCAGCGGCCGGCGCAGGCTGCGCGGGATCTCCATGATGTGCAGGATACCCTGCGCGTCGCCCACGCCCAGCAGCTGCGGCGACGCCTGGTTCCAAAACTCGAGGCACGTGACCGCGGCCGCGCTCGCGGGGACCACCATGAACGGCTCGTTGCTGCGGTCCAGAAAGTCCCACACCTGGATGCTGCCGTCCTGTAACCGAGGGTTAAACAAGAGTTAGGTGAGGGTTAATAACAGTTGAAAAACGCGACGGGGGCCGCACTCGCGGAGACGAGGACGGCTCGTTGCTGCGGTCCAAAAAGTCCCAAACCTGGACGCTGCCGTCCTGTAACGGAGGTTTGAGCTGCGTTAGTTGAGGGTTATCAAAAGGTCAGATGCGATTGGAGAGTGCTTTGGTTGAGAGTTATTGTAAGATTGAGGACGATGAGGGCCGCTCGCGGGGACCACCATAAGAAAGCTTGTTGGGCGGTCTAGGAAGTCCCAAACCTGGATGTTGCCGTCCTGAAACCGAGGATTTAGGAGGGTTAGTTGAGGGTTCGTAAAAGTTCGAGTGGGATCAGGGGCCGCACTTGCGGGGAACACCATGAACGGCTCGTTGCTGCGGTCCAAGAAGTCCCACACCTAGATGCTGCCGTCCTGTGATTGAAAGCCAGGCGAGGCGTAGGTGTGGATTATCACATATCGAGGCACGGGTCCGGGGCCCTGCTCGCGGGAAACCATCACGAACGGCTAGCGGAGGTTTAAGTGGGCTGATTGGGGGGTTTCAAAGATTGAATGCGAATGATACGTGTTGATGTAGGTTAGCGGAGGATCTGATTGAGGTCATGTAGAGAAGTAGGGTCGAGAGAATTCCACCACCTGGATGCTGCCGCCCCTAACGAGGGAAATAAGGACGTGAACGCGCGTTGAAAGTTCCGTTTCACCTGGTCAATTATCATGGGAGCTAACAACCTAAACTCCATGAAACTATCGAACATCCTTTCCGCGGAAACATCTGATGTGGATCATGAATAGTAGCTTCTGAAACGTAGGACCCATAACTAGAATGTCGTAACTTTTTCGTAACTTTGCTCACCTGCAGCCCCAGGTAGATGACGGCCGGCCGCGAGGGGCTCCAGAGCGCGCACGTGATGTACGCGTCCGCGCACGGCGACTCGAAGATCGGGCGCGCGCTGCCCTCGCGCCACAGCTTGAACGTCCAGTCGCCCACCGTCATGATGACGTCATCGAACGCGGGCGAGCGCTGCAGCGCGCGCACGTGCCCGCAGTGCGCGTCGGCCGACGCACGCACGTAGTTGGGCGCCTCGCCGTGCTCCGGGGGGACCAGGGGGGACAGGTCCGCGAACACGACTTGGCCGTCCTGCGGGTTAAGCGGAATAGCTGAAATAAGGGTTGAGGACCAGTCGACAAGATTTATAAGCGGGTCGAAGATGGCTTAAGCAGGTTCAGGACCAGTCGATAAGGGTTTTGAAGGGATTGAAGATGGATGTAAGAGCGGGTTAGAAGGTCTTCTTGAACCGACCAAGTGTGATATATCCTTTGGGTCGTCGAAATGAATCTCAAAGGCTGCGACTACATGTAGCAAGGCAGGCGACTGTGAATCTCACAGCGGTCGACTTGTGTTCGCCACGAACCCACGGTCTGCACTTTCGGAGGGGTGTTATTGGACACCGACGAATTGGGGCAGCTATTTACTGTGGCCGCCCAGACACTACTGTTCTGTCTTCAGCTTTCATGGACAGTGCAAATAACCACTTTCCGCAGCTTTAGTACATTTTGGAACGGCGGAAACTCCTCGGTCTTGAAGCCGCCGTAGCATAAGATCCGAGCCTGGTTGATCCGGAGAAAGATAAAAAACACGGTCTACAAGCCGATATTGAAGCACCGTTGGGCCTCTTGTAGAATTAGTGCGAATGTACTTAGGTTTTAAATTGTCAAGAAATGGTGGTAGGCACAAGTCCACGCGAATTGGGCGCTAACAGCTGTAAAATATCCCCTGCACACCGCCTCATGCCTTTGAAACGCACGACCTGTAAGAGAAGCATCCACAGCCGGTCCCTCACCTCCGCCCCACAGACAAATTGCGTGCTCCCCGACGCCAGCCGCGACAGCTCGACCCGCACGCCCCCCAGTTGCCCGGACCCCTCCACCCGGTTCATCCGGATCTCGAACACCGGGCTCCACGTCCACTCTTCTACTGCTGGGGCCGCTGGACCCCGGGGGGCCGTCGCGGTCGCCTTTGGGGGAGTGCTTCGGCGGTCCGGCTTTATTCGGACGTCCCAAAAGAGCAGCTGCAGGGGAAAGAGTAATGTATCAGCTCATGTGAAGAACGAGAAACTGGGACGGGCAGCGGGAGGGCCTGAGGAGCTTCGGGGGAATGGGACTGAGTGGTGAGATGCACAGGAAGAATTTTCAGCCGCTTCCGGTTGTTAAACGGCGAGAATGATAGCTGCTTTTGTCGAAAATCTTCGGATACTGACAAAAGTAACTTCAGACGTGCGTTAAGATCGCTTCCGGTCCAGTAACTTTTTCCAAAAGCCTCTGGAAGGTCTCTGAGATAGACACGATCGAAGGAAAGGAGACACAGTCGGATTAGGAGAATGAATGCAAGCGACAGAACCACGGATACGAAAGCAAACCGGATTATCGTTCAGTGCGAGGTTGCCTTTAACTTTCTCGTAGCAATAGACTTAGTTCGCAGAGCACCATTTGACGTGCTAACCGAGCTCGACAAATACGACCAAGCCGTTCGCCGCTGCTTGGAGAGATGAAGCAGGCAGCTCATAGAGAATGCCAGAGCAGTGGAACTTGCCAATCTCTGAAATCCGACCTCGCGTTCTGGCCGCAGAAGCGAATGCTCCTCATCGGCCCCACATCGCCTCAAACGGGCAATTTCGATCCACGTTCTGTAAGCTTGGTTCTCCATAAAGTCGGCCAATCCAAACAAAAAGGTTCGGTTCTAACCCGGCCGTCTGGCGCTATCGTTCCAAACACGTTCGTCTCCCCGGCCTTGTTCACCGACACTTTTCCCCGGGCGTCCACTTCGGTGTGCCCGGGGAGCCAGTGTAAATCGGCGACCGGCAGCGCGTGGCTCGCGTCCAGGCTGCTCAGCATTAAATGCTTCACGACCGGCACGTGCGAGCCGTCGCGCTCCGCGCGGTCCTCGTCGTCGCCCCCGCGCTTCTCCTTGCGGAACACCTGCTCCTGGATCGACGCCGTGTCCCACGCGATCACCTGCGCGCACGCGCATGTTTTTACGCTATTGGAATTCTGGTACTGAGGTTCGAAAGTTGTGTGAACTGGATGAAGTTGAGAGGCGTCTGGAGAAAATGAAGTTTCTAAAAATTGGGAATCGGTAGGCTCTGCTTGTCGCGAACATGAGAAATTTGTGACCGCTGGTGATGCAATCCCAAGGAACGTCGTCGTGTGTCTCTCCTCATCGTAACTCTCCTTAACGAGAGGAACTGATTCCGGCCTTACGAAAATGCAGAGTCGGCGATCCAGATTGAGATTTTGAAGCGCCGGGCGGACTGCTTCTGCCCTCACCTGACCGTTATAGCAGCCGCCGGCGATGAGGTCCGGCTTGGAGGGGTTGAAGCGGAAGGTGAGGACGTCCGAGGGAGACTCTAGGACAAACTGCAAACACACAGACGGCGTTTTGGAGGGTCTCAAAAGCTGGGGTTAGTTTCTGAAAGGAATGTTTCGAAGGACCTGCAGGCCTTTCAGATAAGTGAGAAGCGGAAGGGACAAGTTTAAGAATCTGGAGACACAGGAGCAACCAGGAGACCGCTGGAGTCGGTGGAGAGTGCAACTGAAAAGTCGGAAGATGTTTCGCAGGCCTAGTTCGCTTCTTTGCTTGACCAGCTGATACAGATCGCGTTGAGTCGCCTCAAGGAAGATAAGCTTCGGCTAACGGTTATTGTAGCTCTGATGCTTCGACAAGGGTCTCAGACACAATGACTGTTCAATAATTGAAACTCAGAAGTATCATCGTTCAGACAGGTGAAACCTACCTCAGCAATTAGGCATCATCTGCTGAACAGATTCGGTAGGATCTTGCGTAACGTCAGAACGGATCAAAACAATCCTATCTACGGCGCCAGCGGGTGCGGTGCACCGCCGCAGGACTTACCAGAAAATTTGCTCTCACTGTCTGGGGTCACTTTGAAGCAAAAGTTTGATATAGGGCGTCGTGAGGCTTCGTAAACAACTCTGCTGCGTCAGTGGAGCAGTTTCTCCTACCTGGGGGTGGATGGGGTCGGTGAAGTTCCAGACGAGGACCGCTGACGTGTGCACGCGCCCGGAGGTTTCGACGCGCTCTGCGAAGGAGGCGGGCTCCGCGGCCGCGACCGCGATGACGCCCTTGCGGTTGGGCAGCCAGTCAATAGCAGATACGACGCGACCTTTGTTGTACACGAGGTCCGTGAACGACTGGTACTCCTGCAAAGGAACGTGCAAATCCAAGTCAAAATCTGCTTTGCCTTCTTGCTAATCACTTCTGTGCGCAGCGAATGATCCGCCCCTGCTGGAGACGAGATCCGTGAAATGACCATACTCCTGAGAGACGAGAGGGGTTTGCGGTTGGTGCTTGTCGTGATTCCTCGCGCTTTCAACTTCCTGTGCAGACGTGCGGATTTTGTTCTCTATGCGAACTTGCAGCGGGCGTCTTGCCAGGATTGCCCTCAAGTGCTGGATCTATAGGAAGAGCAATCTGATGGCGGTGAACGAGATGCAGACTCGCGGAGATGAAACATTTGTAGCCGTGTGGGCCCGCTGGCAATCCTCGCCCCTCGGTAAAAGTACTTAAGTAATTGGCAACTTCGGACAACTTCTAAAGATTGCACGAAACCATCGCTCATGCGGTTGCTCATGTTTCCTTTAATGCCTCCTCTTGGATGCCCGCCTGTACTTCTTAAGCTTAGCTTTCGCTACACTCTCCGTCAAGCCTGACGCCACGACTCCTCTTTCTTGTCCCCCTGTTGCTCTCTTAACTTACAAACCCTCTGTCACGCCGGTTGGTAAGATGTATAGGGTTAACACCGCAACTCTCCACGCATATCTTAACTTCCTGGATGCTCCCCCTCACCGTCATTGCACAATTGCTTTCGCTATCCTGCGCTCTTCTCTTGACTACGCAACTTATCTCGAGATCTGTTTTTTTGACGCTCGCTCCTGATCCTGCACCTCATCCAAGATATCTCTGCTGCTCGTGCTACCGACTGCTCCCTCTTGCTTCAGTCAACGAATCACAACCCTTAAACAAACACCTCTCTTCCTAACACACCCCTCCACCTCCTCATCATGATAGAGTTGTTGCACGGTGACGCTGCCTTGCCTCTGTGACGCCCAACCAAGACAAACGTCAGATCACCTTCTTATAACACTTCTCGTACCTGCCCCCTTCACCGCGCGTCAGCAAAGACCATTCCTGCTCACCGTGATGGCACTGTTGCTCTTGCTGCTGCCCGCCCCCCCCTCGTCGTCCGCCAGGTTCGCAAACTCGTCCTCAAAGATGTCCAGCACCTCGTTCTGCTGCAGCGCCAGCTCGTACCGCGGCGTCACCGCCCCCAGAAAGTCGCGCATCGCGCCGCTGCCCGCCAGCCGCTGCTTCGCCACCGAGTCCAGGTCGTGCGGCGCGTACTGCACCGCGCGGTTCTGCAGCCGGACCCTGTGGAAAAAGGGAGATGACGTCAGCGCAGGGTTTCGGAAGGGGTGCGACGTATCTAGCCACGCTTCAGTCTGCACCACATCCGACAGCCGCTGCTTCGCCACCGCGTCCAGGTCGTGCGGCGCGTACTGCACCGCGAGGTTCTGCAGCCGGACCCTGCGGGAAAAGGAGATGACGTCAGGCGACGTCAGCGAGAGTACTTCTGCAGGAAGGTGACGTGAGAAGCAAAGCTTTGGTGTGCAGCGCACTCGCCAGTCGCTCCTTCGCCACTGCATCCAGGTAATGTGGCGCATACTGCACCGCGCGGTTCTGCAGCCGGACCCTGCGAGAGAAAAGGTTGGGTGACGTCAGCAGGACGTCAGGAGCACGGGTGTTTCTGCAGGAAGGTGACGTGATAAGCAAAGCTTTGGCGTGCAGCACATCCGCCAGCCGCTGCTTCGCCACCGCGTCCAGGTCGTGCGGCGCGAACTGCACCGCGCGCAGTTCTGGAGCCGGACCATGCGGAAGGAGGTGACGTCAGCAGGATACTTCTGCAGAAAGAACTGCCCCTGCTGGTGGTAACCAAAAGCTTTGGTGTGCAACCGCTGCTTCGCCACCGCGTCCAACTTGCGGGACGCGCACTGCACCACGCGGTGTTGGAGCCGGAAGTCGAGATATCGTCAGTCCGGGTCTTGGCAAGTGCGGGTTAACTTTCCTATGAGGGTCATGTGGTAAAAGACGGCCTTATTGCGGGGCTTGTTGCACCGGCTGCATGCGCTTCTGCGGCCCCGATGTGACGGATATGTCCAAGCGTACTTGGTCACGTGTTACCAGCCCAGACCTCTCCCAGAGCAATCCACTGGCCCTTGCCAAAAGCCGCCACGTGTCATGTCACCCCCGCCAAACGTGGCCCTCACCTATTGGTCTGCGCTGCGGCTTCTTGCACGGCGGGGATCGCCTGCGTGCCCTTATCGTGCTCCATGCGCCGTTTGGTAAACGTAGCGTCCTTGTACGGACGGCACTCCATGTGGCTCGAGTTCCACAGCTCGTGCGCGTCCTTGTCCGACAGCCGCGCCGGGCGTCCAAATTCTCGCCGTTTCCGTGAGATGAGCATGTCGATCTGCATCACCGAATGATAGGGACGGTTTGAGATCACACCGGAGGAGTTTTGGGTGGGAGTGTCCAACCCGCTTGAGGAGAAACTGAAACTGAAGGCAACGGAATGAGCACAGCAGCTAGTACAGACGGACGAGAGGATGTTGCACTGTTCAAGGCGTTAGGAGAGCCCCCGGTAAATAAACCCGATCAAGGTTGTTGAGCCCGACTTTTTCAACTCAAACCCGCGATTTTCCTCCCGCAGTTTGTATAATCCAATGGTGGTTAAGCGGGAATCCGAATCGTGTCAAACGCCATAAAGATTCCATGAGTGGTCACAACTTTGTAGCGGTTGAACCATCAAACTGTCCAACCACCAGTCACTTCGAGCTACGGACGTGTCTATCAGAGTTGTTTCCATCACCAAAAAGAAAGCAGACGCCGCATCCTACCTGGTCCCTGGTTGGTTGCACCGCTTCCTCTGCTATGTCCTGCTCGCTGCCCAGGCTTGTCCATGGCTTGGACAAGACCTTCTTCTTCTTCTTGCCTGCCTTTTCTTCCTCCAAATTTGCCGCCTCTGCCGCAGCGGCTGCGGCCAACCTTTCAGCCAGCTCCTGTGGAGAGACAAGGTGCATATTAACAGCAAAGATTGAGACGGTCTCCCTAAAGCGAGTGGTCATACAATGTGCTTGACGAAATCCCTGAGACCGCATGTTCAAAGGTCGATCTAACAGCTAAGAAGTCTGGGATGTTCATACCTAGGCTTTCCTTGCAGCTATTAATGGTGTGCCCTGGCTTACCAGTTCCGATTACCAGATACTGCTGTCCTTCGCAATGCACAAGCACGGTGTTCGACGGTGCGTTGCCTTGTGTTCCTTATCTATGCCTTTTTCAGCTGCCCCACTGAATCTGGTGATTTTGCACAGTGTCTGAAGCGCTTTTGTGATAGAAAGAAATGGAGAACGAAAAGAAAGGAGGAAGCTGGGGCTCACGTTTTCCAATGCAGCCTTTGTCTCTGCCGTTGTGCACACCTCAAAGTTATTGCCATCCCCATATCTGTCATCCCCATTGTATCGGAGAAGGACGCTTTCTCCAACATAATTCTGCATGAAAGATAGAATCAGAAGAATGTAGTTGCTAGAGGAAGAACCGATTCCACAGCACATCCTTCCATTTCAAAACTGCACTGGATAAGTGCATATTGGTGGTGTCACCTTGAAATGCATTCTGAGTTGCCCTTATTTTGTCAATTGTACGGAAACTGTTGGTCTGACCAAATGCATATGATGCAGTTCTTCGTTGCCTTCATCGAATGGGGCTTCAGGTATCACCACTTTTGCTTTCTGCTTGTTGCCACATGCACTTTTTGTTGAACTTGTGTCTGCATGATTTCCCTCTCCGTGTTCGCCCCTCCTTCATTCAACGAGAGGTGGTAAAAGATGAGCCAGAGCACATAACTCCCACCTTCAGCTTCTCCCTAATTGGGTGGAAGTCAGAGATCGCGCCCCTGAACTGGATGTCGTCTAGCAGCACTTTAAGTGGGAGCTCCTTCAGGGCATCCGAGCCTAGTTCTCCCTCCAAACCAATGATCTTCAACGTGGTCCCTGTCAAGAACAAGCTCTCCACTCCCGCGACCGGCTTTGGTCTCTCCACCAGACTGTCTAGCGACACCCCATTCTCCTGTGACACCCTAGTGGCCCCCTTGGAACCCTTCTCCCGGCTGCTTGGCCTGCCTTTCCCCAAAGTCGATGGCCGTCTTGACGGCGTCCCGTTGAGCGACTCTCTCAGCCCCGACGCGCGCTTTACCGAACCGTTGCTAGAAGGCCTGCTCATATTCTTGCTGGATGGCCTGCTTTTCAACTCTGCCGGCCCCTTGCCTGGAGAGCTGGACCGCGCTCCGGTGGCGGCCACAGGCTCTGCCATGGCCTCAACCATTGCTTACTCTCTTGGGGCCCAGTTACCGGCAGACAATTCGAGTTCTCCCTTTTGTTGTCGGTGCTCGTATTTTCTTCAAATAGATCATTCTTGCGGAGGTTTCTTAGATCCGATTCCTAGCAGCTGCGAACAAAATTTACCAACTTGAATTGGTCATGAAGCTGATAGGCAGCTCGGACACTGTTTGCCTTGTAACTTGGCTCTTGTAAGCTTTCTCGTTTGTGCAAATTAGAGCTCAGACGGCCTCTTAAGCTGCTTCTGCTGTACCATAATTTGTGGAAAATTGTTGGAACTCCTGAACAGAGCCGCAGTAGTTCCGATTGCCCTTCTAACGAAAGAGCCACAGTGCACATGGACGGTAAGCTAGAAGGTTCCAAAATACAATACTGACGCTGTGGTTTTGACGATTCTGAGATGCAGCACCCCTGACCACCAGAATGCGCGTTAATCAGTAACCGAGCTTCAGAATGTTCTCCACTGTCCAAGTACTGGCCTTGCTGATACGTTCAAGGGAAGAGAATCAGTCGTCAGCTAGGTTCTTCTACCACCCGCCGCCGCAGATGGAGAGAACATGCGCTGATTTGTCTCCCTTTTTCCTTGTTAACCACCTGCAGTAATATTCTACTCGGATGCTACTCTTCTCCGTGCCATGCTGCACTGGTTACATATCTTACTACAAACGGTGGACAGCCATTTAAGAGCTTTTCGAAACTCGCGGGCGCCATGATGCTTGATGGACACAGACCGCGACGACTTCTTGGGCTGGAAAAGCAATGATCACCACTTGATCACCAAAGCTAGCTCGGCGGAGGCCCAGAGACTTTCTTCACAGAATACCGTACGTAGCTATCACTGTACCAGTGCATCAGGCCCATCTATGTAAGCACGGCCCGCTCTGAGCCTCTGAAGCTAAGCTCAGGCCAGGAAAGAAGAGAACAGCTCATGCACTGGTTGTTGAGTGCATGTGCCTCCAACCAACTTCTTTCCACCATAGTGCCTGCTCGCGCACGACAGATCGAGCGGTCCCGTACGTCGATTGCCATAGTCTACGGCTCGATGGCGCCTATCCAAATATCACATGTGAGAATCTCAGATTCCGGTGCTGACGTCATGCACCTGAGGCGCAGCTCAGCATCATGCATGCGATATCTAGCTTGCGCTGATCATTCTTCCGCAAACGAAGCTGCACCTTGAGGCTTGATCGTTGTTCACCTTCCTTGAAGTTGAGCTGATTGTATCGCCATCATTTGGCGAAAGCCTTGAAGAATTGGCTTTTATCAGGAGCGTAGAAGCCGGCGCAAAGCAGAGACGCCGTTCCCTTCATCATTTCACAATGGCTGCCAGGGACTTCAAGCTTGCAGACCATCCTGCAATCCCGAGGGGTATCCCTCTGATGCTGATTGTCCTTGATGGTTGGGGTGAACAGGTAAGTGTTTCCTACGACGGCAGATTGGCCGATTTTTTGGGTTTGATAGGCTGCACATTGGATGTTAGTGGAAAACATTGCTTTAACTTCTTAGTGCCGTCAGATGGGTTTGTCGCCTTCTGCCTGTATCTTCTCCAACAAAAAGAAAGCAGTGCATTGAACATCTCTTCACATCAATTCAACCAATTGCGAGGGCCTCTGTATTTTGCCTCCTCTGTTCAAATGTGCAATGTGGGAATACGAAGTAGTCGGCAAACCACCGCCGTCATCGTCTGCAACTTTATTGCTCACTAAAATCCTCGGGGGTTGCAGTATGATAGAATGCAATTGCATCAGAATGCACCTCAGATCATGCTTCGTGGTAATGGTTTAGTATACTGATATGATGGAGAGGTGCTCAACATTGCATGTTGACATAAAAAAGTTGAAATACGTTGTTCACTTTCTTCTTTACAGCCTGATGGCGAGTACAATGCCATCTCAAAAGCCAGCACGCCGATCATGGACTCCCTGAAGAAGGTAGGGGTCACATTCCCTGCATTCTAGAAGCATTATTTGTGTCGTATTTTGGCAGCTCAAATTGCCAGAGAATTGGAAAACTTTGCTACACAATGAAGGAACTCAACCACCGCCTGACAATTTGCAGTAGGTTGTGAGGCTGTGCAATTGACGGATTTTTGCAATGACCAGAATATGAAGACAATTGTCTGATTGTTGCTTGTTACAGGGCCACCCAGATTACTGGCGTCTCGTAAAGGCCCATGGACCTGCAGTTGGCCTGCCCCTGGAGAGCGACATGGGAAACAGGTGATATTGTTCCTGCCACGTGTCGGTCTGACGTTATGAGCAACCGGTTTGTACCATTGGAGTCAAGGCCAATGCTTCGCTATAGTGGGAAATCAGTGCAAACTTGCTGTAACTTCCTGTCTCCAACGTTGAAGCCGTCCTGGGGGCGCAACTGTGTCTTAATTGTTCTGCACCTGCAAACAGAGGAGCGGGTCTCATCACCACGCACAGACATTCTGTGCTTGAATAAGTTGATGCTCGCCCTTGAATGTGGCTTAGCATGTGGATGGTCCATCAGCTGCTTTCTAAGCAACAGTTGCAAGTGTTATCTGACGCCAAAGATCTGCTTATTCTCAGTGAGGTTGGCCACAACGCCATGGGGGCGGGGCGCATCTACAAGCAGGGCGCAGGACTGGTCGACTCTGCGCTTGCAGATGGGAGCATGTTCACTGGTGGCTGGAAGCAGATCCAGGAAACCATTGAGAAGGGTTGCACACTCCACCTTTTGGGACTTCTCAGTGACGGTGGAGTGCACGCTCGGCTGGATCAGGTTGGTTTCTCTCCTTCAAGACCTTTGCTTTGATGGGCCCCATAGTGATTAGGAACTTATGTATGCGGAAAATGTAAGGCTCCCCAGCTTTTTCAATCCAGTTATTGTTCCTTGCTTGGGGATGATGCCCCACCAGAACTGGAGACGTGCTCTCACCCTTTTTGGTAGATGCAGAATTGATCCAATCAGATTGTTTTATCTTGTAAGGTCAGGCAACTGTTAGCACTCGAGACGTTCTTCCCAATTGACAAAGATCGAGGATGCACCCGTGAGTTTGTCGTAGGTACTTCAAGCACCAGGGTCGGTCCCCGCATTATTTAACCTCATTCCACCGTCCGCGTCTGCCTGGAGGTAGCAGTTTCAAATGCGGATGCCAATGCCACCAAATATCAAACTTGCATGTGAAGCCCTGAAGCAACTAAAAATCCACACCTCATCGCCAGGTCTGGGGCCTGCTCGGTGGCGCCATCGAGCGCGGTGCCAAGAAGGTGCGCCTGCATATTCTCACGGACGGGCGTGACGTTGCGGACGGCTCGTCATTTGAGTACGTCGAGAAGCTGGAGAAGTACATTGAGGAGCTGAACAGCAAGGGCGCCGACGTCAAGATCGCGTCCGGGGGCGGGCGCATGCGCGTGACCATGGACAGATACGAGGTAGGCTTCTGCACTGAGTACATTCTGTTAACAAGATCTGACAAATGCAGCCGAAACTCAGCTTTGGGGAAGGAAAAGGAGCAGGATTGAGATCCTCTACTCTCCACTAGGAAACAGGCTTGGAACATGGACAGCGATCTACAGTATGCTTCTCTCTGGTTAGCGATCTGCATTTTGCGACAGACGTACAGATTGTACGTACATTTCATTGTATAACGTCAGCATGATCTCTATAAATCAGACAAGGGGTCAAGTCGTGACTTGAGGCGCCGCATACTTTTAGGATCACCTAGTACAAGGGGATTGTATCCGCGGCAATCTATTGGTTTGATGTAGGAACAGACACAGTTCATGAGTACTGATTTCTGCGTGGTCCCCTGGCCAATGCGTGCAGTGCTGCCAAAGCTGGCTTTCACTTTTGCTTTTCTCGTATCTGGAACTCGATCCGGACTGAACTCGATCGTCTTCCCCACAAGGCAAGCTCGACGTCTGGCTTCCAAAGCGCATCAGCAAGCTCGATTCTCCCTTCGATCCCTAAACGAGCTTCATCCGAAACGTTCTTTCGCAGACCGACTGGGAGGTCGTGGAGCGCGGGTGGCATGCGCACGTGCTGGGCGAGGCCCCCAACAAATACACCACCGCTGCGGAGGCGCTCAAGGACCTGCGCGCCAAGGACCCCAAAGTGAACGACCAGTACTACCCCCCTTGGGTGGTGGTGGACGACGCGGGGAAGTCTGTGGGGACGATCGAGGACGGAGACGCAGTCGTGATCTGGAACTTCCGTGCTGATCGTGTTGTGAGTGCTTCATCCTACTGTCTGCTACTTGGCTTCGTGCTAAGGTGTGCTTATCTCAATGAGAACGGAGTGACCTGAATCGCTCGTATCATTGAGTGGGGCCTTCGGGCAGTGAATGCGTGGAATGCTGGAGAATCGATGTCTGAGCATGAATTCTTCGTTTGATTCATAACCTCCAGGTTGAGGGCTTGCTGCTCAGGCTTGAAACCTGTTCGTTAATCCGAGCGTCGGGTACTCCCTGCGGCTTTCTGTTGTGCCCTTCCTTGTCGTCTGCACTGTGGCGCAGTTTTCGCACAAGCTGCTTTCGAAACGGCGCACTCTTTGCTTACACAATCTTCTGGCTGCAGGTCATGATTTCAAAGGCTTTCGATTTCGAGGATAAGGACTTTCCATTTTTCGACAGGGTGCGCAGGCCGAAGGTGAGCAATGGCGCGAATCCCAGCCACTCGAGGCATTCCTAGAGCCGGCGCGTTTGTCGGATTCAGAAAGCGCTATTTTCTTTGTGGTTAAGTGAGTCGATCGAACGGCAGTTAAACACATGGCGTGCCACTTCTACTTTCACACATCTGTTGCATCGCAGATCCAGACGAAGTCTCCTCAATCTTTGAAGTACCCAGATCAGAATCTCAAACTGGGCAATTGTTCCGATAGTATATTGCGTCGATCAGCATTCGCAAGTCGACTCCATTTTAGGTCCTTGAATATGCGGAGTGCTCTTTTAACGTATTGGGGCAATCACCTAATCGGGACGATGCCTGGACTTGCTAGGCTGATATTGAAAGGTGCCGGGGATGTTTCGGTAAATGCCTTATCTTATCCCCACCGCTTTGCTGCAGGTGACGCTTGCGGGGATGTTGGAGTATGACGTGGAGATCCATCTGCCCTCGATCCACCTTGTGGACCCCCCCCAGATCGAGGGCACCTCCGGCGAGTACCTCGCCAAGAACCACGTCCGGTCATATGCCTGCAGGTGCGTATTTACACCAGTGAACTCTGAACTCTTGCATGTCAAATCCCTCAAGCCCCAGACTTTTGCAGAGGAGTACGCCTGATCGATCTCTCCACGGTGTTTTTGCATTAGTCAAGCACTTCGCTGAATGCAGGTCTTGTGTTGCTGACCGCAGGAAAGAGGTTTTCGATTCAAAGCGGTTCGCTTGTTTACGGCCCTTGGGTGGATAGAAACCGTTGTAAGCGAACCGATGACGGATCGTCGCTGAGGTGCTGTCGGCACCTCACTTCGTCGAAAGGTTCCTTTTGATACTTCGCCTTCGCCGTGTTAGCAGTGAGTGCGAAAGCCTGCTGTGTGCCTGAAACGTCGCTGCGTTAAGAAAGTAGCTGCTTATGCTTGCAGTGAGACCGTCAAGTTCGGGCACATGACGTTCTTCTGGAATGGCAACCGGTCAGGCTACTTCGACGCCAAGTACGAAAAGTATGTGGAGATTCCGACGGACAAGGGCATTCAGGTAGGCGATCACCGCTCGTTCCTCCCTCTGTCACGGCATTTGTTTTCAAAGAGGCTTCCACCGCTTGTTACCTGTACCTAAGCGTTTCCTATTACTTACGGGAGCTCAGCACAAGTCCAGCAATTTCCCGGAAGGGAGGCGAGCGAACTCAGAAGTATAGCCGTGATGGTGGCCGGCGGGGGCTTGGTGAATACCAATGTCTCTGCTTAGAAAACAAGAAAGACAATTCAGTATAAGAACTGTGTTTGACTATCGCCGGTAGACTCACCCTGGCGTACATCTCCGCCTCTTCTGTCGTTGCAAAACTAAGCCTCGAGATCTTAAAGTGGGCGTCGGATTTCAGAGCCGGGAAATGCACACTAGTGAGTCTGAGTCCTGAGGAGAGCCTCGAGAAGGCCAACGCTGAGGCGTCCGATAGATTCAACTTGGACGTTTGAACCGTCCGATGTCCAGGTGCACTCGCGAGTGCATACGCCCACTTTAACCGCTGAAGCTGTCGCTAAGGAACCCTTCGCATGCTGCACTGAAAGATCGCATGCATTTGACTGTTTCTAGACAAGACAGCTGCTGCTGGGGACAGGTTTCATGAGGTGGCGCTAGCACATCGTTATTCGGCAGGCCAAACCACGCTCACGCCGACACCTTCTCACACTCCGCCCATTTCTCTAAAGAGCCGCGGTCGAGAGGTTCTGTCACCTCTTTGGCCCGTTCACGGAGCCAACGGCTCCATTATCTTCACATCATCTGGAAACAACAGAAACGATCGAGGACTTTGAGAAGTCAAGGATTCGGCCTTCTGGTGACACGGATTCCGATCCCTCTGATGACACGTTGTCTAACTTTAAGTAACCTGAATTCCGAATCCTTTTGGTAACGCGGTTCCCCATCTTCAACAGTTCAACGAGAAGCCGCCGATGAAGGCGGCCGAGATCGCGGAGGCAGCGGCCGCAGCATTCAAGAGCGGGGAGTGGGACTTTGTGCGCGTCAACTTCCCCAACGCCGACATGGTGGGCCACACCGGCGACATGGAGGCCACTGTTGTGGGGTGCGAGGCCGCCGACAAGGGGGTCGAGGTGCGTTCTCTTGCCAAGCGCTTAAACTCGAAGTTCCCCCCCCCCTTTTTCGTAACGATTCGTGGATAAAACCATGCATCGCATCTTGAACCTGCGTGTTACCGTCTGATTGAAGGACATTGAGCGGGTTGTATTAATAAAAAGGCATTGAGCCGGTTGTGGTACCAAAGCTCCGATCCGCTTCTAATAGCAAGAACAGAGACCTCGTTTCTAGTGTCTCCAATGTCGCTGGCGGGTAAAAGCACTCTTTGACTACGGTCTGCCAATTCTGTGGGTTGGGTCAGAGGCGCTTTTTTTTTCTCTCTTTGCAAATGGCTCTTTGCAGTAAACAGAAAGGTGAGGATTAAGAGGGATTCTTTTTTAACGGTTAACTGCTACCAACATTTGTTTCAAGATTTGAATCTAGAAAAAAGACGCCCACCATCAGTCCCCCTCGCAAATAGCGTGCTCGAGTCAGCCGGCTTTGCACTCCTGAAGATGTGCTTTCCTTCGTGACCGCACTCACTTTGCTTTGCTTTGCATTTTTCACGAGTTAGACGCTTGTTAGTGCGGGAGTCGCCCGTTCGTGCACGTGGCGCTCCTTGATCGCAGGTGCTGCCGAAGATGGTAAACAGGGTTTGCACCTAATGTGATTATATTCTTCCTTAGGTTGCATTTCGTGAGCAACCTTAATGAGGGCCGTTACTTTGACCACAGATTCCTATACTGCTGTTGCGGGCGGTGGGGTGTCTATCAGTGGGGTTACATGGCCCGCTTTAGGTTGACACAAGGCGTTTGTAGGTGTTGTTGAAGGCCGTGGAGGACCTGGGGCGGCAGTTACTTCATCCAAATCGTTGCTTCAATCACATTACCCGCCCAAACCTGACACATGGCATCTTTCTGACCGCAGCTGTTGCCGAAGGCCGTGGCGTTCGCGGGCGGCACTTACCGTACTCAAAGACTGCCCTGACTCACAGTACCCCCCTAACTTGCCTAAATTTGACACGTGGCATCTTTCTGGCCGCAGGTGTTGCTGAAGGCCGTGGAGGACGCGGGCGGCATCTACCTGGTGACGGCGGACCACGGCAACGCGGAGGAGATGGTGAAGCACGACAAGGACGGCAAGCCCGTGCTCACCAAGGACGGCACCCCGCAGAAGCTCACCGCCCACACGTGTGCACCGGTAAGGCGCGGTTTCACCAAAAAAGGCGGCCCGGGATACCTTTTTTGGGCGGCCTTGAAACCCGTATGCAGACTCTCTTGTCGCCCTGAATCCTAGTGCTACGTTACCCAGCATGGATAGACAGCCCGTGCTCACCAAGGACGGCACCCCGCCAGAAGGTTCACCGCCCACACCTGTGCACCGGTGAGGCGCGTTTTTTGGCGACCTTGGAAGGCGCATGCCGACTCTCGTGTCGCCATGAATCCTAGTGCTACGTTGCCCAGCATGGACGGCAAGCCCCGCTCACCGAGGATGGCATCCCGCCAGAAAGTTTATTGCCTACACGTACGCGCTGGTAAGGCATGCGTGTTTGTAAGGTCAAAAAGGCGATCATGGATTCGTAACGCTGTGGCGACAGAGAAGCCGGTATGCAGACTTCTCCGTCGCCTCCAACTCCTTGTAATAAGGTGTTCAGCGAGGTTGAAGCTGGTATTGCAGTCTCGTGGGCGCCTTGACAGCCACTTAGACGTGTGACAGCCCGTGTGGTCTTCCAACTGACGAAGAGCATATTCGTAGAGCTATGATTTTCTGGATGTCGATTGAAGGATTACGGAAATGCATTCTTGGATTCCCGGTTTTTGGTGTCGACACCTTGCACAAGTCGATTGAGGGGCTGAGGTCGCTTTCAGAAGATACATACAGGGATTGTTTATAGCATTATCCTGCGTCATCTGTTCGTCTGGCACCGAGGGTCTGTGCGTGAGCCAAATCCAGATCGCGACTCTGTCTGCAAAGTCCACGCTTGGTCAGCGAGTTGCGGACTCGTTAGGCAGTTGGACCTGCTTTGGGTGTCAGGGTCACCGCTCCTTGCAACTGAAAGTGCGAAGAGTTCTGAGGATGTCGTCCCTACTCTAATTGTAGGTCCCCGTTGCCATTGGCGGGCCTGGGCTGCCCAAGAACATCAAGCTTCGAAAGGACCTTCCGGGCGCGGGCCTCGCAAATGTGGCGGCAACGTTCATCAACCTTTGCGGTCTCGAGGCTCCCAGTGATATGGAGCCTACATTGCTTGAAGTCGTTGAGCAATAATCTACTTACTGGCAACGGCGTATCTAAAAAAACACCATCTGCAAGATCCTTATTACGTTGGTTGCGAGCAGCGCAGGTATCTGAGCATACTGCAAAGAAATGTTGGACCAGTAGCTGCTACTAAAAGTCAGTCAAGACGTCATGTCCCAGCTTGTACATTCTGCCTAGTACACGATTAATGAAATCGTGCAAACGCCCCGATGCTTTCAGAACTTTGAAGGTGTTCAAAGTCGACATGGCACATATTGGAGGTTCACCAGCGATGTTTGCTTCGGTCTGTTAGTGTAGGAGTCACCGGGCGCGCTGCTGTCACTCTCTAAACGTCAGCCGCTTAAGGACACCTCATGTGTGCTTGGTGGTCAATGATTGTGGAAGTGCGCCATGATGCACCGACTGTGTGTCAAGCACCTGTCTGGACTGTGGGCCGCCAACTCACTAAGCTGTTCTATCCCTCTAGCTCCGACGTTTTTCAACACGTTCAGTACACCAGTATAGCCAGGCTGCGCGCGCCACTTGAAAATATGTTGCTAGACAGATCGACCGGAGAATCATGTGACTACTACGGCCGCGGGCCGGCCACGCGGATTGTGGCTTGGCAACAACGATTGCCCGCACGCGCGGCGCCCCGTATTGAACCACTTTCAACCGTCCCGGGTCCGGCCTCAATCCGGCCATATGCGTTGCAAGTGCTCTCCTCATGGTGTGACATGTGCTGCATGAGAGCTCTAAGTTCCATGCAAATGCCAGGCTGAGCTTGCATGTGCTGCATGCAGGCGGGAACGAAGGTCACGTGACAACTTATGTACTAGTGAACTGATTGATTAAGGTTGTTCGCATTCTGAGCTGGAGCCTTGACGTACCTATCATTGCGGCAGCCCCCCGGCGCGGCGCCTTGTGCATCGATCTTCCCAGAAATACACTAGACAAATCGATCATGGCTCTGGTCTATTCTCGCCGGCCGCGCGTCCATATCATTGTGCTACAGCCAAATATGTTAAAGGCTAGGGCATATGAGTGCGTACTTCGTATAAGTAGAACCTGTAGAAGATACTATAGCTATCCACAATGATGAGGTTAGCAATCCGTACCCAATCTCATGACAGCGTAGTAAAAATGCAAGAGGCAGTCTGTATTTAAGTGCACTGTACTTCCCCCCCCCATGCAAGCGTGCTGGCCAGAGAAAGACCTAAGCAACTTGCGGCACATTGTCCGCCCGCATGCTAGAGAACCGGGCCCTGGACGGAGTGGGTCGACGTCCGACATTTTAGAGGACTCAAGTCTGCTGTTGAGCTTCATATCATGGGCAAAGGATCTCGGAGCCTGTTCGAAAGCGATTGCCTCCAAAGACAAACCTCAGAGCTACAATGCCTACTTGTTCTGCAATGCCCCTAGGTACTTCCAAGCAACATGCGGCACGCCTTGAAAGTACCTGCAGAAAGCGTCCGATTCACTACGGCTGCCGCGGCAACCAGCCAGATATGTCGTACCCTAGGGTTTACCTCTCTACGACCCAACTCTGTTCAAACTCAAAGCCGATGCAGAAGGCTGTGTGACTCTTCCAAAAACAGGGAGGACCAAAAGACAAAAACAGCCAGCCCCGCCGCCGCCACAAAAGCCGCCGCTAGCTGGCTTTCGTCTGCATGAGCTCGTTCATCGTCGCCAGCACATTCCGATACCCCTCCTTCAACGTCCGGTTCTCCGCTTGTAGCTTCTCAATCTCCTCTGCGGGGTTCCCGACCGTTGATGGATCCCCAGGGCTCTTCCCGACCGTTGATTGTTCCCCGGGGTTCTTCCCCGGGGCCGCTTGGGGGATCCCCCGGAGGGGCGCGGACGCCCGCCGGCTGAGCTCCGTCCGCAGCCGGACGTTCTCTTCCTGCAGCCTTGAAATCTCGCGCCGCCCCTCGTTCGCCACCCGAGACAGCTCGCCGCGCACGGCCGTGAGCTCCGCCTCTAGTTTCACAATCTTCTCCCGGAGCAGCGTCTCTTGGGCCTGGAAAGACAGCCAGACACGTGGCAGTCAGACGTACGAATTGTTCTCAAAAGACGGAAAGTCTCTCGGGGCAGCGGCCAAAGGCAGAGCCCCTTTGGCCGCTGGCGCCTGGGAGAAGAAGGGCGGAGGACACGTGACCGTTAAAAGAGAAAGGGAACAAAGCCCTTCAGCGACCCTGCTCGCGTAAAGAGTTGAGAACTTTTTCGGAGATCGCCTCTTTTGTCCTACACAACCGACGGAAACGTGCTTGTAATGATCGAGCACAGCCTTTCAAGACACCAGTAAGGCAACGCCTGTCGGGCCTGGCTGGGGGAACAGAGGCCGACTTATCGGCGCAGAATTCAGAAGCTACAAAGAAATCGACGGACTCTGCAGATCCTTGTGCGGGAATCCACATCGCACGGCGACCCACTAGAACTCAAACCCCCGAGGCGAACAGGCTGACAACCCCAACAGCGCTGACGTCAGTCTTCCGTACGCTCACCTTCTTGCGCAACCGGTGCCGCCGCGACTTGAGCATGTTCTTCTCCCGCTGCGTCTTCTGGGGGTCTCCGTCTCCAGCATTTCGGTCCCCCCCGGAACCACTTCGGCCAGAACCCCCGGCCCCCTTGCTCTCAATGAGGCGGAATCCGGCCCCTCCGTGAACGGAAGGGTCCGCCGAAGTGCTCGGATCGTCCGAACTTCGTTCACTGTCGACTGAACCGCTGAGTTCTGGTTTCGGGGGGTCGGCATAGGGGGGTGGAGAGGGGGGACGGGAATGAGGCGCGGAGGGGGCGGGTTGAGGGGGATTGAGCGGCTGACGTTTGGGGGGAGGGTTCGGGGAAAAGGGGGTAACGGTTGCAAAGGAGGGGGATGGCGGAAGCCGAGAGGGATGGTTCCTGGAAGCTGCAAAAAGAAGGAGGAGGTAGTGAGACTCCGAAGCTGGGCCGTGTGATGAAAGACATCTTGTCATGTGTATCTACAATTGTTGGTAGTAACGACTACCGGTGGATAGCCGGCTTCGATTTGTGAGTGTTAGGAAGTCTGCGCCAAGCTCTTAAACAATCGAGCTTTCGACAGGAGAAGCAGACAAGGAGACTGTAAAAAAAATGCGGCCACTGCATGTGGCCTTTGCCTGACGATCTCAACTGTAACGGCTTTCATCCATAGGGTGTTGATGTTGAATGTGACCGTCCATAAACGGGTTGAATCTCCGCCAGATTGGGGCGGGTGCACTATGAGCGGCTACCACCGGTGCTAGAGAGCTTGACAAGCCTGATCTTGAACTGCCAGTCAATCTCTTGTATGGAAAGGGCGCAACAATTTTCCACATCAAATGAAGCATTGCTCACGGAGTGCTTTGAGCAGCACTAGTGCCGATCATACATCTGCAACGACAAAGCTTGGAGAAATAGCGTCCAGTCCCTATGTGACGAGTCCGGGAATAGGATTCTTGTTAGCTGGTCGTAGCTAGCCCATCTGAATCTTGCTTCAGATTTGGGTTCCGAGAGTTCGGGAATCGGCTTCGTTTCTGTCACGTTGAGGATTGATACTGCATCTGAGTCTGCGGTTGATTCTGCTCAGCATACGATAAACTCTTGTTCCCTGTTCCGTTGAGCCTGCCGTGAACGCAAGGATAAGCAGGAGGATCGAATCAAAGGGAGGGCATTGACAGTGGAACCACAAGGACACTCACCATTGGAGGCTGCATGATGAGTCCCGCAAAACTCGTTGGCCCACCCGGCACCCCTCCGGGGACCCCATCCCGGCTGCTCTCTGACTTCACCCCCCCAAGCGACCCCCCCCTTTCGAAACCGAGCAGCGTGCCCTCCCCCAGAAGCACCTTCCCGAACGACTCTCTGCTCGAGTCCGTCCTCATCATTTTGGGGGTCCCTCCGTTCAGCTCCAACGAGTGCCGCGAGCCCTCCCCCCCGACGAGCGCCGAAAAGTCGCGCTTCCCCAGGGACGACGTGCGCTGCGACAGCATGTCTTGGGCGCTCTCAAACTTTTGCTCGAGGCTCGCGACTTCTTGGGGCGGCGCGCCGCGGCGGAAGTCGGGGCCGAGCGAGTTGTCCCCCGGGCGGGGGTCCCACATTGCGATGATCTCCTTCATGTCGCAGCTGTTCGCCGAGAGCGCTTCCGCGGAGCTCTGGCTCGAGAAGATGGTCTCCGCCATACTGCCCCGCGCCAAGCACTTGCAGCTGTCTAAACTCGACGCCCTGATCTCGTCTGGATTCACTTGATTCTAGTGTAACGAGTCATGGTGGTCTGAGATTGTGGTTCAAGATTTCAATACTTGGGCCTTGGTGGATACGGTTGAGCATCTATGCTTCTGTTCCGCTGTGCAGGGCGAAATGCCGACAGCAGAAAGTTGCTGGAGTTGGGCTCATAACCCAACCAGTGGGTCTACAGAGGTAATGCTTATCTGATTTGACTACGTTGCGCAAACCAGAAGGGTTCCATTGCAGGGACAATGTGGGGGGACAATGTGGCTCCTTACATGGCAGGCCTTGGTTGGGATTGTCCGCTTCAAACAACTTTCAAGCAGCTAAGGACTCTTTGGGTTCCGCTTCAGGCGACAAATTCAATGCACTCTGCCTTGCCCCCTGAGCCCCGCTATGGTTGGTTGAATGTCCACAATGTCCATAGACACAGGCTTCTGCATTCACAATCTGCTGAAATGGGGCCACACTCTCCACTCACACACAGGAGTTGCGTTGAATGCTAGTGTGCAACAGCAGCTACACAGTACAACAGGTGGCAGCTTACGTCACTCCCTTCACCCTTCTGCACAACTCTCTCTTTCTCCCACAGGGCGTGCCGTCAACAGCCGCATCGATCGCTTGCTGCTGACTGTTGCAAAGCTGGAGCGCACGGGCCAATAGGAGCAATTACCTTTCTATGTCTCAATGTCAAGTATTATGCACTCTAGAGAATGTGACCTGCTTGTCGGAGAGGTAATGTCCTCAGACCGTGGTGCTTTACGAGGGGGACTAGGAGCATGAAACTCACGGTTCCAAGAACAGCCACATTAAGGAATGTAGACCCAATCCGTGCAGAAGCCTAGCAGACTAGTGCCAGGTGTCATTCAATTGACCCAGGTGACAAGCATTCGCTTCCCCAGCTGTTCCAATTTGACCAGACACAAGGGGCCCACACAGCAGATGAGAATGTGAGCAGGTGTTTACCAGCTCTCTTCTCTGCATTGGCCTTCACAACTTCTTCCGTCATTATGTAAAGCAGGCGTCGCCGGCATGGCCCAGAACAAAAGTGAAATCCGCCAAGAACAAAACGGAACCGCCATAGAATCCTGACGTCACGCTGCCTCAAGGTCACGTATCCGAGCAGGAGGTTACGGCACTGGTCGATGCTTATGGAATGATTCATTTGCAAACGGAACCGGTGGCTACCGCCCGGGATGTCCTAGAGGTATTCGAAGGGCACGATCTGAAGCCGGGAGCTCATCACTCCACCCACAGGAGGAGTCAGCGCATCATATTGAGGCGACTCGGTACGCAACCGGCAAGTGCTTATATTAGTACTGCCAGGGGGAGTACCGTTATCAAGCTGTGTTAACCCTTACCACTTTATGGGGCCCGCGAGAAGCTCTGAGCTTGTCCTCCTGCTCTAGTTGCTCTCAGTTGCATGTTCGGTGACGGTCGCGGCCGCCCACCCTGACTCAATTCGGAAAACTGCGGCCGCGCAACCCTGCCGCGCCTCCCCCTGACTCATGTCTGCAGGCCATGCCTAGGAAGCTGATTTCAAAGCAGCTAGGTAGCAGAAGGAAACTTTGGGATCACAGCAGCAGAGGAAAGCCAGGAAGTTGCTCGAGCTTGTGTCCTCTTACAGACCTTCTTCAGCGCCATGTTCCGCAATCAGTATGACACGGACGTCACCACATGGAGCCCTGCGGGGCGGCTCCACCAGATTGAGTACGCGATGGAGGCCGTCAAGCAGGGCAGCGCCGCAATTGGCCTGAGAAGCAGCACGCACGTGGTGCTCGGGACGCTGCTGCGCGCGGCCTCAGAACTGAGCTCCTACCAGAGGAAGGTCTTCAAAATTGACGACCACATGGGGATCGCAATTGCTGGATTGAACGCGGATGGACGGGTGCTGTCAAGATATATGCGGAATGAGTGCATCAACCATAACTTCGTGTTCGAGTCGCCGATGCCGGTCGGTCGGCTGGTGACTCAGGTAGCGGACAAGAGCCAGGTGTCGACGCAGAGAGCCTCTGCGAGGCCATATGGGGTGGGGCTGCTGGTGGCGGGGTATGATGAGTCTGGCCCGCACCTGTACAACACGGATCCCTCTGGCAACTACTTTGAGTACTATGCGATGGCAATTGGTGCGCGGTCGCAAGCCGCCAAGACGTACCTGGAGAGGAAGTTTGAGGGGTTCAAGGAGGCGAGCCTGGACGAACTGGTGAAGCACGCGCTGTTTGCAGTGAAAGAGTCGCTACAGGTGCGTGATTGTGTTTGATTCCTTGTTTCAGTTGGCAGATTGTGCTTGTTTGCGAATGCGCTTTGCTTGAAATAGGGGAACTATAAGCTGGCGCGGCAACGTCGTGTACCATCTGCCTCTGATTCTTTTGGGCGAAGCGAGTAACTTGCAAGGACTTCAGGGCGCCTTTGCTGATGCTATTGTTTTCCTCTTCCTCAATCAAAAGCTAGTTCTTTCCGAACCCTAGTTCCTGCCATGTTCCCCCCTTGCTTTTGGTGGTTGAGGAGTCGCTTGCAGAGGTTGATTGGGGATGCATTGATCCTTCTTAAGATTATGCAAGTTACCTGTAAATTGCAGTAAGAAAGCTGGCAGAAAGTTACAATGAAGGAGAGGTTGGCTGGTCTACTGACTTTTCTTTCAAGGAATTAGGAAGCTACACTGCTGAAATTCAGTCAGACTGGTGGTAAGATATGTAGAGAGTTTCTAAAGAGAACAGAGCATTCATTTGTCTCCCTGGATTCTTTTTGATGCCAGAGTGGAGAACCGAAGCTCAGGAATGGCAATTCGTCTTCTTTCTGAATCAATTGCATAAGTTTCTGCTAATAACCACTGATACAGTTTCTTACTGGTTGCATCTCGCAGTTCAAGTATCCATGCACTTTTTAAAGAAGCTGTGTACTCATTTACTCGGGCTTTGGGTTGTGCAGTGCTCACCTCAGGCTCCTGGCTAGGTCAATCTGGAAGTAGGGCTCTTGTACACGCTTCCCAAGACAATCTGCGAACTTCTTGACCCCCCTCCAGATTCGCTTGAAACATAAAGTCAGGTCAAGTTTGACGGATGGCCTCTTACTGGCGCTGGATCATAAACAGATCTGAGCATCGGGTTCTTAAGACGAAGTGCACTTCGAGGTATTAATCTCCCTTTTTCTGCTTCAGATGGATGCTTTGATGCGGATTCTGAAAAGCCGCTGAAATTTCTCCTCCCAAAATCTGCATTGGTCTCTTAGAAACGACCACTGATACATAAGGACAGGAGACAACTCTTAGCTTACTCAAATTGCGGTATCCACACAGGAGGGAGAGCTTACGAGTAAAAACTGCAGCGTCGCAATCGTGGGGAAGGACACTCCGTTCAAGATCCTCAGCTTGGAGGAGCTGCAAACCTACATTGGGCAGCTAGACGCCGCCGATGCTCCCACGGAAGCGATGGACGCAGGGGATAAGCCGGCTGATGGCGAGGGGGGCGATGCTGCTGACGCAACAGAGGGGGGGGATGCTGCAGACCCAATGGAGACCACGTGAAGACGGAGATGAGATGACGCAGGTGAGTTTTGAGACCCGAGCTTTTGCCTGGCATTTGTAAGAACCTGGTCTCTCTGCTGGTGGCTACTTTTAGCGCAAGCATGCATATGCGGAAAGGGAGATTGCTCTGCTTGTTTGCTTCTGCCGAGGCGGCTGATGCGGAAGTGGAGGCTTCTTTTCCCCCAGATTAGTTGCTGTTTTGCAATTCAGATTCCGTGCAGACTTTTAATAGTGTGTGTTGACTTTGTTCGGCTTCCCGTTACAGGATATACTCCGGCAGTGAATTAAGTTGGTCTTGAAGAGGTCCGACTAGTAAGATGCAATGTAAGATGGACGACATCTGGGAGCTAGGTCAAAAAATTGTCAAAATATGTTCGATTGTACTTGCTCGCGCATCTTGCAACTTGAGACACTTTGCCCCAGGGACTACCAAGATTTTTTGAGAATCAGTACGGTTTGTTGGATATCGAAGTTTGTCCGTGACTGGTAACCCCTTAAGCAAGAGGACGGTGCGCCATGAGCTACCAATGTGGCCTTCAAGGCAAAGACAGATTATGCAGGAGGCTCCGCCTTGGTCAAACACGATCTACTGATGCATGGCGTATTTGAAAAACCCGAGCATTGGGCAGGCCCCTCAACAGTGTGGAAGGTCGGTGTACATGCTTCCCTAAGCCATGCATCTATATGAACGTACAGAAACGCAGCTTTATGCAAGCATACTGTTGCGCAGAAGTCAAGCTTGATTAAAATGCAACAGTATGCTGTTGTGACATGGACTAGTCCATTCACATTTCGGTTTACACAATTCGGTTGGACCATGTAAGTGTTGTTTCACTAAGACGCCAGTATACCGATGCACTTGAATGCATGCTGTAATGATACCGGTGCGTGCCGCGCGTGTTTAATCGTGAGCATTAGTATAGTGACATTGGGAGATATAGTACCAATGCGCTACATTATCGTCCGGACCGCGTCAATCTCTGGCAAAAGCTTAGTTGATTGCCAGTACATGTGTTGCACACAAATGCATTAGTATGCACATACTGATTGACCGTGCGCGCTTCAGTCCATC